CCTGACCCCGCTGACCCCTGACCACTGATCCCACTGACCCCTGACCCTGATGACCACTGACCACTGACCGCTGACCACACTGACCCTGCTGACCGCTGACCCCGCTGACCGCTGACCCCACTGACCACTGACACCACTGACCACTGACCCACCTGTGTCGAACCTCACTGACCACTGACCTCACTGACCGCTGACCCCGCTGACCACTGACCCCGATGACCGCTGACCACACTGACCCCAATGACCACTGACCCTGCTGACTGCTGACCCCGCTGACCACTCCCCCGGCCATGTCCGGCCACACTGACCCCTGACCCCGCTGACCACTGACCACTGACCCCACTGACCGCTGCCCTGCCTGTGTCCAACCTCATTGACCCCACTGACCACTGACCCCACTGACCACTGACCACTGCTGACTGCTGACCGCTGACCACGCTGACCACTGACCACTGACCCCACTGACCCCACTGACCGCTGACCCCACTGACCACTGCCCTGCCTGTGTCCAACCTCATTGACCCCACTGACCGCTGACCCCACTGACCACTGACCACTGCTGACCGCTGACCGCTGACCACACTGACCCCGCTGACCACTGACCACTGCCCCACCTCTGTCCAACCTCACTGACCACTGACCCCACTGACCGCTGACTGCTGCCCCACCTGTGTCCAACCCCGCTGACCCCACTGACCACTGACTGCTGACCCTGATGACCACTGACCCTGATGACCACTGACCGCTGCCCTGCCTGTGTCCAGCCTTGCTGACCACTGACCACTCCCCTGGCCATGTCCGGCCACACTGACCACTGACCACTGCTCCGGCTGTGTCCAGCCACACTGACCACTCCTCCGGCCGCGCTGACCGCTCCTCCGGCCGCAGGCAGGAGATGTTCGTGTCCGGCCGCGGCGCTCGGGCCGGGGCGCGCCGTGTCCTGGTGGTGGTGACCGACGGTGAGAAGTTCGATGACCCCCTGGACTACTCAGAGGTCATCCCGCTGGCCGAAGCCATGGCGGTCACTCGCTACGCCATTGGGGTCAGTCTGTCCGGCCGTCTGTCCATCTGTCCATCTCTGTGTCCATCTCCGTGTCCATCTGTCCATCCCCATGTCCATCTGTCCATCTGTCCATCTCTGTGTCCATCTGTCCATCTCTGTGTCCATCTGTCCATCTCTGTGTCCATCTGTCCATCCCCGTGTCCATCTGTCCATCTCCATGTCCATCTGTCCATCTCCATGTCCACCTCCATGTCCATCTGTCCATCTGTCCATCTCCATGTCCATCTGTCCATCTCAGTGTCCATCTGTCCATCTCCATGTCCACCTCACCTGTGGGTGCCCCCCACCCATGGGTGCCCCTCACCTGGGCAGGTGGGCAGCGCCTTTGGGCGGCCGCAGGCGCACCTGGAGCTGCAGGTGATCGCATCCGACCCCACCCATGGGTGCCCCTCACCTGTGGGTGCCCCCCTCACCTGTGGGTGCCCCCCACCCATGGGTGCCCCTCACCTGGGCAGGTGGGCAGCGCCTTTGGGCGGCCGCAGGCGCACCTGGAGCTGCAGGTGATCGCGTCCGGCCCCACCCATGGGTGCCCCTCTCACCTGTGGGTGCCCCCCCCTCACCTGTGGGTGCCCCCCTCACCTGTGGGTGCCCCCCACCCATGGGTGCCCTCACCTGGGCAGGTGGGCAGCGCCTTTGGGCGGCCGCAGGCGCACCTGGAGCTGCAGGTGATCGCATTGAACCCCACCCATGGGTGCCCCTCTCACCTGTGGGTGCCCCCCTCACCTGTGGGTGCCCCCCACCCATGGGTGCCCTCACCTGGGCAGGTGGGCAGCGCCTTTGGGCGGCCGCAGGCGCACCTGGAGCTGCAGGTGATCGCGTCCGGCCCCACCCATGGGTGCCCCTCACCTGTGGGTGCCCCCCCTCACCTGTGGGTGCCCCCCACCCATGGGTGCCCTCACCTGGGCAGGTGGGCAGCGCCTTTGGGCGCCCGCAGGCGCACCTGGAGCTGCAGGTGATCGCGTCCGACCCCACCCATGGGTGCCCCTCACCTGTGGGTGCCCCCCACCCATGGGTGCCCCTCACCTGGGCAGGTGGGCAGCGCCTTTGGGCGGCCGCAGGCGCACCTGGAGCTGCAGGTGATCGCTTCAAACCCCACCCATGGGTGCCCCTCACCTGTGGTTGCCCCCCCCCCCACCTGTGGGTGCCCCCCACCCATGGGTGCCCTCACCTGGGCAGGTGGGCAGCGCCTTTGGGCGGCCGCAGGCGCACCTGGAGCTGCAGGTGATCGCTTTGAACCCCACCCATGGGTGCCCCTCACCTGTGGGTGCCCCCCTCACCTGTGGGTGCCCCCCCCACCCATGGGTGCCCCCCACCCATGGGTGCCCTCACCTGGGCAGGTGGGCAGCGCCTTTGGGCGGCCGCAGGCGCACCTGGAGCTGCAGGTGATCGCTTCAAACCCCACCCATGGGTGCCCCTCACCTGTGGGTGCCCCCCACCCATGGGTGCCCTCACCTGGGCAGGTGGGCAGCGCCTTTGGGCGGCCGCAGGCGCACCTGGAGCTGCAGGTGATCGCGTCCGACCCCACCCACGTGTTCCGCGTGGACAATTTTGAGGCCCTTTCTGGGATCCAGCGGGAGCTGAGGGAGCGGATCTTCGCCATCGAGGGTACCTGGGCACACCTGGGCACACCTGGGCACACCTGGGCACACCTGGGGGCACCTGGGCACACCTGGGCACACCTGGGGGCACCAAAAATACACCTGGGCACACCTGGGCACACCTGGGGCACCTGGGGGGTACCTGGGGGCACCTGAGATATACCTGGGGGGTACCTGAGCACACCTGGGCACACCTGGGGGCACCCAAAACACACCTGGGCACACCTGGGAACACCTGGGCACACCCAAAATACACCCAATATACACCTGGGCACACCTGGGGGCACCTGGGGATACACATGGGGGCACCTGGGCATACCCAAACCACACCTGGGCACACCTGGGGGTACCCAAAATACACCCAAAATACACCTGGACACACCTGAGATACACCTGGGCACACCCAAAACACACCTGGGCACACCTGGGGCACACCTGGGCACACCTGGGCTCACCTGGGCACACCTGTGGAGGTTACGTGGTGGCACAGGTGCCCCTGGGACACACCTGGGCACACCTGGGCACACCTGGGCTCACCTGGGCACACCTGGGGGACATTTTGGGTACATTTTGGGCACACCTGGGCACACCCAAAACACACCTGGGCACACCTGGGGGGTATTTTGGGCACATTTTGGGCACACCTGGGCACACCTGGGCACACCTGGGCACACCTGGGCACACCTGGGGCACATTTTGGGCACACCTGGGCACACCTGGGCACACCTGGACTCACCTGTCGGACCCTCCCCAGGTACGAGCTCCGCCCACAGCAGCTCCTTCCAAATGGAGATGGCACAGGAGGGGTTCAGTGCCACACTGACCACTGTGAGTGACCCTGAGTGACCACTGAGCGACCCCTGAGTGACCACTGACCACTGAGTGACCACTGAGTGACCAATGAGTAACCCTGAGTGACCCTGAGTGACCACTGAGTGACCACTGAGTGACCACTGAGTGACCACTGAGTGACCCTGAGTGACCCTGAGTGACCAATGAGTGACCCCTGAGTGACCCTGAGTGACCCTGAGTGACCCTGAGTGACCAATGAGTGACCCTGAGTGACCCCTGAGTGACCCCTGAGTGACCCCTGAGTGACCAATGAGTGACCACTGACCCCTGAGTGACCCTGAGTGACCACTGAGTGACCAATGAGTGACCCTGAGTGACCACTGAGTGACCAATGAGTGACCCCTGAGTGACCCTGAGTGACCAATGAGTGACCCCTGAGTGACCCTGAGTGACCCTGAGTGACCCTGAGTGACCCCTGAGTGACCCTGAGTGACCCTGAGTGACCAATGAGTGACCACTGAGTGACCAATGAGTGACCACTGAGTGACCAATGAGTGACCCTGAGTGACCACTGAGTGACCAATGAGTGACCCCTGAGTGACCCTGAGTGACCAATGAGTGACCCCTGAGTGACCCTGAGTGACCCTGAGTGACCCTGAGTGACCCCTGAGTGACCCCTGAGTGACCCTGAGTGACCAATGAGTGACCCTGAGTGACCAATGAGTGACCCTGAGTGACCAATGAGTGACCAATGAGTGACCAATGAGTGACCCTGAGTGACCAATGAGTGACCAATGAGTGACCCTGAGTGACCCCGAGTGACCCCTGAGTGACCAATGAGTGACCAATGAGTGACCAATGAGTGACCCTGAGTGACCCCGAGTGACCCTGAGTGACCAATGAGTGACCCTGAGTGACCACTGAGTGACCACTGAGTGACCCTGAGTGACCCCTGAGTGACCCTGAGTGACCACTGAGTGACCCTGAGTGACCCTGAGTGACCAATGAGTGACCCTGAGTGACCCTGAGTGACCCCAAGTGACCAATGAGTGACCCTGAGTGACCCTGAGTGACCCTGAGTGACCACTGAGTGACCACTGAGTGACCACTGAGTGACCAATGAGTGACCCCTGAGTGACCCCTGAGTGACCCTGAGTGACCCCGAGTGACCCTGAGTGACCCTGAGTGACCAATGAGTGACCCCTGAGTGACCCTGAGTGACCCCTGAGTGACCACTGAGTGACCCCTGAGTGACCCTGAGTGACCCTGAGTGACCCCTGACCCCGAGTGACCCCGAGTGACCCCGTGACCTTTGACCCCAGGCCGGGCCTGTCCTGGGGGCCGTCGGGGCCTTTGATTGGTCCGGAGGCGCCTTCGCCTACGGGGGAGGGGCACCGACCTTCCTGAACGGGTCCGGAACACACCTGGGCACACCTGGAGCGCACCTGGGCACACCTGGAGCACACCTGGGCACACCTGGAGCACACCTGGGCACACCTGGAGCACACCTGGGCACACCTGGAGAACATCTGGGCACACCTGGAGGGCACCAGGGCGATGCTGCAGATGCCAGAGATGGTTACCTGGGTAAGGGGCACACCTGGGCACACCTGGGCACACCTGGGATACACCTGGGCACACCTGGGGGACACCTGGGCACACCTGGGGAGGGTAAAAGGCAAAAAAAACGGGGTTAAAAGGAGCAAAAATGGGATTTTGGGCACTGAAAACACACCTGGGCACACCTGGGCACACCTGGGCACACCTGGGCTCACATGGGGGCACCAAAAATACACCTGGTCACACCTGGGCACACCTGGGGGGTATTTTGGGCACATCTGGGCACACCTGGGGCACACCTGGGCACACCTGGGCACACCTGGGCACAAGGGGGGGTTACCAGGGCAGAGAAATTTACCTGAAATCCTAAAAAAATTCACCTGAAAATCCCCAAAATTTACCTGAAAATTCCCAAATTACACCTGAAAATCCCCAAATTTACCTCAAAATCCCCAAAATTTACCTGAAAACACCAAATTTACCTGAAACCACCAAATTTACCTGAAAATCCCCAAAATTCACCTGAAAATACCAAATTACACCTGAAAATCCCCAAAATTTACCTGAAAACACCAAATTTACCTGAAAATCCCCAAAATGTACCTGAAAATTCCCAAAATTTACCTGAAAATCCCCAAAATTCACTTGAAAATCCCCAAAATTCACCTGAAAACACAAAAATTCACCTGAAAACACCAAAATTCACCTGGAAATCCCCAAAATTACACCTGAAAACACCAAAATTCACCTGAAAACACCAAATTTACCTGAAAATACCCACAATTTACCTGAAAATCCCCCAAAATTCACATGAAAACACCAAAATTCACCTGGAAATTCCCAAAATTCACCTGAAAATCCCTAAAATTCACCTGAAATCCCCCAAAATTCACCTGGATTCCCCCCCCGGGACTCACCTGGGCACACCTGGGCACACCTGGGGGGTATTTTTGGCACACCTGGGCACACCTGGGCACACCTGTGCAGGTTACGCGGTGGCACAGGTGCCCCTCGGGCACACCTGGGCACACCTGGGGACACCTGGGCACACCTGAGATACACCTGGGCACACCTGGGCACATTTTGGGTACATTTTGGGTACATTTTGGGCACACCTGGGCACACCTGGGCACACCTGGGCACACCTGGGGGGTATTTTGGGCACACCTGGGCACACCTGGGCACACCTGGGCACACCTGGGGGGTATTTTGGGCACACCTGGGCACACCTGGGGGGTATTTTGGGCACACCTGGGCACACCTGGGGGTACCTGGGATACACCTGGGCACACCTGGGCACACCTGGGCACACCTGGGGGATATTTTGGGCTCACCTGGGCTCACCTGGCACAGGTTACGCGGTGGCACAGGTGCCCCTCGGGCACACCTGGGCACACCTGGGCTCACTTGGCACAGGTTATGCAGTGGCACAGGTGCCCCTCGGGCACACCTGGGCGTTGGCGTTGGGCGCGCCCCGATTCGCTCACCTGGGCCGGGTCCTGCTGCTGCGGCCTGGACACACCTGGGCACACCTGGGGGAGGCCACCGGGACTCAGGTGAGTGACACACCTGGGCAGGTGAGTGAGGGGCACATCTGGGGGCACACCTGGGACAGGTGAGGTCACCTGGGGGTCACAATTGGGACAGGTGAGGTCACACCTGAGGGGCACACCTGGGGGGACACACCTGGAACAGGTGAGGTCACCTGGGGGGACACAATTCAGACAGGTGAGGTCACCTGGGCAGGTAAAGGGCACACCTGAGCAGGTGAAGGGCACACATGGGACAGGTGAGGTCACCTGGGGGGGCACAATTGGGACAGGTGAGGTCACCTGGGCAGGTGAGTGAGGGGCACACCTGGGGGACACACCTGGGACAGGTGAGGTCACACCTGGGTTGGCACACCTGGGACAGGTGAGTGACACACCTGGGACAGGTGAGGGACACACCTGGGTACCCCTGGGGGAGGCCACCGGCACACAGGTGAGTGACACACCTGGGACAGGTGAGAGTGGGGCACACCTGGGCACACCTGGGGGAGGCCACCAGGACACAGGTGAGTGTCACACCTGGGCAGGTGAGTGAGGGGCACCTGGGACAGGTGAGGGGCACACCTGGGCACACCTGGGTGAGGCCACCAGGACTCAGGTGAGTGAGGGACACACCTGGGGGACACACCTGGGACAGGTGAAGTCACCTGGGCAGGTGAGTGAGGGACACACCTGGGCACACCTGGGGGAGGCCACCGGGACTCAGGTGAGTGAGGGGCACACCTGGACAGGTGAGGGACACACCTGGGAACACCTGGGGGAGGCCACTGGGACTCAGGTGAGTGACACACCTGGACAGGTGAGTGACACACCTGGGACAGGTGAGGGACACACCTGGGACAGGTGAGGGGAACACCTGGGCACACCTGGGGGAGGCCACTGGGACACAGGTTAGTGAGGGGCACACCTGGACAGGTGAGTGACACATCTGGGACAGGTAAAGGGCGCACCTGGGCATGGGAGGGGCACACCTGGACAGGTGAGGTCACCTGGGACAGGTGAGGGGAACACCTGGGGGAGGACACCGGGACATAGGTGAGTGACACACCTGGACAGGTGAGGTCACCTGGAGGGTCTCACCTGTCCCACCTGTCCCACCTGGGAGGTCTCACCTGTCCCACCTGGGAGGTCTCACCTGTCCCACCTGTGGGGTCTCACCTGTCTCACCTGTCGGGTCCCACCTGGGGGGTCTCACCTGTCCCACCTGGGGGGTCTCACCTGGGGGGTCTCACCTGGGGGGTCTCACCTGTCCCACCTGGGGGGTCTCACCTGTCCCACCTGGGGGGTCTCACCTGGGGGGTCTCACCTGTCCCACCTGGGGGGTCTCACCTGGGGGGTCTCACCTGTCTCACCTGGGGGGTCTCACCTGGGGGGTCTCACCTGTCCCACCTGTGGGGTCTCACCTGGGGGGTCTCACCTGGGGGGGTCTCACCTGGGGGGTCTCACCTGTCCCACCTGGGGGGTCTCACCTGGGGGGTCTCACCTGTCCCACCTGGGGGGTCTCACCTGGGGGGTCTCACCTGTCCCACCTGGGGGGTCTCACCTGGGGGGTCTCACCTGGGGGGGTCTCACCTGGTTGGTCTCACCTGTCTCACCTGGGGGGTCTCACCTGTCCCACCTGGGGGGTCTCACCTGGGGGGTCTCACCTGTCCCACCTGGGGGGTCTCACCTGTCTCACCTGTCGGGTCTCACCTGCCCCTCCCCCCCCCCAGGTGGGCTCCTATTTTGGGGCGTCCCTCCTGGGGCTGCAGCCCTGCCCAGGTGAGCCCCGCCCCCGCCCAGGTGAGCTCCAGGTGAGGCTCCTGGTGGGGGCTCCGATGTTCTACGGGGGCGGCAGCGGCGGCCGCGTGTACCTGTGCGAGATGGACGGACAGGTGAGCACACCTGGGCAGGTGAGGAACACCTGGGGGGGGTCAGATGGGCCTCACCTGTCCCACCTGTCCCACCTGTCCATGTCTCACCTGTCCCATCTCACCTGTCCCATCTCACCTGTCCCATCTCACCTGTCCCATCTCACCTGTCCCATCTCACCTGTCCATGTCTCACCTGTCCATGTCTCACCTGTCCCATCTCACCTGTCCCATCTCACCTGTCCCATCTCACCTGTCCATGTCTCACCTGTCCCATCCCACCTGTCCATGTCTCACCTGTCCATGTCTCACCTGTCCATGTCTCACCTGTCCCATCCCACCTGTCCATGTCTCACCTGTCCATGTCTCACCTGTCCCATCTCACCTGTCCCATCTCACCTGTCCCATCTCACCTGTCCATGTCTCACCTGTCCCATCTCACCTGTCCCACCTCACCTGTCCATGTCTCACCTGTCCATGTCTCACCTGTCCATGTCTCACCTGTCCCATCTCACCTGTCCAATCTCACCTGTCCCACCTGTCCCACCTGTCCCATCTCACCTGTCCGATCTCACCTGTCCCATCTCACCTGTCCCACCTGTCCCATCTCACCTGTCCCATCTCACCTGTCCCATCTCACCTGTCCATGTCTCACCTGTCCATCTCTCACCTGTCCATGTCTCACCTGTCCCATCTCACCTGTCCCATCTCACCTGTCCATGTCCCACCTGTCCATGTCTCACCTGTCCATGTCTCACCTGTCCCATCTCACCTGTCCCATCTCACCTGTCCCATCTCACCTGTCCATGTCTCACCTGTCCCATCTCACCTGTCCATGTCTCACCTGTCCCATCTCACCTGTCCCATCTCACCTGTCCCATCTCACCTGTCCATGTCTCACCTGTCCCATCTCACCTGTCCCATCTCACCTGTCCCATCTCACCTGTCCATGTCTCACCTGTCCCATCTCACCTGTCCATGTCTCACCTGTCCCATCTCACCTGTCCCATCTCACCTGTCCATGTCTCACCTGTCCATGTCTCACCTGTCCCATCTCACCTGTCCATGTCTCACCTGTCCATGTCTCACCTGTCCCATCTCACCTGTCCATGTCTCACCTGTCCATGTCTCACCTGTCCCATCTCACCTGTCCATGTCTCACCTGTCCATGTCTCACCTGTCCCATCTCACCTGTCCCATCTCACCTGTCCATGTCTCACCTGTCCCATCTCACCTGTCCATGTCTCACCTGTCCATGTCTCACCTGTCCCATCTCACCTGTCCCATCTCACCTGTCCATGTCTCACCTGTCCATGTCTCACCTGTCCCATCTCACCTGTCCCATCTCACCTGTCCCATCTCACCTGTCCATGTCTCACCTGTCCATGTCTCACCTGTCCCATCTCACCTGTCCATGTCTCACCTGTCCATGTCTCACCTGTCCCATCTCACCTGTCCCATCTCACCTGTCCCATCTCACCTGTCCATGTCTCACCTGTCCCATCTCACCTGTCCCATCTCACCTGTCCATGTCTCACCTGTCCCATCTCACCTGTCCATGTCTCACCTGTCCCACCTGTCCCATCTCACCTGTCCAATGTCACCTGTGAAATGTCACCTGTCCATGTCCCACCTGTCCATGTCTCACCTGTCCCATCTCACCTGTCCATGTCTCACCTGTCCCATCTCACCTGTCCCATCTCACCTGTCCCATCTCACCTGTCCATGTCTCACCTGTCCATGTCTCACCTGTCCATGTCTCACCTGTCCCATCTCACCTGTCCCATCTCACCTGTCCCATCTCACCTGTCCATGTCTCACCTGTCCATGTCTCACCTGTCCCATCTCACCTGTCCATGTCTCACCTGTCCCATCTCACCTGTCCCATCTCACCTGTCCCATCTCACCTGTCCCATCTCACCTGTCCATGTCTCACCTGTCCCATCTCACCTGTCCATGTCTCACCTGTCCATGTCTCACCTGTCCCATCTCACCTGTCCATGTCTCACCTGTCCATGTCTCACCTGTCCCATCTCACCTGTCCCATCTCACCTGTCCATGTCTCACCTGTCCATGTCTCACCTGTCCCCATCTCACCTGTCCATGTCTCACCTGTCCCATCTCACCTGTCCATGTTTCACCTGTCCCATCTCACCTGTCCCATCTCACCTGTCCATGTCCCACCTGTCCATGTCTCACCTGTCCATGTCTCACCTGTCCCATCTCACCTGTCCCATCTCACCTGTCCATGTCTCACCTGTCCCATCTCACCTGTCCATGTCTCACCTGTCCATGTCTCACCTGTCCATGTCTCACCTGTCCCATCTCACCTGTCCCATCTCACCTGTCCATGTCTCACCTGTCCATGTCTCACCTGTCCCATCTCACCTGTCCATGTCTCACCTGTCCCATCTCACCTGTCCCATCTCACCTGTCCATGTCTCACCTGTCCCATCTCACCTGTCCATGTCTCACCTGTCCATGTCTCACCTGTCCATGTCTCACCTGTCCCATCTCACCTGTCCATGTCTCATCTGTCCCATCTCACCTGTCCATGTCTCACCTGTCCCATCTCACCTGTCCATGTCTCACCTGTCCATGTCTCACCTGTCCCATCTCACCTGTCCATGTCTCACCTGTCCATGTCTCACCTGTCCCATCTCACCTGTCCATGTCTCACCTGTCCATCTCTCACCTGTCCATGTCTCACCTGTCCATGTCTCACCTGTCCATGTCTCACCTGTCCCATCTCACCTGTCCATGTCTCACCTGTCCCGTCTCACCTGTCCATGTCTCACCTGTCCCATCTCACCTGTCTCATCTCACCTGTCCCATCTCACCTGTCCATGTCTCACCTGTCCCATCTCACCTGTCCCATCTCACCTGTCCATGTCTCACCTGTCCCATCTCACCTGTCCCATCTCACCTGTCTCATCTCACCTGTCCCATCTCACCTGTCCATGTCTCACCTGTCCCAGGTGTGTCTCACCTGTCTCACCTGTCCCATCTCACCTGTCTCATCTCACCTGTCCCATCTCACCTGTCCATGTCTCACCTGTCCCACCTCACCTGTCCCACCTCACCTGTCCCACCTGTCCCCTCAGGCCCCTCACCTGCGCTGCCCTCGGGCCCTTCGGGGCTCACCTGGGCACCCCCACGGCCGTTTCGGTGCCAGCCTGGCTCACCTGTCCCACCTGGACGGGCTCACCTGTCCCCAGGTGGCCGTGGGGGCACCTCTGGAGGACGACGGGCACGGAGCCGTTTACCTGTTCAGGGGCGCACCTGGCGGGCACCTGGGGGAGGTGGTGCAGGTGAGTGGGGCACACCTGGGCACACCTGGGCACACCTGGGCACACCTGGGGGGGCACCTGGGGGTACCTGGGCACACCTGGGCACACCTGGGGGCACCTGGGGGCACCTGGGGAAGGTGAGGGCTCACCTGGGCACACCTGGGCACACCTGGGGGTGGTTAGGGGCACCTGGGGGGCACCTGGGGGAGGTGGTGCAGGTGAGTGGGGCACACCTGGGCACACCTGGGGGCACCTGGGCACACCTGGGGGTACCTGGGGGCACCTGGGGCAGGTGGCACAGGTGAGTGGGGCACACCTGGGGGTACCTGGGCACACCTGGGGGTACCTGGGCACACCTGGGCACACCTGGGCGCACCTGGGGGCACCTGGGGGCACCTGGGGAAGGTGAGGGCTCACCTGGGCACACCTGGGCACACCTGGGGGTGGTTAGGGGCACCTGGGGGGCACCTGGGGGAGGTGGTGCAGGTGAGTGGGGCACACCTGGGCACACCTGGGGGCACCTGGGCACACCTGGGCACACCTGGGGGCACCTGGGGGGCACCTGGGGGCACCTGGGGGGCACCTGGGCACACCTGGGGGAGGTGGCACAGGTGAGTGGGGCACACCTGGGGGCACCTGGGCACACCTGGGGGGCACCTGGGGGGTACCTGGGGGATACCTGGGGCAGGTGAGGGGCACCTGGGGCAGGTGAGAACTCACCTGGGCACACCTGGGGGCACCTGGGACAGGTGAGGGGCACCTGGGGGAGGTGGTGCAGGTGAGTGGGGCACACCTGGGGGGTACCTGGGGGCATCTGAGGGGTACCTGAAGGCACCTGGGGGGTACCTGGGCACACCTGGGCACACCTGGGGGCACCTGGGGGCACCTGGGTGGTGGGACAGGTGAGTGGGGCACACCTGGGGGGCACCTGGGGGCACCTGGGGGCACCTGAGGGCACCTGGGGGCACCTGGGGGGTACCTGGGGGCACCTGGGGGCACCTGGGGGAGGTGGGAACTCACCTGTCTCACCTGGGGTGGTCTTACCTGTCTTGTCTGTGTCTCACCTGTCTCTCACCTGTCCCATCTCACCTGTCCATGTCTCACCTGTCCCATCTCACCTGTCTCACCTGTCTCACCTGTCCCATCTCACCTGTCCCATCTCACCTGTCCATGTCTCACCTGTCCCATCTCACCTGTCCCATCTCACCTGTCCCATCTCACCTGTCCCATCTCACCTGTCCCATCTCACCTGTCCCATCTCACCTGTCCATGTCTCACCTGTCCCATCTCACCTGTCCCATCTCACCTGTCCCATCTCACCTGTCCCATCTCACCTGTCCATGTCTCACCTGTCCCATCTCACCTGTCCCATCTCACCTGTCCATGTCTCACCTGTCCCATCTCACCTGTCCATGTCTCACCTGTCCATGTCTCACCTGTCCCATCTCACCTGTCCCATCTCACCTGTCCATGTCTCACCTGTCCCATCTCACCTGTCCCATCTCACCTGTCCATGTCTCACCTGTCCATGTCTCACCTGTCCCATCTCACCTGTCCATGTCTCACCTGTCCCATCTCACCTGTCCCCTCACCTGTCCCATGTCCCTCACCTGTCCCTGTGTCCCCTGTCCCATCTCACCTGTCCCATGTCCCTCACCTGTCCCTCCCCTGTCCCTCATCTGTCCCCATCTCACCTGTCCCACCTCTCTCACCTGTCCATGTCTCACCTGTCCATGTCTCACCTGTCCATGTCTCACCTGTCCCATCTCACCTGTCCATGTCTCACCTGTCTCACCTGTCCAGCGCATTTCGGGTTCCCGGTTCCCGTCCCAGCCCCAATTTTTCGGCCAATCGCTGAGCGGGGGGCGTGACCTGAGCGGGGATCACCTGCCCGACCTGGCGGTGGGCGCGAGGGACCAGGTGCTGCTGCTCAGGTGAGTCCAGGTGACCCAAAATCCAAAAAAATCCCAAAAAATCCACCCAAAATCCACCCAAAATCCAACAAAATCCCAAAAAATCCACCCAAAATCGCCCAAAATCACCCAAAATCCACCCAGAACTCACCTGGGCCAGGTGCTGCTGCTCAGGTGAGTCCAGGTGACCCCAGACTGCCCAAAATCCAACAAAATTGACCCAAAATCACCCAAAATCCAAAAAAATCAACCCAAAATCAGCCAAAATCCCAAAAAATCCACCCAAAATCCATCAAAATCACCCAAAATCCACCCAAAATCCACCCAGAACTCACCTGGGCCAGGTGCTGCTGCTCAGGTGAGTCCAGGTGACCCCAAACTGCCCAAAATTACGCAAAATCACCCAAAACGGCCCAAAATCCAAAAAAATCCACCCAAAAATCACCCAAAATCCAAAAAAATCCAATAAAATCCACCCAAAATCACCCAAAATCCACCCAGAACTCACCTGGGCCAGGTGCTGCTGCTCAGGTGAGTCCAGGTGACCCCAGGTCACCCAAAACTGCCCAAAATCCACCCAAAATTCAAAAAAATCCACCCAAAATCACCCAAAATCCACCCAGAACTCACCTGGGCCAGGTGCTGCTGCTCAGGTGAGTCCAGGTGACCCCAGGTGACCTAAAATCCACCCAAAATCACCCAAAACTGCCCAAAAATCTGTCCAAAATCCAAAAAAATACACCCAAATCCACCCAAAATCACCCAAAATCCATCTGAAACCACCCAGAACTCACCTGGGCCAGGTGCTGCTGCTCAGGTGAGTCCAGGTGACCCCAAACTGCCCCAAATCACCCAAAATCACCCAAAACTGCCCAAAAATCTGCCCAAAATCCAAAAAAATCCAACAAAATTCACCCAAAATTACCCAAAATCCAACAAAATCCACCCAGAACTCACCTGGGCCAGGTGCTGCTGCTCAGGTGAGTCCAGGTGACCCAAAATCCAAAAAAATCCCAAAAAATCCACCCAAAATCCACCCAAAACTGCCCAAAATCCAACAAAATCACCCAAAAATCCACCCAAAACCACCCAGAACTCACCTGGGCCAGGTGCTGCTGCTCAGGTGAGTCCAGGTGACCCCAAACTGCCCAAAATCCATAAAAATTCACCCAAAATCCACCCAAAATCCCAAAAAATTCACCCAAAATCCACCCAAAATCATCCAAAATCCACCCAAAATCCACCCAGAACTCACCTGGGCCAGGTGCTGCTGCTCAGGTGAATTTTGGGGTGCCCAGGTGAGTTTTTGGGGTGCCCAGGTGAGTTTTTGGGGTGCCCAGGTGAATTTTGGGGTCCATTTTAGGCTGCCCAGGTGAGTTTTGGGGTGCCCAGGTGAGTTTTAGGGTGAATTTTGGGGTGCCCAGGTGAGTTTTTGGGGTGCCCAGGTGAGTTTTTTGGTGTCCCCAGGTGAGTTTTTGGGGTGCCCAGGTGAGTTTTAGGGTGAATTTTGGGGTGCCCAGGTGAGTTTTTGGGGTGCCCAGGTGAGTTTTGGGATGTATTTTGGGGTCCCCAGGTGAGTTTTTGGGGTTCCCAGGTGAGTTTTGGGGTGCCCAGGTGAATTTTGGGGTGAGTTTTGGGGTGCCCAGGTGAGTTTTTGGGGTGCCCAGGTGCATTTTTTGGGTTCCCAGGTGAGTTTTTGGGTGCCCAGGTGAGTTTTGGGCTGAATTTTGGGGTGCCCAGGTGAGTTTTGGGGTGAATTTTGGGGTGAATTTTGGGGTGAATTTTGGGGTGAATTTTGGGTGAATTTTGGGTGAATTTTGGGGTGCCCAGGTGAATTTTGGGGTGAATTTTGGGTGAATTTTGGGTGAATTTTGGGTGAATTTTGGGGTGAATTTTGGGTGAATTTTGGGTGAATTTTGGGGTGAATTTTGGGGTGAATTTTGGGGTGAATTTTGGGTGAATTTTGGGTGAATTTTGGGGTGCCCAGGTGAGTTTTGGGGTGAATTTTGGGGTGAATTTTGGGTGAATTTTGGGGTGCCCAGGTGAGTTTTGGGGTGAATTTTGGGTGAATTTTGGGTGAATTTTGGGTGAATTTGGGGTGAATTTGAGGTGAATTTTGGGGTGAATTTTGGGGTGAATTTTGGGTGAATTTTGGGGTGAATTTTGGGTGAATTTTGGGGTGAATTTTGGGGTGAATTTTGGGTGAATTTTGGGGTGCCCAGGTGAATTTTGGGTGAATTTTGGGGTGAATTTTGGGGTGAATTTTGGGGTGAATTTTGGGTGAGTTTTGGGGTGAATTTTGGGTGAATTTTGGGTGAATTTTGGGGTGAATTTTGGGTGAATTTTGGGTGAATTTTGGGTGAATTTTGGGTGAATTTTGGGGTGAATTTGGGGTGAATTTTGGGTGAATTTTGGGTGAATTTTGGGTGAGTTTTGGGCGAATTTTGGGGTGAATTTTGGGTGAATTTTGGGGTGAATTTTGGGGTGAATTTTGGGGTGAATTTTGGGTGAATTTTGGGTGAATTTTGGGGTGCCCAGGTGAATTTTGGGGTGCCCAGGTGAGTTTTGGGTGAATTTTGGGTGAATTTTGGGTGAATTTTGGGGTGAATTTTGGGTGAATTTTGGGGTGAATTTTGGGTGAATTTTGGGGTGCCCAGGTGAATTTTGGGGTGAATTTGTGTGAATTTTGGGGTGAATTTTGGGTGAATTTTGGGGTGAATTTTGGGGTGAATTTTGGGTGAATTTTGGGTGAATTTTGGGTGAATTTTGGGGTGAATTTTGGGGTGAATTTTGGGTGAATTTGGGGTGAATTTTGGGGTGAATTTTGGGGTGAATTTTGGGTGAATTTGGGGTGAATTTTGGGGTGAATTTTGGGTGAATTTGGGGTGAATTTTGGGGTGAATTTTGGGGTAATTTGGGGTGAATTTGGGGTGAATTTGGGGTGAATTTTGGGGTGAATTTTGGGTGAATTTTGGGGTGAATTTTGGGTGAATTTTGGGGTGAATTTTGGGTGAATTTTGGGTGAATTTTGGGTGAATTTTGGGTGAATTTTGGGGTGAATTTTGGGGTGAATTTTGGGTGAATTTTGGGTGAATTTTGGGGTGCCCAGGTGAATTTTGGGTGAATTTTGGGGTGAATTTTGGGGTGAATTTTGGGGTGAATTTTGGGTGAATTTTGGGTGAATTTTGGGTGAATTTTGGTGAATTTTGGGTGATTTTTGTTGATTTTGGGGTGAATTTGGGGTGAATTTTGGGTGAATTTTGGGTGAATTTTGGGTGAATTTTAGGTGAATTTTGGGTGAATTTTGGGTGAATTTTGGGTGAATTTTGGGTGAATTTTGGGTGAATTTTAGGGTGAATTTTGGGTGAATTTTGGGTGAATTTTGGGTGAATTTTGGGGTGAATTTTTGGGTGAATTTTGGGTGAATTTGGGTGAATTTTGGGTGAATTTTGGGGTGAATTTTGGGGTGCCCAGGTGAGTTTTGGGGTGAATTTTGGGGTGAATTTTGGGTGAATTTTGGGTGAATTTTGGGTGAATTTTGGGGTGAATTTTGGGTGAATTTTGGGGTGAATTTTGGGGTGCCCAGGTGAATTTTGGGGTGAATTTTGGGTGAATTTTGGGGTGAATTTTGGGTGAATTTTGGGTGAATTTTGGGTGAATTTTGGGGTGCCCAGGTGAATTTTGGGTGAATTTTGGGGTGAATTTTGGGGTGAATTTGGGGTGATTTTTGGGTATTTTTGGGGTGAATTTGGGGTGATTTTGGGGTGAATTTTGGGGTGAATTTTGGGTGAATTTTGGGGTGAATTTTGGGTGGATTTTGGGTGAATTTGGGGTGAATTTTGGGTGAATTTTGGGGTGAATTTTGGGGTGAAATTTTGGGGTGAATTTTGGGTGAATTTTGGGGTGCCCAGGTGAATTTTGGGTGAATTTTGGGTGAATTTGGGGTGAATTTTGGGGTGAGTTTTGGGGTGAATTTTGGGTGAATTTTGGGGTGAATTTTGGGTGAATTTTGGGTGAATTTTGGGGTGAATTTTGGGTGAATTTTGGGGTGCTCAGGTGAATTTTGGGTGAATTTTGGGTGAATTTTGGGTGAATTTTGGGTGAATTTTGGGTGAATTTTGGGGTGCCCAGGTGAATTTTGGGGTGAATTTTGGGTGAATTTTGGGGTGAATTTTGGGGTGAATTTTGGGGATTTTTGGGGTGAATTTTGTGTGAATTTTGGGTGAATTTTGGGTGAATTTTGGGTGAATTTTGGGGTGCCCAGGTGAGTTTTGGGGTGAATTTTGGGTGAATTTGGGGTGAATTTTGGGGTGAATTTTGGGGTGAATTTTGGGTGAATTTTGGGGTGAATTTTGGGGTGAATTTTGGGTGAATTTTGGGGTGAATTTTGGGTGAATTTGGGTGAATTTTGGGTGAATTTGGGTGATTTTGGGTGAATTTTGGGTGAATTTTGGGGTGCCCAGGTGAGTTTTGGGGTGAATTTTGGGTGAATTTGGGGTGAATTTTGGGTGAATTTGGGTGAATTTTGGGGTGAATTTTGGGTGAATTTGGGGTGACTTTGGGGTGAATTTGAGGGGGATTTTTGGGGTGAATTTTGGGTGAATTTTGGGTGAATTTGGGGTGAATTTTGGGTGAATTTGGGTGAATTTTGGGTGAATTTTGGGTGAATTTTGGGGTGAATTTTGGGTGAATTTGGGGTGAATTTTGGGTGAATTTGGGGTGAATTTTGGGGTGAATTTTGGGTGAATTTTGGGGTGAATTTTGGGGTGAATTTTGGGTGAATTTTGGGGTGAATTTTGGGTGAATTTTGGGTGAATTTTGGGGTGAATTTTGGGTGAATTTTGGGGTGAATTTTGGGTGAATTTTGGGGTGAATTTTGGGTGAATTTTGGGTGAATTTTGGGTGAATTTGGGGTGAATTTTGGGTGAATTTTGGGTGAATTTTGGGGTGAATTTTGGGTGAATTTTGGGTGAATTTGGGGTGAATTTTGGGGTGAATTTTGGGTGAATTTTGGGGTGAATTTTGGGTGAATTTTGGGTGAATTTTGGGTGAATTTTGGGGTGAATTTTGGGCGAATTTGGGGTGAATTTTGGGGTGAATTTTGGGTGAATTTTGGGTGTATTTTGGTTGAATTTTGGGGTGAATTTTGGGGTGAATTTGTGTGAATTTTGGGGTGAATTTTGGGTGAATTTTGGGGTGAATTTTGGGTGAATTTTGGGGTGAATTTTGGGTGAATTTTGGGGTGAATTTTGGGTGAATTTTGGGGTGAATTTTGGGTGAATTTTGGGTGAATTTTGGGGTGAATTTGGGTGAATTTTGGGTGAATTTTGGGTGAATTTTGGGGTGAATTTTGGGTGAATTTGGGGTGAATTTTGGGTGAATTTTGGGTGAATTTTGGGTGAATTTTGGGTGAATTTTGGGGTGAATTTTGGGGTGCCCAGGTGAGTTTTTGGGGTGAATTTTGGGTGAATTTTGGGTGAATTTTGGGTGAATTTTGGGGTGAATTTTGGGTGAATTTTGGGGTGAATTTTGGGGTGAATTTTGGGGTGAATTTTGGGGTGCCCAGGTGAATTTTGGGGTGAATTTTGGGTGAATTTTGGGTGAATTTTGGGGTGCCCAGGTGAAATTTGGGTGAATTTTGGGGTGAATTTTGGGGTGAGTTTTGGGGTGAATTTTGGGTGAATTTTGGGTGAATTTGGGGTGAATTTTGGGGTGAATTTTGGGGTGAATTTTGGGTGAATTTTGGGTGAATTTTGGGTGAATTTTGGGTGAATTTTGGGGTGCCCACAGGTCGCCGCCGCTGCTCCAGGTGCGTCTCAGCGTCACCTTTGAGCCTCAGGTGATCCCGGCCCGGGAGTGCCCCGAGGGGGCGGAGCTTCGGGAGCCGCTGGGCGTGGCCCAGGTGTGCTTCAACCTCAGCAAAGCCTCACCTGACACCTTCGGTGAGACCCCAAAACCCCAAAATCCACACCTGAACCCCAAAATCCACACCTGAGCCCCAAAATTCTCACCTGAACCCCAAAATCCCACCCCAAACCTCACCTGAGCCCCCCGTGGGCGTGGCCCAGGTGTGCTTCAACCTCAGCAAAGCCTCACCTGACACCTTCGGTGAGACCCCAAAACCCCAAAAATCCTCAGGTGTTCCCCAAAATCCTCACCTGAACCCCAAAAATCCTCACCTGACCCCCAAAAATCCACACCTGAACCCCGAAATCCTCACCTGAACCTCACCTGAACCCCAAAATCCCACCCCAAACCTCACCTGAACCCCAAAATCTGTACCTGGAGACCCCAAATTCCTCCCAAAATCCCCCAAATTCCCCAAAATTCCTAAATTACCCCAAATTTCCCCTAATTTTCCCTAATTTTTCACAATTTTCCCCAATTTTTCCAATTTCCCCCAATTTTCCTCCAATATCTCCCCAAAATTCCCCATTTTTCCCAAATTTTCCCCAAAATCCCCAATTTCCCCCAAATTATCCCAATTTCCCCCAATTCCCCCAAATGTTCAAATTTTCCCCCAATTTTACTCAAATTCCCCCAAATTTCCCAATTTCCCCAATTTCCCCCAATTTTCCTCCAATTTCCCCCAAAATTCCCCATTTTTTCCCCAAACTTCCCCGAATTTACCCCCAAATTTCCATTTTTCCTCCTTTTCCCAAATGCCCATTTTCCCCATTTTCCCAAATTCCCATTTTTCATCATCCCCGTTATTTTCCCTCCTTTTCCCGAATTCCCATTATTTTCCAAAATTCCCGTTTCCCCCCTTTTCCCGAATTCCCATTTTTCCACCCTTTCCCAAATTCCCATTTTCCCCCATTTTCCCAAATTCCCGTTATTTTCCCCATTTTCCCAAATTCCCGTTTATCCCCATTTTCCCATATTTCCCCATTTTTTCCCGAATTCCCGTTTTTTCCCAAATTCCCGTTATTTTCCCAAATTCCCATTTTCCCAAATTCCCATTATTTTTCCCCCTTTTCCCCAATTCCCTTTTTTTCCCCCTTTTCCCAAATTCCCATTTTTTCCCAAATTCCCGTTTTTCCCATTATTTTCCCGTTATTTTCCCAAATTCCCAAATTCCCATTATTTTTTCCCAAATTCCCGTTATTTCCCAAACTCCCATTTTTTCCCAAATTCCCGTTTTTTCCCAAATCCCCATTATTTCCCATTTTCCCAAATTCCCATTTTCCCAAATTCCCATTATTTTTTCCCAAATTCCCGTTTTTTCCCAAATTCCCATTATTTCCCCATTTTCCCAAATTCCCATTTTCCCAAATTCCCTTTTTTTCCCCCTTTTCCCAAATTCCCGTTTTTCCCATTTTTTCCCATTTTTTCCCAAATTCCCTTTTTTCCCATTTTTTCCCAAATTCCCATTTTTTTCCCAAATTCCCATTTTTCCCCAAATTCCCGTTTTTTTCCCATTTTTTCCCAAATTCCCATTTTTTCCCAAATTCCCATTTTTCCCCCTTTTCCCAAATTCCCGTTTATTTTCCCAAATTCCCATTATTTTTTCCCAAATTCCCATTATTTTCCCCCATTTTCCCAAATTCCCATTTTCCCCCATTTTCCCAAATTCCCTTTTTTTTCCCCCCTTTTTCCCAAATTCCCATTATTTTTTCCCAAATTCCCATTTTCCCAAATTCCCATTATTTTCCCCATTTTTCCCAAATCCCCTTTTTTTTCCCCATTTTCCCAAATTCCCATTATTTTTCCCCAAATTCCCGTTTTTTCCCAAATTCCCGTTTTTTCCCCATTTTTTCCCAAATTCCCATTATTTTTTCCCAAATTCCCCTTATTTCCCCCATTTTCCCAAATTCCCGTTATTTTCCCCCATTTTCCCAAATTCCCATTTTCCCGAATTCCCATTTTCCCAAATTCCCGTTATTTTCCCAAATTCCCGTTATTTCCCCAAATTCCCGTTATTTTCCCAAATTCCCATTTTCCCCCTTTTCCCAAATTCCCGTTATTTTCCCAAATTCCCAAATTCCCCCCATTTTCCCAAATTCCCATTTTTCCCCATTTTCCCAAATTCCCATTTTTCCCCTTTCCCCAAATTCCCAAATTCCCAAATTCCCCCTTTTCCCAAATTCTCGTTATTTTCCCATTTTTTCCCAAATTCCCCTTTTTTCCCAAATTCCCATTATTTTTCCCAAATTCCCGGTTTTTTTCCCCGTTCCAGGCTCGGCGCTCTCGGCCCATTTTTTCCCGAATTCCCATTTTTCCCAAATTCCCATTTTTTTCCCCATTTTTTCCCAAATTCCCGTTTTTTGCCCCGTTCCAGGCTCGGCGCTCTCGGCCCATTTTTTCCCGAATTCCCATTTTTCCCAAATTCCCATTATTTTTCCCCAAATCCCCCTTTCCCCAAATTCCCGTTTTTCCCCATTTTTTCCCAAATTCCCGTTTTTACCCAAATTCCCGTTTTTTCCCAAATTCCCATTATTTTTCCCCAAATTCCCATTATTTTTTCCCAAATTCCCGTTTTTTCCCCGTTCCAGGCCCGGCGCTCTCGGCCCGTCTCTGGTTCCGGGCCCGGCTGGATCCCGACCGCGTTCGGCCTCGCGCCGATTTTGGGGCAGAAACGGCCGAAAACGGAACTTTGGTGATGGGGCTCGGCCGCAGCTGCCGCGACCTGCGGCTCTTCCACAGGGTGAGATTTGGGGGGAAAAACGGGGGTTTTGGGAAAATTGGGGAAATCAGGGGAAAATTGGGGGAAAATCAGGGAAAAATTGGTAAAAAATCTGAGAGAAATTGGGGGAAAATCGGGGAAAAAACGGTAAAAAATTGACAAAAATTAGGGGAAAAATCGGTAAAAAATCTGAGAAAAATTTGGGGAAAAGTTGGGGAAAAATCGGTAAAAAGTTGACAAAAATGATAAAAAATCTGAGAAAAATTGGGGGAAAAATCTGAGAAAAAATGGTAAAAAATTGACAAAAATTGGGGGGAAAATCGGGGGAAAATCGGTAAAAAATTGACAAAAATTGGGAGGGAAATTGGTAAAAAATCTCAGTAAAATTGGGGGGAAAATTGGGGAAAAAACGGTAAAAAAACTGAGAGAAATTGGGGGAAAATCGGGGAAAAATTGGTAAAAAAATCTGAGAAAAATGGGAAAAAAATTGAGAGAAATTGGGGGGAAAATCCGGGAAAAATCAGAGAGAAATTGGGGCAAAATTGGGGAAAAAAAATCAGAGAGAAATTGGGGAAAATTGGGGAAAATCGGTAAAAAAACGTGAGAAAAATTGGGGGGAAAATATGGGAAAAATTGGTAAAAAATTGACAAAAATTGGGGGGAAAATTGGGAAAAAATCTGAGAAAAATTGGGGGAAAATCGGGGAAAATCGGTAAAAAAACTGAGAAAAATTGGGGGAAAATTGGTAAAAAATTGACAAAAATTGGGGGGAAAATAGGGGGAAATTGGTAAAAAAATCTGAGAAAATCAGTAAAAAATCTGAGAAAAATGGTAAAAAATCTGAGAAAAATTGGGGGAAAATAAGGGAAAAATCGGTAAAAAATTGAGAAAAATCAGTAAAAAATCTGAGAGAAATTGGGGGGAAAATATGGGAAAAATCGGTAAAAAATTGACAAAAGTCGGTAAAAAATCTGAGAGAAATTGGGGAAATTTGGGGAAAAATTGGTAAAAAATTGGGGGGAAAATCGGGGAAAAATCTGAGAAAAATTGAGGGGAAAATTGGGGAAAAATCGGTAAAAAATCCAAGAAAAAATGGGGGGAAATCGGGGACAAATTGGTAAAAAATCTGAGAGAAATTGGGGGAAAAATCGGGGAAAATCGGTAAAAAAAATCTGAGAAAAATTGGTAAAAAATCCGAGAGAAATCGGGGAAGAATTGGTAAAAAATTGACAAAAATTGGGGGAAATCGGGGAAAAGTCTGAGAGAAATTGGGGGAAAATCGGGGGAAAATTGGTAAAAAATTGACAAAAATTGGGGGAAAATCAGGGGAAAATTGGTTAAAAATCCGAGAAAAATTGGGGTGAAAATTGGGGGAAAATCTGAGAAAAATTGGGGGAAAAATCTGAGAGAAATTGGGGAAAAATCGGGGAAAAATCGGTAAAAAACGTGAGAAAAATTGGGGGGAAAATAGGGGGAAAATCGGTAAAAAGTTGACAAAAATCAGTAAAAAATCTGAGAGAAATTGGGGAAATTTGGGGAAAAATTGGTAAAAAATTGGGGGGAAAATCGGGGAAAAATCTGAGAAAAATTGAGGGGAAAATTGGGGAAAAATCGGTAAAAAATCCAAGAAAAATTGGGGGGAAATTGGGGAAAAATCGGAGAGAAATCGTAAAAAATCTGAGAAAAATTGCAGGAAAATTGGGGGAAAATCAGTAAAAAATCTGAGAAAAATTGGGGGAAAATTGGGGAAAAAATGGTAAGAAATCTGAGAGAAATTGGGGGTAAATCGGGGAAAAAACGGTAAAAAATTGGAGGGAAATCGGGGAAAAAATGGTAAAAAATCTGAGAAAAATTGGGGGAAAATTGGGGGAAAATTGGTAAAAAATCTGATAAAAATTGGTTAAAAATCAGAGAAAAATTGGGGGGAAATCGGTAAAAAAATCTGAGAAAAATTGGTAAAAAAATCTGAGAGAAATTGGGGAAAATTGGGGAAAATAGGTAAAAAAACTGAGAGAAATTGGGGGGAAAATTGGGGGAAAATCTGAGAAAAATTGGGGGAAAATCGGTAAAAAATTGTCAAAAATTGGGGGGAAAATTGGGGGAAATTGGTAAAAAAATCTGAGAAAATCAGTAAAAAATCTGAGAAAAATTGTGGGAAAATCAGGGAAAAATCGGGAAAAAATTGACAAAAATTGGGGGAAAATAAGGGAAAATCTGAGAGAAATTGGGGGGAAATCCAGCAAAAATCGGTAAAAAATTGACAAAAATTGTTAAAAAATCGGAGAGAAATTGGGGGAAAATCGGGGGAAATTGGTAAAAAATATGAGAAAAATTGGGGGCAAAATAGGGGAAAAATCAGGGGAAAAATCAGAGAAAAGTTGGGGGGATTTGGGGAAAAATTGGTAAAAAATCTGGAAAAATTTGGGGGGAAATTGGCGGAAAATTGGGGAAAAATTGGGGGAAAAATCTGAGAGAAATTGGGGGGATTTGGGGAAAAATTGGTAAAAAATTGACAAAAATTGGGGGGAAAGTCAGGAAAAATCTGAGAGAAATTGGGGAAAATTGGTAAAAAAAACAAGAAAAATTGGGGGAAAATTGGGGAAAAATCGGTAAAAAATCCGAGAAAAATTGGGGGAAAAATTGGGGAAAAATTGGGGAATTTTGGGAGAATTCCCAGGAAAATTTGGGTGAATTTTTGGGTTAAATTTGGGAATTTTTGGGGTCCAGGGGTGCCCCCAGGACACGATGACCCCGGGGGTGAATTTTTGGGGTGAATTTGGGTGATTTTGGTTCAATTTGGGGTTCAGGGGTGCCCCCAGGACACGCTGAGCCCGGGGGTGAATTTTTGGGGTAAATTTGGGGTTTTTTGGTTAAATTTGGGAATTTTTGGGGTCCAGGGGTGCCCCCAGGACACGATGACCCGGGGGGTGAATTTTTGGGGTAAATTTGGGGTTTTTTGGTTAAATTTGGGAATTTTTGGGGTCCAGGGGTGCCCCCAGGACACGCTGACCCCGGGGGTGAATTTTTGGGGTGAATTTGGGTGATTTTGGTTAATTTTGGGGTTCAGGGGTGCCCCCAGGACACGATGACCCCCCTGACCTGGGGGTGAATTTTTGGGGTGAATTTGGGTGATTTTGGTTAATTTTGGGGTTCAGGGGTGCCCCCAGGACACGCTGAGCCCGGGGGTGAATTTTTGGGGTGAATTTGGGTGATTTTGGTTCATTTTGGGGTTCAGGGGTGCCCCCAGGACACGCTGAGCCCGGGGGTGAATTTTTGGGGTGAATTTGGGTGATTTTGGTCAATTTTGGGGTTCAGGGGTGCCCCCAGGACACGCTGAGCCCGGGGGTGAATTTTTGGGGTGAATTTGGGTGATTTTGGTCAATTTTGGGGTTCAGGGGTGCCCCCAGGACACGATGACCCCCCTGACCCCGGGGGTGAATTTTTGGGGTAAATTTGGGGTTTTTTGGTTAAATTTGGGAATTTTTGGGGTTCAGGGGTGCCCCCAGGACACGCTGACCCCGGGGGTGAATTTTTGGGGTGAATTTGGGTGATTTTGGTCAATTTTGGGGTCCAGGGGTGCCCCCAGGACACGCTGACCCGGGGGGTGAATTTTTGGGGTAAATTTGGGGTTTTTTGGTTAAATTTGGGAATTTTTGGGGTCCAGGGGTGCCCCCAGGACACGATGACCCTGGGGGTGAATTTTTGGGGTGAATTTGGGTGATTTTGGTTAATTTTGGGGTCCAGGGGTGCCCCCAGGACACGCTGACCCTGGGGGTGAATTTTTGGGTTGAATTTGGGTGATTTTGGTTAATTTGGGGTTCAGGGGTGCCCCCAGGACACGCTGAGCCCGGGGGTGAATTTTTGGGGTGAATTTGGGTGATTTTGGTTAATTTTGGGGTTCAGGGGTGCCCCCAGGACACGATGACTCCCCTGACCCCGGGGTGAATTTTTGGGGTGAATTTGGGTGATTTTGGTTCATTTTGGGGTTCAGGGGTGCCCCCAGGACACGCTGAGCCCGGGGGGTGAATTTTTGGGGTGAATTTGGCACATTTTGGTTAAATTTGGGAATTTTTGGGGTTCAGGGGTGCCCCCAGGACACGCTGAGCCCGGGGGTGAATTTTTGGGGTGAATTTGGGTGATTTTGGTTAAATTTGGGGTCCAGGGGTGCCCCCAGGACACGCTGAGCCCGGGGGTGAATTTTTGGGGTGAATTTGGGTGATTTTGGTTAATTTTGGGGTCCAGGGGTGCCCCCAGGACACGATGAGCCCGGGGTGAATTTTTGGGGTGAATTTGGGATTTTTTGGTTAAATTTGGGAATTTTTGGGGTTCAGGGGTGCCCCCAGGACACGCTGACCCCGGGGGTGAATTTTTGGGGTGAATTTGGGATTTTTTGGTTAAATTTGGTTAATTTTGGGGTTCAGGGGTGCCCCCAGGACACGCTGAGCCCGGGGGTGAATTTTTGGGGTGAATTTGGGTGATTTTGGTATTTTTGGGGTCCAGGGGTGCCCCCAGGACACGCTGAGCCCGGGGGTGAATTTTTGGGGTGAATTTGGGGTTTTTTGGTTAAATTTGGGAATTTTTGGGGTTCAGGGGTGCCCCCAGGACACGCTGACCCCAGGGGTGAATTTTTGGGGTGAATTTGGGTGATTTTGGTTAATTTTGGGGTTCAGGGGTGCCCCCAGGACACGCTGAGCCCGGGGGTGAATTTTTGGGGTGAATTTGGGTGATTTTGGTTAATTTTGGGGTTCAGGGGTGCCCCCAGGACACGCTGAGCCCGGGGGTGAATTTTTGGGGTGAATTTGGGTGATTTTGGTTAATTTTGGGGTCCAGGGGTGCCCCCAGGACACGATGACCCCCCTGACCCTCCGCGTGACCTTTGGGGGTCGTGGGGACCCCCTGGGGGGCTCCGGGGGGCTCCGACCCCAAATCGGCCCCGGATCCGACACCCAGCTGAGCGCAACGGTGGGAATTGGGGCGAATTCCGGGGAAATTGGGAAAATCGGGGAAAATCGGGATTCTCGGGGGGTTTGGGAATTGGGGAATTGGGGGGAATTGGGAAATTTGGGAATTCTGGGGAAATTGGGAAAATCAGGGATTGGGGAAATCAGGAATTGGGGGGGATTGGGGAACTGGGGGAATTGGGGCGAATTCCGGGGAAATCGGGAAAATTGGGAATTCTGGGGGGTTGGGAATTGGGGAAAATTGGGAATTCCGGGGGAATTGGGAATTCTGGGGGGTTTGGGAAATTGGGGAAAATTGGGAATTGGGGGGAATTGGGGAAAAAATGGGGGGGATTGGGGGGAATTCTGGGAAAATTGGGAAAATCAGGGAAAATTGGGAATTCTGGGGGGTTGGGAATTGGGGAATTGGGGGATTGGGAAATTGGGAATTCCGGGGAAATCGGGAAAATTGGGGAAAATCGGGAATTTTGGGGGGATTGGGGAATTGGGGGGATTGGGGGGAATTGGGGCAAAAGTGGGGGGGATTGGGGAAATTGGGAATTGGGGGATTGAGAAAATCTGGGAAAATCGGGAATTCCGGGGGGATTGGGAAAATTGGGGATTGGGGAAATCGGGAAATTGGGAAAATTGGGGAAATTGGGAATTGGGGATTGGGGGGAATTCCAGAGGAATTGGGAAAATTGGGGATTGGGGAAAATTGGGGCGAATTCCAGGGGAATTGGGGGGAATTAGGGAAATTGGGAAAATTGGGGAAAATTGGGAATTGGGGGGGAGAAATGGGAAAATCGGGATTGGGGAAATTGGGGGGAATTCCGGGGAAATTGGGAAAATTGGGAATTGGGGAAATTGGGAAAATTGGGGATTATGGGGGGTTGGGAAAATTGGGAAATTGGGGGGAATCGGGAATTGGGGGGATTGGGAATTGGGGAAAATTGGGAATTGGGGAATTCCGGGGAAATTGGGAAAATTGGGAATTGGGGGGAAATTGGGAAAGTTGGGGAAATTGGGGAAGTTGGGGACAATTCGGAGGGTTTTGGGAAAATCAGGAAATTGGGGAAATTGGAGAAATATGGGAAATTCGGGGGGGGTTGGGGGAAATTGGGAAAATTGGGAAAATTGGGGAAAATTAGAGAAAATTGGTGAAAAATCGGAGAAAATTGGGGGGATTGGGGAGAAATTTGAGATAAATTGGAAAAATTGGGGAGTTTGGGGGGATTTTGGAAAAAATTTGGGATTTTGGGAGGGGTTTTGAGGGATTTTTGGGTGGGTTTGGGAAAAATTGGGGATTTTTGGGAGAAAATGGAGATTTTTGGGAGAAAAAAGGGGATTTTGGGGAAATTTGGGGAAATTTTGGGGATTTTTGGGAGATTTTGGGGGGATTTTGGGGGAAATTTTGGGGATTTTTGGGAGATTTTGGGGGTATTTGGGGGAAATTTTGGGGATTTTTGGGAGATTTTGGGGGGATTTTGGGGGAATTTTGGGGGATTTTGGGGAATTTTGGGGAAATTTGGGGAAATTGGGTGGATTTTGGGGGGATTTGGGGAAAATGGGGGGATTTTGGGGAAATTTGGGCAAAAAATTGTGATTTTAGGGGACTTTTGGGTTTTGGGGTGATTTTGGGGGGATTTGGGGGATTTGGGGGGATTTTGGGGTGAAATTTGGGTTTTTGGGGTAATTTCTGTGATTTTGGGGGGAAATTTTGGTTTTTATTTGCCTTTTTTGGGTGTTTTTGGGGTAGTTGGGGTTTTTTTGTTAAATTAATAAATTAATTGATGTTCTTTAATATTGATTTAATTTATTTTTGACCAAAAACTGCCAAATTTGCCCCAAAATCGTTGGCAGCTGCCGTTCGAGCACGACTGCGGCACCGACAACGTCTGCCAGGACCAGCTGCAGGTGCAGCTGAACTTCTCCGGGTCAGGATTTGGGGCAAAAACGGGAAATTTTGGGAAAAAATGGGGGGGAAAATTGGGGGGAAAATCGGGAAAAAATTGGGGAAAATTTGGGGAAAATGGGGAAAATTTGGAAAAAATTGGGGGGAAATTGAGGAAATTTGGGGAAAAATTGGGGAAATATCGGGGGAAAAATGGGGGAAAAAATTGGGAAAATTTGGGGAAAAATGAGGGGGAAATTTGGGAGAATTGGGGGGAATAATTGGGGGAAAATCGGGAAAAAATTGGGGGGAAATTGGGAAAAAATTGGGGGGAAATCGGGAAAAAATGTGGAAAAAAAATGGGGAAATTTGGGAAAAAATGGGGGGAAAATTGGGGGGAAAACAGGGAAAAAATTAGGGGGAAATCGGGAAAAAATTGGGAAAAAATTGGGGAAATTTTGGGGAAAAATAGGGGAAAAATCGGGGAAAAAATTGGGGGGAAAAATTGGGAAAATTTGGGGAAAAAATGAGGGGGAAATTTGGGAGAATTGGGGAAATAATTGGGGAAAAATTGGGATAAAATTGGGAAAAAATGGGGGGAAATTTGGGAAATAATTGGGGGAAAAATTGGGATAAAATTGGGGGAAAATTGGGGGGAGAATTTGGGTAAAATCTGGGGGGAAATCGAGGCTGAGTTATTTTTATTTTTGGGCTATTTCCAGGCTAATTTTTGGCTATTTTGGGGTGTTTTTTTTGTATTTCGGGGCTTGTTTTGGGTGGGGTTTTTTTGTTTTGTTTTTTTGGGCAATTTCTGAGCTATTTTTTAGGTACTTTGGGGTTTTGATTTTGGTATTTTGTTTTGGGGTTTTTTTGGGTGTGGTTTTTTGTGGGGTTTTTTTTTGTGGGTTTTTTTTTTGTCAATTTCTGGGCCATTTTCCAATTTTTTTTCTTTTGGGCTTTTGTTTCTGTTTTTGTTTTGGGTTGGTTTTTTTTCCCAATTTCTGGGCTATTTCCCGAATTTTTTTGTTTGTTTGTTTTGGGGTTTTGTTTTGTTTTGTTTTTGTGGTTTTGTTTTGTTTTATTTGTTTTTTGTTTTGTGTTGTTTGATTTTGTCGGGGTTTTTTTTGTGTTTTGTTTTGTTTTGTTTTGTTTTTTGTTGTGTTTTTTTCTGATTTCCAGGCTATTTCCCGAATTGTTTTTTGGGGTTTTTTAGTTTGTTTTTTTCCAATTTCTGGGCCATTTCCCGAATTCTTTTGGGAGTTTTTTTTTTGTTTTGTTTGTTTGTTTGTTTGTTTCCTATTTCTGGGCCATTTCCTGAACTCTTTTTGGTTTTTTTGTTGTTTGTTTGGGTTTTTTTTTTTTGGTTTTTTTTGTTTTTGCCGATTTCCGGGCCATTTCCCAAATTGTTTTTGGGGTTTTTTGGGGTTTTTTTGTTTGGTTTTTTGGTTGTTTTTGTTTTTGTTTTTGTTTTTGTTTTTGTTTTTGTTTTTGTTTTTGTTTTTGTTTTTGTTTTTGTTTTGTTTTGTTTTGTTTTGTTTTTGTTTGTTTTTCCCAATTCCCGGGCCATTTTCCAAATTGTTTTTGGGTTTTTTTTTTTTGTTTGGTTTTTTTTTTGGTTTTTTTTTTTTTTTTTGGGGTTTTTTGTTTTGTTTTGGTTTGGTTTTGGGTTTTTTTGGGGTTTTTTCTTGTTTTGTTTTGGTTTTGTTTGTTTTTTTCCTATTTCCGGGCCATTTCCCGAATTGTTTTTGGGTTTTTTTTGGGGTTTTTTGTTTGTTTTTTTTTGTTGTAGGTTTGGGGTTTTTTTTTGTTTTTGGGTGGTTTTTTTTTTTTTTTTTCCGATTTCCAGGCCATTTCCCGAATTATTTTTGGTTTTTTTTTTAGTTTTTCTCCAATTTCTGGGCCATTTCCCAAATTGGTTTTGGGTTTTTTTGGGGTTTTTTTGTTTGGGTTTTTTGGGTTTTTTTTTTGGTTTTTTTGGGTTTTTTTTTGGTTTTTTTTTTTTTTTTTTTTTTGTGGTTTTTTTTTTTTTTCCCAATTTCCAGACCATTTCCCGAATTATTTTTATTTTCTCTCCCCCTGCAGTCCGGGCGCGCTGGTGGTGGGCGAGGGCGACGCTCTGGAGCTGCGGCTGCGGCTGCGCAACGCGGGCGAGAGTTCCTTCGGTCCCGGGCTGCTCCTGCGCCACCCGGCCCCGCTCAGCTTCCGCAGGCTGCAGCTGCTGCAGGTGACCCAAAAATACCCCCAAAATACCCCCAAAACCACCCAAAAACAGCCCAAAAACACCCAGAAATCCTGTCCCAAAATAGCACCAAAAAACACCAAAAGCAACCCAAAAACAACCTAAAAACAGCCCCAAAACACACAAAAAATACCTAAAACCAGCCCAAAAACAGCCCAAAACCACCCAGAAATCCCATCCCAAAATAGCACCAAAAAACCCTAAAAACAGCCCAAAACCAGCCCAAAAACACCCCCAAAAAATAACCAAAAACACCCCAAAAAATACCCAAAAACAGCCCAGAAATTACCCAGAAATGCTGTCCCAAAATAGCACCAAAAAACACCTGAAAACAACCCAAAAAATACCCAAAACCAGCCCAAAAACCACCCAAAACCAGCCCAAAAAACACCCCAAAAATTGCCCAGAAACCCCGTCCAAAAAATAGCCAAAACCAGCCCAAAACCAGCCAAAAACTCCCCAGAAACCCCGTCCCAAAATAGCACAAAAAACCCCAAAAATACCTCAAAAATACCAAAAAAATACCCCAAAAAACACCCAAAAAATGCCCCAAAACAGCCAAAAACCACCCAGAAATCCCCCAGAAATCCCATCCCAAAATACCAACAAAAACCACCAAAACTACCCCAAAAAAACCCAAAAAATACCCCAAAACAGCCAAAAAACACCCAAAACCAGCCCAAAAATTACCCAGAAACCCCGTCCCAAAATACCACCAAAATACCCCAAAAATACCCCAAAGCCACCCAAAAATTCCCCCAAAAAACACCCAAAAACACCCAAAAAAACCACCCAAAAACCCTATCCCAAAATACCGCCAAAAACACCCCAAAAAATACCAAAAAAAATACCCCAAAACAGCCCAAAAATCCCCCAGAAATCCCGTCCCAAAATAGCACCAAAAAAACCCAAAAACAACCCAAAAAATACCCAAAAAATACCCCAAACCAGCCCAGAAATCCCCCAGAAATCCTGTCCCAAAATACCACCAAAAAACACCCGAAAACAACCCAAAACCAGCCCAAAACCAGCCAAAAAACACCTAAAAACAGCCCAAAAATACCCAAAATCAGCCCAAAAATTACCCAGAAACCCCATCACAAAATACCATCAAAAACACCAAAAATACCCCAAAAAATAACCAAAAACAGCCCGAAAATACCCCAGAAATCCCATCCCAAAAAAGCACCAAAATACCAAAAAATACAACAAAAAACACCCCAAAACCAGCCAAAAACCACCTAAAAACAGCCCAAAAACCACCCCAAAACAGCCCAAAAAATCCCCAGAAACCCCATCCAAAAATAGCACCAAAAAAACCCCAAAAAACCCAAAACCAGCCCAAAAACACCCAAAAAATACCCCAAAAATACCAAAAAAATACCCCAAACCAGCCCAAAAATTACCCAGAAACCCTGTCCCAAAATACCACCAAAAAACCCAAAAACAGCACAAAAAACACCCCAAAACCAGCCAAAACCAGCCCAAAAACACCCCAAAACACGCAAAAGACCACCCAAAACCACCCCAAAACAGCCCAAAAATACACCCAAAAATTCCCCAGAAATCCCATCCCAAAATAGCACCAAAAAACCCAAAAATACCCAGAAAACCCAAAAAAACCCCCCCCAAAATACCCAAAAATACCCAAAAACAGCCAAAAAATTTCCCAGAAACCCCGTCCCAAAATAGCACCAAAAGTACCCAAAAAATACCCCAAAAACCACTCCAAAATACCCCAAAACCATCCAGAAATGCCCCAGAAATTCCCCGGAAATTCCCCAGAAACTCCGTCCCAAAATCAGACCAAAAAACACCAAAAATACCCCAAAAAACACCCCAAAAAATACCCAAAAACCCCGTCCCAAATACCCCAAAAACACCCAAAAATCCCCAAAAACCAGTATATCCCAGTCCCTCCCAGTCCCTCCCAGTCCCTCCCAGTTCACCCCAGTTCCATCCCAGTATAAACCAGTAACCTCAAACTCCCTCCCAGTCCCTCCCAGTTTGTTCCCAGTTTGTTCCCAGTCCATCCCAGTATATCCCAGTATAACCCAGTTTGTTCCCAGTCCATCCCAGTCCCTCCCAGTCCCTCCCAGTCCCTCCCAGTCCCTCCCAGTCCATCCCAGTCCCTCCCAGTCCCTCCCAGTTCCCTCCCAGTCCCTCCCAGTCCCCTCCCAGTCCATCCCAGTTCATCCCAGTTCCCTCCCAGTTCCCTCCCAGTCCCTCCCAGTCCCCTCCAAGTCCATCCCAGTTCCCTCCCAGTCCATCCCAGTTCATCCCAGTTCCCTCCCAGTTCCCTCCCAGTCCATCCCAGTATAAACCAGTTTGTTCCCAGTCCATCCCAGTCCCTCCCAGTCCCTCCCAGTTTGTTCCCAGTCCATCCCAGTCCCTCCCAGTCCCTCCCAGTCCATCCCAGTTTGTCCCAGTTTGTCCCAGTCCCTCCCAGTCCCTCCCAGTATATCCCAGTACAAACCAATCCATCCCAGTTTGTCCCAGTTCCCTCCCAGTTCATCCCAGTTTGTTCCCAGTCCATCCCAGTCCATCCCAGTCCCTCCCAGTCCCTCCCAGTTCCCACCCAGTCCCTCCCAGTCCATCCCAGTCCCTCCCAGTCCCTCCCAGTCCCTCCCAGTTTGTTCCCAGTCCCTCCCAGTTCCCTCCCAGTTTGTTCCCAGTCCCTCCCAGTCCATCCCAGTTCATCCCAGTTCCCTCCCAGTTCCATCCCAGTCCCTCCCAGTCCCTCCCAGTCCCTCCCAGTTTGTTCCCAGTCCCTCCCAGTCCATCCCAGTTTGTTCCCAGTCCCTCCCAGTCCATCCCAGTTCATCCCAGTTCCCTCCCAGTTCCATCCCAGTCCCTCCCAGTCCCCCCCATTTCCCTCCCAGTCCATCCCAGTCCCTCCCAGTTCCCTTCCAGTGCATCCCAGTATAAACCAGTTTGTTCCCAGTATATCCCAGTCCATCCCAGTCCATCCCAGTTTGTTCCCAGTTCATCCCAGTTCCCTCCCAGTTCCCCCCAGTCCCTCCCAGTCCCTCCCAGTCCCTCCCAGTCCCTCCCAGTACAAACCAGTATCCCCAGTCCCGCTCGGGGTCTCTGCGCTGTCACTCGGAGCCGCCGTCGGGTCGGGATCGGCGCACGCGGTGCCACCTGCAGCCCCCCCTGCTGCGGGGGGGGGGACAGGTGAGTGTCACCTGGGTCACCTGTGTCACCTGTGTCACCTGTGTCACCTGTGTGTGTGTCACACCTGTGTGACGTCATCCATGTCACCTGTGTTACCTGTGTCACACCTGGGTGACGTCATCAGTGTCACCTCTGTGTGTGTTACCTGTGTGATGTCATCGGTGTCACACCTGTGTGATGTCATCAGTGTTACCTGTGAGTGTCACACCTGTGTGACATCATCAGTGTCACACCTGTGCCACCTGCAGCCCCCCCTGCTGCGGGGGGGGGGACAGGTGAGTCTCACATGGGTCACACCTGGGTGATGTCATCGGTGTCACCTGTGTGACATCATCAGTGTTAGCTGTGTGATGTCATCGGTGTTACCTGTGTGATGTCATCAGTGTTACCTGTGTGTGTCACACCTGTGTGACGTCATCGGTGTTACCTGTGTGTGTGTCACACCTGTGTCACCTGCAGCCCCCGCTGCTGCGGGGGGGGGGACAGGTGAGTGTCACCTGGGTCACCTGTGTCACCTGTGTCACCTGTGTCACACCTGGGTGACACCTGTGTCACACCTGTGTCACCTGTGTCACACCTGTGTGATGTCATCAGTGTCACACCTGTGCCACCTGCAGCCCCCCCTGCTGCGGGGGGGCGGACAGGTGAGTCTCACCTGTGTCACACCTGGGTGACACCTGTGTGATGTCATCAGTGTTACCTGTGTGTGTGTCACACCTGTGTGATGTCATCGGTGTCACCTGTGTGTGTCACACCTGTGTGACGTCATCAGTGTTATCTATGTTACCTGTGTCACACCTGGGTGACGTCATCAGTGTCACCTCTGTGTGTGTCACACCTGTGCCAGGTACAGCCCTCGGTGCTGCAGGGGGGGGGGGACAGGTGAGTGTCACCTGGGTCACCTGTGTCACACCTGTGTGACGTCATCCATGTCACCTGTGTGATGTCATCATTGTCACCTGTGTGATGTCATCAGTGTCACACCGGTGCCACCTGCAGCCCCCCCTGCTGCGGGGGGGGGGGGGACAGGTGAGTCTCACCTGGGTGACGTCATCGGTGTCACACCTGTGTGATGTCATCAGTGTCACACCTGTGTTACCTGTGTGATGTCATCGGGGTCACCTGTGTGATGTCATCAGTGTCACCTGTGTGTGTGTCACACCTGTGTGATGTCATCAGTGTCACACCTGTGTGACATCATCGGTGTCACACCTGTGCCACCTGCAGCCCCCGCTGCTGCGGGGGGGGGGGACAGGTGAGTCTCACCTGGGTGACGTCATCGGTGTCACCTGTGTGATGTCATTGGTGTCACCTGTGTCACACCTGTGTGATGTCATCAGTGTTACCTGTGTGACATCATCGGTGTCACCTGTGTGATGTCATTAGTGTTACCTGTGTGACGTCATCCATGTTACCTGTGTGACGTCATGACTGTTACCTGTGAGTGTTACCTGTGAGTGTCACACCTGTGTGATGTCATCGGTGTCACCTGTGTGATGTCATCAGTGTCACACCTGAGTGACGTCATCAGTGTCACACCTGTGTGACGTCATCGGTGTCACACCTGTGTGATGTCATCACTACCAGTGTGTGTTACCTGTGAGTGTCACACCTGTGCCACCTGTCCCATCCCACCTGTCTCACCTGTCTCACCTGTATCTCACCTGTCCCACCTGTCCCTCACCTGTCCCATCTCACCTGTCCCATCTCACCTGTCCCATCTCACCTGTCCATGTCTCACCTGTCCCAGGTGAGTTTCCAGCTCACTCTGGACGTTCCCTCGGACGCTGAACTCGGCGACAGCCTCGAGGTGACAGCCCAGACCACCAGGTGAGACCTGGACAGGTGAGACACACCTGGGACAGGTGAGACATGGACAGGTGAGACATGGACAGGTGAGACATGGACAGGTGAGACAGGTGAGACACACCTGGGACAGGTGAGATGGGACAGGTGAGACATGGACAGGTGAGATGGGACAGGTGAGACATGGACAGGTGAGACACACCTGGGACAGGTGAGATGGGACAGGTGAGACATGGACAGGTGAGATGGGACAGGTGAGATGGGACAGGTGAGACATGGACAGGTGAGATGGGACAGGTGAGATGGGACAGGTGAGATGGGACAGGTGAGATGGGACAGGTGAGACATGGACAGGTGAGATGGGACAGGTGAGATGGGACAGGTGAGATGGGACAGGTGAGATGGGACAGGTGAGACATGGACAGGTGAGATGGGACAGGTGAGACATGGACAGGTGAGACATGGACAGGTGAGACATGGACAGGTGAGATGGGACAGGTGAGATGGGACAGGTGAGACACACCTGGGACAGGTGAGATGGGACAGGTGAGACATGGACAGGTGAGATGGGACAGGTGAGATGGGACAGGTGAGATGGGACAGGTGAGATGGGACAGGTGAGACATGGACAGGTGAGGTGGGACAGGTGAGACATGGACAGGTGAGACATGGACAGGTGAGACATGGACAGGTGAGATGGGACAGGTGAGACATGGACAGGTGAGATGGGACAGGTGAGATGGGACAGGTGAGATGGGACAGGTGAGACATGGACAGGTGAGATGGGACAGGTGAGACATGGACAGGTGAGACATGGACAGGTGAGATGGGACAGGTGAGACATGGACAGGTGAGATGGGACAGGTGAGATGGGACAGGTGAGGTTGGACAGGTGAGATGGGACAGGTGAGGTTGGACAGGTGAGATGGGACAGGTGAGACATGGACAGGTGAGATGGCACAGGTGAGATGGGACAGGTGAGATGGGACAGGTGAGACATGGACAGGTGAGACATGGACAGGTGAGATGGGACAGGTGAGACATGGACAGGTGAGACATGGACAGGTGAGATGGGACAGGTGAGATGGGACAGGTGAGACATGGACAGGTGAGGTGGGACAGGTGAGACGGGACAGGTGAGATGGGACAGGTGAGGGACAGGTGGGACAGGTGAGGAGCTCAGGTGACCTCACCTGCCCCAGGTGACCTCACCACTGTCCCCTCCCCCGCAGTGACAATGGCGGCTCAGGTGGGCGGAGCCAAAGCGTCACCATCACCGTCCCCGTCAGGTACCAGGTGTTCCTGGTGCTGGCCAGGTGAGATGGGGGGGGATGGGGGGGCACACCTGTGGGGGACACACCTGGGGGGGTCACCTGTGTGTGTGTGTCACACCTGTGTGTGTCACACCTGTGTGATGTCATCTGTGTCACACCTGGGGGATTACCTGTGTGTGTTACCTGTGTGTGTGTCACACCTGTGTGATGTCACCTGTGTAATGTCACCTGTGTATGACACACCTGTGGGGGTTACCTGTGTCACACCTGTGTCACACCTGAGGGGTCACACCTGTGTGATGTCACCTGTGTCACACCTGGGGGGTTACCTGTGTGTGTTACCTGTGTGTGACACACCTGTGAGTGTCACCTGTGTGATGTCACCTGTGTGTGTCACACCTGTGGAGGTCACACCTGTGTCACACCTGGGGGGTTACCTGTGTGATGTCACCTGTGTGATGTCACACCTGTGTATGTGTCACACCTGTGTGTGTGTCACACCTGTGGGGGTCACACCTGTGTGATGTCACCTGTGTCACACCTGTGTGTCTCACCTGTCCATATCTCACCTGTCCATGTCTCACCTGTCCATGTCTCACCTGTCCCATCTCACCTGTCCCACCTGTGTGTGTCACACCTGTCCATGTCTCACCTGTCCATGTCTCACCTGTCCATGTCCCACCTGTGTGACCTCACCTGTCCCATCTCACCTGTCCCGCAGCTCTCCCGACTCGACGCGTTACCTGAACATCACCAAGGGTGGGGCCCATCCCCCCACCGCACCCGTCACCCACCACTACCAGGTGAGCTCACCTGTGTGACGTCATCGGTGTCACCTCACCTGTGTGACATCATCCGTGTCACCTGTGTGACATCATCTCTGTCACCTCACCTGTGTGACGTCATCTGTGTCACCTGTGCGACATCACATGTGTCACCTGTGTGACGTCATCTGTGTGACCTCACCTGTGTGACGTCATCTGTGTCACCTGTGTGAAGTCATCTCTGTCACCTCACCTGTGTGACATCATCTGTGTGACGTCATCTCTGTCACCTGTGTGACGTCATCTGTGTCACCTGTGTGACGTCATCTGTGTGACGTCATCTCTGTCACCTGTGTGACGTCATCTGTGTCACCTGTGTGACGTCATCTGTGTGACGTCATATGTGTCACCTGTGTGACATCATCTGTGTGACGTCATATGTGTCACCTGTGTGACATCATCTGTGTCACCTGTGTGACGTCATCGGTGTGACGTCACCTGTCTTGGCTGTGTCACCTCACCTGTGTCACTTCACCTGTATGACGTCATCTGTCTCACCTGTGTGACCTCACCTGTGTGACGTCATCTGTGTCACCTCACCTGTCTCACCTGTGTGACCTCACCTGTGTGATGTCACCTGTCTCACCTGTGTGACATCATATGTGTCACCTGTGTGATGTCACCTATGTCATCTCACCTGTCTCACCTGTGTGATGTCACCTGTCTCACCTGTGTCACTTCACCTGTCTCACTTGTGTGACGTCACCTGTGTCACCTGTGTGACGCCATCTGTGTCACCTCACCTGTCTCACCTGTGTGATGTCACCTGTGTGATCTCACCTGTCCCACCTGTCCATGTCTCACCTGTCCCATCTCACCTGTCCCATCTCACCTGTCCATGTCTCACCTGTCCCATCTCACCTGTCCCATCTCACCTGTCCATGTCTCACCTGTCCCATCTCACCTGTCCATGTCCCACCTGTCCCACCTGTCCCACCTGTCCAGGTGAAGGTTTTGGGCCATCGCGGCGTCGCTGCCGCCGTTTCCTTCCTGGTCCCGTCTCACCTGAGCCCGGAGCCGCTCTGGGAGCACCTGGAGGTCTCACCTGAGCAGGTACCGGCCCCGCCCCAAAATCCCCAAAAATCGCCCCAAAAACGGCCCCAAAAATCGCCCCAAAAATGGCCCCAAAATGGTCAAAAATTGTCCCCAAAATGGTCCCAAAATTACCACAAAAATGTCACAAAATTGGCCCCAAAATGGCCAAAAATTCCCCCAAATTCCCCCCAAAATATCCCAAAAATGGTCCCAAAATTACCCCCAAAATGTCACAAAAATGGTCCAAAAATTACCCCAAAAATGGTCCAAATATTACCCAAAAAAATGTCCCAAAAATGGTCCAAAAATTACCCCAAAAATGTCCCAAAAGTTACCCAAAAAATGTCACAAAAATGGTCCAAAAATTGCCCCAAAAATGGTCCCAGAATTACCCCAAAAATGGCCCAAAAATGGTCCAAAAATTATCCCAAAAATGGTCCAAAAATTACCCCAAAAATGTCCCAAAAATGGTTCCAAAAATTACCCCAAAAATGTCCCAAAAATGGTCCCAAAATTGCCCCAAAAATGTCCCAAAATTACCCCAAAACTGTCCCCAAAATGGTCCCAAAATTACCCCAAGAATGTCCCAAAATCTCCTTGAATTACCCCTAAAACGCCCCAAAATTCCCTAAAAAATTCCCCAAAATTCCCAAAGTGGCCCAAATTCCCCCAAAATCACCCAAAATGGCCCAAATTCCCCTAAAATCGCCCCAAAATTGTCCCAAAGTCGCTGAAAACGGCCACAAAAATGGCCCCAAAATCCTCCAAGAACGGCCCCAAAATCCCCCAAAATCACCCCAAAAATGCTCCAAAAAGTCCCAAAATTCCTCAAAAATCTCCAAAAATGCCCAAAATTGCCCAAAATTGCCGAAAATTGCCCCAAACCCGCAGGAGGAGCCGCGCTGTGAGGAGCGGCCGGAGCAGCGCGGGGCGGGAGCGGCCCCAGAGCGGCACCTGCTGGTGAGTGGGAATGGGGGAAAAAACCCAAAAATCGGGTAAAAAACCGAAATGGGGTAAAAAATCCCCGAAATGGGGAAAAAAACTCAAAATGGGGTAAAAAACCCAAAAATCGGGGGAAAAAACCTCGAAATCCGGTAAAAAAAACGAAAATGGGGCAAAAAAACCCAAAATCAGGAAAAAACTCCGAAATGGGGTAAAAAAACACTGAAATGGGGCAAAAAAACCCCGGAATGGGGCAAAAAAACCCAAAATGGGACAAAAAACCCGGAATGGGGTAAAAAAACTCGAAATGGGGAAAAAAACCCGAAATGGGGTAAAAAACACCAAAATCGGGCAAAAATCCTGAAATGGGGTAAAAAATCCCAAAAATGGGGGAAAAAACCCCAAAATGGGGCAAAAACCACAAAAATTGGGAAAAAAACCCCAAAATTGGGTAAAAAACCCAAGATGGGGCAAAAATCCCAGAATGGGGCAAAAAAACCCCAAATGGGACAAAAAATCCCGAAATGGGGTAAAAAACCCGAAATTGGGCAAAAAACTCAAAATGGGGTAAAAATCCCCAAAATTGGGCAAAAATCCCGAAATCGGGAAAAAAACCCCAAAATGGGGTAAAAAAAACCCGAAATGGGCCAAAAACCCTGAAATGGGACAAAAAACCCCAAAATCGGGCAAAAAAACTCTAAGTGGGGCAAAAACCCCCCAAAATCAGGAAAATCCCGGGGAAACGGGGAAAGTTCAACCAGAATCAGGAAAATTATGAGGAAATGGGGGAAAATCACAGAAATGGGAAAAATTTTGGGATTTTTTCCCCTAATTTTGGAATCATTTTTTTCCCCAAATTTGGGCTTTTTCCCGGAAATTTGGGATTTTTCTCCCCCAAAATTTGGAATTTTTTCCCCTCAAATCTGTTATTTCCACCCCCATTTTTTTTTCCCGAATTTGGGATTTTTCTCCCCCCCAAATTTGGGATTTTTTCTCCGAATTTGAGATTTTTCTCCCCCCAAATTTGCGATTTTTCTCTCCCAAATTCGCTATTTTTTCTTCCCCAAATTTGAGATTTTTCTCCCCCCAAATTTGAGATTTTTCTGCCCCAAATTTGAGATTTTTCTGCCCCAGTTTTGTGATTTTTCTCCCCGAATTTGAGATTTTTCCCCAAATTTGGGATTTCCCCCCCCAAATTTGGGATTTTTCTCCCCCAAATTTTGGATTTTTCTCCCCCCAAATTTGAGATTTTTCTCCCCCCAAATTTGGGATTTTTTTCTCCCAAATTTGGGATTTTTCTCCCCCCAAATTTGGGATTTTTCTCCCCCCAAATTTTGGATTTTTCCCCCCCCAAATTTAGGATTTTTCCTCCCCCAAATTTGCGATTTTTCTCCCCAAATTTGGGATTTTTCTCCCCCAAAATTTGGGATTTTTTCCCCCAAATTTGGGATTTTTTTCTCCCCAAAATTTGGGACTTCCCCCAAAATTTGCGATTTTTCCCAAATTTATGACTTTTCTCCCCAAATTTGTGATTTTTCCCCAATTTTCCCCTTTCTCGCCGTTCCAGGCCTGTCCCTCCTCCCCCTGCCGGCTGTTCCGCTGTTCCCTCCCCCCCCTGCGCCCCCCCCGCCTCTGGGGGTTCCGTGTGGGGGGGCGGCTCAAGATGGCGGCGCTGGGACAGGTGAGGGGCACCTGGGCACACCTGGGATGGGCACACCTGAGATGGGCACACCCAAAACACACCTGGGCACACCTGAGATACACCTGAGGGCACCTGGGCACACCTGGGCACATTTTGGGCACATTTTGGGCACACCTGGGCACACCTGGGCACACCTGGGCACACCTGGGCACACCTGGGGGGTATTTTGGGCACACCTGGGCACATTTTGGGCACATTTTGGGCACACCTGGGCACACCCAAAACACACCTGGGCACACCTGAGATACACCTGGGCACACCTGGGCACACCCAAAATACACCTGGGACACCCAAAAGACACCTGGGCACACCTGGGCACAATTTGGGCACACCCAAAATACACCTGGGACACCCAAAACACACCTGGGCACACCTGGGGACACCCAAAACACACCTGGGCGCATTTTGGGTACATTTTGGGCACACCTGGGCACACCTGGGGACACCTGGGCACACCTGGGGGGTATTTTGGGCACACCTGGGCACACCTGGGCACACCTGGGCACACCTGGGGCACATTTTGGGCACACCTGGGGCACACCTGGACACACCTGGGCACACCTGAGGGCACCTGGGGCACACCTGGGCACACCTGGGCACACCTGGGCACCCCTGGGCACACCTGAGATACACCTGAGCACACCTGGGCACACCTGGGCACACCTGGGCACACCTGGGCACACCTGAGGGCACCTGGGGCACACCTGGGCACACCTGGGCACACCTGGGCACCCCTGGGCACACCTGAGATACACCTGAGCACACCTGGGCACACCTGGGCACACCTGGGCACACCTGGGAGACATTTTAGGTACATTTTGGGCACACCTGAGCACACCTGGGCACACCTGAGATACACCTGGGCACACCTGGGGGTATTTTGGGCACACCTGGGCACACCTGGGCACATTTTGGGCACATTTTGGGCACATTTTGGGCACACCTGGGCACACCTGGGCACACCTGGGCACTCCTGGGCACACCTGGGATACACCTGGGCACACCTGGGGCACACCTGAGATACACCTGGGCACACCTGGGCACATTTTGGGCACACCTGGGCACACCTGGGGGGTACCTGGGCACACCTGGGCACATTTTGGGTACATTTTGGGCACACCTGGGCACACCTGGGCACACCTGGGCACATTTTGGGCACACCTGGGCACACCTGGGGCACACCTGGGCACACCTGGGGGGTATTTTGGGCACACCTGGGCACATTCTGGGCACACCTGGGATACACCTGGGGCACACCTGGGGGACATTTTGGGCACACCTGGGCACATTTTGGGCACATTTTGGGTACATTTTGGACACACCTGGGCACACCTGGGGGCACCCAAAACACACCTGGGGCACACCTGAGATACACCTGAGGGCACCTGGGCACATTTTGGGTACATTTTGAGCACACCTGGGCACACCTGGGGGTATTTTGGGCACATTTTGGGCACATTTTGGGCACATTTTGGGCACACCTGGGCACACCTGAGGGGTACCTGGGCACATTTTGGGCACACCTGAGATACACCTGAGCACACCTGGGCACACCTGGGGGGTATTTTGGGCACACCTGAGCACACCTGGGCACATTTTGGGCACACCTGAGCACACCTGGGGCACACCTGGGCACATTTGGGCACACCTGAGCACACCTGGGGCACACCTGGGCACATTTTGGGCACACCTGAGCACACCTGGGGCACACCTGGGCACACCTGGGGGGTATTTTGGGCACACCTGGGCACATTTTGGGCACTCACCTGTCCCCCCTGCCCAGCTGGCGCTGCCCAAGCTGCACCTGCAGAGCTCGGCCCAGGTGAGCTTCGACCACGCCCGGTACAGGAACACCTGGGGGGGCACCGAGCTGCAGGTGAGGGGCACGGGGGGGGAGGGGCACCGGGGTTTGGGGGGCACACCTGGATTTGGGGTTTCTCACCTGGATTTGGGGTTTCTCACCCATTTTTTGGGGTTTTTCACCCATTTTTTGGGGTTTTTCGCACATTTTTTGGGGTTTTTCACCCATTTTTGGGGTCCCTGACCCATTTTTTGGGGTTTTTCACCCATTTTTTGGGGTTTTTGACCCATTTTTGGGGTTTCTCACCCATTTTTGGGGTCACTCATCCAAATTTGGGGTCCCTCACCTGGATTTGGGGTCCCCCACCCATTTTTTTGGGGTCCCTGAGCCAATTTTTGGGGTCCCTCACCTGGGTTTGGGTGGGCACACCTGGCACGGGAGGGGCACACCTGGATTTGGGGTTCCTCACCCATTTTTTGGGGTCCCTCATCCAAATTTGGGGTCTCTGACCCATTTTTGGGGTTTTTCGCACATTTTTTGGGGTTTCTCATCCATTTTTTGGGGTCCCTGAGCCAATTTTTGGGGGTTTTCGCATATTTTTTGGAGTTTCTCATCCAAATTTGGGGTTTCTCACCTGGATTTGGGGGGGACACACCTGGATTTGGGGTCCCTGAGCCATTTTTTGGGTCTCTCACCTGGATTTGGGGTCCCTCATCCAAATTTGGGGTCCCTCACCTGGATTTGGGGTTCCTCACCCATTTTTTGGGGTTTCTCACCCATTTTTGGTGTCCCTGACCCATTTTTGGGGTTTCTCACCCATTTTTTGGGGTCCCTGACCCATTTTTGGGGTTTCTCACCCATTTTTTGGGGTTTCTGATGCATTTTTTGGGGTTTCTCACCCATTTTTGGGGTTCCTCATCCAAATTTGGGGTCCCTCACCTGGATTTGGGGTCCCTGACCCATTTTTGGTGTCCCTGACCCATTTTTGGGGTTTCTGACCCATTTTTGGGGTTCCTGACCCATTTTTTGGGGTTCCTGACCCATTTTTTGGGGTTTCTGACCCATTTTTGGGGTTTCTCAGCCATATTTTGGGCTCCCTGACCCATTTTTGGTGTCCCAGACCCGATTTTGGGGGTTTCTGACCCATTTTTGGGTTTTCTCACCCATTTTTGGGGTCCCTGACCCATTTTTTGGTATCCCTGACCCATTTTTTGCGGTTTCTCACCCAATTTTTGGGGTTTCTCACCCATTTTTGGGGTCCCTGACCCAATTTTTTGGGTTTCTGACCCAATTTTGGGGTTTCTGACCCGATTTTGGGGTTTCTGACCCATTTTTGGGGTTTCTGACCCATTTTTGGGGTTTCTCACCCAATTTTTGGGGTTTCTAACCCATTTTTGGGGTTTCTCACCCATTTTTGGGGTTCCTCACCCATTTTTGGGGTCCCTGAGCCATTTTTTGGGGTCCCTGACCCATTTTTGGGGTTTCTGACCCATTTTTTTGGGGTTTCTGACCCATTTTTTGGGGTTTCTGACCCATTTTTTGGGTTCCTCACCCATTTTTTGGGGTTTCTCACCCATTTTTGGGGTCCCTCATCCATTTTTGGGGTTTCTGACCCAATTTTGGGGTCCCTGACCCATTTTTGGGGTTCCTGACCCAATTTTGGGCTCCCTGACCAATTTTTTGGGGTTTCTGACCCATTTTTGGGGTCCCTGACCCATTTTTGGGGTCCCTGACCCATGTTTTGGGTTCCTGACCCAATTTTGGTATCTCTGACCCATTTTTGGGGTCCCTGACCCAATTTTTGGGTTTTCTGACCCAATTTTGGGGTTTCTGACCCAATTTTGGGTTTTCTGACCCATTTTTGGTGTCCCTGACCCATTTTTGGGGTTTCTCACCCATTTTTGGGGTCAATCACCATTTTTTGGGGTCCCTCACCTGGATTTGGGGTCCCTTACCTGGATTTGGGGTTTCTCACCTGGATTTGGGGTCCCTGACCCGATTTTGGATTTTCTGACCCATTTTTGGGTTTTCTGACCCAATTTTGGGGTCCCCGCAGGTGCAGACGGAGCTGGAGCTGCTGGACCCCCCCAACCCCCTCCCCCTCATTTTGGGGGCGTCTCTGGGGGGGCTCCTCCTGCTGGGGCTGGTGGCGCTGGGGCTCTACAAGGTGAGGGACCCCCAAATTGCCCAAAATTGCCCCAAAATGCCCTAAATTACCCAAAATTCCAAAAAAATACCCAAAACTGCCCCAAAACTGCCCCAAATTGCCCAAAATTGAACAAAATTGCCCAAAATTGGACAAAATGGAACAAAATTGCCCCAAAATTACCCAAAATTGGACAACATTGCCCCAAGATTACCCAAAATTGAACAAAACTGCCCCAAAATGCCCAAAAATTGACCAAAGTTACCCAAAATTGGACAAAATTGACCCAAAATTACCCAAAATTGGACAAAATTACCCCAAATTCCCAAAAATTACCCAAAACTGTCCAAAACTGCCCAAAAATTGCTCCAAACTCCCCCAAATTCCCACAAAATACCCCAAACTGCCCCAAATTACTAAAAACTGCCCAAAACTGCCCAAAATTGCCCCAAACTGCCCCAAACTGCCCAAAATTACCCAAAACTGCCCAAAACTGCCCCAAATTGCCCAAAATTATCCAAAACTACCCAAAATTGCCCAAAATTACCCCAAACTGCCCCAAATTCCTAAAAATTTCCCAAAATCCCTCAAAATCATCTCAAAAATCCCCCCAAAATTCCCCAAAAAATCCCCTCAAAAATCCCCTCAAAAATCTCCCCAAATCCCCCAAAATCCCACAAAAATCCCTCAAAAATCCCCCCAAAAATTCCCAAAAAAATTCTCCCAAAATCACCCCGGAATCCCCCCAAAAATCCCCCAAAAATGCCCCAAAAATTGGGAGATTTTCTGAGGAGTTTTGGGGGGATTTTAAAGGGAATTTTTTGGGGTATTTTTGGGACGATTTTGGGGATTTTTTTGGGATTTTTAGGGGAATTTTTTGGGGATTTTTGGGATATTTTTAGGGGATTTTTGGGATATTTTTTAGGGGATTTTGGGGGATTTTAAAAAGGGGATTTTTGGGGGGATTTTAAGGGATTTTAGGGGATTTTTATGGGGATTTTTGGGGATGTTTTTGGGGATTTTTTTGGGGGATTTTAGGGGAATTTTGGGGGGATTTTTGGGATTTTTTTAGGGGATTTTTGGGATATTTTTAGGGGATTTTAGTGGATTTTAAAAGGGGAAATTTTGGGGGGATTTTAAGGGATTTTAGGGGATTTTTAAGGGGATTTTAAGGGGATTTTTAGGGGAATTTTTGGGGGGATTTTAGGGGAATTTTTTTTGGGATTTTTAGGGGATTTTTGGGGATTTTTGGGATATTTTTTTAGGGGATTTTTGGGATATTTGTAGGGAATTTTGTGGGGATTTTTAAAAGGGGATTTTTAGGGGGATTTTTAGGGGATTTTTAAGAGGATTTTTGGGGATTTTTAAGGGAATTTTAAAGGGGATTTTGGGGGATTTTTAAGAGGATTTTTGGGGATTTTTAAGGGAATTTTTTGGGATTTTTTGGGATTTTTAGGGGATTTTTTTTGGGATTTTTTGGGGATTTTTTTTTGGGGAATTTTGGGAGATTTTGGGGCATTTTTTTGGTGTTTTTTATTTTGATTTTTTCTCCCCAAATTCCAGGTTGGATTCTTCAAGCGCCGCTACAAAGAAATGCTGGAGGGCGCCGAGACCCCCGGGGACCCCCCCGGGGACCCCCAGAGCTGAGGAAATTTGGGGAAAATTCATCAGAAAAACTCATTTGCATACTCATTAAAACGCCTTAACAGCTCATTTAAATACCCCATTAAAATTCATTAAATCCTCATTTAAATGCGCATTAAAATTAGTCCGTATCTGTTGCAAAAACCCCAAATTTTGCCCCAAAATCCCAAATTTCTCCCCAAAACCCCCAAAATTTTACTGAAATCCCCAAATTCTGCCCCAAAACACCGAAATTTATTCCTAAAACCCCAAAATTTCACCAAAAATCAGGAAATTTAATCCCCAACCCCCAAATTCCGCCCAAAATCCTCCCCAAAACCCCAAATATTCAACCCAAAAAACCCCCAAATTTCACCCCAAAGCCCCCCAAATTCTGCCCAAAATTCCACCCCAAAATCCCCAAAATTTCACCCCAAAAAGCCCCAAATTTCACAGCAAAAAACCCCAAATTTCACCCCCAAATTTCACCACAAAAAACCCCAAATTCTGCCCAAATTCCACCCCAGAATCCCCAAAATTTCACCCCAAAATCCCCAAATTCATCCCAAAATTTCACCCCAAAAACCCCCAACATTTCACCCCCAAAAAAAACCCCAAATCCCCAAAATTTCACCTCCAAATTTATCCCCAAACCCCCCAAAATCTGCCCCAAAATCCCCAAAATTTCACCCCCAAAAACCCCCAAATTTCACCCCAAAATTTCACCCCAAAACCCCTCAAATTTCACTCCAAAATTCCCAAATTCCACCCAAAATTTAACTCCAAAATCCCCAAAATTTCACCCCCAAAACCCCCAAATTCTGCCCAAAATTTCACCCTGAAATTCCACCCCAAAAAACTCCAAATTTAATCTGAAAATTTCACCCCAAAATCACCAAAATTTCACCCCAAAAACCCCCAAATTCTGCCCAAATTCCACTCCCAAAACCCCCAATTTTCACCCCCAAATTTCACCCCCAAATCCCCCAAATTTCACCCCAAAATTTCACCCCAAACCCCCAAAATTTCACCCCAAAATACCCAAAATTTCACCCCAAAAACCCCCAAATTCTGCCCAAAATTCCACCCCAGAAACCCCAAAATTTCACCCCAAAACCCCCCAAATTTCACCCCCAAATTTCACCCCAAAAAACCCCAAATTTCACCCCAAAATCCCCAAAATGTCACCCCCAAAACCCCAAATTCTGCCCAAAATTTCACCCCAAAAAACCCCAAACTTTCACTCCAAAAAAACCGCAAATTTCACCCCAAATTTCACTCCAAAAATCCCAAATTTCACCCCAAAAAAACCCAAATTTCATCATAAAATTTCACCCCAAAAATCCCAAAACTTCCCCCCAAAAACCCCAAAATTTCACCCCAAAATCCCCCAAAATTTTGCCCCAAAATCCCCAAAATTTCACCCCAAAAACCCCAAAATTCCCCAAAAATTCAGTCTGGGGGCGTGGCCAAGTCAAACCACGCCCATTTCCCGTTGAGTGGGCGTGACCTCTGAGCTGTGGGCGTGGCCTGAGTGAAGTGGGCGTGGCCTGGTCGCGGTGGGCGTGGCCTCCGCTTGGTGGGCGTGGCCTGCGCTTGGTGGGCGTGGCCAGATCGCCCCAAACTTCCCCCCATAAAAGCGGCGGACGGGCCCCAAAAAACCCCCAAAAAACCCCCAAAAAACCCCAAAAAATCCCCAAAAAATCCCAAAAAAATCCCAAAAAATCCCCCAAACCCCCCGGGGCCCCTCCCCCGCCCCGCCCCCATGTCGCGACAGGTCCCGACAGCGCTCGCGCCGCTGCTGCTGCTGCTGCTGCTGCCTCGTGAGTGCGGCGGGGATTTTGGGGAAATTTCGGGAATTTTGGGGACTTTTTGGGTTTCTTGTATTTTTTTGGGATTTTTAGGGGGATTTAGGGAGATTTTTGAGGGATTTTTGGGGGTTTTAGGGGAATTTTTGGGATTTTTTTGGGGATTTTTTTGGGATTTTTTGGGTATTTTTTTGGGATTTTTTGGATTTTTTTCCTTTTTTTGGGGTTTTTAGGGGTTTTTTTTGGGATTTTGGAAGATTTTTTTGGGTTTTAAGGGATTTTTGGGGGTTTGGGAGGTTTTTGGGATTTTTCGGGGGGTTTTGGGGTGTTTTTGGGGCTTTTAGGGGAATTTTTGGGATTTTTTGGGATTTTTTGGGATTTTTTTGGATTATTTTTTTCGTTTTTTGGGGTTTTTAGGGTTTTTTGGGAGATTTTTTGGAAGATTTTTTGGGATTTTAAGGGATTTTTGGGGGTTTGGGAGGTTTTTTGGGATTTTTCGGGGGGTTTTGGGGAGTTTTTGGGATTTTTTTGGGATTTTTTTGGGATTTTTTGGGGGATTTTTTTGGGATTTTTTGGAATTTTTTTTCGGTTTTTGGGTTGTTTTGGGGGGATTTTTTGGAAGTTTTTTGGGATTTTAGGGGATTTGGGGGGTTTGGGAGGTTTTTTAGGATTTTTCGGGGGGTTTGGGGAGTTTTGGGGGATTTTTCGGGTTTTTAGGGTTTTTTTGGGGGTTTTTAAAGGGGATTTTTGGGGGTTTTTTTAGGAATTTTTTGGGGGTTTTTAAGGGGATTTTGGGGACTTTGTTTGGGGTTATTTTGGGATTTTTTGGGGGTTTTTAAAAGGGATTTTTAGGGAATTTTTGGGATTTTTTTTGGTTTTTTTTAAAGGGATTTTTTGGGGGTTTTTAAAGGGATTTTTTTGGGGGTTTTTTTAGGGTTTTTTTGGGGTTTTTTAAGGAGATTTTTTGGGATTTTGTTTGGGGTTATTTTGGGATTTTTTGGGGGTTTTTAAAGGGGATTTTTAGGGAATTTTTTTGATTTTTTGGGTTTTTTTAAAAGGGATTTTGAGGATTTTTTTGGGGGGATTTTTTAGCGGATTTTGGGAGTTTTTTGGGATTATTTTGGGGTTATTTTGGGATTTTTTTGGGAAAAGCCCCGGGGGGTTTCCTCAGCGTCGGGGGAGGGGCCGCGGGACCGGTCGGACCGGCCCCAAAAAAACCCCAAAAATTCCCCCGGGGGGGTGGGGGAGGGGCCCCAAAAAAACCCCAAAAATCCGCCCAAATTTCACACAAAATCGCCCCAAAATTCCCCCAAAATTTCCCCAAAATTCTCCCCCAAATTCTCGTAATTTTCCCAAAATTTCCCCCCAAATTTTTCAAATTTTCCCTAAAATTTTCACCCAAAATTCCCAAAAATTCCCCCAAAATTTCCCCCAAAATTTCCCAAAATTCCACCAAAAATTTCCCCAAAATTTTCATTTAATTTCCAAAAAAAAATTTGACAAAATTTTTCCCAAAATTCACCAAAATTTCCCCAAATTTTCCCCCGCAGGAGCCGGGAGCGGCAAGGAGGCGGAGTCAGAATGTGAGTTATGCAAATGAGGCGTGGAATATTCATGAGGGGGCAAAAAGGGGGGGGGAACCCAAAAATTGGGGGGAAAAAAATCCCAAAAATGGGAAAAAAAATTAAAAAATTGAGGGAAAATCCCAAAAATGGGGAAAAATTCCAAAAATGGGGGAAAAATTCCAAAAATTGAGATAAAAATTCCAAAAATGGGAAAAATAATCCCAAAAATTGGGATTAAAATGCCAAAAATGGGGGAAAAATTCCAAAAATTGGAAAAAGAAAAGGAAAAAATTAAAAATAATGGGAAAAAAATCCCAAAAATGGGGAAAAAGCCTCAAAATTGGGGAAAATTCCCCAAAATTGGGATTTGAGGACCCAAAAATTGGGATAAAAATCCCAAATTGGGATAAAAGTCTCAAAAATGGGGAAAAAAAATCCAAAAATTGGAAAATAAAAGGGGAAAAAAATCCCAAAAATGGGGAAAAAATCCCAAAACTGGGGGAAAATCCCAAAATTGGGGAAAAAGCCTCAAAAATGGGGAAAATTCCCCAAAATTGGGATTTGAGGGCCCAAAAATCGGGATAAAAATCCCAAATTGGGACAAAATCCCAAAATTGGGGGAGAAATCCCAAAAATGGGGAAAAAGTTCTAAGAATTGGAAAAAAAAAGGAAAAAAATTTTAAAAATAGGGAAAAAATCCCAAAAAATGGGGGAAAAGCCTCAAATCTGGGAAAAATCCCAAAAATTGGGGAAAAATTCCCAAAACTGGGGAAAATTCCCCAAAATTGGGATTTGAGGACCCAAAAATCGGGTAAAAATCCCAAATTTTGATAAAAATCCCAAAATTAGGACAAAATCCCCTAAATTTGGGGAAAATCCCCTAAATTGGGGAAAAAATCCCCAAAATTGGGGAAAATTCCCCAAAAATTTGGATAAAATCTCCAAAATCGGGGAAAAGTGCCAAAAATTGGGGGAAAATCCCGAAAATTGGGATTTGGGGGCCCCAAAATCGGCCCCCGCCCCTCCCCCACCCCAATTTCGGGCGTTGGGGGGGGAGGGGCCCCAAAACCGCGGGGGGCCCCAAAAAGGGGGAGGGGAACCCCAAAAATGGGAACTTGAGCCCCAAAAATGGGAAGTGGAGTCCGAGGGGCCCCAAAAACCCCAAAATTGGCCCCAAACCTCCCAAACCTCCCCCAAAATCCGTCCTGAAACACCCCAAATTCCCCCAAAAATCTCCTAAAAAACCCCTCAAAATAACCCTAAAAAAAACCCAAAATTGCCCTCAAAATCCCCCTAAAAAAACCCCAAAATCCCCCCAAAAATCCCCCTAAAAAACCCAAAAAAATCCCCTTAAAATGCCCCTAAAAAAAACCCCAAAATCCCCCTAAAAAAAAACCCAAAATCCCCCCAAAATCTCCTCCTAAAAAACCCCCAAAATCCTCCTAAAAAACCCCAAAATCCCCCCAAAATCCCCCTAAAAAAACCCCAAAATCCCCCCAAATCCCCTAAAAAAAATCACAAAATCCCCTAAAAAAACCCCAAAATCCCCCTAAAAAAAACCCCAAAATCTCCCTAAAAAATACCCCAAAATCTCCCCAAAAATCCTCCTAAAAAAACCCCAAAATCCCCCCAAAAATCCCCCCAAAAAAAACCCCAAAATCCTCCTAAAAAAAACCCCAAAATCCCCCCAAAAATCCCCTTAAAAAAACCCCAAAATCCTCCCAAAATCCCCCTAAAAAAAACCCCAAAATACCCCCAAAGAACCCCCAAAATCCCCCTAAAATCTCCCTAAAAAAACCCCCCAAAATCGCCCTAAAAAAAACCCCAAAATCCCCCCAAAATCCCCCTAAAAAAACCCCCAAAATCCCCCTAAAAAAACCCCCAAAATCCCCCCAAAATCCCCCTAAAAAAAAACCCCAAATCCCCCCAAAATTCCCATTAAAAAACCCCCAAAATTCCCCTAAAAATCCCCCTAAATCCCCCCAAAATCCTCCTAGAAAAACCCCAAAATTCCCCCCAAAATCCCCCCAAAAATCCCCCTAAAAAAAACCCCAAAATCCCCTGAAAATCTCCCTAAAAAAACCCAAAAATCCCCCAAAATCCCTCTAAAAAAACCCCCAAAATCCCCCCAAAATTCTTCTAAAAAAACCCCCAAAATCTCCCCAAAATCCCCCTAAAAAAAACCCCCAAAATTCCCCCAAAATCCTCATCAAAATCCCCCAAAAATCCCCCTAAAACAAACCCCAAATCCCCCCCAAAAAAACCCCAAAATCCCCCTAAAAAAAAACCCCAAAATCCCCCAAAAATTCCCCTAAAAAAACCCAAAATCCCCCCAAAATCCCCAAATTTCACCCCAAATGACCCAAAAATCCGCGAATTTGGCCCCGAATGACCGAAAATCGCCGTTTTTTCGCACAATGACCCAAAATCCCGGGATTTCACCCCAAAATCCCATTTTTAGGGGGTTCCTGTGGGTTCTCCCGGTCCCGTCCCCGTGTGATCGGGGGTTGAGTGACCCAAAACCACCAAATTTCGCCCCAAATGATCGAAAATTGCCAAAATTGGCCCCGAATGAGCAAAAATCGCCGTTTTTTCGCACAATTGCCCAAAATCCTGGGATTTCACCCCAAAAATCCCATTTTTAGGGGGTTCCTGTGGGTTCTCCTGATTTTGGGCCCGCGCGGTCAGGGGTGAATGACCCAAAACCCCCGAATTTCGCCCCAAATGTGCGAAACTCTCCGAATTTCGTCCCGAATGACCGAAAATCGCCGTTTTTTTCGCGCAATTGCCCAAAATCCCGGGATTTCACCCCAAAATCCCATTTTTAGGGGACTCTTGTGGGTTGTTCCTCCCCCGTGCTCACGTGGTCAGGGTTTGAGTGACCCAAAATCCCCAAATTTCACCCCAATGACCGAAACTCCGCGAATTTGGTCCCGAATGACCGAAAATCGCCGTTTTTTCGCACAATTGCCCAAAATCCCGGGATTTCACCCCAAAATCCCATTTTTAGGGGACTCCTGTGGGTTGTTCCTCCCCCGTGCTCATGTGGTCAGGGGTTGAGTGACCCAAAACCCCCAAATTTTGCCCCAAATGATTCAAAGTCCGTGAATTTCATCCCGAATGACCAAAAATCGCCGTTTTTTCACACAATTGCCCAAAATCCCGGGATTTCACCCCAAAATCCCATTTTCGGGAATTCCTGCGGGTTCTCCTGATTTTGGGCATTCATGGTCAGGGGCGAATGACCCAAAATCTGCAAAATTTCACCCCAAATGCTCCAAAACCCCCAAATTTGGCCCCGAATGACGGAAAATCGCCGTTTTTTCGCACAATGACCCAAAATCCCGGGATTTCACCCCAAAATCCGTTTTTAGGGAATTCCTGTGGCCTCTCCCAATTTTGGGGGCTTGTGACCGGTGCAGAATGACCCAAAATCCGTTAATTTCACCCCAAATGACCAAAACTCTGCGAATTTGGCCCCAAATGGCCGAAAATTGCCGTTTTTTCGCACAATTGCCCAAAATCCCGGGATTTCACCCCAAAATCCCATTTTTAGGGGGTTCCTGTGGGTTCTCCCGATTTTGGCCACTTGTGGTTGGTTCTGAGTGACCCAAACTCCCCAAATTTCGCCCCAAATAATTGAAAATTGCCAAATTTGGCCCCGAATGGCCGAAAATCGCCGTTTTTTCGCACAATTGCCCAAAATCCCGGGATTTCACCCCAAAATCCCGTTCCAGGGGGTCCCTGCGGCCTGTCCCGCTCTCGTGCCCATGTGGTCGGTGCTGAATGACCCAAAACCCCCAAATTTTGCACCGAATGACCCAAAACCCGCGAATTTGGCCCCAAATGACGGAAAATCGCCGTTTTTTCGCCCAATTGCCCAAAATCCCGGGATTTCACCCCAAAATCCCATTTTTAGGGGGTTCCTGTGGGTTCTCCCAACTTTGGGTGTTCGTGGTTGAGGGTGAATGTCCCAAAACCCCCAAATTTTGCCCCAAATGAGCGAAACTCTCCGAAATCCGCCGTAAATGAGCGAAAATCGCCGTTTTTTCGCACAATTGCCCAAAATCCCGGGATTTCACCCCAAAATCCCGTTCCAGGGGGTCCCTGCGGCCTGTCCCGCTCTCGGGGCCGCGTGGTCGGGGCTGAATGTTCCAAAACCCCGAAATTTCACCCCAAATGATTCAAATGCTCTGAATTTGGCCCCGAATGACCGAAAATCGCCGTTTTTTCGCACAATTGCCCAAAATCCCGGGATTTCACCCCAAAATCCGTTTTTAGGGAATTCCTGTGGCCTCTCCCGCTCTCGTGCCCGCGTGGTCGGGGGCGAATGTTCCAAACTCCCCAAATTTCGCACCGAATGACCCAAAACCCCCAAATTTCGCCCCGAATGACGGAAAATCGCCGTTTTTTCGCCCAATTGCCCAAAACCCCGGGATTTCACCCCAAAATCCCGTTCCAGCGGGTCCCTGCGGCCTGTTCCGCGCCCGTGCCCGCGTGGTCGGGGACAAATGTTCCAAAACCCCCAAATTTCACCCCAAATGCCCCAAAACCCCCAAATTTCGCCGTAAATGACGGAAAATCGCCGTTTTTTCGCACAATTGCCCAAAATCCCGGGATTTCACCCCAAAATCCCATTTTTAGGGGGTTCCTTTGGGTTCTCCTGATTTTGGGCGTTCATGGTCAGGAGTGAATGACCCAAAATCCCTAAATTTCACCCCAATGAGCGAAACTCTGCGAATTTGGCCCTGAATGGCCAAAAATCGCCGTTTTTTCGCACAATTGCCCAAAATCCCGGGATTTCACCCCAAAATCCCATTTTTAGGGGGTTCCTTTGGGTTCTCCTGATTTTGGGTGCTCATGGTCAGGAGTGAATGACCCAAAACCCGCAAATTTTGCCGCAAATGATTCAAAAATCTCCAAAATTCGCCCTAAATGACCGAAAATCGCCGTTTTTTCGCACAATTGCCCAAAATCCCGGGATTTCACCCCAAAATCCCATTTTTAGGGGACTCCTGTGGGTTCTCCTGATTTTGGCCACTCGTGGTTGGTTCTGAATGACCCAAAATCCCCAAATTTCACCCCAATGAGCAAAAATCCCCGAAATTCGCCGTAAATGGCCGAAAATCGCCGTTTTTTCGCACAATTGCCCAAAATCCCGGGATTTCACCCCAAAATCCCGTTCCAGGGGGTCCCTGCGGCCTGTCCCGCTCCCGGGGCCGCGTGGTCGGGAGCGAATGACCCAAAATCCGTGAATTTCACCCCAAATGATTCAAACTCCGCGAATTTCGCTCCGAATGACGGAAAATCGCCGTTTTTTCGCCCAATTGCCCAAAATCCCGGGATTTCACCCCAAAATCCGATTTTATGAAATTCCTGCGTCTTCTGCCAATTTTTCGCCCGTGTGGTCAAGGGTTGAGTGACCCAAAACCTCCAAATTTCACCCCAAATGATTCAAACTCCCCAAATTTCGCCGTAAATGGCCGAAAATCGCCGTTTTTTCGCCCAATTGCCCAAAATCCCGGGATTTCACCCCAAAATCCCGTTCCAGGGGGTCCCTGCGGCCTGTCCCGCTCCCGGGGCCGCGTGGTCGGGGGCGAATGACCCAAAATCCGCGAAGTTTGTCCTGAATTATTCAAACTCCGCGAATTTCGCCGTAAATGACCGAAAATTGCCGTTTTTTCGCACAATTGCCCAAAATCCCGGGATTTCACCCCAAAATCCCATTTTAGGGAATTCCTGTGGTCTCTCCCAATTTTGGGGACTTGTGGCCGGTGCAGAATGACCCAAAACCCCCAAATTTTGCCCCAAATGATTCAAAATCCGCGAATTTGGCCCCGAATGACCGAAAATCGCCGTTTTTTCGCCCAATTGCCCAAAATCCCGGGATTTCACCCCAAAATCCCATTTTTAGGGGACTCCTGTGGGCTGTTCCTCCCCCGTGCTCATGTGGTCAGGGGTTGAGTGACCCAAAACCCCCAAATTTTGCACCGAATGACCCAAAATCCGCGAATTTGGCCCCGAATGACCGAAAATCGCCGTTTTTTCGCACAATGACCCAAAATCCCGGGATTTCACCCCAAAATCCCATTTTAGGGGGTTCCTTTGGGTTCTCCTGATTTTGGCCACTCGTGGTTGGTTCTGAATGACCCAAACTCCCTAAATTTCGCCCCGAATGACCCAAAATCCGCGAATTTTGTCCCGAATGACCGAAAATCGCCATTTTTTCACACAATTGCCCAAAATCCCGGGATTTCACCCCAAAATCCCATTTTACGGAATTCCTGCGGCCTCTCCCAATTTTGGACCCACGTGGTCAGTGCTGAGTGACCCAAAATCCGCGATTTTCACCCCAAATGACCTAAAACCCCCAATTTTTGCCCCGAATGACGGAAAATCGCCGTTTTTTCGCACAATTGCCCAAAATCCCGGGATTTCACCCCAAAATCCGTTTTTAGGGAATTCCTGTGGTCTCTCCCGCTCCCGTGCCCGCGTGGTCGGGGGGCTCCCGGCCGGGCCGGGCCGGTGGCCCTGGGCGGTGTCGCTGCAGCTCCGGGGGCGGCATCGCTGCGGGGGGACCCTGGTGACCCCCCAGTGGGTGCTGAGCGCCGCCCACTGCTTCCAGGGGTCAGTTTGGGGCGAATTCCGGGGATTTTGGGGCTTTTTGGGGAATTTGGGGCAATTTTGGGGGGATTTGGGGGCGTTTCGGGTGGATTAAGTGGGAGATTTGGGGGCATTTCGGGGGGATTTGGGGGTATTTAGGAGCATTTCAGGGGGATTTGGGACGGGGAGATTTGGGGGGATTTGGGGCTTTTGGGGGATTTGGGGGGATTTTGGGTCATTTTGGGGGAATTTTGGGGGGATTTGGGGTTGTTTCAGGGGAATTGGGGGGGATTTGGGGTCATTTTGGGGGGATTTGGGAATGTTTTGGGGGGATTTGGGAGCGTTTTGGGGGGATTTGGGGTTGTTTTGGGGGGATTTTGGGTCGTTTTGGGGGGATTTTGGGAGCATTTTGGGGGGATTTGGGGGGATTTGGGAACATTTTGGAGGGATTTGGGAACATTTTGGGGGGATTTTGGGGCATTGATTGGGGGATTTGGGGTCGTTTTGGGGGGATTTGGGGCTTCCAGGGGTCAGTTTGGGGCGAATTCCGGCGGTTTTGGGGTTTTTTGGGGATTTGGGAACGTTTCGAGGGGATTTGGGAATGTTTTGGGGGGATTTGGGAACATTTTGGGGGGATTTGGGGTCGCTTCGGGGGGATTAAGTGGGGGATTTGGGAGGATTAAATAGGGGATTTGGGAGATTTTGGGGGAGTTTGGGGTCATTTTTAGGGGATTTAGGAACATTATTGGGGGATTTGGGGTCGTTTTGGGGGGATTTTGGGTCATTTTGGGGGAATTTTGGGGGAATTTGGGAGCGTTTCAGTGGGATTTGGGAATGTTTTGGGGGGATTTGGGGGGGATTTGGGGTCATTTTGGGGGATTAATTGGGGGATTTGGGATCATTTCCAGAGGATTTAGGATAATTTTGGTGGGATTTAGGGTCATTTTTTGGGGGTTTGGGATCATTTTTAGGGGATTTAGGATCGTTTGGGGGGGATTTGGGAACGTTTCAGGGGGATTTGGGAATGTTTTGGGGGGTTTTGGGAATGTTTTGGGGGATTTGGGGCTTCCAGGGGTGAGATTTTGGGGAGAATTTGGGGGGTTTGGGGGTTTTTTGGGGATTTGGGGGGATTTGGGGGCGTTTGGGGAGGATTTGGGAATGATTTGGGGGGATTTTGGGGGAATTTGGGGCCATTTTCGGGGGATTAATTGGGGGATTTGGGAGGATTAAATAGGGGATTTGGGAGATTTTGGGGTCATTTTGGGGGATTTAGGATCATTTTTGGGGGATTTAGGAACGTTTTGGGGGGATTTGGGGGGATTTTGGGGGGAGATTTGGGGTCATTTTGGGGGGATTAATTGGGGGATTTGGGGGGATTTGGGGCTTCCAGGGGTGAGATTTGGGGGGAATTCCGGAGATTTTGGGGATTTGGGGGGATTTGGGGAGATTTGGGTCATTTTGGGGGGATTTGGGGCCGTTTTGGGGGCATTTCGGGGGGATTTTGGGGCATTTTGGGGGGATTAATTGGGGGATTTGGGATCATTTCCAGGCGGTTTAGGGTCATTTTGGGGGTTTGGGATCATTTCCGGGGGATTTAGGATCATTTTTTGGGGATTTTGGGTCATTTTTGGGGGATTTAGGATCATTTTTAGGGGATTTAGGATCATTCTAAGGAGATTTGGGAGGGTTTCAGGGGGATTTTGGATCATTTTGGGGGTTTGGGATCATTTTTAGGGGATTTAGGATCGTTTTGGGGGGATTTGGGAACGTTTCGGGGGGATTTGGGAATGTTTTGGGGAGATTTGGGGGCATTTGGGGCCGTTTTGGGGGCGTTTCGGGGGGATTTGGGGCAGTTTTGGGGGGATTAAATGGGAGATTTGGTATCATTTCCAGGGGATTTAGGATAATTTTGGTGGGATTTAGGATCATTTTTAGGGGATTTAGGGTCATTTTTAGGGGGTTTAGGAACGTTTTGGGGGGATTTGGGGTCATTTTGGGGGATTTGGGGTCTATTCGGGGGGATTTGGGAATGTTTTGGGGGGATTTGGGGGGATTTTGGGGGGGGATTTGGGGTCGTTTTGGGGGGATTAATTGGGGGGATTTGGGGGATTTGGGGCTTCCAGAGGTGAGAATTTGGGGGAATTCCGGCGGTTTTGGGGCTTTTTGGAGGGATTTGGGGGATTTGGGAGCGTTTCGGGGGGATTTGGGGGAATTTGGGAGTGTTTTGGGGGGATTAATTGGGGGATTTGGGAGCGTTTTGGGGGGATTTGGGGGGATTAATTGGGGGATTTCGGAGATTTTGGGAGGGTTTGGGGATCATTTTGGCAGATTTAGGATCATTTTTAGGGGATTTTGGGTCATTTTTGGGGGATTTAGGATCATTCTGAGGAGATTTGGGAGCGTTTCGGAGGGATTTGGGGCGTTTGGTGGGGATTTGGGGGGATTTGGGGGGAATTACGGCGGGTTTGGGACATTTTGGGGCTTTTTGGGGATTTGGGGGATTTGGGGGGATTTGGGGCTTCCAGGGGTGAGATTTGGGGGGAATTTGGGGGGTTTTGGGGCTTTTTGGGGGGGTTTGGGAGCATTTCGAGGGGATTTGGGAATGTTTTGGGGAGATTTGGGGGGATTTGGGGGGATTTGGGGTCGCTTCGGGGGGGTTAAGTGGGGGATTTGGGAGGATTAAATAGGGAATTTGGGAGATTTTTGGGGGGGTTAGGGGTCATTTTTGGGGGGTTTGGGATAATTTTTAGGGGATTTAGGATAATTTTTTGGGGGATTTAGGGTCATTTTGGGGGATTTAGGGTCATTTTGGGAGATTTGGGAATGTTTTGGGGGGATTTGGGGGTGTTTTGGGGGGATTTGGGGTTGTTTCGGGGGGATTAATTGGGGGATTTGGGAGATTTTGGGAGGGTTGGGGATCATTTTTAGGGGATTTAGGATCAATTTAGGGGATTTGGGATCGTTTTTAGGGGATTTAGGAACAGTTTTAGGGGGTTTAGGAACGTTTTGGGGGGATTTGGGGTCATTTTGGGGGGATTTGGGGCAATTTTGGGGGCATTTGGAAACGTTTTGGGAAGATTTGGGAATGTTTTGGGGGGATTTGGGGTCGTTTCGGGGGGATTAAGAGGAGGATTTGGGAGATTTCGGGGGGTTTGGGTTAATTTTGGGTAATTTGGGATAATTTTGGTAATTTTGGATAATTTGCGTTAATTTTTGATAATTTTGGATGAATTTGGATGAATTTCGGGTAATTTGGGGTGAATTTTGGGTAATTTGGGGTGAATTAAGTCGGGGGGATTTGGGGTGAATTTTGGGTGATTTTTGGGTGAATTTTGGGTAATTTGGGACAATTTTGGCTGATTTTCGAAAATTTGGGTTAATTTTTGATAATTTTGGGTGATTTTGGGGTGAATTTTGGGTAATTTTGGACAATTTTGGGTGAATTTTGGATAATTTTGGCTAATTTTGGATTAAATTTGGGTATTTTTGGCTGATTTTCGAAAATTTGGGTTAATTCTTGATAATTTTGGGTGATTTTGGGACAATTCTGGGTGATCTGGGGTGAATTTTGGGTAATTTGGGATAATTTTTGATAATTTTGGGTAATTTGGGGTAATATTGGGTTATTTTGGGTGATTTTGGGATAACTTTGGGCAATTTTGGATAATTTTGATAATTTTGGCCGATTTTGGCCAATTTTGGGTGATTTTGGCCCATTTTGCCGCAGCCCCGGGGGGCTCCGGGCCCCTCTGAGCGAGTGGAGAGCCGTGGTGGGGCGGCTGCGGCTGCAGAGTGACCACCCGAGTGACCACGGGAGTGACCACGGGAGTGACCACCCGAGTGACCACGGGAGTGACCACCCGAGTGACCACCCGAGTGACCACTCAACTGACCACCCCACTGACCGCCCCACTGACCGCCCGAGTGACCACGGGAGTGACCACGGGAGTGACCACGGGAGTGACCACCCGAGTGACCACCCGAGTGACCGCCCGAGTGACCACCCCACTGACCACCCGAGTGACCACCCGAGTGACCACGGGAGTGACCACCCGAGTGACCACTCAACTGACCACTCAACTGACCACCCGAGTGACCACCCGAGTGACCACCCGAGTGACCACTCAACTGACCACTCAACTGACCGCCCGAGTGACCACGGGAGTGACCACGGGAGTGACCACCCGAGTGACCACCCCACTGACCACCCCACTGACCGCCCGAGTGACCACCCGAGTGACCACCCGAGTGACCACCCGAGTGACCACGGGAGTGACCACGGGAGTGACCACCCGAGTGACCACCCGAGTGACCACCCGAGTGACCACTCAACTGACCACCCCACTGACCGCCCGAGTGACCACCACAATGGACACCGGTATGGACACGGGGATGGACATGAGAGTGACCATGGGAGTAACCACTGGGATGACCACCAGAGTGACCACCAGAATGACCAAAGGGATGACCATTAGAGTGACCACAGGGATGACCAAAGAGATGACCACCAGAATGACCATGGGAGTGACCACTGGAGTGACCACTGCAGTGACCACAAGGCTGACCACCAGAATGACCACAGGGATGACCACTGGAGTGACCATTAGAGTGACCACCAGAGTGACCATGGGAATGACCAAGGGGATGACCAAAGGGATGACCACTAGCGTGACCATGGGATTGACCACTTGAGTGACCACAAGGTTGACCACGAGAATGACCATGGGAATGACCACAGGAGTGACCATTAGAGTGACCATAAAACTAACACCAGAATGACCATTGGGATGACCACAGGAGTGACCACCAGAATGACCATGGGAATAACCACCAGAATGACCACAGGGATGACCCCAGGGATGACCATGAGAATGACCATTAGAATGACCATGGGAATGACCATGGGGTTGACCATTAGAGTGACCACCAGAATGACCATGGGAATGACCAAAGAAATGACCATTAGAGTGACCATTAGAGTGACCATGGGATTGACCACCAGAATGACCATGAGAATGACCACCAGAGTGACCACAGGGACGACCACTTGAATGACCACTGAAGTGACCACTAGAGTGACCATGGGACTGACCACAGGGATGACCATTAGAGTGACCATGGGATTGACCACAGGGATGACCACTAGAGTGACCACCAGAATGACCATGGGATTGACCACAGGGATGACCACAGGAGTGACCATGGGAGTGACCATGGGAATGACCCCAGGGATGACCATTAGAGTGACCAAGGGATTGACCATGAGAGTGACCACCAGAATGACCATGGGATGACCAAAGAGATGACCACTGGAGTGACCACCAGAATGACCACAGGGATGACCACAGGAGTGACCACCCGAGTGACCACCGAAGTGACCACGGGAGTGACCACAGGGATGACCACTAGAGTGACCACAGGAGTGACCATGGGAATGACCATTAGAGTGACCATGGGAGTGACCACAGGGATGACCAAAGGGGTGACCATTAGAGTGACCACCAGAATGACCACTTGAGTGACCATGGGATTGACCACAGGGATGACCAAAGGGATGACCATGAGAATGACCACTGGAGTGACCACAGGAATGACCACCAGAGTGACCATGGGAATGACCATGGGATTGACCACAGGGATGACCACAGGGACGACCACAGGAGTGACCACCAGAATGACCCCAGGGATGACCACTAGAGTGACCACCAGAATGACCATGGGAATGACCATGGGAGTGACCATGGGATTGACCACCAGAATGACCACCAGAATGACCATGGGATTGACCATTAGAGTGACCACTGGAGTGACCATTAGAGTGACCATGAGAATGACCATTAGAGTAACCATGGGATTGACCACAGGGATGACCATTAGAATGACCACTAGAGTGACCACCAGAATGACCAGAGGATTGACCACAGGGATGACCATTAGAGTGACCATGAGAATGACCACAGAAGTGACCACTAGAGTGACCATAACACTAACCACCAGAATGACCACAGGGATGACCACTAGAGTGACCACCAGAATGCCCATGGGAATGACCATGGGAGTGACCAAAGGGATGACCATTAGAGTGACCATGGGAATGACCATTAGAGTGACCATGGGAATGACCACAGGGATGACTACTGGAGTGACCACTAGAGTGACCCCAGGGAGGACCACTAGAGTGACCACGGGGATGACCACAGGAATGACCACTAGAGTGACCATTAGAGTGACCACTAGACTGGTCATGGGATTGACCATGGGAGTGACCACTGGAGTGACCACTGGAGTGACCACCAGAGTGACCACAGGGATGACCATTAGAGTGACCACCAGAATGACCACTAGACTGACCATGGGAATGACCATGAGAATGACCACAGGAGTGACCACCAGAGTGACCATAAAACTAACCACCAGAATGACCACAGGGATGACCACTAGAGTGACCACTACAGTGATCACCAGAATGACCACTGGAGTGTCCATTAGAGTGACCATGGGATTGACCCCAGGGATGACCACTAGAGTGACCACCAGAATGACCATGAGAATGACCACAGAGATGACCATTAGATTGACCATGAGAATGACCACAGGAGTGACCACTAGAGTGACCTTGGGGTTGACCATGAGAATGACCACAGGAGTGACCACGGGAGTGACCATAAAACTAACCACCAGAATGACCACAGGGATGACCATGGGAGTGACCCCAGGAGTGACCACCAGAATGACCACCAGAGTGACCATGGGAATAACCACCGGAATGATCAAAGAGATGACCATTAGGGTGACCGTGGGAATGACCACCAGAATGACCATTAGAGTGACCATGGGATTGACCATGGGAGTGACCATGGGAATAACCACCAGAGTGACCATGGGAATGACCATGGGAATGACCATGAGAATGACCATTAGAGTGACCATGGGAATGACCACTAGACTGACCACGGGAATGACCACAGGGATGACCAAAGGGATGACCATTAGAGTGACCACTAGAGTGACCAAGGGATTGACCATGGGAGTGACCATGAGAATGACCATTAGAGTGAACATTAGAGTGACCATTAGAGTGACCATGGGAATGACCACAGGGGATGACCAAAGGCATGACCACTGATGTGACCACCAGAATGACCATGGGAATGACCACAGGGATGACCACTGGAGTGACCACCAGAATGACCATTAGAGTGACCACCAGAATGACCATGGGAGTGACCACAGGGATTACCAAAGGGATGACCACTAGAGTGACCTTGGGGTTGACCAAGGGACTGACCACAGGGATGACCACCAGAGTGACCAAAGGGATGACCATTAGAGTGACCACTAAAGTGACCACCAGAATGACCACAGGGATGACCCCAGGAGTGACCACCGAAGTGACCACCGAAGTGACCACAGGAGTGACCACCCAACTGACCACCCGAGTGACCGTGACCAAGGCCAGGAGCTGTCGGTGGCCGAGCTGATTGTCCACCCGCGGTTCCGCGGCGTCCGGGGGGGTCACGACCTGGTGCTGGTGCGGCTGCGGCCGCGGGCGGCGCTGGGGCCGGACGTGGGCACCGTGTGCCTCCCCCGGGCCGGACAACGGCCGCCCTTCGGCCGGAGCTGCTGGATCAGCGGCTGGGGACACGTGGCCGAGAACGGTGAGTGACCGGGAGGGGATTTGGGGGGAAATGGGGGGATTTGGTAAAAAACTAAAAAATGGGAAAGTTTGGCACAAAAATGGGGAAATTCGGCACGAAAAAACAAAAAAAAATGGGGAAATTCTGGTCGAAAAACCAAAAAAAATGATGAAGTTTGGTAGGGAAATGGGGGAATTTGGCACAAAAAACTAAAAAAATGGGGAAGTTTGGCAGGAAAAACAAAAAAATGGGGAAATTTGGCGGGAAAATGGGGAAATTTGGCCCAAAAATGGGGAAATTCAGGCTGAAAACTAAAAAAATGGCAAAATTTGGCAGGAAAACGGGGAAATTTAGCCAAAAAATGGGGAAATTTGGACAAAAAACACAAAAAATGGCAAAATTTGGCGGGAAAATGGGGAAATTCAGGCCAAAAAACCAAAAAATGGGGAAAATCAGCCCGAAAATGGGGAAATTCGGTGGGAAAATGGGGAAATTCAGTGGGAAAAAACAAAAAATGGGGAAATTCGGCAGGAAAAACCAAAAAATGGGGAAATTCGGTGGGAAAATGGGGAAATTCGGCCCGAAAAACACAGAAAATGGGGAAATTCGGCACAAAAATGGGGAGATTCGGGCCAAAAATGGGGAAATTTGGCGTGAAAAACAAAAAAATGGGGAAATTCGGACAAAAAACCAGAAAAATGGGGAAGTTCGGCCCGAAAATGGGGGAATTTGGCACAAAAATGGGGAAATTTGGGGGGGGAAATGGGGAAATTAGGCATGAGAAACCAAAAAAATGGGGAAATTCAGGCCAAAATGGGGAAATTTGGCTAAAAATGGGGAAGTTCGGCACAAAAATGGGGAAATTAAGCACAAAAAACTAAAAAAATGGGGAAATTCGGCCCAAAAATGGGGAAATTCGGCCTGAAAATGGGGAAATTCGGCCTGAAAATGGGGAAATTCGGCCTGAAAATGGGGAAATTCGGCCAGAAAAACCAAAAAAATTGGGGAAATTCGGACCGAAAATGGGGAAATTCAGCCAAAATCCACAAAAAATGGGGACGTTTGCGCTGAAAATGGGGAAATTCGGCACAAAAAATGGGGAAATTCAGCGTGAAAAGCCCAAAAATGACAAAACTTGGCCCAAAATGGGGAAATTCAACGCAAAAATGGGGAAATTCAGCCAAAAAACCATAAAAAATGGGGAAATTTGGCCTGAAAACTAAAAAATGGGGAAATTCGGCAGGAAAACACAAAAAAATGGGAAAATTCGGCCAAAAAACACAAAACATGGGGAAATTTGGGCCGAAAATGGGGAAATTCGGCCCAAAAAAACAAAAAATGGGGAAATTCGGACAAAAAACACAAAAAATGGGGAAATTCGGCACAAAAATGGGGAAATTTGACACGAAAATGGGGAATTCAGCCCCAAAACAGGAAAATCCAGCCAAAAAACCCAAAAAATAGGGAAATTCGGGCCAAAAATGGGGAAATTCAGCCCGAAAATGGGGAATTCGAGCCATAAATGGGGAAATTCAGCCAAAAAAGACAAAAAAATGGGGAAGTTCAGCCCAAAAATGGGGAAAATCGGTGGGAAAATGGGGAAATTTGGAAAAAAAAAACAGAAAAAATAGGGAAATTCAGCAAAAAAATGGGGAATTCAGGCCAAAAATGGGGAAATTCAGCGGGAAAATGGGGAAATTCAGCCAAAAAAAGCGAAAAAATGGGGAAATTCAGGCCGAAAACACAAAAAAATGGGGAAATTCGGGCTGAAAATGGGGAAATTTGGTGGGAAAATGGGGAAATTTGGCCAAAAAACATTAAAAAATGGGAAAATTCGGCGGGGGAATGGGGAAATTCGGCGGGAAAATGGGGAAATTCAGCCCAAAAAACCCCAATTTGGGGAGGGGGTCTCACCCTGAATTTGGGGAGGGGTCTGGGCTCAAATTTGGGGAGGGGTCTCAGTGAATTTGAGGAGGGGTCTCACCCCATTTTCAGGACCCTTCACGCCCCATTTTTCAAGTTTTTCCTCCATTTTTCCCCATTTTAACCCCATTTTTCGAGGTTTTTCCCCCGGGATTTCGGGGTTTTTTTGGGGAGGGGTCTCAGTGAATTTGGGGAGGGGTCTCTGTGAATTTGGGGAGGGGTCTCACCCCATTGTCGGGACCCATTTTCCATTTTCACCTCCATTTTTCCCCATTTTAACCCCATTTTTCGGTGTTTTTTGCCCGGAATTTCGGGTTTTTTTGGGGAGGGGTCTCAGTGGGTTTGGGGAGGGGTCTCACCCAATTTGGGGAGGGGGTCTCAGATGAATTTGGGGAGGGGTCTGGGCCCAATTTGGGGAGGGGTCTCACCCCATTGTCGGGACCCTTCACGCTCCATTTTTCGCCATTTTAACCCCATTTTTCACCATTTTAACCCCATTTTTCCCCATTTTAACCCCATTTTTCCCCATTTTAACCCCATTTTTCGGCGTTTTTTCCCCAGGATTTCAGGTTTTTTTTGGGGAGGGGTCTCTGTGAATTTGGGGAGGGGTCTGAGCCCAATTTGGGGAGGGGTCTCACCCCATTTTCAGGACCCTTCACGCCCCATTTTTCCCCTTCTTAACCCCATTTTTCACCATTTTAACCCCATTTTTCCCGGTTTTTCCCCGGGATTTCGGGGTTTTTTGGGGAGGGGGTCTCAGTGAATTTGGGGAGGGGTCTGGGCCCAATTTGGGGAGGGGTCTCACCTCTGGATCCCAAATTTGGGGAGGGGTCTGAGCCCAATTTGGGGAGGGGTCTCACCCCATTTTTGGTACCCTTCACGCCCCATTTTTCCCCTTTTTAATCCCATTTTTCGCCATTTTAACCCCATTTTTCGCCATTTTAACCCCATTTTTCACCATTTTAACCCCATTTTTCGGCGTTTTTTCCCCGGAATTTCGGCTTTTTTTTGGGGAGGGGGTCTCTGTGAATTTGGGGAGGGGTCTGGGCCCAATTTGAGGAGGAGTCTCACCCCATTTTTGGGACCCTTCACGCCCCATTTTTCCCCATTTTAACCCCATTTTTCACCATTTTAACCCCATTTTTCGAGGTTTTTTCCCCGGGATTTCGGGTTTTTTTTGGGGAGGGGGTCTCAGTGAATTTGGGGAGGGGTCTCACCTGTGAATCCCCAATTTGAGGAGGGGTCTCACCCCATTTTCGGGACCCTCCACGTCCCATTTTGGACTCTTCCACCCCATTTTTCATTTTTTTCCTCCATTTTCCCCCATTTTAACCCCATTTTTCGAGGTTTTCCCCCGGGATTTCGGGTTTTTTTTGGGGAGGGGTCTCTGATGAATTTGGGGAGGGGTCTGGGCCCAATTTGGGGAGGGGTCTCAGTGAATTTGGGGAGGGGTCTCACCCCATTTTCGGGACCCTTCACGCCACATTTTTCCCTTTTTTAACCCCATTTTTCACCATTTTAACCCCATTTTTCGGCATTTTTCCCCCGGGATTTCGGGGTCTTTTTGGGGAGGGGGTCTCGCTGAATTTGGGGAGGGGTCTCAGTGAATTTGGGGAGGGGTCTCACCGAATTTGGGGAGGGGTCTCACCCCATTTTCGGGACCCTTCACGCCCCATTTTTCATTTTTTTCCTCCATTTTTCCCCATTTTAACCCCATTTTTCGGCGTTTTTTCCCCATTTTTCGAGGTTTTTCCCCCGGGATTTCGGGTTTTTTTTGGGGAGGGGTCTCTGATGAATTTGGGGAGGGGTCTCAGCGCTGCCGCCCCCTCCCCAGTGTCGCTGCCCGCGGGGGCTCCGCTGCAGGAGGCGGCGCTGCCGCTCCTCTCTCCCCCCACCTGTAACTGCCTCTATTCCCACCTGAGGCGCCGCGACCTGGCCCGGCCCGCCCGGCCCGGGATGGTCTGTGCCGGGGGGGCAAGGGGGGGGCGCGGGGCCTGCCAGGTAATTTGGGGAGGGGTCTCACTGAATTTGGGGAGGGGTCTCGGGGGTCCCGGGTGGGATTTTCGGTGGTTTTGGGACACTTAAAGGGGTTTAAATTGGGATTTTCGGGACTAAAATTGGAATTTTTTGGCATTTTTCAGAGGTTAAATGGGGATTTTGGGGGGTAAAATGGGTCTGGGGGAGGTCCAGGAATTTGGGGAGGGGTCCCGGGGGTCCTGGGGGGTCCTGGGTGGGATTTTGGGTGGTTTTGGGGTAGTTAAAGGGGATTAAATTGGGATTTTGGGGGGGTTTCGGGGACTAAAATGCAGATTTCAGGAGGTTTTGGGGGGTAAAATGGGTCTGGGGGCGCTCCAGAACCTGCCAGGTAATTTGGGGAGGGGTCTCGGGGGTCCTGGGGGGCGTCTTTGGGGGTTAAATCGGGATTTTGGGGGGTTAAATTGGGATGTTGGGGGGTTTTTGGGGGGTAAAATGGGGATTTGGGGGGATAAAATGGGTCTGGGGGCGCTGTGGGAATTTGGGGAGGGGTCCTGGGTGGGATTTCGGGTGGTTTTGGGGTAGTTAAAGGGGGTAAAATGGGGATTTTTGGGGGTAAAATGGGTATTTGGGGGAGTAAAATGGGTCTGGGGGCGCTGTGGGAGCTGCCAGGTGAATTTGGGGAGGGGTCTCGGGGGTCTTGGGGGGGTCCTGGGGGGTTAAATTGGGATTTTGGGGGAAAAAAATGGGATTTTGGGGGAAAAAAATGGGATTTTCTGGGGTAAAATTGGGATTTTCGGGGGTTAAATGGGGATTTTGGGGGATTTTCTGGGGGTAAAATGGGTCTGGGGGTGCTCCGAGAATTTGGGGAGGGGTCCCAGGGGGTGTCTTTGGGGGTTAAATTGGGATTTTGGGGGGCAAAATGGGGATTTTGGGGGTTTAAATGGGGATTTTGGGGGTGATTTTGGGGGGGAAAAAAGGGGATTTTGGGGGGTAAAATTGGGATTTTTCAGGCATTTTTGGGGAATTAAATTGGTATTTTGGGGGTGATTTTGGGGAAAAAAGGGGCTTTTTGGTGGGAAAAAATGGAATTTTGGTGGGAAAAATGGAATTTTGGGGGGTAAAAATGGAATTTTGGGGGTAAAATTGGGATTTTCGGGGGTAAAATTGGGATTTTCAGGGGAAAAAATGGAATTTTGGGGTTAAAATTGGGATTTCTTGTTGGAAAAAATGGAATTTTGAGGGGAAAAATGGAATTTTGGTGGTAAAAAATGGGATTTTTGGGGGGTAAAATTGGGATTTTTGGGGGGAAAAAAGGGATTTTCTGGGGTAAAATTAGGATTTTTGGTGGGAAAAATTGGTATTTTTGGTACATTTTTGACGATTTAAATTGGGATTTTAGGGGGGTAAAATTGGGATTTTTGGTGCATTTTTGACAATTTAAACTGGGATTTTTGGGGGATAAAATTGAGATTTTTTTGGCAGTTTTGACGATTTAAATTGGTATTTTCGGTGCATTTTTGCCAATTTAAATTGTGACTTTTTGTAACCGTTTCCTGGGGCAGAATTTGGGGTAAATTTCGGTGTTTTTCCCCCCCAGGCGGACTCGGGGGGCGCCGTGAGCTGCGGGGGCGCCCCGGGCGGGCGCTGGGTGCAGTTCGGGGTGCTGAGCTTCGCCCTTGGGTGCGGCCGCCCCCACGGCCCCGCCCTGGCCACGGGGGTGGGGGGCGCCCACGGGCGCTGGCTGCGGCGGCACCTCCCCCCCGCCGCCTTCGTCCCCGAGCCGGGACCCCCCCCGGACCCCGAGATGGAGTTGGGGGTTTGTTACGGTGAGACCCCTCCCCAAAATTACCCAAATTACCCGAAATTCCCAAAAAAATCCACCTAAAATTACCCAAAATAGCCAAAAAATCCCATTAAAATCCCATAAAATACACTTAACATTGCCCCGGATCCGGAGATGGAGCTGGGGGTTTGTTACGGTGAGACCCCTCCCCAAAAATCCTGAAATTCCCAAAAAAATCCCAAAAAAATCCCATTAAAATAACCCAAAATAGCCCAAAAATTCCATTAAAATAGCCCAAAATAACAAAAAAATCCACCCAAAACTGACCCAAAACCCCTCCCGGACCCCCACATGGAGTTGGGGGTTTGTTACGGTGAGACCCCTCCCCAAATTCCCAAAAAATCACCAAAATTCCCAAAAATTCCCCAAAAAATCCACCTAAAATAACCCAAAATACGCCAAAAATTCCATAAAATACACCCAAAACTGACCCAAAATCATCCCCGGATCCCGACATGGAGCTGGGGGTTTGTTACGGTGAGACCCCTCCCCAAAATTACCCAAATTCCCAAAAAAATCCCCGAAATTCCCCAAAAAATCCCATTAAAATAACCGAAAATAGCCCAAAAATCCCATTAAAATGACACAAAATAGCCCAAAAATCCACTTAAAACTGACCCAAATCCGGACATGGAGTTGGGGGTCTGCTATGGTGAGACCCCTCCCCAAAATTACCCAAAAATCACCAAAATTCCCAAAAAAATCCCCGAAATTCCCGAAAAAATTCCATTAAAATACCCCAAAAATCCTATAAAATACTCCAAAATAGACCAAAAATCCCATAAAAACCACTCAAAACTGACCCAAATCTGGACATGGAGTTGGGGGTTTGTTACGGTGAGACCCCTCCCCAAAATTACCAAGAAATCACCAAAATTCCCAAAAAAATCCCTGAAATTCCCAAAAAAATCCCATTAAAATAACCAAAAATACCAAAAAATCCCATAAAATCCACCCAAAACTGACCCAAAATCCCCCCCGGATCCCGACATGGAGTTGGGGGTCTGTTACGGTGAGACCCCTCCCCAAAAAATCCTAAAATTCCCCGAAATTCCCAAAAAAATCCCCGAAATTCCCAAAAAAATCCACCTAAAATAACCAAAAATAGCCAAAAAATCCCATTAAAATCCCATAAAATACACTTAACATTGCCCCGGATCCGGAGATGGAGTTGGGGGTTTGTTACGGTGAGACCCCTCCCCAAAATACCCGAAATTCCCAAAAATTCCCAAAAAAATCCCATTAAAATAACCAAAAATACCAAAAAATCCACTTAAAACTGACCCAAATAGCCCCAAAATCCCATTAAAATAACCCAAATCCTCCCCAAAACTGGACCTGGAGTTGGGGGTCTGCTATGGTGAGACCCCTCCTCAAAAAATCCCAAAAATCCTGAAATTCCCAAAAAAATCCCCGAAATAATCCCATTGAAATAACCCAAAATAACATTAAAATACATCAAAATAACCCAAAATAACCCAAAAATCCACTTAAAAATGCCCCGGATCCAGACATGGAGTTGGGGGCTTGTTACGGTGAGACCCCTCCCCAAAATTACCAAAAATCCCCAAAATTCAAAAAAAAATCCCCGAATTTCCTCAAAAAAATCCACCTAAAATAACCCAAAAAATCCCATTAAAGTAACCCAAAATACCCCAAAAATCCCATAAAATACACTTAATATTGCCCCGGATCCCGACATGGAGTTGGGGGTCTGCTACGGTGAGACCCCTCCCCAAAATTACCAAAAAATCCCAAAAAAATCCCCAAAAAATTCCATTAAAATAACACAAAATAGCCAAAAAATCCCATTAAAATAGGCCAAAAATCCCATAAAATCCACTCAAAACTGCCCCAAAATCTTTCCCCAAAACCTCCCAACCCCTGACCCCTCCCCCTCTCCCAGGCCCCTCCCCCAATCCCTGACCCCTCCCCAACCCCTGACCTCTGACCCCTGACCCCTTCCCCACAAACCCCTCCCCCAACCCTTGACCCCTCCCCCAACCCCTGACCCCTCCCCTGACCCCTCCCCCTCTCCCAGGCCCCTCCCCCATTCCCTGACCCCTCCCCCATTCCATGACCTCTGACCCCTCCCCCAACCCCTGACCCCTGACCCCTGACCCCTCCCCCACAAACCCCTCCCCGAAATCCATGACCCCTCCCCCAACCCCTGACCTCTGACCCCTGACCCCTCACCCTTCCCCCACAAACCCCTCCCCCAACCCCTGACACCTCCCCAACCCCTGACCTCTGACCCCTGACCCCCTCCCCCAATCCCTGCCCCCTCCCCCAACCTCTGCCCCCCCCAACCCCTGACCTCTGACCCCTGACCCCTCCCCCACAAACCCCTCCCCCAATTCCTGACCCCTGACCGCTCCCCCAACCCCTGACCCCTGACCCCTCCCCCAACCCCTGACCCCTGACCCCTCCCCCAACCCCTGACCCCTCCCCCAACCCCTGACCCCTCCCCCAACCCCTGACCTCTGACCCCTGACCCCTCCCCCAAACCCTTGCCCCCTCCCCCATTCCCTGACCCCTCCCCCAACCCCTGACCTCTGACCCCTGACCCCTCCCCCAAAAACCCCTCCCCCAACCCCTGACCCCTCCCCAATCCATGACCCCTCCCCCAACCTGTGACCCCTCCCCCATCCTCAGGCCACGCCCCTCCCTTGACCCCTCCCCCAACCCCTGGCCCCGCCCCCAATCCATAACCCCTCCCCCAACCCCTGACCTCTGACCCCTCACCCTTCCCCCACAAACCCCTCCCCCAATCCCTGACCCCTCCCCCACCCCCTGACCCCTGACCCAACCCCCAACCCCTGACCTCTCCCCCATTCCCTGACCCCTCCCCCAACCCCTGACCTCTGACCCCTCTCTGGGACCCGCCCCCATTTTTTACCCCACCCCCTTTTTGGCCCCTCCCCTTTTAGCCCCTCCCCGTTTTGGCCCCGCCCCCTTTTTGGCCCAACCCCCTGTCTCTCTGACCCCACCCCCAATTTTGTCCCCGCCCCTTTTGGCCCCGCCCCCTTTGGCCCCGCCCCATCCCTGACCCCTCCCCCAACCCATGACCCCTCCCCCCCTTTAGCCCCACCCCTCCCTGGCCCCGCCCCATTTTAGCCCCGCCCCCTGACCCTTTGGCCCCGCCCCCTGACTGTTGCCCCTCCCCTTTCCCTGACCCCGCCCCCTTTCCCTGGCCCCGCCCCCTGACTCTCTGGCCCCTGACCCCTCCCCCAATCCCTGAGCCCCCTAACCCCTGACCTCTGACCCCTGACCCCTCCCCCACAAACCCCTCCCCCTCTCCCTGGCCCCGCCCCCCTTTTAAACCCCACCCCCTCCCTGCCCCTCCCCCTTTTAGCCCCGCCCCCTTTTAGGCCCCGCCCCCTTTTTGGTCCCACCCCCTATGGCCCCGCCCCCTGATTCTCTGGCCCCTCCCCCTTTTTAGCCCCACCCCTATTTTTGGCCCCACCCCCTTTTTGGCCCCTCCCCTTTTAGCCCCTCCCCCTTTTGGGCCCGCCCCCTTTTTGGCCCAACCCCCTGTCTCTCTGACCCCACCCCCAATTTTGTCCCTGCCCCTTTTGACCCCTCCCCCATCCCTGACCCCTCCCCAACCCCTGGCCCCACCCCTTTATGGCCCCACCCCCTTTAGCCCCGCCCCCTTTCTGAGGCCCCGCCCCCTGACTCTTGGCCCCTCCCCCCAGGCTGCGGCACCTCCGGGGGTCCCCCCCTGCCCCTCCCCCCTCCCCCCCGCTGGCCCTGGGGGGTCTCCCTGCGGGGGGGGGAGGGGCGGCGCTGCGGGGGGGCGCTGCTGGGGGGGGGATGGGTCCTGACGGCCGCCAGCTGCTTCATCGGGTGAGTCATTACCGCTAATTAGCGTTAATTAATGTTCATTAACAATAATTACCCCAAAAACGCGGGAATTAACCAAAAAACCCCCGAAAATCTGCGCGAAATTAACACAAATTAACCCAAATTAACCCAAAATCCACCCCCTGCTGCTTCATCGGGTGAGTCATTACCGCTAATTAGCGTTAATTAATGTTAATTAACAATAATTAACCCAAAAAAGCGGGAATTAACCAAAAAACCCCCAAAAATCTGCGCGAAATTAACCCAAATTAACCCAAATTAACCCAAAATCCACCCCCTGCTGCTTCATCGGGTGAGTCGTTACCGCTAATTAGCGTTAATTAATGTTCATTAACAATAATTAACACAAAAACGTGGGAATTGACCAAAAAACCCCCAAAAATCTGCGTGAAATTAACCCAAATTAACCCAAAATTAACCCTAAATCCACCCCCTGCTGCTTCATCGGGTGAGTCATTAGCGATAATTAGCGTTAATTAATGTTAATTAACGGGAATTAACCCAAAAACGCGGGAATTAACCAAAAAACCCCGAAAATCTGCGCGAAATTAACACAAATTAACCCAAATAACCCCAAATTTCACCCAAATTCACCCAAATCCACCCCCGGCTGCTTCATCGGGTGAGTCATTAGCGGTAATTAGCGTTAATTAATATTAATTAACAATAATTAACCCAAAACCGCGGGAATTAACCAAAAAACCCCCAAAAATCTGCGCGAAATTAACCCAAATTAACACAAATTAACCCCAAATCCACCCCCTGCTGCTTCATCGGGTTAGTCATTAGCGGTAATTAGCGTTAATTAATGTTAATTAGCGATAATTAACCCAAAAACGCGGGAATTAATTAAAAAAACCGCGAAAATCTGCACGAAATTAACCCAAATTAACACAAAATTAACCCCAAATCCACCCCCTGCTGCTTCATCGGGTGAGTCATTACCGCTAATTAGCGTTAATTAATGTTAATTAACAATAATTAACCCAAAACCACGGGAATTAACCAAAAAAACCCCCAAAATCTGCGTGAAATTAACCCAAATTAACCCAAATTAACCCCAAATATACCCCCTGCTGCTTCATCGGGTGAGTCATTAGTGATAATTAGCGTTAATTAGTGTTCATTAACAATAATTAACCCAAAAACGCGGGAATTAATTAAAAAAACTGCGAAAATCTGTGTGAAATTCACCCAAATTAACCCAAAATTAACCCCAAATTCCCCAAATTTTCCCGAATTTCCCCCAAATCTTCCAAATTTCCCCCAAATTCACCCGAATTCCCCAAATTTTCCCAAATTTCCCCCAAATTTTCCCAAATTTCCCCCAAATTGCCCCGAATTCCCCAAATCTCCTAAATTTCCTCCAAATCTCCAAAATTTCCCTAAAAATCCCCAAATTTTCCTGTATTTCCCCCAAATTCCCCCAAATTTTCCCAAATTTCCCCCAAATTCCCCAAATTTTCCTGAATTTCCCCCAAATTCACACAAATTTCCCCCAAATTGCCCAAATTTTCCCGAATTTCCCCCAAATTCCCCCGAATCTCCCAAATTTCCCCCAAATTCACCCAAATTCCCCAAATTTTCCCGAATTTCCCCCAAATTCACCCAAAATTTCCCCCAAATCTCCCAAATTTCCCCCAAATTCACCCGAATTCCCCAAATTTTCCCGAATTTCCCCCAAATATCCGAAATTTCCCCCAAATCTCCTAAATTCACCCAAATTCTCCCAAATTTCCCCCAAATTCACCCAAATTTCCCCCGAATTCCCCAAATTTCCCCAAATTTCCCCCAAATTCACCCAAATTTCCCCCAAATATCCCAAATTTCCCCCAAATCTCCCAAATTTCCCCCAAATTCCCCAAATTTTCCCAAATTTACCCCAAATTCTCCCAAATTTCCCCCAAATTTCCCCAAATTCCCCAAATTTCCCCGAATTTCCCCCAAATTCCTCAAATTTCCCTGAATTTCCCCCAAATCTCCTGAATTTCCCCCAAATTCACCCAAATTTCCCCCAAATTCCCCAAATTTTTCCAAATTTCACCCGAATCCCCCACATTTCCCCCAAATCCCCCAAATTTCCCCCAAATCTCCCAAATTTTCCCCAAATTACCCACATGTTCCCAAATTTTCCCAAATTTCCCCAAAATTAACCCATATTTCCCCCAAATCTCCCAAATTTCCCCCAAATTCCCCTGAATTCCCCAAATTTCCCCGAATTTCCCCCAAATTAACCCATATTTTCCCCAAATCGCCCAAATTTCCTCGAAATCTCCCAAATTTCCCTAAAAATCCCCAAATTTTCCTGTATTTCCCCCAAATTCACCCATATTTCCCCGAAATCTCCCAAATTTACCCCAAATTCCCCCGAATTCCCTAAATTTTCCCGAATTTCCCCCAAATTTTCCCGTATTTCCCCCGAATTCACCCAATTTTCCCCCAAATCTGCCAAATTTACCCCAAATTCACCCGAATTCCTCAAATTTTCCCAAATTTCCCCCAAATTCCCCAAATTTTCCCCGAATTTCCCCCAAATTAACCCATATTTCCCCCAAATATCCCAAATTTTCCCAAATTTCCCCCAAATTTTCCCGTATTTCCCCTGAATTCACCCAAATTTCCCCCAAATCTCCCAAATTTCCCCCAAATCTTCCAAATTCCCCCGAATTCCGGAAATTTTCCCAAATTTCCCCCAAATCTCCCAAATTTCCCCCAAATCTCCCAAATTTCCCCTGAATTCCCCAAATTTTCCCGAATTTCCCCCGAATTCCCCAAATTTCCTCCAAATTCCCCAAATTTCCCCCAAATTCCCCAAATTTTTCCGGATTTCCCCCAAATTCAGCCACGATTCCCCCAAATCTTCCAAATATCCCCCAAATTCACCCGAATTCCCCAAATTTTCCCAAATTTCCCCCAAATTCACCCAAATCTCCCAAATTTCCTCCAAACTTACCCGAATTCCCCAAATTCACCCAAATTTCCCCAAATCTCCCAAATTTCCCCCAAATTCACCCATATTTCCCCCGAATTTCCCCAAATTTACCCAAATTTCCCCGAATTCCCCAAATTCCCCCGAATTTCCCCGTTTCTCTCCCCGCAGGGCTCAGGACCCCGAGGCCTGGGAGGCGGAGCTCTGGGGGGCGGAGCCCGAAAGCCACGCCCCCTTTTCCACTGACTCCGCCCCCTCCAACCACACCCACTCACGCCCCTCCCCCTTTATTAGCCCCTCCCCCTCCTCTGACCCCTCCCACTCAAGCCCCTCCCCCTCCACTGACAACACCCATCCAGGCCACGCCCCCTCTGACCCCTCCCATTTAAGCCCCTCCCCCACCCCCTCTGACCCCTCCCCCTTATCTGACCCCTCCCACTCAAGCCCCTCCCCCTCAATTGACCACACCCATTCTGGCCCCGCCCCCTCTGACCCCTCCCACTTAAGCCCCTCCCCCTTATCTGACCCCTCCCCCTTATCTGACCCCGCCCATTCAGGCCCCTCCCCCTCTCTTAGCCCCTCCCCCTCCTCTGACCACACCCATTCAGGCCCCTCCCCCTCCCCTGGCCCCTCCCACTCAAGCCCCTCCCCCTCTGACCACTCCCCTTCTCCAAGCCACGCCTCCTCAACTGACCACACCCATTTTAGCCCCTCCCCCTTATCTGACCCCTCCCCCTCCTCTGACCCCGCCCATTATGGCCCCTCCCATTTTGGCCCCGCCCCTTCTGACCCCTCCCACTTAAGCTCCTCCCCTTCTGACCACTCCCCTTCTCCAAGCCACGCCCCCTCTTTTAGCCCCTCCCCCTCCATTGACCACACCCCCTCTGACCCCTCCCCCTTATCTGACCCCTCCCTTTTAAGCCCCGCCCCCTCTGACCCCACCCACTCAGGCCCCTCCCCCTCCTCTGGCTCCGCCCCCTCTGACCCCTCCCACTCAAGCCCCTCCCCCTCCAATGACCCCACCCACTCAAGCCCCTCCCCCTCCTCTGACCACACCCATTTTAGCCCCTCCCCCTTATCTGACCCCTCCCATTCTGGCCCCTCCCCCTCCAGTGACCACACCCATTCTAGCCCCGCCCCATTATCTGACCCCTCCCACTCAGGCCCCTCCCCCTCTGACCCCTCCCCCTTATCTGACCCCTCCCATTTAAGCCCCTCCCCCTCTCTTAGCCCCTCCCACTCCTCTGACCCCTCCCACTTAGGCCCCTCCCCCTCCATTGACCACACCCACTCTGGCCCCGCCCCCTCTGATTCCACCTCCTCTCCAAGCCACGCCCCCATTAATTCAGGCCCCGCCCCCTCTGGCCCCTCCCACTCAAGCCCCTCCCCCTCCAATGACCCCTCCCCCTCTGGCCCCTCCCCCTGCTCCCCAGGCCCCGCCCCCTCATTAAGCCCCGCCCCCCGCGGGTCGAAGCTCCGCCTCCACGGCGCCTTCGCGGGGGCGTGGCCTGGGGAGGGGGCGGGGCCTGGGGAAAAGGGGGCGGGGCCTGACCTGGCGCTGCTGCAGCTCCGCCCCTCCCCCCGCTGGGGGCCGAAGCTCCGCCCCCTCTGCGCCCCCTACCGGGACCACCCCAAACCTCACCTGGGCACCCCAAAAACTCACCTGGGCACACCTGGGCACCCCAAAACGCACCTGGGGGGCACCTGCTGGGCGCTGCGGGCAGGTGAGGGACCCCAAAAATCCTCCAAAAATCATCCCAAAACTCACCTGGGCACCCCAAAACTGACCTGGGCACACCTGGGAACCCCAAACCTCACCTGGGCACCCCAAAAATTCACCTGGGAACCCCAAAATTCACCCCAAAACTCACCTGGGCACCCCAAAAACTCACCTGGGCACACCTGGGCACCCCGAAACGCACCTGGGGGGCACCTGCTGGGCGCTGCGGGCAGGTGAGAAACCCAAAATCACACCAAAATTCACCCCGAAACTCACCTGGGAACCCAAAAACTCACCTGGGCACCCCTGGGCACCCCTGGGTACACCTGGGTACACCTGGGCACACCTGGGCACACCTGGGCACCCCAAAACTCACCTGGGGGGCACCTGCTGGGCGCTGCGGGCAGGTGAGGGACCCCAAAAACTCACCTGGGAACACCTGGGCACCCCAAAAACTCACCTGGGCACCCCAAAATTCACCCCAAAACTCACCTGGGCACACCTGGGCACCCCGAAACTCACCTGGGCACACCTGGGCACCCCGAACCTCACCTGGGCACCCCAAAAACTCACCTGGGCACACCTGGGCACCCCGAAACGCACCTGGGGGGCACCTGCTGGGCGCTGCAGGCAGGTGAGAAACCCCAAAATCACCCCAAAATTCACCCCAAAACTCACCTGGGCACCCCAAAATTACCCCAAAACTCACCTGGGCACCTCAAAAACTCACCTGGGCACCCCAAAATTCACCTGGGAACCCCAAAACTCACCTGGGCACCCCGAAACTCACCTGGGCACCCCAAAATTCAACCCAAAACTCACCTGGGGGGCACCTGCTGGGCGCTGCGGGCAGGTGAGGAACCCAAAATCACCCAAAAATCACCCCAAAAACTCACCTGGGAACCCCAAAATTCACCTGGGCACCCCAAAAACGGACCCAAAAACTCACCTGGGCACACCTGGGCACACCTGGGGCACATTTTGGGCACACCTGAGCACACCTGGGGGATATTTTGGGTATATTTTGGGCACACCTGGGCACACCTGGGCACACCTGGGCACACCTGGGCACCCCAAAACTCACCTGGGCACCCCAAAACTCACCTGGGCACCCCAAAACTCACCTGGGCACCCCCAAACTCACCTGGGCACCCCAAAATACCCCAAAACACACCTGGGGGACATTTTGGGCACACCTGGGGCACACCTGGGCACACCTGGGCACACCTGGGGGGTACCTGGAGCACACCTGGGCACATTTTGGGCACACCTGGGCACACCTGGGGCACACCTGGGCACACCTGGGCACACCCAAAACACACCTGGGCACACATGGGGGATATTTTGGGCACACCTGGGCACACCTGGGCACACCTGGGGCACATTTTGGGCACACCTGAGCACACCTGGGGCACACCTGGGCACACCTGGACACACCTGGGGGATATTTTGGGCACATTTTGGGCACACCTGGGCACACCTGGGCACACCTGGGCACACCTGGGGCACACCTGGGCACACCTGGGGGCACCTGGACACACCTGGGCACACCTGGGGGGTATTTTGGGCACACCTGGGGCACATTTTGGGCACACCTGGGCACAATTTGGGCACACCTGGGCACACCTGGGCACATTTTGGGCACACCTGGGCACACCTGGGCACACCTGAGCACATTTTGGGCACACCTGGGCACACCTGGGCACACCTGGGCACATTTTGGGCACATTTTGGGCACACCTGGGCACATCTGGGCACATTTTGGGCACACCTGGGCACATTTTGGGCAGATTTTGGGCACACCTGGGCACACCTGGGCACACCTGGGCCCATTTTGGGCTCTATTTGGGCACACCTGGGCACAAGTTGGGCACACCTGGGGGACATTTTGGGCACATTTTGGGCTCACCTGGGCACACCTGGGCACACCTGGGATACACCTGGGGGATATTTTGGGCACACCTGGGGCACACCTGGGGCTCACCTGGGCACACCTGGGGCACACCTGGGCACACCTGGGGGACATTTTGGGCACATCTGGGGCACACCTGGGCACACCTGGGCACACCTGGGCACACCTGGGGCACACCTGGGGGATACCTGGGACACACCTGGGGCACAGCTGGGCACACCTGGGCACATTTTGGGCACACCTGGGCTCACCTGGGCACACCTGAGGACACCTGGGCAGATTTTGGGCACATTTTGGGCACACCTGGGCACACCTGGGGCACACCTGGGCACACCTGGGCACATTTTGGGCACATTTTGGGCACACCTGGGCACATTTTGGGCACACCTGGGCACACCTGGGCACACCTGAGGCTCTCCCCTCCCCCCCCAGACCCTTCGGACCCCGCCCGGCTCCGCCCGGTTCAGGTGCGGCTCCGGCGCTGCCCCGAAAACGCCGAAAACGGCCCCAAAAACGGCCCCGAAAAATTCTGCACCGACGGCGACGCCCCCGCCCAGGTGGGGGAAGGGATTTGGGGGGAATTCCGGGGATTTCGGGAAAATTCGGGAATTTTGGGGGAAATCGGGGAAAATTTGAGGGAAAAATGGCGGAATTTGGGGGAAATTTGGGAAAAAATTTGGGATTTTGGGGGAAAATTGGGAATTTTGAAGGTTTTGGGTGATTTGGGATTTTTTTTGGAAATTTTGGGGAAAATTTGCGATTTCGGGGAATTTTGGGGGGAAAAATTGGGATTTTGGGGAAATTTGGGGAAAATTTGAGGAAAAAGTTGCGGAAATTGGGGGAAATTTGGGGGAAAAATCGGGAATTTGGAGGGTTTTGGGTAATTTGGGATTTTGGGAAAATTTGGGGAATTTGAGGAAAATTTGGGATTTGGGGATTTTGGGGCGGTTTTTGGGGTCGTTTTTGGGATGATTTTGGGATATTTTGGAGCAGTTTTTGGGGGATTTCAGGGCTGATTTTGGAGCATATTTGGGGTATTTTGGGGCCATTTTTGGGGTATTTTTGGTTTGATTTTTGGGTCAGTTTTCAGGCATTTTGGGACCATTTTTGGGGTGGTTTTTGGACATTTTTGGGGTGTTTTTTTTGGCATTTCAGGACCATTTTTGGGGCCGTTTTTGGGGTATTTCGGGGCAGATTTGGGGCTGATTTTGGGATCATTTTTGGGGTATTTCGGGACCATTTTTGGGTTGGTTTTTGGGACCATTTTTGGGGCGGTTTTTGGGGCATACTTGGGGAAATTTGGGGTTGATTTTGGGTTTATTCTTGCACACTTTGGGGCCATTTTTGGGGTTGATTTTGGTATGGTTTTTGGGGTATTTTGGGACCATATTTGGGGTGGTTTTTGGGGTATTTTGGGACCTTTTTTGGGATGGTTTTTGGGACCATTTTTGGGGTGGTTTTTGGGGTATTTTGGGACCATTTTTGGGGCAGTTTTTGGGGTATTTTGGGACCATTTTTGGGGTATTTTGGGACCATTTTTGGGACAGTTTTTGGGGTATTTCGGGACCATTTTTGGGATCGTTTTGGGGTATTTTGGGGCGGTTTTTGGGGTATATCGGGACCATTTTTGGGAAGGTTTTTGGGGTAATTTGGGACGATTTTTGGGGTATTTCAGGACCTTTTTTGGAGCGGTTTTTGGGGTATTTTGGGACCATTTTTGGGATCATTTTTGGGGTATTTTGGGACGGTTTTTAAGGTATTTCGGGACCATTTTTGGGGTATATGGGGACCATTTTTGGGGCTGTTTTGGGGGTATTTTGGGACCATTTTTGGGATTATTTTTGGGGTATTTTGGGACCATTTTTGGGGTGGTTTTTTGGGGTATTTTGGGACCATTTTTGGGATGGTTTTGGGGGCATTTCGGGACCATTTTTTGGGACGGTTTTTGGGGTATTTTGGGACCATTTTTGGGGCGGTTTTTGGGGTATACTTGGGGAAATTTGGGGATGATTTTGGGTTTATTCTTGCACACTTTGGGGCCATTTTTGGGGTTGATTTTGGGATGGTTTTTGGTGTATTTCGGGACCATTTTCGGGATCATTTTTGGGGCATTTTGGGACCATTTTTGGGATGGTTTTGGGGGTATTTTGGGACGGTTCTTGGGGTATTTCGGGACCATTTTTGGGGTATTTCGGGACCATTTTTGGGGCATTTTGGGACCATATTTGGGGTTGGTTTTTGGGGCATTTCGGGACCAGTTTTGGGTCGGTTTTTGGGGCATTTCGGGACCGTTTTTGGGATGGTTTTTGGGACTATTTTTGGGGTATTTCGGGACCATTTTTGGGGCGGTTTTTGGGACATATCGGGACCATTTTTGGGGCATTTTGGGACCATTTTTGGGTCGGTTTTTGGGGTATTTCGGGACGGTTTTTGGGGTATTTCGGGACCATTTTTGGGATGGTTTTTGGGGCATTTTAGGACCATTTTCAGGATCATTTTTGGGGCATTTTGGGACCATTTTGGGGAATTTTTTTTTTGGAAATTTGTGTCTCTCCATCAACCTGAGGATTTTATTTTCGGGGTCCCCCCCAGGCGGATTTTTTGGGGTCCCCCCTGGCCTGCGAGGAGCGGGGCCTGTGGTTCCTGCTGGGCGTGGCCGCCCCGCCCGTCCCGGGGGACCCCCCGAAATTCACGGCGGTGCCGCCCCACGAGCGATGGATTTCGGGGGTCGCCCGCGAGGTTTTGTTCGCCGAGACCCCCCCGGACCCCCGAGAGGAGGAGCTGGAGGAGCTCCAGGGGGACCCCGACAGCGCCCCCGAGGGGCCGCACCCCGAAATCGGCACCGGGGACCCCGAAATCGAGGAGGGCGACCCCGAATTTTGGGGGGGCTCCGGGAATTTGAGGAGATCCGGGAATTCGGAGACCCCCGAAAATTTGGGAACCCCCATGATGTCAACAAAGCCCGAAAATTTGGGGACCCCCAAAAATTTGGGGACCCCTATGACGTCACCAAAGCCCGAAAATTTGGGGACCCCCGAAAATTTAGGGACCCCCATGACGTCACCAAAGCCCGAAAATTTGGGGACCCCCCCGGAAAATTTGGGGACCCCTATGACGTCACCAAAGCCCGAAAATTTGGGGACCCCCAGGAATTTGGGAACATCACCTGACCCTGGGATTTTGGGGACCCCCGAAAATTTGGGGACCCCCAGGAATTTATGGACCCCCGAAAATTTGGGAACGTCACCTGACCCTGGGATTTTGGGGACCCCCGAAAATCTGGGGACCCCCATGACGTCACCAGAGCCCGAAAATTTGGGGACCCCCGAAAATTTGGGGACCCCTGAGGGTTTGGGGACCCCCAGAAATTTGGGGAACCCCGAAAATTTGGGGACCCCCATGACGTCACCGGACCCCCCAAATAATTTGGGGACCCCCGAAAATTTGGGGACCCCTATGACGTCACCAAAGCCCGAAAATTTGGGGACCCCCGAAAATTTGGGGACCCCCACGACGTCACCAGAGCCCGAAAATTTGGGGACCCTCAGGAATTTGGGGACCCCCGAAAATTTGGGGACCCCCATGACGTCACCAAAGCCCGAAAATTTGGGGACCCCTGAGGGTTTGGGGACCCCCGAAAATTTGGGGACCCCCATGACGTCACCGGACCCCCCAAATAATTTGGGGACCCCCCCGGAAAATTGGGGCGACCCCGAACCCCCCCAAGACCCCAAAATTCCCTAAAAAAAATTTGGGGTGGGGGAGGGGGGGGGAAAGGGGTCGGCCCCTCCCCCACCCGCCGATTTTGGGGATTTTTGGGGGGATTTTGGGCAATAAAAGGTGGTGGAGAAGCAGAACCCCGAGTCGGGTTTGGGTTTTTTGTTTTTGGGGGGAAAAATTCCCCAAAAAATTCCCCAAAAAATTCCCCAAAAAATTTTGGGAAATTTCGGTTTTGGGGGTTCGTCTCTCCCCTCCCCTGAAAAAAAAAAAAACAAACCAAAATTGCCTCAAATTGACCCAAATTTAATCCAGAAATTCAAAATTTCACCCCAAATCACTCCCAAAAAACCCAAAAAATAAAAACTCATCGAAAAAAAGCACCAGGAAGCCAAAGAATGGCAAAATCACCCTAAAAACCCCAAAATATAAAAAAATAAAACCAGAAATCTTCTCAAAACATGAAATCATCCCAAAAAATCCCAAATTCCCCCTAAAAACCCAAAAATACAAAAAAAAAAAAAAAAATCCACAAATCCTCTTAAAACATGAAACCATCCCAAAAAAATCCCAAATTCCCACTAAAAACCCAAAATCCCCCCCCAAAAAATCTCAAACCCCCCTAAAAGCAAAAAAAAAAAAACCAAAAAAACCCAAATCCCCTCAAAAACCCAAAATCCCCTCCAGAAAACCCCAAAATTTCCTAAAATACCCCCAAAACTCAAAAGCACCTCAAAAAACACCAAAAACACCCAAAAACGCCCTAAAAAAGTCAAAAATAGCCCCAAAAAACCCAAAGCTCCCTAAAAATTCCAAAATCTCAAAAAAAAACCCCAAAGCTGCACCAAAAATACCCAAAACCTTCTAAAAATCCCAAATTCCCCAAAAAACCATAAATCACCTCAAAAAAAACCCCGAAAAAATCCCAAAATCCCTTTTAAAAACCCCAAAACCCCCAAAATTTTCCCCAAAACCCAAAAAATCCTCCCAAAAACCCCCAAAATTTCCCAAAATCCCCTTTAAAAACCCCAAAATCCCCTTTAAATACCCCAAAACCCCCAAAATTTCCCCCAAACCCCAAAATCCTCCCAAAAAACCCCAAAATTTCCCAAAATCCCCTTTAAAAACCCCAAAATCCCTTTTAAAAACCCCAAAACCCCCAAAATTTCCCCAAAACTCCCAAAATCCTCCCGAAAAACCCCAAAATTTCCCAAAATCCCCTTTAAAAACCCCAAAATTCCCTTTAAATACCCCAAAACCCCCAAAATTTCCCCAAAACTCCCAAAATCCTCCCGAAAATCCCCAAAAAATCCCAAAATCCGCTTTAAAAACCCCAAAATCCCCTTTAAATACCCCAAAACCCCCAAAATTTCCCGAAAACCCCAAAATACTCCCAAAAAACCCCAAAAAATCCCAAAATCCGCTTTAAAAACCCCAAAATCCCCTTTAAATACCCCAAAACCCCCAAAATTTCTCCAAAACTCCCAAAATCCTCCCAAAAAACCCCAAAATCCTCCCAAAAAACCCCAAAATTTCCCAAAATCCCCTTTAAAAACCCCAAAATCCCTTTTAAAAACCCCAAACCCCCAAAATTTCCCCAAAACCCCAAAATTTCCGCAAAACTCCCAAAATCCTCCCAAAAAACCCCAAAATCTTCCCAAAAAACCCCAAAATTTCCCAAAATCCCCTTTAAATACCCCAAAATCCCTTTAAATACCCCAAAACCCCCAAAATTTCCCCAAAACTCCCAAAATCCTCCCGAAAAACCCCCAAAATCCTCCCAAAAAACCCCAAAATTTCCCAAAAACCCCAAAATTTCCCAAAATCCCCCCAAAATCCCAAAATACTCCCAAAAAACCCCCAAAATTTCCCAAAATCCCCTTTAAATACCCCAAAACCCCCAAAATTTCCCCAAATCTCCCAAAATCTTCCCAAAAAAACCCCAAAATCCTCCCAAAAAACCCCAAAATCTTCCCAAAAAACCCCAAAATTTCCCAAAATCCCCCCAAAATCCCCCCGCCCCTCCCTCCGCCCCTCCCCCACCCGCGATGCGGAAGCGCTTTGGCCACGCCCCTTTTTTCCCATCCCCCCTTTCAGCCAATCAGCGCCTTCGCCGTCTCCGGGCTCAGCCAATCAGCGCGAGGCCCTCCCCGGAAGCTCCGCCCCCTCCGCCCCTCCCCCACCGCGGCCGCGGAGCCGCCGCCGCTCCAGGTAAGAATTTTTTGGGGATTTTTGGGGGATTTTTGGGGATTTTGGGGGATTTGGGAGCCCCTCCCCCACCCCCCAATGTCAGGCGGCCCCTCCCCCACCGCTCCGAAAAAAATTTGGGGAAAAAAGCCAAAAAATGGCAAAAAAAGAGGCCCAAAAAAGCGAAAATTAAAAGAGAAAAATCAAAAAAAGGCTCAAAAAAACCCCCCAAAAAAACCCCAAAAAAAAGCCAAAAAAAAGGCCCAAAAAAGCGAAAATTTAAAAAGAAAAATCAAAAAAAGCCTCAAAAAACCCCCCCGAAAAAAAACCCCAAAATAGGCAAAAAGGCAGAAAAAAACCCCAAACCACAAAAAAATTAAAAAAAAGAAAAATTCCAATAAAAACCCAAAAGAACTCCCACCCAAAAAAAACCGCAAAAGAACCCCCAAAAAAACCGAAAAAAAAAAACATAAAAAAGGGAATTTTTCACCTTTTCCCCACCCCAAAATCGTCCAGACCCTCCCCCCCCCCCCAATAAAAATTTTGGGGGAAAAAGCCCCAAAAATATTAAAAAAAAACCACAAATAAACAAAAAATCACAGAAAAAATCCCCACAAAAAGCAAAAATAGCCCAAAAAACCCAAAGGAAACATTCCATATAACCCCAAAAAAAACCCCAAAATACAAAAAAAAAAGCCCAAAAAATCCCCCAAAAAATCCCCAGACAAAAAAATCCCCAAAAATCCCAAAAATACAAAAAAAAACCCCAAAAATCCCCAGACAAAAAAATCCCCAAAAAACCCAAAAATACAAAAAAAAACCCCCAAAATAATCACCAGACAAAAAAATCCCCAAAAATCCCAAAAATACAAAAAAAAACCCCAAAAAATCCCCAAATAAAAAAATCAAAAAAAATCCAAAAAAATCCCAAAAATACGAAAAAAAACCCCAAAAAAATCCCCAGACAAAAAAATCCCCAAAAATCCCAAAAATACAAAAAAAAACCCCAAAAAATCCCCAAACAAAAAATCCAAAAAAATCCCAAAAATCCCAAAAAAAAAAACCCCAAAAAAATCCCCAAATAAAAAAATACCCAAAAATCCCAAAAATACAAAAAAAACCCCAAAAAAATCCCCAGACAAAAAAATCCCCAAAAATCCCAAAAATATAAAAAAAAACCCCCAAAAATCCCCAGACAAAAAAAATCCCCAAAAAACCCAAAAATACAAAAAAAACACCCCAAAATAATCACCAGACAAAAAAATCCCCAAAAATCCCAAAAATACAAAAAAAGCCCCGAAAGAAACCCAAAAATACCCCAACCCCAAAAACCAAAAAAAAAAAAAAACCCCAAAAAACCCCAAAACCTCAAAAAATAATTAAAAAAAAAACAAACCTGAAGAAAAAACCCAAAAAAACCCCAAAAAAACCCCAAAAATAATTTTAAAAAAACCAAGCCTGAAAAAAAAACCCCAAAAAACCCCAAAAAATAATTAAAAAAAAAAAAACCCTGACGAAAAAACCCAAAAAAACCCCAAAACCCCAAAAATAATTAAAAAAAATAAACCTGAAGAAAAAAACCCAAAAAAACCCCAAAACTCAAAAAAATAATTAAAAAAAAACAAACCTGAAAAAAAAAACCAAAAAAACCCCAAAACCCCAAAAATCATTAAAAAAAAAAACAAACCTGAAAATAAAAACCAAAAAAACCCCAAAAACACCCCAAAAATAAATTAAAAATAAAAAACCTGAAGAAAAAACCCAAAAAAACCCCAAAACCCCAAAAAATAATAAAAAAAAAACCTGAAGAAAAAACCCAAAAAACCCCAAAACCCCAAAAATAATAATAATAAAAAAAACAAACCTGAAGAAAAAACCAAAAAAAAACCCCAAAAATAATTAAAAAAAAACCAACCTGAAGAAAAAACCCAAAAAACCCCCAAAAAACCCCAAAAAATAATAAAAAAAAAACAAATCTGAAAAAAAAACCCAAAAAAACCCCAAAACCCCAAAAATAATTTAAAAAAAAACAAACCTGAAAAAAACCCCAAAAAACCCCGAAACCCCAAAAATCATTTAAAAAAAACCAAACCCAAAAAAACCCAAAAAAACCCCAAAAAATAATTAAAAAAAATAAAAAACTGAAGAAAAAACCCAAAAAACCCCCGAAAAAAACCCAAAAATAATTAAAAACAAACCTGATGAAAAAACCCCAAAAAAACCCCAAAACCCCAAAAATTAATTTAAAATAAACACAAACCGGAAGAAAAAGCCAAAAAAAACCCCAAAAAATAATTTTAAAAAAAAACTGAAGAAAAAACCAAAAAAAACCCCAAAAATAATTTAAAAAACCCAAAAAAAACCCCAAAAAATAATTAAAAAAAATAAAAAACTGAAGAAAAACCCAAAAAACCCAAATTTTTCCCTCTCCAGACCCTTCCCATGATGCACCTGGAGGCGCCGGCCACGCCCTGAGCGCACCTGGGGGGGCGGAGCCATGCCCGGCCACGCCCACAACGCACCTGATGATGTCATTCCCGCCTCAAGCCCCGCCCACAGCTCACCTGGTGACGTCATTCCCGCCTCAAGCCCCGCCCACAACGCAACTGATGACGTCATTTCCACCCAAAGCCCTGCCCACAGCTCACCTGGCGGGTCCCGGGACTCACCTGGTGATGTCATAGGCACCCCAAGCCCCGCCCACAGCTCACCTGGCGGGTCCCAGGCCTCACCTGGTGACGTCATTGCCACCTTGGCCACGCCCACCCCTTTAAACCCCACCCAGAGCTCACCTGGAGCTGGCCCCGCCCCTTCCACACCCGATGACGTCATTCCCGCCCCAAGCCCCGCCCACAGCTCACCTGGTGACGTCATTCCCACCCAAAGCCCCGCCCACAGCTCACCTGGCGGGTCCCAGGGCTCACCTGGTGACGTCATTTATACCCCAAGCCCCGCCCACAGCTCACCTGGCAGCTCCGTGACCTCACCTGGTGACGTCATCACCACCTCAGCCACACCCACCCCTTTAAGCCCCGCCCACAGCTCACCTGGCGGGTCCCAGGGCTCACCTGGTGACGTCATCGCCACATTGGCCACGCCCACCCCTTTAAACCCCACCCACAGCTCACCTGGTGACGTCATTCCCACCCCAAGCCCCGCCCAGAACTCACCTGGCGGGTCCCAGGACTCACCTGGTGACGTCATCGCCACCTTGGCCACGCCCACTCCTTTAAACCCCGCCCACAGCTCACCTGGCGGGTCCCAGGGCTCACCTGGTGACGTCATTTCCGCCCAAAGCCCCACCCACAGCTCACCTGGTGACGTCATTCCCGCCTCGAGCCCCGCCCACAGCTCACCTGGTGACGTCATTCCCACCCAGAGCCCCGCCCACAGCTCACCTGGCGCTGGCCACGCCCACTCAGGTGATTGGCCCCGCCCAGGTGAGGGTCCCCGGCCAGGTGAGGGTCCCCGGCCAGGTGAGCGCCCCCTCACCTGCCCGCAGTGCCCCAAGGCCTTCGCCCAGGCCGGAGCCTTCCGGAAGCACCTGAGGGCCCACGCGGGGCTCCGCCCCCACAGGTGCGGCTCCTGCCCCAAAGCGTACGCCGAGCGCAAGGACCTGCGCAACCACCTGAGGGCGCACACAGGTGAGGGGACACACCTGGGGACATCTGGAACACACCTGGGGGCACCCAAAATACACCTGGGCACACCCAAAATACACCTGGGCACACCTGGGGCACTGCGCAACCACCTGAGGGCGCACACAGGTAAGGGGGGGACACACCTGGGGACACCTGGGGACACCTGGGGCACACCTGGGATACTCAAAATACACCTGGGACACCCAAAATACACCTGGGACACCCAAAATACACCTGGGGCACTGCGCAACCACCTGAGGGCGCACACAGGTGAGACCCGAAACACACCTGGGGCACCCAAAATACACCTGGGGGCACCTGGGACACACCTGGGGACATCTGGGACACACCTGGGCACACCTGGGACACCCAAAATATACCTGGGGCACCCAAAATACACCTGGGATACACCAGGGCACACCTGGGCACACCTGGGACTCACCTGGGGCATGGGGACACACGTGGGGCACTGCGCAACCACCTGAGGGCGCACACAGGTGAGACCAAACACACCTGGGGCACACCTGGGGACACACTTGGGACACACCTGGGCACACCTGGGCACACCTGGGACACCCAAAATACACCTGGGGGCACCCAAAATACACCTGGGGACACCCAAAATACACCTGGGGCACCCAAAATATACCTGGGGACACCCAAAATACACCTGGGGACACCCAAAATACACCTGGGGCACCCAAAATATACCTGGGGACACCCAAAATACACCTGGGGACACCCAAAATACACCTGGGGCACCCAAAATATACCTGGGGACACCCAAAATACACCTGGGCACACCTGGGGACACCAAAAATACACCTGAGACACACCTGGGGACACCAAAATACACCTGGGCACACCCAAAATACACCTGGGGCACACCTGGGGCATGGGGACACACGTGGGGCACTGCGCAACCACCTGAGGGCGCACACAGGTGAGACCCAAATACACCTGGGGCACCCAAAATACACATGAGATACACCTGGGCACACCTGGGGACACCCAAAATACACCTGAGCACACCTGGGGGCACCCAAAATACACCTGGGGACACCCAAAATACACCTGGGGACACCTGGGACACACCTGGGACACACCTGAGGAGTACAGACACACCTGGGCACACCTGGGACACACCCAAAATACACCTGGGCACACGCTGGACACACCTGGGACACACCTGGGGCACCCAAAATACAATTCAGACACACCTGGGCACACCTGGGGACACCTGGGGACACCTGGGGACACCTGGGCACACCTGGGACACACCTGGGCACACCTGGGCACACCTGGGGACACCTGGGGACACCTGGGCACACCTGGGGCATGGGGACACACGTGGGGCACTGCGCAACCACCTGAGGGCGCACACAGGTGAGACCCAAACACACCTAGGGACACCCAAAATACACCTGGGGGCACCCAAAATACACCTGGGGCACCCAAAATACACCTGGGGCACACCTGGGCACACCTGGGGACAGCTGGGATACACCTGGGCACACCTGGGACATGGGGACACACGTGGGGCAGACCTGGGACACACCTGGGACACACCTGGGGACACCTGGGCACACCTGGGGACACCTGGGGACACCTGGGGGCACCCAAAATACACCTGGGACATGGGGACACACCTGGGGCACTGCGCAACCACCTGAGGGCGCACACAGGTGAGACCCAAATACACCTGGGACACCCAAAATACACCTGGGACACCCAAAATACACCTGGGGGCACCCAAAATACACCTGGGGGCACCCAAAATATACCTGGGGCACACCTGGGGACACCTGAGACACACCTGGGGCACACCTGGGGCATGGGGACACACCTGGGGCACTGCGCAACCACCTGAGGGCGCACACAGGTGAGGGGACACACCTGGGGACACCTGGGGCACCCAAAATACACCTGGGGGCACCCAAAATACACCTGGGGACACCTGGGGCACTGCGCAACCACCTGAGGGCGCACACAGGTGAGACCCAAATACACCTGGGACACACCTGGGGACACCTAAAATACACCTGGGGACACCTGGGGGCACCCAAAATACACCTGGGGGCAGCCAAAATACACCTGGGGGCACCCAAAATACACCTGGGGGCAGCCAAAATACACCTGGGGGCACCCAAAATACACCTGGGACACCCAAAATACACCTGGGGGCACCCAAAATACACCTGGGGGCAGCCAAAATACACCTGGGCACACCTGAGACACACCTGGGGACACCTGGGGCACACCTGGGCACACCTGGGCACACCTGGGGCACTGCGCAACCACCTGAGGGCGCACACAGGTGAGGCCCAAATACACCTGGGGACACCTGGGACACCAAAAATACACCTGGGGACACCCAAAATACACCTGGGGGCACCCAAAATACACCTGGGCACACCTGGGACAAACCTGGGACACACCTGGGGACACCTGGGACATGGTGACACACCTGGGGCACTGCGCAACCACCTGAGGGCGCACACAGGTGAGACCCAAATACACCTGGGGGCACCTGGGGCACCCAAAATAACACCTGGGCACACCTGGGGACACCTGGGGACACCTGAGCACACCTAGGGCACACCTGGGACACCCAAAATACACCTGGGGGCACCCAAAATATACCTGGGGCACACCTGGGACACCTGGGGACACACCTGGGGCACTGCGCAACCACCTGAGGGCGCACACAGGTGAGAGCCAAATACACCTGGGGACACCCAAAATACACCTGGGGGCACCCAAAATACACCTGGGGACACCCAAAATACACCTGGGGGCACCCAAAATACACCTGGGGACACCCAAAATACACCTGGGGGCACCCAAAATACACCTGGGGACACCCAAAATACACCTGGGGGCACCCAAAATATACCTGGGGCACCCAAAATACACCTGGGCACACCTGGGCACACCTGGGCACACCTGGGCACACCTGGAGCACACCTGGGCACACCTGGGCACACCTGGGGCACCCAAATTACACCTGGGACACACATGGGGGTTGGTGACACACCTGGGGACACACCTGAGGCACACCGGGACACACCTGGGCATACCTGGGGACACCTGGGGCACACCTGGGCACACCTGGGGACAGGTGGGACACACCTGAGACACACCTGGGGACACCCAAAATACACCTGGGACACACCTGGGGACACCTGGGGACACCTGGGCACACCTGAGACACACCTGGGGCACCCAAAATACACCTGGGCACACACCTGTGCACACCTGGGACACACCTGGGCACGCCTGGGACACCCAAAATACACCTGGGACACACCTGGGCACACCTGGGACACACCTGGGGACACCTGGGCACACCTGGAGACACCCAAAATACACCTGGGACACACCTGGGGACACCTGGGCACACCTGGGGCACACCTGGGGACACCTGGGTCACACCTGGGATACACCTGGGGGCAGCTGGGCACACACATGGGCACACCTGGGGACACCCAAAATACACCTGGGCACACACCTGGGCACACCTGGGGCACCCAAAATACACCCAAAATACACCTGGGGGCACCCAAAATACACCTGGGCACACCTGGGACTCACCTGGGACACACTTGGGGACACCTGGGCACATTTTGGGTACATTTTGGGCACACCTGGACACACCTGAACCACACCCATCTCCCCCCCCCACAGGTGAGCGCCCCTACCTGTGCGCCGAGTGCGGGAAAAGCTTCGGCCGCTCGTCGTCGCTGTCGTGCCACCAGCGCATCCACGCGGCCGCCAAGCCCTTCCCGTGCCTGGGCACAAAATACACCTGGGACACACCTGGGCACACATGGGCACACCTGGGACACACCTGGGACACACCTGGGGACACCTGGGACACACCTGGGACACACCTGGGCACACCTGGGGACACCCAAAATACACCTGGGATACACCTGGGCACACCTGGGACTCACCTGGAACACCCAAAATACACTTGGGCACACCTGGGACACACCTGGGGACACACCTGGGCACACGTGAGACACACCTGGGCACACCTGGGACACACCTGGGGCACACGTGGGACACACCTGGGACACCCAAAATACACCTGGGGACACCTGGGCACACCTGGGCACACCTGGGACACACCTGGGACACATCTGGGACACACCTGGGAGACACCTGGGCACACCTGGGACACACCTGGGACACACCTGGGACACACCTGGGCACACCTGGGCACACCTGGGGGGTATTTTGGGCACACCTGGGCACACCTGGGCACATTTTGGGTACATTTTGGGCACACCTGGGCACACCTGGGGGTTGGTGACACACTTGAGGACACCTGTACCACCCTCCACAGGTGAGCGCCCCTACCTGTGCGCCGAGTGCGGGAAAAGCTTCGGCCGCTCGTCGTCGCTGTCGTGCCACCAGCGCATCCACGCGGCCGCCAAGCCCTTCCCGTGCCTGGGCACAAAATACACCTGGGACACACCTGGGCACACATGGGCACACCTGGGCACACCTGGGACACACCTGGGACACACCTGGGACACACCTGGGCACACCTGGGCACACCTGGGACACACCTGGGCACACCTGGGACACACCTGGGGACACCTGGGCACACCTGGGACACACCTGGGGACACCTGAGACACACCTGGGCACACCTGGGCACACCTGGCACACACATGGGGACACCTGGGCACACCTGAGACACACCTGGGGACACCCAAAATACACCTGGGGGCACCTGGGACACACCTGGGACTCACCTGAGGAGTAGAAACACACCTGGGGACACACCTGGGCACACCTGGGGCACCCAAAATACACCTGGACACACCTGGGACACACCTGGGCACACCTGGGGACACACCTGGGCACACCTGGGGACACCTGGGGACACCTGGGGACACTCCTGAGGGGTAGAGACACACCTGGGGACACACCTGGGCACACATGGGACACACCTGGGACACACCTGGGACACCCAAAATACACCTGGGATACACCTGGGCACACCTGGGGACACACCTGGGGCACTCCTGGGCACATTTTGGGTACATTTTGGGCACACCTGGGCACACCTGAACCACACCCATCTCCCCCCACAGGTGAGCGCCCGTACCTGTGCGCCGAGTGCGGCAAGAGCTTCGGCCGCTCGTCGTCGCTGTCGTGCCACCAGCGCATCCACGCGGCCGCCAAGCCCTTCCCGTGCCGCCTCTGCGGCAAATCCTTCACGCAGCTCTCGTCCTACCAGAGCCACCAGCGCGTCCACACCGGCGAGCGCCCCTACCTGTGCCCGCAGTGCGGCCGCACCTTCGCCGACCCCTCCAGCTTCCGCCGCCACCAGCGCGCCCACCAGGGCCTGAAACCGCACGGCTGCGCCGATTGCGGCAAAACCTTCCGGCAGCCGGCGGATCTGGCGGTGCACCGGCGCACGCACACCGGCGAGCGGCCGTGGCGGTGCGGGGAGTGCGGGAAGGCGTTCGTGGCGTCGTGGGATTTGAAGCGGCACCGGCTGACGCACTCCGGGGAGAGGCCGTGGCGCTGTGGGGAGTGCGGGAAGGCGTTCGGGGAGAGGGCGGCGCTGGGGAAGCACCGGCGGACGCATTCCGGGGAGAGGCCGTTCGCGTGTGCGCGGTGCGGGAAGGGGTTCGGGGGAGCGTCGGGGCTGAGGAAGCACGAGAGGACGCACGGGAGGGAGGAGGGGGTGGTGGGGGGGGATGTGGGGGGTGGTGGGGGGGGTAATATGGCTGACGTCAAAATGGCGGCCGTTGGGAGCAGCAATATGGCTGATGTCAATATGGCGGGCGTCAAAATCGCCGACGTCAAAATGGCTGCCGTTGGGAGGAGCAATGTGGCTGACGTCAATATGGCAGACGTCAAAATGGTTGACGTCAAAATGGCTGCCGTTGGGGGGAGGAATATGGCGGACCTCAATATGGCTGACGTCAAAATGGCTGACGTCAAAATGGCTGCCATTGGAGGCAGCAATATGGCGGATGCCAAAATGGCAGCCATTGGGGGGAGCAATATGGCTGATGTCAATATGGCTGCCATTGGGGGGGGCAGTATGGCGGAAGTCAAAATGACGGCCGTTGGGAGCAATATGGCAGATGTCAATATGGCTGCCGTTGGGGGGAGCAGTATGGCTGACGTCAATATGGTGGACGTCAAAATGGTGGACATCAAAATGGCGGCCGTTGGGGGGAGCAATATGGCTGACGTCAATATGGTGGATGTCAAAATGGCCGCCATTGGGGGGAGCAATATGGCGGATGTCAAAATGGCGGCTGCTGGCAGGAGCAATATGGCAGACGTCAAAATGGCGGCCGTTCTGGGGAGCAATATGGCCGACGTCAATATGGTGGACGTCAAAATGGCCGCCACTGGAGGAAGCAAAATGGCTGCCATTGGAGGAAACAAAATGGCTGCCGTTGCGGGAGACAATATGTCTGCCGTTGGAGGAAACAATATGGCCGACACCAATATGGCCGCCATTGGAGGAAACAATATGGCTGCCATTGGAGGAAACAATATGGCCGACACCAATATGGCCGGCGTTAGGAGAAACAATATGGCGGACTCTAATATGGCCGCCATTGGAGAAAACAATATGGCTGCCATTGGAGGAAACAATATGGCCGCCACCAACATGGCCGCCATGTTGGAATCCAAAATGGCTGAAACCAATATGGCCGCTACCAATATGGGCGCCATGTTGGAAACCAAAATGGCCGACACCAATATGGACGCCACCAATATGGCCGCCATGTTGGAAACCAAAATGGCCGACACCAATATGGCCGCCACCAATATGGCCGCCAGTTCCGACACGGCCGACTCCAAGATGGCGGCGAAGCTCCGCCCCTTCCGCTGCGCGCTCTGTGGGCGGGGCTTCGCCTCGGGGGCGGGGCTGAGGCGGCACCAGCGACGTCACGGCCCCGCCCCCTCGGGCACGGCCTAAGCCCCGCCCCCTTTGCGGGGTGGGCGGGGTTTGTTGGGGAAAGGGGGCGGGGCTTCGTTTGGGGCGTGGTCGGTCAATAAACGCTGAGTCAGCAACGGCGGCTGCGGCTGATTGGGGGAGGGGCGGGGCCCAAAATTTCCCAAAAATGGCCCAAAAAATGTTCCCAAAAATGACCCAGAAATGTTCCCAAAAATGGCCCCAAAAATGGTCCCAAAAGTCCCAAAAATGGCCCCAAAAATGTCCTCAAAAATTCCAAATAAAAGTTCCCAAAATGGACCCAAAAATGACCCAAAAATGTTCCCAAAATTCCCAAAAATGGACCCTAAACTGTCCCAGAAATGTTCCCAAAAATGGCCCCAAAAATGTTCCCAAAAGTCCCAAAAATGTTCCCAAAATTCCAAAAAAAAAGTTCCCAAAATGGACCCAAAAATGGCCCCAAAAATGTTCCCAAAAGTCCCAAAAATGTTCCCAAAATGGACCCAAAAATGACCCAAAAATGTCCCAAAAATGGCCCCAAAGATGTTCCCAAAAGTCCCAAAAATTTGCCCAAAATTCCAAAAGAAAAGTTCCCAAAATGGACCCAAAAATGTTCCCAAAAGTCCCAAAAATGTTCCCAAAGTTACAAAAAAAAAGTTCCCAAAATGTCCCAGAAATGTTCCCAAAAATGTTCCCAAAAACGGCCCCAAAAATGTTCCCAAAATTACAAAAAAAATGTTCCCAAAATGGACCCAAAAATGTCCCAAAAATGTTCCCAAAAGTCCCAAAAATGTTCCCAAAATTACAAAAAAAATGTTCCCAAAATGGACCAAAAATGCCCCAAAAATGTTCCCAAAAGTCCCAGAAATGTTCCCAAAATTCAAAAAAAAATGTTCCCAAATGGACCCAAAAATGGCCCCAAAAATGTTCCCAAAAGTCTCAAAAATTCCACAAAAAAATTCCCAAAATGGACCCAAAATTGTTCCCAGAAATGTTCCCAAAAATGGCCCAAAAAGTCACAAAAATGTTCCCAAAATTCCAAAAAATATGTTCCCAAAAGTCCCAAAAATGTTCCCAAAATTCCAAAAAATATGTTCCCAAAAGTCCCAAAAATATTCCCAAAATTCAAAAAAAAAGTTCCCAAAAATGTCCCAGAAATGTTCCCAAAAATGGCCCCAAAAATGTTCCCAAAAGTCCCAAAAATGTTCCCAAAATTACAAAAAAAATCTTCCCCAAACGGCCCCGAAAATGCCCCAAAAAAAATTGCCCGAAAAAGGTCCCTGAAAATCCCCAAAATGGTCCCTAAAATTCCCAAAATTGTTGCCCAAAAAATGCCCCAGAAAAGTTCCCAAAATGGCCAAAAATCCCCCAAAAATCCCCCCAGAATCCCCAATTTTCTTCCCAAACCTCCCCAATAATCCCCTCAAATCCCAAAAAATCCCCAAAAATCCCCTAAAATCCCCCAAATCTCCCTCAAATCCCCCAAAATCCTCAAAATCCCCAAAATCCCCCCAAATCTCCCCAAAATGCCCCAAAATCCTGAAAATCCCCCCGAATTCTGCCAAAATCCCCCCAAATCTCCCCAAAAAGCCCCAAAATGACCCAAAATCCCCCAAATCCCCCTCAAATCCCCCAAAATCCACCCAAATCCTGCCAAAATCCTCCCAAATCTCCCCAAAATCCCCAATTCCCACCCCTAAATCCCCGTAAATCCCCCAAAATCCTCAAAACCCTGAATTCTGCCAAAATTCCCCCAAATCCCCCCAAAATCCTCAAAATCCCCCAAATCTCCCCAAATCCCCCAAATCTCCCCAAAATCCCCCAAAATCCCCCCAAAATGCCCCAAAATCCACCCAAATGCGCCAAAATCCCCCCAAATTCCACAAAATGCCCCAAAATCCCCCGAATCACCCTCAAATCCCCAAAAGTCCACCCAAATGCGCCAAAATCCCCCGAATCACCCTCAAATCCCCCTCAAATCCCCCAAAATCCACCAAAATCCCCCAAATCTCCCTCAAATCCCCGAAAATCTCTCCAAATTCTGTCAAAATCCCCCAAATCCCCCCAAAATCCTCAAAATCCCCCCAAAATCCCCCAAAATGCCCCAAAATCTCCCATTTTTCCCCCACAGCCCCTCCCCCCTTCAATCCCCGCCCCCTTTCCCGCATCCCCCGTTTGTCGCAGCCCCTCCCCCACCCCCAAAAACCCCTCCCCCACCCCCCAAAATCCCTCCCCCCAAAATCCCAAATTCCGCCCCTCCCCCACCCCCCAAAACCCAAATCCCGCCCCCCAAATCCCAAATTCTCGCCCCTCCCCCACCCTCAAATTCCACTCCCCCCAAATCCCAAATTTCGCCCCTCCCCCATCCCCAAAATCCCACCCCCCAAAACCCAAATCCCACCCCCCAAAATCCCAAATCCCGCCCCTCCCCCCCCAAATCCCGCCCCTCCCCCCCCCAAATCCCGCCCCTCCCCCACCCCCAAATCTCACCCCAAAATCCCAAATCCCGCCCCTCCCCCACCCCCAAATCCCGCCCCTCCCCCACCCCCAAATTTCGCCCCTCCCCCAGAAACCCAAATCCCGCCCCTCCCCCCCAAATCCCGCCCCTCCCCCACCCCCAAATCCCGCCCCTCCCCCACCGCATCCGCAGCCGCCGCCGCATCCCCGGGACGGCCCCGCGCCCCTCCCCCACCCCCTCCCCCCAAAATCCCCCAAAATCCCCCAAAATCACATCCGGGGGTCCCCTCAGCCCCTCCCCCACCCCCCCCCAAAAAAAAAGGGGGTCCCGAAGCGCCCCTCCCCCCCCGCCCCTCCCCCACCATGAGGGATCGGACCCAGGAGCTGCGCAGCGTGAGCGGGGGGGGAGGGGCGGCGGGTTTTGGGGGGGTTTGGGGGGATTTTGGGATTTTTGGGGGGACTTGGGGGGGTTGGGGGAGTTCCGGGCGAATTTGGGGGATTTTGGGGGGATTTGGGGGTATTTGGGGGGATTTGGGGGGATTTGGGGGGATTTGGGAAAATTTGGGGGATTGGGGGGATTTTTGGGGGGGATTTGGGAAAATTTGGGGGATTCGGGGGGATTTGGGAAAATTTGGGGGATTTTGGGAAAATTTGGGGGGATTTGGGGGGATTTGGGGGGATTTTGGGGATTTTTGGGGAAATTCGGGGATTTTTTGGGGGGATTTGGGGGGATTTGGGGATTTTGGGGGGATTTGGGAAAATTTGGGGGGATTTGGGAAAATCCAGAGGAATTTTGGGGATTTTTGGGGGGGTTTGGAGGAGTTCCGGGTGAATTTGGGGGGGTTTTGGGGGAATTTGGGGGATTTGGGGGATTCGGGGGGATTTTGGGGGAATTTGGGGGGTTTGGGAAAATTTTGGGGGATTTGGGGAAAATTTGGGGGGTTTGGGGGAAATTTGGGGAAATTCGGGGGATTTGGGGAAATTTGGGGGGGGTTTGGGGAAATTTGGCGGGTTTGGGAAAATTCGGGGGATTTGGGGGATTTGGGGCGATTTGGGGGATTTGGGGGGATTTTGGGGAGATTTGGGAAAATTTGGGGGGATTTGGGGGGATTTGGGGATTTTGGGGAGATTTGGGGAGATTTAGGGATTTTTGGGGGGGATTTGGGGAAATTTGGGGGGATTTGGGGGGATTTGGGGGATTTTGGGGGATTTCGGGGGGTTTGGGGATTTTTGGGGGGATTGGGGGACTTCCGGGTGAATTTGGGGGGATTTGGGGGATTCGGGAAAATTTGGGAGGGTTTTGGAAAATTCGGGGGAATTTGGGGAAATTTGAGGGGATTTAGGGGGGATTTTGGGGATTTTTGGGGGGGGTTGGGGGAAATTTGGGGGGATGTTGGGGATTTTTTGGGAAATTCGGGGATTTTTGGGGGGGATTTGGGGGGATTTGGGGATTTTTGGGGGGATTTGGGGGGATTTTGGGGGGATTTTGGGGGGCCCATATTTTGGGGATTTTGGGGGGAATTTGGGGGATTTTGGGGGGGGACATATTTGGGGGATTTTGGAGGTTCTGGGGGGATTTTTTTTGGCAGGGATTTGGGGGATTTTGGGGGGATTTTGGGGACTTTGGGGGATTTGGGGGGGATTTTTTTTTGCGGGGATTTTGGGGATTTTGGGGGGCATATTTGGGGGATTTGGGGGGATTTTGAGGGGATTTTGGAGGATTTTGGGGGATTTTGGGGGGATTTGGGGGGATTTGGGGGGAGTTTGTGTCTTTTGGGAGGGATTTTTGGGGGGAATTTGGGGGTTTTGGAGGATTTTGGGGTGTCCGGGGTGGATTTGGTTAAATTTGGGGTGTGTGGGGGGGGAAATTTTTGGGGCATTTTGGAGATTTTGGGTGATTTTTGAGGGGTTTGGGGGGTCCCGGGTGGATTTAGGGGTTTGGGGGGTTTGGGGGCGATTTGGGCGATTTTGGGATGAATTTTGGGGCGTTTTGGGGGGATTTTGGGGGAGCTCTGGACCCTGGGAGGAACTGGGACAAACTGGGACAAACTGGGACAAACTGGGAGGAGCCACCGCAGCTCCCCCAAATCTCCCAAAATCCCCCAAATCCCCCCAAATTCTGCCAAAATCCCCCAAATCTCCCCAAATTCTGCCAAAATCCCCCAAATCTCCCCAAATTCTGCCAAAATCCCCCAAATTCTGCCAAAATCCCCCAAATCCCCCCAAATCTCCCAAAATCCTCAAAATCTCCCCAAATTCTGCCAAAATCCCCCAAATCTCCCCAAATTCTGCCAAAATCCCCCAAATCTCCCCAAATTCTGCCAAAATCTCCCCAAATCTCCCAAAATCTTCAAAATCCCCCCAAATCTCCCAAAATCCCCCAAATCTCCCCAAATTCTGCCAAAATCCCCCAAATCTCCCCAAATTCTGCCAAAATCCCCCAAATCTCCCAAAATCCCCCAAATCCCCCCAAATTCTGCCAAAATCCCCCAAATCCCCCCAAATTCTGCCAAAATCCCCCAAATCTCCCAAAATCCTCAAAATCTCCCCAAATCTCCCAAAATCTTCAAAATCTCCCCAAATTCTGCCAAAATCCCCCAAATCTCCCCAAATTCTGCCAAAATCCCCCAAATTCTGCCAAAATCCCCCAAATCCCCCCAAATTCTGCCAAAATCGCCCAAATCTCCCCAGAATGCCCCAAAATCCCCCCAAAATCCCTCGAAGAGCCACGCCCCTTATGCAAATGAAGGCCACGCATACAAATGAGCCGAGGGGGCGGGGCGGGAGGCGGGAGCCAATCAGGGGGCCCGGGGTGGGCTGGGCTTGTTTGGGCGTGGTTTTGGGGGCGTGGCTTTGGTTGTGGGCGGGGTTTTGGGGCGGGATTTGATTGGGTGGGGTTTTGGGGGCGTGGCTTTGGTTGTGGGCGGGGTTTTGGGGGCGTGGCTCGGGTTGTGGGCGGGGTTTGGGGGCGGGATTTGATTGGGCGTGGTTTTGGGGGCGTGGTTTGGATTGTGGGCGGGGTTTTGGGGCAGGATTTGATTGGGTGTGGTTTTGGGGGCGTGGCTTTTGTTGGGGGCGTGGTTTTGGTCAGGCCACGCCCCCCGGTGGGCGGTGACAGCGCCCCCCGCAGGCCAAGGACAGCGACGATGAGGAGGAGGTGGTGACGGTGGACAGGGATCACTTCATGGACGAGTTCTTCGAGCAGGTGGGACCCCAAAAACGGGGCCGGGACCCCCAAAAATGGGATCGGAAACCCCAAAAATGGGTTTGGGGTCCCCAAAAACCCCCAGGGAGCCCAAAAATGCCCAAAAATGGGATCAGAAACCTCAAAAACGGGATCAGAAACCCCAAAAATGGGTTTGGGGCGCCTGAAAACCCCCAGGGAGCCCAAAAATGCCAAAAAATGGGACCAGGAACCCCAAAAATGGGATCAGAGACCCCAAAAATGGGACCAGAAACCTCAAAATCCCCAGGGACCCCAAAAATGCCAAAAAAACGGGATCAGAAACCCCAAAAATGGGATCAGACACCCCAAAAATGGGATCAGAAACCCCAAAAATGGGATCAGAAACCCCAAAAATGGGATCAGAAACCCCAAAAATGGGTTTGGGGCGCCCGAAAACCCCCAGGGACCCAAAAAAGCCAAAAAATGGGATCAGAAACCCCAAAAATGGGTATGGGGCATCCAAAAACCCCCAGAGACCCCAATAATGCCCAAAAAATGGGATCAGAAACCCCAAAAACGGGATGAAAAACTCCAGAAATGGGATCGGAAACCCCAAAAATGGGACAGAGACCCAAAAATGGGATCAGAAACCCCAAAAACGGGATCAGAAACCCCAAAAATGGGTTTGGGGCACCTGAAAACCGTCAGGGACCCCAAAAATGCCCAAAAACGGGATCAGAAACCCCAAAAATGGGATCAGAAACCCCAAAAATGGGATGAGAAACCCCAAAAATGGGATCAGAAACCCCAAAAATGGGATCAGAAACACCAACAATGGGATCAGAAACCCAAAAAATGGGATCAGAAACCCCAAAAATGGGTTTGGGGCACCCGAAAACCCCCAGGGAGCCCAAAAATGCCCAAAAATGGGATCAGAAACCCCAAAAATGGGTTTGGGGCACCTGAAAACCCCCAGGGACCCCAAAAATGGCATCAGAAACCCCAAAAATGGGACAGAGACACAAAAAAATGGGATCAGAAACCCCAAAAATGGGATCAGAAACCCCAAAAATGGGATCAGAAACCCCAAAAATGGGTTTGGGGTGCCCAAAAACCCCCAGGGACCCCAAAAATGCCCAAAAATGGGATCAGAAACCCCAAAAATGGGATCAGAAACCCCAAAAATGGGATCAGAAACCCCAAAAATGGACCAGAAACCCCAAAAATGGGATCAGGAACCCCAAAAATGGGACAGAGACCCCAAAAATCCCATTAAAATCCCCCCAGTGCCCCATAATTCCCAAAATCCCAAAAAATCCCCTCAAAATCCCCCCAAAATCCCTGAAAATCCCCCAAATCCTCCCAAAATCAAAAAAAAACCCTCAAAAATCCCCCAAATCCACTAAAATCCCCCCAAAATCCCCCATAATGCCCCAAAATGCCCCAAAATCCCCCAAATTTCCCCAAAATGCCCCAAAATCCCCAAAAATCCCCTTAAAATCCCCCCAAAATGCCCCAAAATCCCCCAAAAATGCTCCAAAATCCCCCAAAATCCCCCAAAATCCCCCAAATTTCCCAAAAATGTCCAAAATTCCCCAAAATTTCCCCAAAATGTCCCAAAATTCCCCAAAATCCCCCCCAAAATCCCCCAAAATCCCCCAAAATCTCCCCCAAGCCACTTCAAATTTCTCCCATAATTTCCAAAAATCTCCTTAAAATCCCCCAAAATTCCCCCAAAATCCCCCAAAATGCCCCAAAATCCCCCCAAAATCCCCCAAAATGCCCCAAAATCCCCCAAAATTCCCCAAAAACCCCCAAAATCCCCCCCAAACCACCTCAGAATCTCCCGTAATTTCCAAAAAAATCTCCTTAAAATCCCCCAAAATCCCCCCAAAATCCACCAAAATTCCCCAAAATCCCCCAAAATGCCCCAAAATTCCCCAAAATTCCCCAAAATTCCCCCTCAAACCACCTCAGAATCCCCCAATAATTTCCAAAAAATCTCCTTAAAATCCACCATAATTTACAAAAATCCCCCCCAATATCTCCCAAAAATGCCCCAAAATGCCCCAAAATCCCCCAAAATTCCCCCAAAATTCCCCCAAAATTCACCAAAATCCCCCCCAAAATCCTCCAAAATGCCCCAAAATGACCCAAAATCCCCCAAAATGCCCTAAAATGTCCCAAATTGTCCCAAAATCCACATATTAACAAAAATCCCCCCAAAACCCTTCAAAGTGTCCCGTAATTTCCAAAAAATCTCCTTAAAATCCCCCAAAATCCCCCCCAAATTTCCCCAAAATCCCCCCCAAAATCCCCCAAATTTCCCCAAAATTCCCAAAATGCCCCAAAATGCCCCAAAATTCCCCAAAATCCCCCCCAAACCACCTCAGAATCCCCCAATAAATTTGAAAAATATCCTTAAAATCCCCCCCAAAATGCCCCAAAATCCCCCCAAAATCCCCCCAAAATTACCCCAAATTTCCCCCAAAATGCCTCAAATTCCCCAAAATCCCCAAAATGCCCCAAAATGCCCCAAATTTCCCAAAATTTCCCAAATTCCGTCAGGTGGAGGAGATCCGCGGCTGCATCGAGAAACTGTCGGAGGACGTGGAGCAGGTGAAGAAACAGCACAGCGCCATCCTGGCGGCCCCCAACCCCGATGAGAGTAATTAACCAGTTAATTAATTAATGAGATCATTAATGAGATCATTCACAAGGTCACTGAGTCATTAATGCAGCCATTGGGTCATTAATGGGGTCATTAATGAGGTAATTGGGTCATTAATTAGCAGCAGCACAGCGCCATCCTGGCGGCCCCCAACCCTGATGAGAGTAATTAACGAGTTAATTAATTAATGAGATCATTAATTATATCATTAACGGGTCATTAATGCGGCCATTGGGTCATTAATGGGGTAATTAACATCATTAACACAGCCATTGGGTCATTAATTAGCAGCAGCACAGCGCCATCCTGGCGGCCCCCAACCCTGATGAGAGTAATTAACCAGTTAATTAATTAATGAGATCATTAACGAGATCATTAACGGGTCATTAACGCGGCCATTGGGTCATTAACGGGGTCATTAATGAGGTAATTGGGTCATTAATTAGCAGCAGCACAGCGCCATCCTGGCGGCCCCCAACCCCGATGAGAGTAATTAATGAGTTAATTAATTAATTACATCATTAACGAGATCATTAACGAGGTCATTAACGCGGCCATTGGGTCATTAACGGGGTCATTAATGCGGTAATTGGGTCATTAATTAGCAGCAGCACAGTGCGATTCTGGCGGCCCCCAACCCCGACGAGAGTAATTAATGAGTTAATTAATTAATTACATCATTAACGAGGTCATTCATGAGGTCACAGATTCATTAACACAGCCATCGGGTCATTAACACAGCCATTAATTAACACAGTCATTAATTAGCAGCAGCACAGCGCCATCCTGGCGGCCCCCAACCCTGACGAGAGTAATTAATGAGTTAATTAATGAACAAGATAATTAATTAAAAATATTATTAATGAGATAATTAATTAATGAGATCATTAATGGGGTCATTGGGTCATTAATGGAGCCATTAATGGGGTCAGAGGTCACTCACCGGTCACTCATTGGTCACTCATTGGTCACTCCTGGTCATTTATGGTCACTTGTGGTCACTGGTGGTCACTCAGGGGTCACTCAGGGGTCACTCAGGGGTCACTCAGGGGTCACTCATTGGTCACTGGTGGTCATTCATGGTCATTCATGGTCACTGGTGGTCACTGGTGGTCACTCATTGGTCACTCATTGGTCACTCATTGGTCACTGGTGGTCATTCATGGTCACTCCTGGTCACTGGTGGTCACTCCTGGTCACTCATGGTCACTGCTGGTCACTGGTGGTCACTCATGGTCACTCATGGTCACTCACCATCACTCGTGGTCACTCAGGGGTCACTCATGGTCACTCAGGGTCACTCATGGTCACTCATGGTCACTGGTGGTCACTCATGGTCACTCATGGTCATTCATGGTCAGTCATGGTCATTCATGGTCACTCATGGTCACTGGTGGTCACTGGTGGTCACTCATGGTCACTGGTGGTCACTTGTGTCACTCATGGTCACTCCTGGTCACTCATGGTCACTCATGGTCATTCACCATCACTCATGGTCACTCATGGTCACTTATGGTCACTCCTGGTCCCTGGTGGTCACTCGCCATCACTCCTTGGTCATTCATGGTCACTCATGGTCACTCATTGGTCACTCCTGGTCACACATGGTCACTGGCGGTCATTGGTGGTCACTGGTGGTCACTGGTGGTCACTTGTGGTCACTCCTGGTCACTCATTGGTCACTCACCATCACTGGTGGTCACTGGTGGTCACTCACCATTATTCGTGGTCACTGGTGGTCACTCGCCATCACTGGTGGTCACTCATGGTCATTCATGGTCACTCACCATCACTCATAGTCACTGGTGGTCACTGGTGGTCACTCATTGGTCACTGGTGGTCACTCATGGTCACTCATGGTCATTCACCATCACTGGTGGTCACTCGTGATCAGTCATTGGTCACTCAGGGTCACTCCTGGTCACGCATGGTCACTCATGGTCACTGGTGGTCACTCCTGGTCACTCATCATCACTCGTGGTCACTGGTGGTCACTCGCCATCACTGGTGGTCACTCATGGTCATTCATGGTCATTCATGGTCACTCACCATCACTCATAGTCACTGGTGGTCACTGGTGGTCACTCACAATCACTCACCATCACTCCTGGTCACTGGTGGTCACTCATGGTCACTCACAATCACTTGTGGTCACTGGTGGTCACTCCTGGTCACCGGTGGTCACTGGTGGTCACTCATGGTCGCTCGTGCTCACTCGTGGTCACTCGCCATCACTCCTGGTCACTTGTGGTCACTCATGGTCACTCACAATGGTGGTCACTCATGGTCACTCATTGGTCATTCATAATCACTCATGGTCACTCATTGGTCACTCACCATCACTCGTGGTCACTCATGGTCATTGGTGGTCATTCACCATCACTCATGGTCACTCCTGGTCACTCATTGGTCACTCCTGGTCACTCATGGTCACTGGTGGTCACTCATTGGTCACTCATTGGTCACTCCTGGTCACTGCAGGGACCAAGCAGGATCTCGAGGACCTCACGGCCGACATCAAGAAGACGGCGAACAAAGTCCGCTCCAAATTGAAAGGTGACCGCTGCCCCCCCGAGTGACCACTGAGTGACCACTGAGTGACCCTGAGTGACCACTGAGTGACCACTGAGTGACCACTGAGTGACCACTGAGTGACCACTGAGTGACCGCTGAGTGACCGCTGAGTGACCGCTGTGTCCGTGCGGCCGCAGCCATCGAGCAGAGCATCGAGCAGGAGGAGGGGCTGAACCGCTCCTCGGCCGACCTGCGCATCCGCAAGACGCAGGTGCGCCTTCGGCCTCGGCGGCGGCGTCTTCGTCATCGGCATCGTTGAGTTCATCATCGTCATTGACTTCGTCATCGTTGACTTCGTCATCGTCATTGACTTTGTCATCGTTGAATTTGTCATTGTCGTTGACTTCATCGTCGTTGACTTCGTCATCGTCATTGACTTTGTCATCATCCACTTCATCATCACTGACTTCTTCATCGTTGGCTTCGTCATCGTCGTCCTCATCAACATGTCATTGTTGACTTTGTCTTTGTCATCGTTGACTTCATCCTCATTGTCATTGACTTCATCATCGTCATTGACTTCATCCTCATTGACTTCATCCTCATTGACTTCATCATCATTGACGTCATCATCATTGACATCATCATCGTCAACATGTCATTGTTGACTTTGTCATCGTTGACGTCATCCTCATTGTTGTTGATTTTATCATCTTTGACTTCGTCATCATCATTGACGTCATCATCGTCGTTGACTTCATCATTGTCATCATCATCAACACGTCATTGTTGACTTGGTCTTTGTCATCATTGACTTCATCCTCATCATCATCATCATTGAATTTGTCATTGTCGTTGACTTCATCATCGTTGAATTTGTCATTGTCGTTGACTTCATCATCATTGACATCATCGTCATTGACTTCATCATCATTGACGTCATCATTGTCATTTACGTCATTATCATCATTGACTTCATCATCGTCATCATCCTCAACATGTCATCGTTGACTTCATCCTCATCGTCATTGACTTCGTCATCATCATTGACATCATCATCCTTGGCTTTGTCATCATCATTGACTTTGTCATCATTGACTTCGTCATCCTTGTCATCATCATCGACTTCGTCATCCTTGTGTACATCATTGTCATTGACTTCATCATCATTGACGTCACCATCATCATTAACATCATCGTCATTGAGTTCATCATCATTGACGTCATCAATAATGACGTTATCGTCATCATTGACTTCATCATCATTGACTTCGTCATCATCTTCATTGACTTCATCATCATCATCATCGTCAACATGTCATTGTTGACTTTGTCATCATTGACTTCATCATCATTGATGTCATCATCGTTATTGACTTCATCATCATCATTGACTTCATCATCATCATCATCATCAACATGACATTATTGACTTTGTCCTTGTCATTGTTGACTTCATCGTCATCATCATCGACTTCGTCATCCTTGTGTACATCATTGTCATTGACTTCATCATAATTGACTTCATCATCACCATTGACGTCATCATCGTTGATGACGTCATCCTCATGACGTCATCCCCCCCAGCACTCGACGCTGTCGCGGAAGTTCGTGGAGGTGATGACGGAATACAACGCGACGCAGTCCAAGTACCGCGACCGCTGCAAGGACCGCATCCAGCGGCAGCTCGAGATCAGTGAGGGTCAAGGGTCACCTTGGGGTCACCATGGGGTCACGGGGTCACTCTGGGGTCATTGGGGTCATCCTGGGGTCACTCTGGGTCATCAGGGGTCAGGGGTCACTGTCCCTGATCGCTGCAAGGACCGCATCCAGCGGCAGCTCGAGATCAGTGAGGGTCATCGGGGTCATCCTGGGGTCATTGGGGTCATCGGGGTCATCCTGGGGTCATTGGGGTCATCAGGGGTCATCGGGGGTTAGGGGTCACTCGGGGGAGGGGTCACTGACCGCTGCAAGGACCGGATCCAGCGACAGCTCGAGATCAGTGCGGGTCACCGGGGTCACCATGGGGTCATCCTGGGGTCACAGGGTCATCCTGGGGTCATCGGGGTCACTCTGGGTCATCGGGGTCATCCTGGGGTCACTCTGGGGTCATCAGGGGTCACTCTGGGTCATTGGGGTCACTCTGGGGTCAGGGGTCACTGTCCCTGACCGCTGCAAGGACTGGATCCAGCGACAGCTGGAGATCAGTGCGAGTCAAGGGTCATCCTGGGGTCATCCTGGGGTCATTGGGGTCATCAGGGGTCATCGGGGTCATCAGGGGTCATTCTGGGTCATTTGGGTCATCTGGGGTCATCGGGGGTCAGGGGTCACTTTGGGTCATTGGGGTCACTTTGGGTCATTGGGGTCATCAGGGGTCACTCTGGGTCACTCTGGGTCATCGGGGTCACTCTGGGTCACTTTGGGTCATTGGGGTCACTCTGGGGTCATCGGGGTAACTCTGGGTCACTCTGGGTCATCGGGGTCACTCTGGGGACCTCGGGGTCATCAGGGTCACTCTGGGTCACTTTGGGTCATTGGGGTCACTCTGGGGGTCCAGGGGTCACTCTGGGTCACTTTGGATCATTGGGGTCATCAGGGGTCACTGTGGAGATCCAGGGGTCACTCTGGGGTCATCGGGGTCATCGGGGTCACCCTGGGGTCATTGGGGTCATCAGCTGTCATTGGGGTCATTGGGGTCACTCTGGGTCATTGATGTCATCAGGAGTCACTCTGGGGGTCCAGGGGTCACTCTGGGGTCAAGGGGTCACTCTGGGGTCAAGGGGTCACTCTGGGTCATTGGGGTTATCGGGGTCACTCTGGGGGTCCAGGGGTCACTCTGGGGTCAAGGGGTCACTCTGGGTCATTGGGGTCAGCAGGGGTCACTCTGGGGTCACTCTGGGTCATTGGGGTCATCGGGGCCACTCGGGTCATCAGGGGTCACTCTGGGTCATTGGGGTCATCAGGGTCACTCATTGGTCACTCAGGGGTCAGTGGTCACTCATTGGTCACTCATTGGTCACTCATTGGTCACTCATTGGTCACTCAGGGTCACTCAGGGTCACTCAGGGTCACTCAGGGATCAGTGTGGGGTCAGCGGTCACTCAGGGTCAGAGGTCAGAGGTCACTCGGGGTCAGAGGTCAGAGGTCACTCGGGGTCACTCTCCCCAGCCGGCCGCACCACCACCAACGAGGAGCTGGAGGAGATGTTGGAGAGCGGCAAACTGGCCGTGTTCACCGACGACGTGCGTCACACCCAACGCCAACGGGCTACCGGGGCTACCGATGGGCTACCGGGGACACCGGGGGGCTACCATGGCTACTGACGGGCTACTGGGGCTACTGGGAGTGATTTGGGCTACTGGGGACATCAGGGATACCAACAGGCTACCAGGGACACCGGGGGGCTACTGGGGCTACTGGGGCTTCCAAGGGGCCACCAAAGGGCTATTGGGGACACTGGGGACACCGATGGGCTACCGGGGCTACTGGGAGTGATTTGGGCTACCAGGGACACCAAGGGGCTACCGGGGCTACCAAGGGGCTGCCAAGGGGCTACTGGGGCTACTGGGAGTGACCGGGGGCTACTGGGGGCCATCACCAGGCCACCAAGGGGCTACTGGGGCTATTGATGGGCTACTGGGGCTACTGGGAGTGATTTGGGCTACTGGGAGGGACTGGGTGGCTACCGTGGCCACCAATGGGCTACTGGGGACACCAACGGGCTACCAGGGACACCAAGGGGCTACTGGGGCTGCCAAGGGGCTACTGGGAGTGACTGGGGGCTACTGGGGCTATCGATGGGCTACCAACCGGCTACTGGGGCTACTGGGAGTGATTTGGGCTACCAGGGACACCAGGGGGCTACCAAGGGGCTACTTGGAGTGATTTGGGGTACTGGGAGTGACTGGGAGTGATTTGGGCTACTGGGACTACTGGGGGGCTACTGGGGCCATCACTGGGGCTACCGGGGACACCAATGGGCTACCAATGGGCTACTGGGGCTACCAAGGGGCTACCGGGGTTACTGGGGGGCTACCGGGGCTACTGGGAGTGACTGGGGACTACTGTGGCCACCAAGGGGCTACCGGGGTTACTGGGCGGCTACTGGGGCTACTGGGAGTGATTTGGGCTACTGGGAGGGACTGGGAATGGTTTGGGCTACTGGGACTACTGGGTGGCTACTGGGGCGGCCAACGGGCTACTGGGGATACCGGGGCTGACAATGGGCCACCAAGGGGCTACCAGGGGGCTACTGGGAGTGACTGGGAGTGATTTGGGCTACTGGGAGTGACCAGGGGCTACCGTGGCTACTGAGGGGTTACTGGGGCCATCACCAGGCCACCAACAGGCTACTGTGGCCAACAAAGGGCTACTGGGAGTGACTGGGGGCTACTGGGAACATCAGGGACACCAATGGGCTACTGGGGCCACCAAGGGGCTACTGGGAGTGACCGGGGGCTACCGGGGCTACTGGGGACACCGACGGGCTACCAGGGCTGTCACCGGGCCACCAAGGGGCTACCAGGGACACCATGGGGCTACCATGGCTACTGGGTGGCTACCAGGGCTACTGGGGCCACCAATGGGCTACTGGGAGTGACCAGGGCTACCGGGGACACCAAGGGGCTACTGGGGCTGCCAAGGGGCTACTGGGAGTGACTGGGGGCCACTGGGGACACCAAGGGGCTACCGGGGTTACTGGGGGGCTACTGGGGTTACTGGGGGGCTACCAGGGTTACGACAGGCTATTGGGGACACCAATGGGCTACCAGGGACACCAAGGGGCTACTGGGGTTACTGGGAGTGACCGGGGGCTACTGTGGCCACCAAGGGGCTACTGGGACTACTGGGCAGCTACTGGGGCTACTGGGAGTGACCGGGGGGCTACTGGGAGGGACTGGGAGTGACTGGGAGTGACTGGGAGACAACCAGGGCTACTGGGAGGGACTGGGTGGCTACTGTGGCCACCAAGGGGCTACCGGGGTTACTGCGGGGCTACTGGGAGTGATTTGGGCTACTGGGGCTACTGGGTGGTCACTGGCCAGGTGGCCACCGTGAGCCTCCAGGGACCTCTGGTGACCACCCAGAGACCCCTGGTGACCACCAGGTGACCACCTGGAAATCCTTGTGGCCACCAGGTGACCACCTGGAGATCTCTGGTGACCACCTGGAGGTCCCTGGTGACCACCTGGAGATCTGTGGTGACCAGGTGACCCCAGGTGACCCCAGGTGACCACCTGGAGGTCCCTGGTGACCACCAGATGACCTCTGGTGACCACCTGGAGATCCCTGGTGACCACCAGATGACCTCTGGTGACCACCTGGAGATCTCTGGTGTCCACCTGGAGGTCCCTGGTGACCACCCGGTGACCACCTGGAGCTCTCTGGTGGCCACCTGGAGGTCTCTGGTGACCAGGTGACCTCAGGTGACCACCTGGAGGTCCTGGTGACCACCTGGAGATCCCTGGTGACCACCTGGAGATCTCTGGTGACCACCTGGAGATCTCTGGTGACCATCTGGAGGTCCTGGTGACCACCTGGAGATCTCTGGTGACCACCTGGAGGTCCTGGTGACCACCTGGAGATCCCTGGTGACCACCTGGAGATCTCTGGTGACCACCTGGAGGTCTCTGGTGACCAGATGACCACAGCTGACCACCGCTGACCACCACTGACCATCGCTGTCCCCGCAGATCAAGATGGACTCGCAGATGACCAAGCAGGCGCTGAACGAGATCGAGACGCGGCACAACGAGATCATCAAGCTGGAGAGCAGCATCCGCGAGCTGCACGACATGTTCGTGGACATGGCCATGCTGGTGGAGAGCCAGGTCCGGCCGGAGTGACCACCGGTCATCCCGAGTGACCACCGGTCATTGGGAAGGGTTTGAGGTCATTGGGAGTGACCAGTGGTCATTGGGAAGGGTTTGAGGTCATCTGGACCCATTGAGGGTCATCAAGAACCTCCCAAAGCCCATCTTGACCTACCAAAGGTCATCAAGAACCCACCAGGGGTCATCTGGAAGGGGTTAGAGGTCATTGGGAGTGACCAGTGGTCATTGGGAGTGACCAGTGGTCATCGGGAAGGGTTTGAGGTCATTGGGAGTGACCAGTGGTCATTGGGAAGGGTTTGAGGTCATTGGGAGTGACCAGAGGTCATCCATGACGTGTTGGTGGACATGGCCATGCTGGTGGAGAGCCAGGTCCGGCCGGAGTGACCACCGGTCATCCCGAGTGACCACCGGTCATTGGGAGTGACCACCGGTCATCCCGAGTGACCACCGGTCATTGGGAAGGGTTTGAGGTCATCTGGACCCATTGAGGGTCATCAAGAACCTCCCAAAGCCCATCTTGACCCACCAAAGGTCATCAAGAACCCACCAGGGGTCATCTGGAAGGGTTAGAGGTCATTGGGAGTGACCAGTGGTCATCGGGAGTGACCAGTGGTCATCGGGAAGGGCTTGAGGTCATCTGGACCCATTGAGGGTCATCAAGAACCTCCCAAAGACCATCTTGACCCACCAGGGGTCATTGGGAAGGGTTGGAGGTCATTGGGAGTGACCAGTGGTCATCGGGAAGGGTTTGAGGTCATCAGGATGGGTTTGAGGTCATCTGGACCCATTGAGGGTCATCAAGAACCTCCCAAAGCCCATCTTGACCCACCAAGGGTCATCAAGAACCCACCAGGTGTCATCTGGAAGGGGTTAGAGGTCATTGGGAGTGACCAGTGGTCATTGGGAGTGACCAGTGGTCATTGGGAAGGGTTTGAGGTCATTGGGAGTGACCAGTGGTCATCGGGATGGGTTTGAGGTCATTGGGAGTGACCAGTGGTCATTGGGAGTGACCAGTGGTCATCTGGAAGGGGTTTGAGGTCATTGGGAGTGACCAGAGGTCATTGGGAGTGACCAGTGGTCATCCATGACGTGTTGGTGGACATGGCCGTGCTGGTGGAGAGCCAGGTCCGGCCGGAGTGACCACCGGTCATCCCGAGTGACCACCGGTCATCCCGAGTGACCACCGGTCATCCCGAGTGGCCACCGGTCATTGGGATGGGTTTGAGGTCATCTGGACCCATTGAGGGTCATCAAGAACCTCCCAAAGCCCATCTTGACCCACCAAAGGTCATCAAGAACCCACCAGGGGTCATCTGGAAGGGGTTAGAGGTCATTGGGAGTGACCAGTGGTCATTGGGAAGGGTTTGAGGTCATCGGGAGTGACCATTGGTCATCCATGACGTGTTGGTGGACATGGCCATGCTGGTGGAGAGCCAGGTCCGGCCGGAGTGACCACTGGTCATCCCGAGTGACCACCGGTCATCCTGAGTGACCAGTGGTCATCGGGATGGGTTTGAGGTCATCTGGACCCATTGAGGGTCATCAAGAACCTCCCAAAGCCCATCTTGACCCACCAAAGGTCATCAAGAACCCACCAGGGGTCATCTGGAAGGGGTTTGAGGTCATTGGGAGTGACCAGTGGTCATTGGAAGTGACCAGTGGTCATTGGGAGTGACCAGTGGTCATTGGGAGTGACCAGTGGTCATCCATGACGTGTTGGTGGACATGGCCATGCTGGTGGAGAGCCAAGTCCAGCCGGAGTGACCACCGGTCATCCCGAGTGACCACCGGTCATCCCGAGTGACCAGTGGTCATCCTGAGTGGCCACCGGTCATCGGGAAGGGTTTGAGGTCATTGGGAGTGACCAGTGGTCATTGGGAGTGACCAGTGGTCATTGGGAAGGGTTTGAGGTCATTGGGAAGGGTTTGAGGTCATCTCAACCCATTGAGGGTCATCAAGAACCTCCCAAAGACCATCTTGACCCACCAGGGGTCATCTGGAAGGGTTTGAGGTCATTGGGAGTGACCAGTGGTCATTGAGAGTGACCAGTGGTCATTGGGAAGGGTTTGAGGTCATTGGGAGTGACCAGTGGCCATCCATGACGTGTTGGTGGACATGGCCATGCTGGTGGAGAGCCAGGTCCGGCCGGAGTGACCACCGGTCATCCCGAGTGACCACTGGTCATCCCGAGTGGCCACCGGTCATTGGGAAGGGTTTGAGGTCACTGGGAAGGGTTTGAGGTCATCTGGACCCATTGAGGGTCATCAAGAACCTCCCAAAGCCCATCTTGACCCACCAAAGGTCATCAAGAACCCACCAGGGGTCATCTGGAAGGGGTTTGAGGTCATTGGGAGTGACCAGTGGTCATTGGGAGTGACCATTGGTCATCGGAAAGGGTTTGAGGTCATTGGGAGTGACCACTGGTCATCGGGATGGGTTTGAGGTCATCTGGACCCATTGAGGGTCATCAAGAACCTCCCAAAGCCCATCTTGATCCACCAAAGGTCATCTGGAAGGGGTTAGAGGTCATTGGGAGTGATCAGTGGTCATCAGGAGTGACCACCGGTCATCGGGAAGGGTTTGAGGTCATCTGGACCCATTGAGGGTCATCAAGAACCCCCCAAAGCCCATCTTGACCCACCAAGGGTCATCAAGAACCAACAAGGGGTCATCTGGAAGGGGTTTGAGGTCATTGGGAGTGACCAGTGGTCATTGGGAGTGACCAGTGGTCATTGGGAGTGACCAGTGGTCATTGGGAGTGACCACCGGTCATCGGGAAGGGTTTGAGGTCATCAGGATGGGTTTGAGGTCATTGGGAGTGACCACTGGTCATCGGGAGTGACCAGTGGTCATTGGGAAGGGTTTGAGGTCATCGGGAGTGACCAGTGGTCATTGGGAGTGACCAGTGGTCATTGGGAGTGACCAGCGGTCATTGGGAAGGGTTTGAGGTCATTGGGAGTGACCAGTGGTCATCTGGAAGGGGTTGGAGGTCATTGGGAGTGACCAGTGGTCATCGGGAGTGACCAGTGGTCATTGGGAGTGACCAGTGGTCATTGGGAGTGACCAGTGGTCATTGGGAAGGGTTTGAGGTCATCGGGAGTGACCAATGACCACCATGACTGACCAGTGGTCACTGTGACTGACCAATGACCACCATGACTGACCAGTGGTCACTCTGGCTGACCAGTGGTCACTGTCACTGACCAGTGGTCACTCTGGCTGACCAGTGGTCACTCTCCGGCCGCAGGGGGAGATGATTGACCGCATCGAGTACAACGTTGATGGTCACTTTTACTGACCAATGACCATTATTAGTGACCAATGACCACCATGACTGACCGGTGGTCACTGTCACTGACCAGTGGTCACTCTGGCTGACCAGTGGTCACTCTCCGGCCGCAGGGGGAGATGATTGACCGCATCGAGTACAACGTTGATGGTCACTTTTACTGACCAATGACCATTACTAGTGACCAATGACCATTATTAGTGACCAATGACCACCATGACTGACCAGTGGTCACTCTGGCTGACCGGTGGTCACTCTGGCTGACCAGTGGTCACTCTCCGGCCGCAGGGGGAGATGATTGACCGCATCGAGTACAACGTCGAGCACTCGGTGGATTACGTCGAACGCGCCGTGTCCGACACCAAAAAAGCCGTCAAGTACCAGAGCAAAGCCCGGCGGGTCAGTGCGGCCACCGGAGTGACCAGGGGTGACCAGGGGTGACCGGGGGTGACCAGGGGTCACTGAGAGTGACCAGGGGTGACCAGGGGTGACCAGGGGTCACTGGGAGTGACCAGGAGTCACTGAGAGTGACCAGTGGTGACCAGGGGTGACCAGGGGTCACCGGGAGTGACCAGGGGAGTGACCAGGGGTGACCAGGGGTGACCGGGGATGACCGGGGGTGACCAGGGGTGACCAGGGGTCACTGGGAGTGACCAGGGGTGACCAGGGGTGACCAGGGGTCACTGGGAGTGACCAGGGGTCACCAGGGGCCACTGGGAGTGACCAGTGGTGACCGGGGGTGACCAGGGGGCTACTAAGAGTGACCAGGAGTGACCAGAGGTCACTGGGAGTGACCAGAGCTACTGAGAGTGACCAGGAGTGACCAGGGGTGACCAGGGGTGACCTGGGGTGACCAGGGGTGACCAGGGGTCACTGGGAGTGACCAGGGGTGACTGGGAGTGACCAGGGGTGACCAGGGGTGACCGGGGGTGACCAGGAGTGACCGGGGGTCACTGAGAGTGACCAGGAGTGACCAGAGGTGACCAGGGGTGACCAGGGGTGACCGGGGGTGACCGGGGGTGACCGGGGGTGACCAGGGGTCACTGAGAGTGACCAGGGGTGACCAGGGGTGACCAGGGGTGACCAGAGTGACCAGGGGTGACCAGGGGTGACCAGGGGTGACCAGGGGTCACTGGGAGTGACCAGAGTGACCAGGGGTGACCAGGGGTCACTGGGAGTGACCACAGCTACTGGGAGTGACCAGAGTGACCAGGGGTGACCAGGGGTCACTGAGAGTGACCAGGGGTGACCAGGGGTGACCAGGGGTGACCAGGGGTGACCAGGAGTGACCAGGGGTGACCAGGGGTGACCAGGGGTGACCGGGGGTGACCAGGGGTCACTGGGAGTGACCAGTGGTGACCGGGGGTGACCAGGGGTGACCGGGGGTGACCAGGGGTCACTGGGAGTGACCAGGGGTGACCAGGGGTGACCGGTGGTGACCGGGGGTGACTGGGAGTGACCAGGGGTGACTGGGAGTGACCAGTAGTGACCGGGGGTGACCAGGGGTGACCAGGGGTGACCAGGGGTGACCAGGGGTCACTGGGAGTGACCAGAGTGATCAGGGGTGACTGGGAGTGACCAGGGGTGACCAGGGGTCACTGGGAGTGACCAGGAGTGACCAGGGGTGACCAGGGGTGACCGGGAGTGACCAGGGGTGACCAGGGGTGACCAGGGGTGACCAGGGGTGACCAGGAGTGACCGGGGGTGACCAGGGGTGACCGGGGGTCACTGAGAGTGACCAGGGGTGACCGGGGGTGACCAGGGGTGACCAGGGGTGACCAGAGTGACCAGGGGTCACTGGGAGTGACCAGGGGTGACCAGGGGTTACCAGGGGTGACCGGGGGTGACCAGGGGTGACCGGGGGTGACCGGGGGTGACCGGGGGTCACCAGGGGTCACTGAGAGTGACCAGGGGTGACCAGGGGTCACTGAGAGTGACCAGAGTGACCAGGGGTGACCAGGGGTCACTGGGAGTGACCAGGGGTGACCGGGGGTCACTGGGAGTGACCAGGGGTGACCAGGGGTGACCAGGGGTGACCAGGGGTGACCAGGGGTGACCGGGGGTGACCAGGAGTGACCAGGGGTGACCGGGAGTGACCAGAGGTCACTGGGAGTGACCAGGGGTGACCAGGGGTGACCAGGGGTCACTGAGAGTGACCAGGGAGGTGACCCCGGCCAGGGTGGGGGAGGGGTCGGTGACGTTCTGCTCTTCTCTCCTCTCTCCCCTCCCCCGCTGCCGGGACCGCCCGAAATTCGACAAAATCCGTTAAAATTCATCCAAATTCATCAACGTTCATCAAAATCCATTGAAATTCACCCAAAAAATCACCAAATTTGTTAAAATTCATCTAAATCCATCAAAATTCGCCAAAAATTCATCAAAATTCATCTAAATTCATCAAAAATTCATCAAAATTCATCAAAATTCACCCAATCCACCCAAATTTATCCAAAATTCACCAAAATTCACCAAAATTTCCTGAAACCCACCCATACCCCACCAAAACCCATCAAAACCCACCCAAAATCCCCCCAAATTTACCAAAATGCATCAAAATTCACCAAACCCATGGAAACCCACCCAAACCCGCCGGAAATTCACCAAAATCCACCAAAATCCACCAAAATTCACCAAAATCCATCACAACCCACCCAAAATCCCCACAAATTTACCAAAATACATAAAAATTCACCAAACCCATGGAAACTCACCCAAACCCTCCCGAAATTCACCAAAATCCATCAAAAATCCACCCAAAACCCACCAAAATCCATCGCAACCCACCCAAACCCCCCCCAAATTTTCCAAAATGTATCAAAATTCACCAAACCCATGGAAACCCACCCAAACCCCTGGAAATTCACCAAAATCCATCAAAACCCACCAAAACCCACCCAAAACCCACCCAAACCCCCCGAAATTCACCAAAATCCACCCAAATCCACCCAAAACCCACCAAAATTCACCAAAATCCACCCAAATCCACCCAAAACCCCCCAAAATTCACCAAAATCCACCAAAATCCACCCAAATCCACCCAAATCCACCCAAAACCCCCCGAAATTCACCAAAATCCATCAAAACCCACCCAAAACCCACCAAAATCCACCCAAAACCCACCCAAACCCCCCAAAATTCACCAAAACCCACCAAAACCCACCCAAACCCACCAAAACCCACGCAAACCCCCCGAAATTCACCAAAACCCACCAAAACCCACCCAAAACCCACCAAAACCCACCAAAACCCACCCAAAATCCACCCAAACCCACCCAAACCCCCCAAAATTCACCAAAACCCACCCAAACCCACCAAAACCCACCCAAACCCAAAAAAACCCACCAAAACCCACCCAAATCCACCCAAAATCCACCCAAAACCCACCAAAACCCACCCAAAATTCACCAAAATCCACCAAAACCCACCAAAATCCACCAAAACCCACCCAAAACCAACCAAAACCCACCCAAAATCCACCCAAATCCATCAAACCCACCCAAAATCCATCAAACCCACCAAAACCCACGAAAACCCACCAAAATCCACCCAAACCCCACCCAAACCCCCCAAAATTCACAAAAATCCACCCAAAACCCACCCAAACCCACCAAAACCCTCCAAAATCCACCCAAACCCACCAAAATCCACCCAAAACCCGCTCGAACGCGCCGCCGGGCGCCGGCAGAAGAAGATCATGATCATCATCTGCTGCGTGGTGCTGGGCGTGGTCTTGGCCTCCTCCATCGGCGGCACCTTGGGCCTGTAGCGCCCCTCCCCCGCCCCCTCCCCCTCCCCCACCCCGGGGGGGGGGGCGGGGCAGCCCCGGCGCCCCTCCCCCACCCAGGCCCCGCCCCCTCCCCTCGTTAACGATTGCCAATAAATTAATTGCCAACGGACGAACCAGCACGCGGTGGTTCCGTCGCCGCCGGCCACGCCCCCCCGGCGCCGGCACCGGCAAATCTAAGTTGGCTCCGCCTCCTCCTCCTCGGCCTTCATCGCATCCCATCATCCTCCTCTGCCGCCCGCCGGCCACGCCCCCTCCGCGGGGGGGAGGGGTGAGTGGGGGTTGGGAGGAGGGTCAAGGGTTGAGTTGGGTTGGGTTGAGTTGAGTTGGGTTGGGTTGGTTGAGTTGGTTTGGTTGAGTTGGGTTGGTTTGAATTGGGTTGGGTTGGGTTGAGTTGAGTTGGGTTGGGTTGGTTGAGTTGAGTTGGTTGGGTTGGTTGGGTTGGGTTGAGTTGGGTTGGGTTGGGTTGGGTTGGTTGGGTTGGGTTGGTTGAGTTGGGTTGGGTTGGGTTGAGTTGGGTTGGGTTGGGTTGAGTTGGTTTGGGTTGAGTTGGGTTGGTTTGGTTGGGTTAGGTTGAGTTGGGTTGGGTTGGGTTGGTTGGGTTGGGTTGGGTTGGGTTGGGTTGGTTGGGTTGGGTTGAGTTGAGTTGGGTTGGGTTAGTTGAGTTGGGTTGAGTTGGGTTGAGTTGAGTTGAGTTGGGTTGGGTTGGTTGGGTTGGTTGAGTTGGGTTGAGTTGAGTTGGGTTGGGTTGGTTGAGTTGGGTTGGGTTGGGTTGGGTTGGTTGAGTTGGGCCCATTCTCACCGCGCCGGCGCCATCACACCCGACCGTTCCGACCATCCCGCACCCAACTGGATGACCCCATCAATGACCCAATGACGTCATCAATGCCAAATAACCCCATTGATGACCCAATGACCCCATTGATGACCCAATGACCTCATCAATGACCTCATCAATGACCCATCAATGACCCAACGACGTCATCGCCACCCAACCCCACCATCAACGACCCAACGGCACCGCCGCCCACCCGATGACGTCACGGGAACCCCGATGACCTCATCGATGACCTCATCGATGACCTCATCAATGACCCCACTTAGATTTCCGGCCCCGCCGGCGCCGCGCCCACGCCCCTCCCCCACCCCAACCCCCACCGGGCTGGGGGCTGCCCCTCCCCCCCCCGCCGCGCTCTGTGTCGCCCCCTCGTGGTCTGTGACGTCTTTGCTACGAAACCATTGCCAAAAACGCAGACGGCTCCGCCTCTTCTTCCTCCCCGGCCCCTCCTCCCCCTCCTCCTCCTCCTCGGGGGGGACAAAATGGCCGCCGTGAAATGGCGGCTTCAAAATGGCCGTCGTGAAATGGTGGCTTCAAAATGGCCGTCGTGAAATGGCCGCCACAAAATGGCCGTCGTGAAATGGCCGCCACAAAATGGCCGTCGTGAAATGGCGGATTCAAAATGGCCGTCACAAAATGGCCGCCATGAAACGGCCACCAAGAAATGGCCACCACAAAATGGCCGTCGTGAAATGGCCACCACAAAATGGCCGTCGTGAAATGGCAGCTTCAAAATGGCCGTCACAAAATGGCCGCCATGAAACGGCCACCACAAAATGGCTGCCACATAAAGGACATGACAAAATGGCTGCCACAAAGTGGCCACCACAAAATGGCCGCTAGAAAATGTGTGCCACAAAATGGCCGCCACGAAATGGCGGCCACAATATGGCTGCCATAAAAGGGTTGCTATAAAACGGCCAATACAAAATGGTCGACGCAAAATGGCTGCCACAACATGGCCACAGAAAAATGGCTGCCACAAAATGGCGGCCAGAAAATGGTTGACACAAAATGGCCACCATGAAATGGCCACCACAAAATGGCTGCCTAAAAATGGCTGCTACAAAATGGCTGCCACAAAATGGTGACCAGAAAATGGTTGCCACAAAATGGATTAACCAAAATGGCCAAAACAAAATGGCTGCCACAAAATGACCACTAGGAAATGGCCACCACAAAATGGCCGCCATGAAACGGCCACCACAAAATGGCCACAGAAAAATGGCTGCCGCAAAATGGTGGCCAGAAAATGGATGACCCAAAATGGCCAAGACAAAATGGCTGCCACAAAATGGCCACCAATACATGGAAACCACAAAATGGCTGCCACAAAATGGCTGCCACAAAATGGCCACCACAAAATGGCTGCCACAAAATATATGACACAAATTGGCCAAGGCAAAATGGCTGCCACAAAATGGCCACCAATACATGGAAACCACAAAATGGCTGCCACAAAATGGCGACCAGAAAATGGCCGCCAACACATGGAAACCACAAAATGGCTGCCTCAAAATGGCCACCAGGAAATGACCACCACAAAATGGCGGCCACAAAATGGCGGCCAGAAAATGGCCAAAAAAAAAAGGCTGCCAAAAAATGGCCACCAACCATAGAAAACACAAAATGGCTGCCACAAAATGGCCGCCAACACATGGAAACCACAAAATGGCTGCCACAAAGTGGCCAAGACAAAATGGCTGCCACAAAATGGACACCACAAAGATGGCTGCCACAAAATGGATGACCCAAAATGGCCAAGACAAAATGGCTGCCAAAAAATGGCCGCCAACACATGGAAACCACAAAATGGCTGCCTCAAAACGGCTGATACAAAATGGCCAAGACAAAATGGCCGCCATGACACGACCAGCACAAAATGGCCGCCCGGATCCCCAATCAGACGCGCGGGGACGACGCGGTTTTGGTACAAATTTAATGAATTTAATGTGGGCGTGGCCTCATATTGTGGGCGTGGCCTCAGCGCGGTGGGCGTGGCCTCGTTGGGGGCGTGGCCTGGTTGGGGGCGTGGCCTGGTTGGGGGCGGGGTCACGGCGCCGGCGGCTCCTCGGCGATCGCCATGGGCGATCCGAGCTGGAGGTCGCGCTGGAGACTCTCGAGCGCGGCGGGGCTGAGGCGGTGAACCTCCAACCAATCGGCCAAGAGCGACGCCGAGAGCGGCGCCGAGTCGGCAACGCTGCGGGGGAGGGGCACGAGGAGGGGACGGTGTCGGCGAGAGCGCGACGGCAAAAAACAGCAAAATGTGCGAAGAGATGGGAAAACGACCCAACAAAACCCAACCCAACCCAACCCAACTGAACCCAACTAAACTAAACCAAATCCAACCCAACCCAACTCAACCCAACCCATCCCAACCCAACCCAACCAACCCAACCCAACCCAACCCAACCCAACCCAACCCAACCCAAATTAACTAAACCAAATCCAACCCAACCCAACCAACCCAACCCAACCCAACCCAACTCAACCCAACCCAACCCAACTCAATGAAACCCAACCCAACCCAACCCAACCCAATTAAATAAACCAAATCCAACCCAACCCAACTCAACCCAACTCAACCCAACTCAACCCAACCCAACCCAACCCAACCCAACCCAACCAACCCAACCCAACCCAACCCAACCCAACTCATCCAACCCAACCGAACTAACCCAACCCAACTTAACTAAACCACATCCAACTCAACTCAACTCAACCAACTCAACCCAACTCAACCCAACCCAACCCAACCCAACTCAACCCAACCCAACCCAACAAAACCCAACTCAACTCAACCCAACTCAACTCAACCCAACCCAACCCAACCGAACTCAACCAACCCAACTCAACCAAACCAACTCAACCCAACTCAACCCAACCCAACTCAACCAACCCAACTCAACTCAACCCAACCCAACCCAACTTAACTAAACCAAATCCAACTCAACCAACCCAACCCAACTCAACCCAACCCAACCCAACCCAACCCAACCCAACTCAACTCAACCCAACCCAACCCAACCCAACCCAACCCAACTCAACCCAACCCAACCCAACTCAACCCAACCCAACCAACCCAACCCAACCCAATTCAAACCAACCAACCCAACCCAACCCAACTCAATCGGACTCAACCCAACCCAACCCAACCCAACCCAACCCAACCCAACCCAACCCAACCCAACCAACCCAACCCAACCAACCCCAACCCAACTCAACGAAACCCAACTCAACCAAACCAACCCAACTCAACCGAACCCAACCCAACCCAACCCACCCAACCCAACCCAACCCAACAAAACCCAACGAAACCCAACCAACACAAACCAACCCAACTCAACCCAACCCAACCCAACTCTTGCCCCACCTGTCCTTGGCCTCTCCCACCATGTCGAGCGATTGGCTCAGGAACTCCTCCAGGTCGAATCCGACGCCGTAACCGGCGCCGCTTCCCTTGGGCGTCACCGGGAACACCGGCGGCAGCGGATCCTCCACCTGCGGGGCGTGGCCGTGAAAAGGGGCGTGGCCACCCCAAGCCACGCCCCCAACATCCGACCACGCCCCCTCACCTGCGACTTCTGCAGCTGCTGCGTCACCGTGGCCACGTCGGCGTCGCCGGTTTGGCGCTCCGGCCACGCCCACGGCTCGGCGGGAGGGGGCGGGGCCTGGGGGCGGGGGGGCGGGGCTTGTGGGCGGGGCGCGGGCGCGGCGCCGTCCGCCATCTTGGTCCAGCGCTCCAAGAGGTGCCGGTCGTCGTCGGTGAGGACGAGGCCGTGCAGCCCCTCCCCCCGCGGGCGCGGCTCGCGGCGTTCGCGCTCCCGTTGGCGTTTTTCGCGTTCTTTGGCGCGTTCTTGCCGGCGGCGGCGCTTCTCCTCCCGCTCGCGCTGGCGCTCGGCCGCCGTCACCGGTTTGCGGCACTCGGGCGGGTCCGGCGCGGCGCAGGGCGGGTCTGGGGGTGGGGAGGGGTCAGCGGCCAATCAGAGGGGAGAAAAAGGCGCGGCGGCCAATCGGAAATGGAGGTGGGGTGGTGGAAGGGAAGGGAGGTGCAGTCAACTCATCCCAACCAACCCAACCCAACCCAACCCAACCCAACCCAACCCAACTCAACCCAACTCAACCCAACTCAACCAACCCAACCCATCCAAAACAACCCAACCTAACCCAACCTAACCCAACCCAACTCAATCCAACTCAACTCAACCGAACTCATTCAACCCAACCCAAGTCAACCCAACCCAACTCAACCCAACAAACTCAACCCAACTCAACCCAACCCAACCCAACCCAACCCAACCCAACCCAACTTAATTAAACTCAACCCAACTCAACCCAACCCAATCCAACCCAACCCAACCCCTTCAACCCAACCCAACTCAACCAACCCAACTCAACACAATTGAACTCAACCCAACCCAACCCAACCCAACCAACCCAACCCAACTCAACTTAACCCAACCCAACTCAACCCAACCCAACCCAACTCAACCCAACCCAACCCAACCAAACCCAACCAAACCCAACCCAACCCAACCCAGCCCATCTCCCGTTCCCCTCCCCCACCTTTGCTCTTGTTCCTCATGGCCGATTTCAGCAGCGCCGCCTTCAGCGCCGCTTTGGTGTCGTCCGAGATGGCGCCGTCCCTCTTGGGCGCCGCCGGCGCTTCCGGCTCCGCCTTCACCCGCGGCGACTCCATGGGGCAGTCGGGGGCGGGGCCGGGGCTCGGCATGTCCACGTCGGCGCAGGGCGGCCACGCCGGCGCCGCGGTGACGTTCGCCATGTTGACATCAACGTCGGTCTTTCTGACGGGCGCCGGCGCGATTTGGCGCCGGATTCCGTCGCGGCGCGCGTGGAAATCGGCGATTTCGGCAACGATGGCGGCTTTGATCTCCTCTTTGGTGAGCGCCTGCCGGTCGAACGCGAAGTCGAACGCCGGCACGCACTCGGGTTCGTCCTCGGGGTCGTGATATTTAGCCAAAAACGGGTGCCGCAACGCCTCGGCGACGCCGACGCGCTCCCGCGGGTCGAAACGCAACATCCTCCCCAACAACGCCAACGCCGCCGGCTCCGCGTCGCCGAAAAGACTCTCCCACGGCACCGGCGGGCGCGGCGGCAAACTCTGCACGTAGGCGCGCACCCGCTCGGCGCCGATGGCCGCCATGACGCCGGGCGGCGGCGTGCCCAGCACCGCCATGATCAGCTGGAGTTGGTGGACGTAATTCCGCCCCGGGAAGAGTTGCCGGCGGCCGAGCATTTCGGCAAAGATGCACCCAACCGACCACATGTCGATGGCGCGCGTGTAGCGGTGCAGCGACAGCAGAAGCTCCGGCGCGCGGTACCAACGCGTGGCGACGTATTCGGTGAGGAACGCCTTGGCCTGGCGCGGGTCGGCGCCGAGGCCGCGCGCCATGCCGAAATCGCCGATCTTCAGCTCGCAGTTCTCGTTGACCAGGAGGTTGCTCGGCTTGAGGTCGCGGTGGAGGACGTTCGCCGAGTGGATGTACTTGAGGCCGCGGAGGAGTTGGTAGAGGAAGTAGCGGACGTGCTCCAAGGTCAAGGGTTGGGAGGAGTGGATGATCTGGTGGAGGTCGCTCTCCATGAGGTCCAGAACGACGTAGCTGTGGGGGAGGGGCGGTGGTGGTGGGGGTGGTGGTGTGGGGGTGGGGGAGGGGTTGGGGGGTTGGGTGGGTCAATGTCAGTCAACCAAAGACATGGAAACTCAACTCAACTCAACTCAACCCACCTCAACTCAACCCACCTCAACTCAACCCAACTCAGCCCAACCCAACCCAAAAAACTCAACCCAACCCAACCCAACCCAATCCAACCCAACTCAACCAACCCAACCCAAGTCAACCAACCAAACCTAACTCAACTCAATTCAACTCAACCAAACCCAACTCAACCAACCCAACCCAACCAACCCAACCCAACTCAACCCAACTCAACCCAACCCAACTCAACCCAACTCAACCCAACCCAACTCAAACCAACCCAACCAACCCAACCAACCAAACCCAAGTCAACCTATCCAACTCAACTCAACTCAACTCAACCAAACCCAACTCAACCAACCCAACCCAACCCAACCCAACTCAAACCAATTTAACCCAACCCAACCCAATTCAACTCAACCAACTCAACCAACCCAACCCAACCCAACCAACCCAACCCAACCCAACCCAACCCACCCAACCCAACCAACCCAACCCAACCAACCCAACCAATCCAACCCATCCCAACCCAATTTAACCCAACTCAACCCAACCCAACCCAACCCAACTCAACTCAATTCATCCCAACCAACCCAACCCAACCCAACCCAACTCAACCAACCCAACCAAACCAACCCAACCCAACCAACCCAACCCAACCCAACTCAACCAACCCAACCAACCCAACCCAACCAACCCAACCAATCCAACCCATCCCAACCCAATTTAACCCAACTCAACCCAACCCAACCCAACCCAACTCAACTCAATTCATCCCAACCAACCCAACCCAACCCAACCCAACCCAACCCAACCCAACCAACCCAACCCAACTCAACCCAACTCAACCCAACCCAACCCAACCCAACCAACCCAACCCAACTCAACTCAACTCAACCCAACCCAACCCAACCCAACCCAACTCAACTCAAATCAAAACAATCCAACCAATCCAACCCAACTCAACCCAACCCAACTAAACTCAACCAACCCAACCCAACCCAACTAAACCCAACTCAACCAACCCAACTCAACTCAACCCAACCCAACCCAACCAACCCAACCCAATTCAACTCAGTCCAACTCAACCAACCCAACTCAACCCAACCCAACCCAACCCAACTCAACCAACCCAACGCAACCCAACCCAACCCAACCCAACCAACCCAACCCAACCCAACCCAACCCAACCCAACTCAACCCAACTCAACCAACTGAACTCAACCCAACCCAACTCAACTCAACCCAACCCAACCCAACCCAACCCAATTCAACTCAACCAACTCAACCAACCCAACCCAACTCAACCCAACCCAACCCAACCAACCCAACCCACCCAACCAACCCAACCCAACTCAACTTAACCCAACCCAACCCAACCCAACTCATTAAACCCAACCCAACCCAACTCAACTCAATTCAACCAACCCAACCCAACCCAACTCAACCCAACTCATCCAAATCAACCCAACCCAACTCAATCCAACCCAACTCAACCAACCCAACCCAACCCAACCCAACCCACCCAACCCACGCACACGGAGCGGAACTCGCCGTAGGGCCCGGCCGGCCGCAGGATGTCCTTGATGCCGATGATGTTGTCGTGTTTGAAGTGTTTGAGGATCTTCAGCTCCCGCAGCGTCCGCTTGGCGTTGGTCACCACGTCGAAGGCGTTGGGGATCTTCTTGATGGCCACCTGCTGGCCTGGGGGGGGCAGGGGAGGTCCAGGTGTGCCCAGGTGTGCCCAGGTGTGCCCAGGTGTGCCCAAAATATCCCCCAGGTGTGCCCAGGTGTGCCCAGGTGTGCCCAAAATCCCATTTTTGCTCATTTTAACCCCATTTTTTCTCCTTTTAACCCCGTTTTTTTTTTCGTTTTACCCTCCCCAGGTGTGCCCAGGTGTGCCCAGGTGTGCCCAGGTGTGCCCCAGGTGTGCCCAGGTGTGTTTTCAGTGCCCAAAATCCCATTTTTTCTCCTTTTAACCCCATTTTTTTTGCCTTTTACCCTCCCCAGCTGTGCCCAGGTGTGCCCAGGTGTGCCCAGGTGTGCCCCAGGTGCCCCCAGGTGTGCCCAGGTGTGCCCAGGTGTGCCCAAAATCCCATTTTTGCTCCTTTTAACCCCGTTTTTTTTGCGTTCTACCCTCCCCAGGTGTGCCCAGGTGTGCCCAGGTGTACCAAAAATCCCATTTTTGCTCATTTTAACCCCATTTTTTCTCCTTTAAATGCCATTTTTGCTTTTTTTAACCCAGTTTTTTTGGCATTTTACCCTCCCCAGGTGTGCCCAGGTGTGCCCAGGTGTGCCCCACCCGTCTCTCACCCGTGTCGCGCCGCCGTGCCGAGCTGACCACGCCGTAGGCGCCGGTGCCGATGGTCTCGATGACCTCGTAGTCGTCGCCCACGTCGAAGGTGACGTCGAGCGCCCGCGCCTTCAGCAGCGCCAGCGGCCCCGGCGCCTCGGGGGCGGGGCTTGGGGCCTGGGGGGCGGGGCCTGGGGCCTGGGGGGCGTGGCTTGGGTCATTTGGGGCGTGGCTTGGGTGATTTGGGGCGTGGTTTGGGTCATTGGGGGCGTGGTTTGGTCCCTGGAGGGCGTGGCCTTGGCCATAGGGGGCGGTGCATATCACCTGGTGGGCGTGGCTTTGCCCCTGGTGGGCGTGGCCTGGTCCCTGGTGGGCGTGGTTTGGGTCATTGGGGGCGTGGCTAATCGCCTGAGGGGCGTGGTTTGGCTCCTGGGGGGCGGGGCCTGGTTCCGCCATGGCGTCTGTCACCTGAAAAGGGCGAAAATCACCCCAAAAAAAAATCGACTGGGGGGGAGAATCTGACCCCAGTTTGTCCCAGTTTGTCCCAGTAAGTCCCAGTTCGTCCCAGTTCCATCCCAGTCCTTCCCAGTTTGATCCCAGTCCCTCCCAGTCCCCCCCCAGTTCCTCCCAGTTTGTTTCAATCCCATCCCAGTTTGCCCCAGTCCCTCCCAGTCCATCCCAGTTCCCTCCCAGTCCATCCCAGTTCCATCCCAGTCCGTCCCAGTTCCCTCCCAGTCCCTCCCAGTATAAACCAATCCCCCCCCCAGTCCATCCCAGTCCATCCCAGTTCAATCCCAGTCCCTCCCAGTTTGTCCCAGTCCCTCCCAGTTCCCTCCCAGTCCCTCCCAGTTTGTCCCAGTTCCCTCCCAGTTACTCCAGGACACCCCTAAACCCCTCCCAGTAAATCCCAGTTCCATCCCAGTCCCTCCCAGTTCCCTCCCAGTTTGTCCCAGTCCCTCCCAGTTCCCTCCAAACCCTTCCCAGTCCCTCCCAGTTTCTTTCAATCCCATCCCAGTCCATCCCAGTTCCCTCCCAGTCCCTCCCAGTAAATCCCAGTTCCATCCCAGCCCCCCTGAAACCTCCCCCAGTTCATCCCAGTTTGTCCCAGTTCATCCCGGTCCCTCCCAGTCTTTCCCAGTCCCTCCCAGTTTGTTTCAATCCCATCCCAGTTTGTCCCAGTCCCTCCCAGTCCATCCCAGTGCCCCCATTAACCCTTTCCACTCCCCCCAAACCCCTTCCAGTCCCTCCCAGTCCATCCCAGTCCCCCCCAGTTTGTCCCAGTTTGTCCCAGTTTGTTCCATCTCCCCCCCCCCCCCCCCCGGGGGCCGTTACCATGACAACCCCCCCGCGGCTCTTACCGCCCCCTCCGCCCCTCCCGCCGCTCCCGCCGGGCCCGGGAACAGCCGCCGCCCGGCCCCGCCCCCTCCGCGGCTTCCGGGACGCACTTCCGCCCTCCCTCCGCTGCTTCCGGGCTCGGAGAACTTCCGCGTCGCTGCTCGGGGATTTTTCGGGAACTTTTCCCGCTCCTCTCGGTGCTTCGGGAGGAATTTTGGGTCATTTCTGTTGTTTTTTAAAGAATTTCCGGTTCGTCTTTATGGTCTTGGGGAACTTCCGCTTCGTCTCTATGGTTACTGGAGGACTTCCGCTCTTTTTCCGGTTTGTCTCTATGGTTTCTCTGGAACTTCCGCTTAGTCTCTATGGTTACTGGAGGACTTCCGGTCTTCTTTTGGTTTGTCTCTATGGTTTTTAGAACTTCCGGCTCGTCTCTATGGTTCTGGAGGACTTCCTGTTCGTCTCTATGGTCCTGGAGGACCTCTCGATGGTTTTGGCGGACAGAGCGGCTCCGTCTCGCTGCGCACTGCGCATGCGCACGGCGCACCGCGCCGCCACTTCCGCTTCCGCTCAGCCGCCATGAGGGACCGGACGCGGGAACTGCGCCAGGCGAGAGAACAAAAAATGGGGAAAAAAAGGGAAAAAACGGGAAAAAGAGGAGAAAAAGAGGGAAAATGAGGCCGGAATGGGGATGGGGGAAGGAGGAAATGGGGGAAAGTGAACAAAAATGGGAAAAGAGCCAAAAAATTGGGATTGGGGGGTCAGGAAATGGGAGGAAATTTCCAAAAAATAGGGGGAAAGTCCAGAAATGGGGAAAAAGAGGGAAAAAAGCAGGAAATGAACCCAAAAATTGATAAAGGAGCCCAAAAATTAGGAAAAGATCCTGAAAATGGGGAGAAAAAGGTCAAAGATGGGAAAAAAAGGTTAAAAATCAGGAAAAAGAGGCGAAAATCAGGAAATAAACACAAAAATCAGGAAAATGATACTAAAAAATGGGAAAAGAGCCCAAAAGTCAGGAAAATGAACTCAAAAACTGGAAAAATGTTTAAAAAAATTGGGAAGAGTCCAAAAATTGGGAAAAGAGCCCAAAGTCGGGAAAATGAAAAAAAAAATCAGGAAATGAACCAAAAAATGTGGAAAAGGAGCCCAAAAATAAGGAAAAAGAGGCAAAAAACGGGGGAAAGAGCCCAAAAATGGGGTAAAAAAGGCAAAAATCAGGAAATGAACCCAATAATGGGGAAAGGAGCCCAAAATTTCCGGGTTTTTGTTCAAAATCCGGGATTTTCCCCCAAATCCCGGTTTATTTGTCCCTAATTCCCCGTTTTCCCCCCAAATCCGTTTTTTTTTTCCCTAAATCCACATTTTTCGCCCCAATTTGCGATTTTTTTCCCTTAATTCCCATTTTCCCCCCCAAATTCGTGTTTATTTTTCCCTAATTCCCGTTTTTCCCCCCAAATCCATTTTTTTTTCCCAAAATCCGCATTTTTCGCCCCAATTCGCATTGATTTTTCCTCAATTCCCCTTTTTCCCCCCAAATCCCGGTTTATTTTTCCCCAATTTCCGTTTTTTTTCCCAAATCCGTTTATTTTTCCCAAAATCCGCGTTTTTCGCCCCAAATCAGTTTTTTTTCCCAAAATCCGCATTTTTCCCCCAAATCCGGGTTTATTTTTCCCTAATTCCCATTTTTCCCCCCAAATCCGGGTTTATTTTTCCCCAATTCCCATTTTTCCCCCAAATCCGTTTTTTTCCCCTAAATCCACGTTTTTCACCCCAAATCCGTGTTTATTTTTCCCCAATTCCCGTTTTTCCCCCCAAATCCACATTTATTTTTCCCTAATTCCTGTTTTTTTTCCCAAAACCGTGTTTATTTTTCCCAAAATCTGCGTTTTTCCCCCCAAATCCGTTTTTTTTCCCAAAATCCACATTTTTCCCCCCAAATCCGGGTTTATTTTTCCCTAATTCCCATTTTTCCCCCCAAATCCGGGTTTATTTTTCCCTAATTCCCCTTTTTCCCCCCAAATCCGGGTTTTTTTACCAAAATCCGCATTTTTCCCCCCAAATCCGTTTTTTTTTCCCAAAATCCGCGTTTTTCCCCCCAAATCCAGGTTTCTTTTTCCCTAATTCCTGGGTTTTTTTCCAAAATCCGGGTTTATTTTTCCCCAATTTCCGTTTTTCCCCCGAAATCCGTTTTTTTTCCCAAAATCCACGTTTTTCCCCCCAAATCCGTTTTTTTTCCCAAAATTGCCGTTTTTCACCCCAATTCTCGTTTATTTTTCAGGCGTCGGACTCGGACTCGGAGGGGGAGGGGCGGGGGGGGGGGGGCGGCTCCTCCCCCCCGAGGACCCCGCCCTGGCCCAGGTTTGCATCTCATTTGCATCTCATTTGCATCTCATTTGCATCTCATTTGCATGTCATTTTACTCCAGTGTATATCGCGATATAACCCCGGTGGAAAAGATTCTAAAAATGGGGAGAAAAAGGTCAAAAATGGGGAAAAAAGGGCCAAAAATATGGAAAAAGAGGCAAAAATCAGGAAAAAAACCCGAAATTAAGGAAAATGATACTAAAAAATGGGAAAAGAGCCCAAAAATCAGGAAAAGATCCTAAAAATGGGGAGAAAAAGGTCAAAGATGGGGAAAAAAGGGCCAAAATCAGGAAAAAGAGGCAAAAATCAGGAAAAAAACCAAAATTCAGGAAAATGATGTTAAAAAATGGGAAAAGAGCCCAAAAGTCAGGAAATTGAACTCAAAAACTGTAAAAATGGTAAAAAAAATTGGAAGAGTTCAAAAATGGGGAAAAGAGCCCAAAAAAGAGGAGATGAGCCCAAAGTTGGGAAAATTAAACCAAAAATCAGGAAATGAACCAAAAAATGTGGAAAATGAGCCAAAAACAACGAAAAAGAGGCAAAAATTGGGGGAAAAAGACCAAAAATGGGGTAAAAAAAGGCAAAAATCAGGAAATGAACCAAAAAATGTGGAAAAGGAGCCAAAAAACTGGGAAAAAGAAGCAAAAAATGGGGAAAAGAGCCCAAAAATTAGGAGCTCAGCCCCAAAGTGGATATCGCGATATAACCCCTGTTTATATCGTGATATAACCCCGGTTTATATCGCGATATAACGCCTCTATCGCGGGTTTATATCGCGATATAGCCCCAATTTATATCGCGATATAACCCTGTGGATATCGCGATATAACCCCCGTGTATATCGCGATATAACTCCCATTAATATTGCGATATAACCCCGTTTATATCGCGATATAACTCCTGTTTATATCGCGATATAACACCCGTGTATGTCACGATATAACCCCTGCTCATATCGCGATATAACCCCCCCCATGTCGTGACAGGCGCAGTTCCTGCGCTCGGCGCTGGGGGCGCTGTGTGACCCCGTTTCTATCGCGGGTTTATATCGCGATATAAACTCTCATATCGCGGGTTTATATCGCGATATAACGCCTCTGTCGTGGGTCTATATCGCGATATAAAGTCTCTATCGCGGGTTTATATCGTGGTATGACCCCTGTTGATATCGTGATATAACTCTGGTATATATCGCGATATAACCCCCGTCTCTATCGCGGGTTTATATCGCGATATAAGCTCCCATATATCGTGACAGGCGCAGTTCCTGCGCTCGGCGCTGGGGGCGCTGTGTGACCCCGTGTCTATCGCGGGTTTATATCGCGATATAAACTCTCATATCGCGGGTTTATATCGCGATATGACGTCCCTATCGCGGGTTTATATCGCGATATAACGTCTCTATCGCGAGTTTATATCGCCATATAACTTCCCTATCGCGGGTTTATATCGCGATATAACGTCTCTATCGCGGGTTTATATCGCGATATAACTCCTGTGTATATCGCGGGTTTATATCGCGATATAACCCCGTTTATATCGCGACAGGCGCAGTACCTCCGCTCGGCGCTGGGGGCGCTGTGTGACCCCGGGTTTATATCGCGGGTTTATATCGCGATATAATCTCTGATATCGTGGGTTTATATCGCGATATGACCCGTTGATATCGCGATATAAGCTCCCATATATCGCGACAGGCGCAGTACCTGCGCTCGGCGCTGGGGGCGCTGTGTAACCCCGTGTCTATCGTGGGTTTATATCGCGATATAAGCCGTTTATATCGTGGGTTTATATCGCGATATAACCCGTTTATATCGCGATATGACCGGTTTATATCGCGACAGGCGCAGTTCCTGCGCTCGGCGCTGGGGGCGCTGTGTGACCCCGTTGATATCGCGGGTTTATATCGCGATATAAGCCCATTGATATCGCGATATAACTCCCATTGATATCGCGACAGGCGCAGTTCCTGCGCTCGGCACTGGGGGCGCTGTGTGACCCCCGTGTCTATCGCGGGTTTATATCGCGATATAACCCCATTTATATCGCGACAGGCGCAGTACCTCCGTTCGGCGCTGGGGGCGCTGTCGCTGCGCGCGGCGGCGCTGGAGCGGCTGCAGGAACGGGCCTTGGCCACGCCCCTCCCCCCGCCAGGTTTGGGGAGAATTCGGGGGGTTTTGGGAAAATTTGGGGAGTTTGGGGTGTTTTGGGCAAATTCGGGGAGAATTTGGGGGGTTTTGGGGCCACTAGTTCTTGGGATTTTGGGGCAAATTCGGGGGGTTTTGGGGCAAATTTGGGGCAAATTTGGGGGGTTTTGGGGCGAATTCGGGGGGTTTTGGGGTGAATTTGGGGGGTTTTGGGGCGAATTCGGGGGGTTTGGGGGCAAATTTGGGGGGTTTTGGGGATAATTCGGGGGGTTTGGGGGCAAATTTGGGGCACTTTTCGGGGTGAATTCGGGGCAAATTCGGGGGGTTTTGGGGCAGTTCGGGGAGAATTCGGGGGGTTTTGGGGCAAATTTGGGGCAATTTCGAGGGGCTTTGGGGCGAATTCGGTGGGGGTTTGGGGCAAATTTGGGGGGTTTTGGGGCCACTTCAGGACAAATTCGGGGGCGTTTGGGGCACTTTGGGGTGAATTCGGGGGGTTTTGGAGCATTTTGGGGTGAATTCGGGGGGTTTGGGGCTAATTTGGGGCACTTTTCGGGGTGAATTCGGGGCAAATTCGGGGGATTTTGGGGGCAAATTTTGGGGGGTTTTGGGGCAAATTTGGGGGGTTTTGGGGCCACTTCGGGACAAAATCGGGGGGGTTGGGGGCAAATTTGGGGGGTTTTGGGGCAAATTTGGGGCACTTTTTGGGGCAGTTCGGGGTGAATTTGGGGGGTTTTGGGGCAAATTTGGGGCACTTTTCGGGGTGAATTCGGGGCAAATTTGGGGGGTTTTGGGGTGAATTTAGGGGGTATGGGGTGAATTCGGGGGGTTTTGGGGCACTTTGGGGTGAATTCGGGGGGTTTTGGGCAAATTCAGGGTGAATTTGGGGTGAATTCGCGGCAAATTCGGGGGCTTTTGGGTAAATTTGGGTTTTGGGGCAAATTAGGGAGGTTTTGGGGAAATTCGGGGGGTTTGGGGGAAAATTTGGGGGGTTTTGGGGCAAATTTGGGGCACTTCAGGGTGAATTTCGGGCAAATTCGGGGGGTTTTGGGGCAAATTTGGGGGGTGAATTTCGGGAAAATTCGGGGGGTTTTGGGGCAGTTCGGGGAGAATTCGGGGAGAATTTGGGGGGTTTTGGGGCGAATTCGGGGGGGTTTGGGGCTAATTTGGGCAGTTTTGGGGCACTTTGGGGTGAATTTGGGGGGATTACGGGCAAATTCAGGGTAAATTCGGGGGGTTTTGGGGCAAATTCGGGGGGATTTGGGACAAATTCAGGGGGTTTTGGGGCAAATTTGGGGCACTTTTCGGGGTGAATTTGGGGCAAATTCGGGGGGTTTTGGGGCAAATTTGGGGCAGTTCGGGACAAATTCGGGGGGTTTTGGGGCAGTGTGGGAGAAATTCGGGGGGTTTTGGGGGGTTTTGGGGTGAATTTAGGGGGTTTGGGGTGAATTTGGGGGGTTTTGGGGCAAATTTGAGACAAATTCGGGGGGTTTTGGGGCATTTTGGGGCGAATTCGGGGGGTTTTGGGGCCACTTCAGGACAAATTTGGGGGGTTTGGGCAAATTCGGGGGGTTTTGGGACAAATTTCGGGGGGTTTGGCGGCAGTTTGGGGAGAATTCGGGGGATTTTGGGCAAATTTGGGGCAAATTCAGGGGTTTTGGGGCAAATTTTGGGGGGTTTCGGGGCCAATTCGGGGGGATTTGGGCAAATTTGGGGCACTTTGGGATCAAATTTGGGGGGTTTTGGGGCCAATTCGGGGGGTTTTGGGCCAGTTTGGGGCAAATTCGAGGGATTTTAGGGCCTTTCGGGGCAAATTCGGGGGATTTTGGGGCACTTTGGGGTGAATTCGGGACTTTGGGGGAGTTTTTTGGGGGATTTTCAGGGGATTCTGGATGAATTTTTTGGGGAAATTCCCGGAATTCTGGGGGAATTTTGGATGATTTTTTTGTGGGGGGTTTTGGGTCTTTTTGGGGAATTTTGGGAGGAATTTGGGAGGTTTTGGGGGGATTTTGGGTGAATTTTGCCCGTTTTTGGCCCCCCAGAGCTCCAGGAGGATCTGGGTGATTTTTGGCCATTTTTGGGTGGATTTTGGGTGAAATTTCACCGTTTTTGGTCCCCCAGAGCTCCAGGAGGATCTGGGCTGGGTTTGGGTGATTTTTGGCCATTTTTTGGGTGGATTTTGGGTGAATTTTCACCGTTTTTGGTCCCCCAGAGCTCCAGGAGGATCTGGGCTGGGTTTGGGTGATTTTTGGCCATTTTTAGGGTGGATTTTGGGTTAAATTTCCCCGTTTTTGGTCTCCCAGAGCTCCAGGAGGATCTGGGCTGGGTTTGGATGAATTTTTGGGTGGATTTTGGGTGAAATTTGCCCGTTTTTGGTCCCCCAGAGCTCCAGGAGGATCTGGGCTGGGTTTGGGTGATTTTTGGCCATTTTTTGGGTGGATTTTGGGTGAAATTTCCCCGTTTTTGGTCCCCCAGAGCTCCAGGAGGATCTGGGTGATTTTTGGCCATTTTTGGGGTGGATTTTGGGTGAATTTTGCCCGTTTTTGGTCCCCCAGAGCTCCAGGATGATCTGGGCTGGGTTTGGGTGATTTTTGGCCATTTTTGGGGTGGATTTTGGGTTAAATTTACCCGTTTTTGGTCCCCCAGAGCTCCAGGAGGATCTGGGCTGGGTTTGGGTGATTTTTTGGGTGTATTTTGGGTGAATTTTGCCCGTTTTTGGTCCCCCAGAGCTCCAGGAGGATCTGGGCCGGGTTTGGGTGATTTTTGGATGAATTTTTGGGTGGATTTTGGGTGAAATTTGGCCATTTTTGGTCCCCCAGAGCTCCAGGAGGATCTGGGCTGGGTTTGGGTGATTTTTGGATGAATTTTTGGGTGAATTTTGGGTGAAATTTGCCCGTTTTTGGTCCCTCAGAGCTCCAGGAGGATCTGGGTGATTTTTGGCCATTTTTTGGGTGGATTTTGGGTTAAATTTCTCAATTTTTGGTCCCCCAGAGCTCCAGGAGGATTTGCAGCGGGTCCGGGACGAGATTCAGGATCTGACACGGGAGATTCAGGCGGGGCTGAGAGGTACCCCCAAAACACCCCAAAATACCCCAAAATACCCCAAAATATCCCCAAAATATCCCAAAACATCTCAAATACACCAAAAACACCCCAAAACCACCCAAAATACCCCCGAAACAGTGCCAAAACACCCCAAAACACCCCAAAATACCCCAAAATACCCCCAAAAACCCCAAAATATCCCCAAAGTACCCCAAAACAACCCCAAAAACCCCAAATACACCAAAAACACCCCCAAAAATCCCAAATGCACCAAAACCAACCCAAAACCACCCCAAAAAACCCAAATACACCAAAACCAACCCAAAAACACCCCAAACACCACCCAAAATACCCCAAAACCACCCCAAAAACCACCAAAAATACCCCCAAAACACCCCAAAAAAACCAAATACGCCAAAAACACCCCAAAAACCACCCAAAATACCACAAAACCACCTAAAAAATATACCCAAAGCACCCCAAAAACCCAAAATACACCAAAAACACCCCAAAACACCCCAAAATACCCCAAAACCACCCAAAATACCCCCAAGACACCCCAAAAAACCCAAATACACCAAAACCACCCCCAAAAATCCCAAATACATCAAAAACACCCCGAAAACACCCAAAATACCCCAAAACTCCCTAAAAACACCCCAAATACACCAAAAACACCCCAAAAATACCCCAAAAACCCCAAATACCCCAAAACCACCCAAAATACCCCCAAAACACCCCAAATATCCCCCGAAAGCCGCTCTAAAATCCCATTTTTGGGATTTTTTTTCCCCATTTTAGGGATTTTTGTCCCATTTTTTTGTTCCCTTTTCCCCATTTTATTTTTATCCCCCATTTTTGGGGTTATTTTTCCCCAATTATTTAATTTTTTGCCCAATTTTTTTTGGTTTTTTTCCCTGTTTTTAAAAATTTTTTCCCCATTTTTCGGTTATTTTCCCCCATTTTTTTAGTTTTTACCCAATTTTTGGTTTTTTTCCCCCATTTTTAAACTTTTTTCCCCATTTTTCGGTTATTTTTCCCCATTTTTTTAGTTTTTACCCAATTTTTGGGGTTTTTTTCCCATTTTTAAAAATTTTTCCCCATTTTTTGGTTATTTTTCCCCATTTATTTAATTTTTACCCAATTTTTTGGTTTTTTTTTTCCTGTTTTTTTTATTTTTTCCCAATTTTTTGGTTTTTTTGTCCCAATTATTTAATTTTTAACCAATTTTTGTGTTTTTTTCCCCATTTCAGGGCTGGAGCCGTCAGGGTCGGATTCGGGTCCGGGTTCGGTTCGGGAGCGGCTGCGGCGAACTCAGGTTGGGGAGAATTCCGCCGATTTTGGGAAATTCGGGATTTGGGGAAATTTGGGATCAATTCGGAGCAATTTGGGACATTTTGGGGTGAATTTGGGGAAATTTGGGGCTTTTTGGGGATATTTGGGGGAAATTTGGGGTTTATTTGGGGGAATTTGGGGATATTTGGGGGAAATTTGGGGTTTTTTGGGGAATTTGGGGATTTTTGGGGGAATTTGGTGAAAATTTTGGGCTTTTTTGGGGAATTTGGGGGATATTTAAGGGAAATTTGGGGGGTTTTGAGGGGAATTTGGGGATTTTTTGGGAATTTTGGGGAAAATTTGGGGCTTTTTTGGGGAATTTTGGGGAAATTTGGGGTTTTATTTGGGATTTTGGTCAATTTTGGGCGTATTTTGGCCATTTCTGGGTGGATTTTCGTGGGGATTTTTGGGAATTTTGGGGAATTTTGGGAATTTTTGGGAATTTTGGGTTCCTGATGGATTTTTGGGTCCGGCCCAGCAATTTTCGGTGGATTTGGGTCAATTTTGGGTTGATCTTGGCCATTTCTGGGCGGATTTTGGCCGTTTCTGGGCGGATTTTGGCCGTTTCTGGGCGGATTTTGGCCGTTTCTGGGCGGATTTTCACGGGAATTTTGGGGATTTTTGGGAATTTTGGGGAATTTTGGGTTCCTGATGGATTTCGGGGTCCAGCCCAGCAATTTTGGGTGGATTTGGGTCAATTTTGGGTTGATTTTGGCCGTTTCTGGGCAGATTTTGGCCGTTTCTGGGCGGATTTTGGCCATTTCTGGGCGGATTTTCACGCGGTTTTTTGGGAATTTTTGGGAAATTTTGGGAATTTTTGGGAATTTCGGGATTCCCCCAGCACGGGCTCCTGGCGCAGCAGTTTTGGGTGGAATTGGGTGGATTTTGGGTGGAATTGAGCCAATTTTGGGCGGATTTTGGCCATTTCTGGGCGGATTTTGGCCGTTTCTGGGCGGATTTTCGCGGGGATTTTTGGGAATTTTTGGGAGTTTTTTGGGGGAATTTTGGGGAATTTTTGGGAATTTCATGGGAATTTTTGGGAATTTTGGGTTCCTGACGGATTTTGGGGTCCAGCCCAGCAATTTTGGGTGGATTTGGGTGAATTTTGGGTGGAATTTAGCCACTTTTGGGCGGATTTTGGCCGTTTCTGGGCGGATTTTCGCGGGGATTTTTGGGAATTTTTGGGAATTTTTGGGAATTTTGGGGAATTTTGGGAATTTTTGGGAATTTTGGGGTCCCCCCCAGCACGGGCTCCTGGCGCAGCAGTTTTGGGGGTCCCTGGGGGGGATTTTGGGTGGAATTGAGCAGATTTTGGCCGTTTCTGGGCGTATTTTGGCCGTTTCTGGGCAGATTTTGGCCGTTTCTGGGCCGATTTTCACGCGGTTTTTTGGGAATTTTTGGGAAATTTTGGGAATTTTTGGGAATTTCGGGATCCCCCCCAGCACGGGCTCCTGGCGCAGCAGTTTTGGGTGGATTTGGGTGGATTTTGGGTAAAATTGAGCAGATTTTGGCCGTTTCTGGGCGGATTTTGGCCGTTTCTGGGCGGATTTTGGCCGTTTCTGGGCGGATTTTCGCGGGGATTTTTGGGAATTTTTGGGAATTTTTGGGAATTTTTGGGAAATTTTGGGAATTTCGGGATCCCCCCCAGCACAGCCTCCTGGCGCAGCAGTTTTGGGTGGATTTGGGTGGATTTTGGCCGTTTCTGGGCAGATTTTGGCCATTTCTGGGCGGATTTTCACGGGGATTTTTGGGAATGTCATGGGAATTTTTGGGAATTTTTGGGAATTTTTTGGGAATTTTTGTGAATTTTGGATTCCTGATGGATTTCGGGGTCCGGCCCAGCAATTTTGGGTGGATTTGGGTCAATTTTGGGTGGAATTGAGCAGATTTTGGCCGTTTCTGGGCGGATTTTGGCCGTTTCTGGGCGGATTTTGGCCATTTCTGAGCGGATTTTCGCGGGGATTTTTGGGAATTTTTGGGAATTTTTTTGGGATTTTTGGGAATTTTGGGAATTTTTGGGAATTTTTGGGAATTTTGGGTTCCTGATGGATTTCGGGGTCCGGCCCAGCAATTTTGGGTGGATTTGGGTGGATTTTGGGTGGAATTGAGCCAATTTTGGGCGGATTTTGGCCATTTCTGGGCGGATTTTGGCCGTTTCTGGGCGGATTTTCGTGGGGATTTTTGGGAATTTTTGGGAATTTTTGGGAATTTTGGGTTCCTGACAGGTTTTGGAGGTCCTTGGGGGGAATTTTGGGTGAATTTTGGGTGGAATTGAGCAGATTTTGACCGTTTCTGGGCAGATTTTGGCCGTTTCTGGGCGGATTTTCGTGGGGATTTTTGGGAATTTTTTTGGAATTTTGGGAATTTTTGGGAATTTCGGGATCCCCCCCAGCACGGGCTCCTGGCCCAGCAGTTTTTCGGGGTGACGGAGCGTCTCCAGACCGTTCAGTCCCGGTACCGACAGCGGAACCTCGAACGGATCCAGCGGCAGCTCCAGATCGGTGAGACCCAAATTTGGGGAAAATCCCAAAAATTTTGGGGATTTTTGGGGATTTTGGGGAATGTCTGAAATTTTGGGGGGGTCCCGAAATCCGTGGGAGGGTCCCGGAAATTTGGGGGGTTGAAAATTTGGGGAAATTCTGAAATTTTTCCCATTTTTTGGTTCCTTTTTCCCATTTTTTGGGTCCCTTTTCCCATTTTTTGGGTCCCTTTTCCCATTTTTTGGGGTAATTTTCCCATTTTGGGGTAATTTTCCCAATTTTAGGGTAATTTTCCCAATTTTGGGCGGCTTTTCCCATTTTTGGGGTTTCTGACCCCAATTTTGGGGTTTCTGACCCCAATTTTGTGGCTAATTTTCCCTTTTTTAGGTCTCTTTTCCCAATTTCGGGGTTTCTAACCCAATTTTGGGGTTTCTAACCCAAATTTTGGGGTAAATTTCCCATTTTTTGGGTGGCTTTTCCCAATTTTGGGGTTTCTGACCCCGATTTTGGAGTTTCTGACCCCATTTTTGGGGTAATTTTCCCAATTTTGGGGTAAATTTCCCATTTTTTGTGTCCCTTTTTTCAATTTTGGGGTTTCTAACCCAAATTTTGGGGTAAATTTCCCATTTTTTGGGTGGCTTTTCCCACTTTTGGCGTATCTAACCCAAATTTTGGGGTAAATCTCCCATTTTTTGTGTCCCTTTTCTCAATTTTGGGGTTTCTAACCCAATTTTGGGGTTTCTGAGACAAATTTTGGGGTAAATTTCCCATTTTTTGTGTCCCTTTTCCCATTTTTGGGGTTCCTAACCCAATTTTGGTGTTTCTGACCCAATTTTGGGGTGATTTTCCCGTTTTTGGCAGCCGGGCACGCGCCGCTGTCGGAGGAGGAGCTGGAGCAGCTGTTGGAGTCGGGACAGACCCAAATCTTCGTCCCCAACGTCAGTTTGGGGCAAAAAACGCCGATTTTGGGGCTTTGGGGAGAAATTTGTGATTTTTGGGGTTTTTTTGGGGTAAATGTGTTCTTTTTTGAGGCAAATTTGGGTTATGGGATGAATTTTTGGGGTGAATTTTGCCGATTTCGGGTTGAATTTCAGATTGAATTTTGGGGTTAATTTGGCTGATTTGGGGTTAAATTTTAGCGTGAATTTTGGGTGAATTTTGGGTTAAATTTGGGGTGAATTTTGTGCCGATTTTGGTTGAATTTTGGGGTGAATTTGGCCGCGTTTGGGTTAAGTTTTGGGGTAAATTTCACCGATTTTGAGTGAATTTTGGGGTTGTTGGGGGATGTTGGGTTTTGTGCTGATTTGGGGTGAATTTTGGGGTGAATTTGGCTGATTTTGGGTAAATTTTGGGGTGAATTTTGCCATTTTGTGGTAAATTTTGGGGTGATTTTTTTCCATTTCGGGGCGAATTTGAATTTTTTGACTTTGTGCTGATTTGGGGTGAATTTTGGGGTGAATTTTGGGGCGAATTTGTCCATTTTGGGGTGAATTTTGGGGTGAATTTTGCCGATTTGGGGTGAATTTGGCCAATTTTCGGGTGAATTTGGGGGTGAATTTTTCCATTTTGGGGCAAATTTGAATTTTTTGACTTTGTGCCGATTCGGGGTGGATTTGTCCATTTTGGGGCAAATTTTGGGGTGAATTTCACCATTTTTGGGTGAATTTTGGGGTGAATTTTGGGGTGAATTTTGGGGTGAATTTTGGGGTGAATTTGGGTGAATTTTGGGGTGAATTTTGGATTGAATTTCACCATTTTGGGGTGAATTTTGGGGTGAATTTGTCCATTTTGGGGTGAATTTTGGGGTGAATTTCACCATTTTGGGTAAATTTTGGGGTGAATTTTTCCATTTCGGGGCGAATTTGAATTTTTTGACTTTGTACCATTTTGGGGTGAATTTTGGGGTGAATTTGGCCATTTTTGGGGTGAATTTTGGGGCAAATTTCACCGTTTTGGGTGAATTTTGGGGTGAATTTTTCCATTTTGGGGCGAATTTGAATTTTTTGACTTTGTACCATTTTTGGGATGAATTTTGGGGTCAATTTGTCCGATTTTGGATAAATTTTGGGATTTTTTGGATTTTGGGTTTTCTGGGTTGAATTTTTTGACTTTGTGCCGATTCGGGGTGAATTTTGGGGTGAATTTTGGGGTGAATTTCACCGTTTCGGGGTGAATTTTGGGGCGAATTTTTCCATTTCGGGGCGAATTTGAATTTTTTGACCTTGTACCATTTTGGGGTGAATTTTGGGGTGAATTTGGCCGTTTTTGGTCAGGCTGCGGGCGCGGCGCGGGCGGCGCTGGACGAGGCCGGGACGCGGCACCGCGAAATTCGGCGCCTCGAGCGCGGCCTCCGCGAGCTGGGAGAGCTGTTCCGGCTGCTGGGCAGCACCGTGGAGGCCCAGGTCCGTACTGGTTTATACTGGTTTGTACTGGTTTATACTGGGAGGGGCCCGGGGCAAAAATCCCGGCGGTTTTGGGGTGAAAAATGGGGATTTTGGGGCAAAAAATTGAGATTTTTGGCAGAAAATGGCGATTTTTGGGATGTAAATGGGACTGGTTTGTACTGGGAGGGAACTGGGATGAACTGGTTTATACTGGTTTATACTGGTTTGTACTGGGACGGGCCCGGGGGAAAAATCCTGGTGGTTTTGGGGTAAAAAATGGAGATTTTGGGGTGAAAAATGGAGATTTTCAGGTGGAAAATGGCGATTTTTGGGATTAAAATGGGACTGGTCTGTACTGGTTTATACTGGTTTATACTGGTTTGTACTGGGAGGGGCCCGGGGCAAAAATCCCGGTGGTTTTGGGGTGAAAAATGGGGATTTTGGGGTGAAAAATGGAGATTTTCAGGCGGAAAATGGAGATTTTTGGGATTAAAATGGGACTGGTTTATACTGGTTTATACTGGTTTGTACTGGGAGGGACTGGGAGGGGCCCGGGGGAAAAATCCCGGTGGTTTTGGGGTGAAAAATGGAGATTTCGGGGTGAAAAATGGAGATTTTGGGGTGAAAAATGGAGATTTTGGGGCAGAAAATGGCGATTTTTGGGATGGAAACGGGACTGGTCTGTACTGGTTTATACTGGTTTATACTGGTTTGTACTGGGAGGGGCCTGGGGCAAAAATCCCGGCGGTTTTGGGGTGAAAAATGGGGATTTTGGGGTGAAAAATGGAGATTTTCAGGCAGAAAATGGCGATTTTTGGGATGGAAATGGGACTGGTTTATACTGGTCTGTACTGGTTTATACTGGTTTGTACTGGGAGGGAACTGGGATGGACTGGGATGGACTGGGAGGGTCCCAGCCCAGCTCAGGGGGGCCCAAACTGGTTTATACTGGTTTATACTGGTTTATACTGGTTTATTCCAATCCATACTGGTTTATACTGGTTTATACTGATTTATTCCTATCCATACTGGTTTATACTGGTCCATACTGGTTTATACTGGGTTATACTGGTTTATACTGGGATGAACTGGGATGAACTGGGATGAACTGGGAGGGTCCCAGCCCCGCCCAGGGGTGGCCCAAACTGGTTTATACTGGTTTATACTGTTTTATTGCCATCCATACTGGTTTATACTGGTCCATACTGGTTCTTACTGGTTTATACTGGTTTGTACTGGTGCAGGGTGACGTCATCGACCGCATCGAGCGCCACGTGCAGCACTCGGGGGCGGAGCTCGGGAAGGGGCGGAGCCACCTGAGGGGGGCGGGGCAACGGCGGCGGGGGGCGCGCAAGGTGAACTGGTTTATACTGGTTTATACTGGGAGGGACTGGGGGGGACTGGGAGGGACTGGGAGGGAACTGGTTTATACTGGGAGGGACTGGTTTATACTGGGAGGGACTGGGAGGGACTGGGATTGAACTGGGAGGGAACTGGTTTATACTGGGAGGGACTGGGAGGGACTGGGATGGACTGGGAGGGAACTGGGATGGAACTGGTTTATACTGGGAGGGACTGGGATGAACTGGGATTGAATTGGGAGGGACTGGGATTGAACTGGGAGGGACTGGGATGGACTGGTTTATACTGGGAGGGACTGGGAGGGACTGGGATTGAACTGGGATTGAACTGGGAGGGACTGGGAGGGAACTGGTTTGTACTGGGAGGGAACTGGTTTATACTGGGAGGGACTGGGATGGACTGGGAGGGACTGGGATGGACTGGGAGGGAACTGGGAGGGACTGGGATTGAACTGGGATGGACTGGTTTATACTGGGAGGGAACTGGGATGGACTGGGATGGACTGGGATGAACTGGGAGGGAACTGGGATTGAACTGGGAGGGAACTGGGTTATACTGGGAGGGACTGGGATTGAACTGGTTTGGACTGGGAGGGACTGGGAGGGAACTGGGAGGGAACTGGGAGGGACTGGGAGGGACTGGTTTGGACTGGGAGGGACTGGGAGGGAACTGGGGGGGACTGGTTTATACTGGGAGGGACAGGGAGGGACTGGGAATGGACTGGGAGGGACTGGGATGAACTGGTTTATACTGGGAGGGACTGGGATGGACTGGGAGGGACTGGGAGGGACTGGGATGGACTGGTTTATACTGGGAGGAACTGGGAGTTGTGGGACGAACTGGTTTATACTGGTCCATACTGGTTTTTCCTTATTTTTATTGGTTTATATCGTTCCAAACTGGTCCAAACTGGTTTGTACTGGTTTTACTGGTCCAAACTGGTTAATACTGGTCCAAATCGGTTCGTACTGGTTTATACTGGTCCAAATCGATTTGTACTGGTTTATACTGGTCCAAACTGGTTTATACTGGTTTTATTGGTCCATAATGGTTTATACTGGTCCAAATTGGTTTGTACTGGTTTATATCGTTCCAAACTGGTCCATACTGGTTTTACTGGTCCAAACTGGTTTATACTGGTCCGAATCGGTTTGTACTGGTTCATAATGGTTTATACTGGTTTTTACTGGTCCAAACTGGTTTATACTGGTTTATACTGGTCGAAATCGGTTTGTACTGGTTTATACTGGTTTGGTTTGGTTTTTGGGGTCCATACTGGTTTATACTGGTCCAGATCGGTTCGTACTGGTTTATACTGGTCCAAATTGGTTTATACTGGTCCAAACTGGTTTATACTGGTTTTACTGGTCCATACTGGTTTATACTGGTCCAAATCGGTTTGTACTGGTTTATACTGGTCCAAACTGGTTTATACTGGTTTTACTGGTCCATACTGGTTTATACTGGTCCGGATCGGTTTGTACTGGTTTTTACTGGTCCAAACTGGTTAATACTGGTCCAAATCGGTTTGTACTGGTTTATACTGGTCCAAACTGGTTTGTACTGGTTTATATCATTCCAAACCGGTCCATACTGGTCCATACTGGTTTATACTGGTTTGGTTTGTACAGATCCATACTGGTTTATACTGGTTTGGTTTGGTTTTTGGGGTCCATACTGGTCCATACTGGTTTATACTGGTCCAAACCGGTCCAAACTGGTTCATACTGGTCCATACTGGTTTATACTGGTCCAAACTGGTTCATACTGGTCCATACTGGTCCATACTGGTCCATACTGGTTTATACTGGTCCAAACTGGTCCAAACTGGTTTATACTGGTCCGCAGAAGCGTTTGGCCCTCGCCGCCTGCGCCTCGGCCGCCATCTTGGTCCTGGCGGCCATTGTGGCCGCCTCAGTGGCCGCCGGCTGACGCTGCGCTCCCATTGGCTGCGGGAGCCGCCAATCACCGCCGGACACGCCCCCGCGAGGAGCTGATTGGACGAAACCCGGTCCCGCCCCCTGCGCGGAGCTGATTGGTCGGGGTGGGTGTCCGTCACTGTGAGCCACGCCCCCTCGCCAGCCGGGCGGTTCTGATTGGCTGGCGGTGACGTCATCAGAGAATAAAGCACTTTTTAACCTAAAATGAGGCGAATGAGCCCAAAAATTGCCCAAAAAAAACTAAAAATGCCCCAAATGACCCAAAAAAGTCCCTGAAAAGCCCCAAAAAACCAAAAATGACGCAAAAAAACCCCAGAAATGCCCTCAAAAAAACCCCCAAAATGCCCCAAAAAAACCCCCAGAAATGCCCTCAAAAAACCCAAAATCCCCCAAAAATGCCCCCAAAAACCACCAAAAAAATCTAAAAAACCCCAAAAATCCAAAAAGAGACACAAAAAACTCCAATATTGGCCAAAAATGCCAAAAAACCACCAAGATGCCCCAAGAAACTCCAAAATATCCCAAAAATTACCCCAAAAAAAACCCCAAAAATGGCCCAAAAAATCCCAAAATCGCCAATCCTGAAAAGCCCCAAAATCTACAAAATCGCCCAAAAAATTCCCGCCAAAATCTGCCCCCAAAATTCTGATTTTTTGCCCCAATTTTCTCTTTTGAGGGGGCGGGGCCTGAGGAAAGGGGCGGGGCTTTGGTTAAGGGGCGGGGCTTATGGAAAGGGGCGTGGCCAAAATCCGGCCCCGCCCCCCCCCGGCGAACCCGAAAAGCCCCAAAATGGTGAGAGGGGAAATTTTGGGGGAAATTTGTGGAAATTTGGGGCATTTTTGGGAGATTTGGGGGATCTGAGGGGGATTTGGGAGAAAATTGGGGGATTTGGGGAAAATTTGGGGGATTTTTGGGGAAAATCTGGGGAATTTTGGGGGGAAATATTGGGGGGATTTGAGAGTTTTTGGGGGGAAATTTTTGGGGGGATTTGGGGAAATTTGGGGGATTTTTGGGAGATTTGGGGGAAATTTGGGGGATTTGGGGAAAATTTGGGGGATATTAGGAAAATCTGGGGAATTTTGGGGAGATTTGGAGGATTTTAGGGGGAAATTTTGGAGGAATTTGGGATATTTTGGAGGATTTGGGGGCGAATTGTGGGGGATTTGGGGAAAATCTGGGGAATTTTGGGGAGATTTGGAGGATTTTGGGAGGAAATTTTGGGGGGAATTTGGGAGACTTTGGAGGAAAATTTTGGGGGGATTTGGGAGATTTTGGGGGATTTGGGGGAAAATTTTTGGGAGGAAATTTCGGGGGGATTTGGGGGAAATTTTGGGGGGATTTGGGAGATTTTGGAGGATTTTAGGAGGAAATTTTGGGGGGAAATATTGGGGGAATTTGGGGGGAAATTTTGGGGGGATTTGGGGGGAAATTTTGGTGGATTTTAGGAGGAAATTTTGGGGGGAAATATTTGGGGAATTTGGGGGAAATTTTGGGGGCATTTGGGAGATTTTGGAGGATTTTAGGAGGAAATTTTGGGGGGAAATATTGGGGGAATTTGGGGGCAAATTTTGGGGGGATTTGGGGAAATTTGGGGATTCTGGGAGGATTTTGTCAGATTTCTGTGGAAATTTTGGGGGGATTTGGGAGATTTTGGAGGATTTCAGGAGGAAATTTTGGGGGGAAATATTGGGGGATTTGGGGGAAATTTTTGGGGGATTTGGGGATTCTGGGGGGATTTTGTCGGATTTTTGTGGAAATTTGGGGGATTTGGAGACTTTGGAGGGAAATTTTGGGGGGATTTGGGAGATTTTGGGGGAAATTTTGGGGGGATTTCGGGAATTTTTAGGGGGATTTGGGGGAAATATTGGGGGGATTTGGGGGGAACTTTTGGGGGGATTTGGGGAAATTTGGGGATTCTGGGAGGATTTTGTCGGATTTTTGTGGAAATTTGGGGGATTTGGAGAGTCTGGAGGGAATTTTGGGGGGGATTTGGGAGATTTTGGGGGGATTTGGGAATTTTGGGAGGATTTGGGGAAAATTTGGGGGGATTTGGGAGATTTGGGGATTTTGGGAGGATTTTGTCAGATTTTTGTGGAAATTTGGGGGATTTGGAGACTTTGGAGAGAAATTTTGGGGAGATTTGGGGGGATTTGGGGGGAAATTTTGGGGGGATTTGGGGTCAAAATTCACGGTGGGAGATTTTGGGGAGATTTTGGGGATTTTGGGGACATTTTGGGGACATTTTGTGACATTTTGGGGTCGCTGCCACATGCAGAGGATGTGGTCGCGGGGGGGGAGGGGCGGTGACGTTTTGGGACATTTTGGGGCCATTTTGGGGGTGACACAGGAAGGGGGGGAGGGGAGGTGAGAGTGGGGGAGGGGCGGGGGCCCAAAATGTCCTAAAATGTCCCAAAATCCCCAAAATGTCCCCAAAACCCACAAAATCCCCCCAAATTTCCCTGAAATGACCCAAAATCCCCTCAAATCCCCCCAAAATCGACCAATTTGTCCCAAATTTCCCTAAAATTGCCCAAAATTCTGCCAAAACTCCCCAAAATTTCCCAGAACTCCCCAAAATCCCCCAAATCTCCCCAAAATCCCCCATATTTTCCCCAAATTTTCCCCGATTTTCCTGAAATCACCCAAAATTCCTGCAGAATGTCCCAAAATCCCACAAATTCCCCCCAAAATCCCCCATTTTTTCTCAAATTTTCTCCGATTTTCCTGAAATCCCCCAAATCCCCCCCAAAATCCCCCCAAAATCCCCCAAGTTCCCCAAAATTCCCCCAAAACGGCGCCAAATTTCCCGAATCTTTTCCCTCAAAATGCGCCGATTTCTCCCGAGTTTTCCCCAAATTTTCCCCGAATTTTTCCCAAAATCCCCAAAAATCCCCCCAAATTCCCACAGAACGTACCAAAATCCCCCAAAATTCCCGCAGAATGTCCCAAAATTCCCGCAGAATGTCCCAAAATCCCCCCAAAATTTCCCTAATTTTTAACCTGAAAACGCCCCAATTTCTCCCGAATTTTCCCCAAATTTTCTCAAAATCCCCATAAATCACCCCAAATTCCCGGAGAACATCCCAAAATCCGACAAAATTACTGCAGAATGTCCCAAAATCCCCCAAGTTCCCCAAAATTCCCTAATTTTTAACCTGAAAATGGCCCAAATTTTCCCAAAATCCCCAAAAATCACCCCAAATTCCCGCAGAATGTCCCAAAATCCCCCAAAATTCCCGCAGAATGTCCCAAAATTCCCACAGAATGTCCCAAAATCCCCCAAAATTCCCACAGAATGTCCCAAAATTCCCGCAGAACGTCCCAAAACCCCCCAAATTTCCCAAAAACACCCCCAAAACGCCCTCAAACTTCCCAAATTTTTTCCTTTAAAATGCCCTGATCTCTCCCAAATTTCCCCCAAATTTTCCCCAAATTTTTCCCAATTTTTCCCCAATTTTCCCGAAATCCCCCAAAATCCCCCAAGTTTCCCGGACACGCCCCCAAAACGCTCCCAAATTTCCCGAATTTTCTCCCCTCAAAGTGCCCCAATTTCTCCCGAATTTTCCCCACATTTTCCCGAAATTTTCCCCGAATTTTCCCCAAATTTTTCCCAAATCTCCCAAAATCCCCCAAATCCTCCCAAAATCCCCCAAATCCTCCAATTTGCCCCCAAATCCTTCATATTTTTCCCAATTTTTCCCCGATTTTCCCAAAATTCCCGCAGAGCATCCCAAAACCCCCCAAATTTCCCAAAAACACCCCCAAAACGCCCCCAAATTTCCCGAATTTTTCCTTAAAAACGCCCCAATTTCTCCCTAAATTTCCCCAATTTTCCCCAAATTTCCCCAAATCCCCCAAATCCCCCCAAACTCCCTCTCCCTCCCGCAGGTCCCACCATCCCCTCCCCCTCTGTCCCTTCTGCTGTCCCTGGTGACCCTGGTGACCTCGGTGACCTCGGTGACCCTGGTGACCTTGGTGACCCTGGTGACCCCTCCGGCCGCGGTGACCTCGGTGACCCTGGTGACCCTGGTGACCTCGGTGACCTCGGTGACCCCTCCGGCCGCGGTGACCCTGGTGGTGACCCTGGTGACCTCGGTGACCCTGGTGACCTCGGTGACCTCGGTGACCCCTCCGGCCGCCCCCCGCGCCCCCCCCGAGTGCCGCCCCGCCCCCGCCCGGCGCTGTCGCGGCACCGGCGCCGCCCTCGGCATCGCCGCCCTCGGCCGCGGCTTCGACGTCACCACCATGGCCCTGGCCCCGGCGCGCGTCCTCGAACTGGACAGTGGCCACCAGGATGGCCACGATGACCACGATGACCGTGATGGTCACTGGGGCCACCAGGATGGTCATTGGGGCCACCAGGACACCCAGGATGGCCACCAGGATGACCACGATGACCACTGGGACACCTGGGATGGCCACGATGACCATGATGACCACTGGGACACCTGGGGTGGCCATGATGACCATGATGGCCACGAGGGCTACTGGGACACCCGGGATGGCCACCGGGGCCACCACAATGACCATGATGACCACCAGGACACCTGGGATGACCACCATGACCACGATGGCCACCGGGGCTACCAGGACACCTGGGATGGCCACCGGGGACACCAGGATGACCACAATGGCCACTGGGATGACCACAATGGCCACCAGGGCCACCAGGATGACCACTGGGGCTACCGGGACACTCGGGATGGCCACCAGGGCCACCAGGATGACCACAATGGCCACCAGGGACACCAGGATGGCCACGATGACCGCAATGGCCAACGGGGCTACCAGGACACCCGGGATGGCCACCAGGGCTACCAGGGCCACCAGGGTGACCATGATGGCCACCGGGGCTACCAGGATGACCACAATGGCCACCAGGGCCACCGGGGCTACCAGGATGGCCACAGTGGCCCAAGAGGTGCCAATGGTGCCAATGGTGGCCCCAGAGGTGAAAATGGCGGCCTTGGTGGTCCTGGTGGCCCAAGAGGTGCCACAGATGCCAATGGTGGCCCAGGAGGTCCCATGGGTGCCAATGGTGGCCCTGGTGGCCCTGATGGTCCCATGGGTGCCAACGGTGACCCAAGAGGTGACAATGGTGGCCCAAGAGATGCCAATGCTGGTCCTGGTGGTCCCATGGGTGCCAATGGTGGCCCTGATGGCTCCAGAGGCACCAATGGTGGCCCTGGTGGCCCCAAACGTGCCAACAGCGACCCAAGAGGTCCCATGGGTGCCAATGGTGGCCCTGGTGGCCCTGATGGCTCCAGAGGTGCCAATGGAGGCTCTGGTGGCCCAAGAGGTGCCAATGGTGCCAATGGTGGCTCCAGACGTGCCAACGATGACCCAAGAGGTCCCATGGGTGCCAATGGTGGCCCTGGTTCCTCCAGACGTTCCACCACCACCCCAAGAAGCGCCACCACCGCCGCCCCCGCCGTGCGCTGCCTGCTGTGCCCGGACGCGCTGCGCGGCGGCGCCCTGCGGCGCGTGCCGGCGGCCGTGGGCGGGTGGCACGCCGGGCGGCGCTGCCGGCGGACGTCGCGCGTGGCCGTGGGCGCCGGCGCCGTGGGGGCGGCGGTGACGGCGGCCATGACGCGCGGGTGGAGTTTCGGCGGCCGCATCGGCGCCGGCGGCGGTGCCGGGGCGGTGTTGGCCGGGTCGCGGTCGCAGATGGCGCAGGAGGGGCTGCGGTGGATGCGGCAGGACCGGAGCGCCCTCAGCTGGATGGAGCTTTCCTGCGTCTTCTACTGGTGAGACTTTGTCATCTTTATCATCCTCATCCTCATCTTCCTCATTGTCTTCTTCTTCATCTTCATCTGTGTCTGTGTCTTCTACTGGTGAGCCTTCGTCTCCTTCATCATCTTCATCTTCGTCTTCATCTTCTTCATCTTCATCTTCATCTTCTTCATCTTTATCTGTGTCTTCTACTGGTGAGCCTTTGTTATCTTCATCATCTTCATCTTCATCTTCATCTTCATCTTCATCTTCATCTTCATTTTTGTCATCCTCTTCATCTTCATCTTCCTCATCCTCTTCATCTTTATCTGCATCTCCTACTGGTGACCCTTCATCATCTTCTTCTTCATGTTCTTCTTCATTTTCTTCATCCTCTTCATCTTCATTTTCTTATTCATCTTCATCTTCATCTTCCTCATTCTCTTCATCTTTATCTGCGTCTCCTACTGGTGAGTCTTCCTCATCTTCTTCTTCATCTTCATTTTTATCTTCATCTTCATCTTCTACTGGTGAGTCTTCATCATCTTCATCTTCATTTTCTCATCCTCTTCATCCTCTTCATCATCTTCATCTTCATCTTCATCTTCATCTTCATCTTCATCTTCCTCATCCTCTTCATCTTTATCTGTGTCTTCTACTGGTGAGCATCATCTTCATCTTCATCTTCATTTTCTTCATCCTCTTCACCTTCACCTCCACCTTCCTCATCCTCGTCCTCCCCCTCCCCCCCTCTGACCCCTCCCTTGACCTCTGACCTTTCCCCTTCCAGGACCTGGCTGGACCCTCCCCCACCCTCACCCTCCCCCCCTGACCTCTGACCTTTCCCCTTCCAGGACCTGGCTGGACCCCTCCCCCACCCTCACCCTCCCCCCCTGACCTCTGACCTTTCCCCTTCCAGGACCTGGCTGGACCCCTCCCCCCCCTCTGACCCCTCCCCCTGACCTCTGACCTTTCCCTTCCAGGACCTGGCTGGACCCCTCCCCCACCCTCACCCTCCCCCCCATGACCCTCCCCCTGACCTCTGACCTTTCCCCTCCAGGACCTGGCTGGACCCCTCCCCCCCCATGACCCCTCCCCCTGACCCCTGACCTCTCCCCTCCAGGACCTGGCTGGACCCCTCCCCCCCCTCCCCCTCCCCCTGACCTCTGACCTTTCCCTTCCAGGACCTGGCTGGACCCCTCCTCCACCCTCCCCTCCCCCTGACCTCTGACCTTTCCCCTTTTAGGACCTGGCTGGACCCCTCCCCCCCTCTGACCCTCCCCCTGACCTCTGACCTTTCCCCTCCAGGACCTGGCTGGACCCCTCCCCCACCCTCCCCTCCCCCTGACCTCTGACCTTTCCCCTTCCAGGACCTGGCTGGACCCCTCCCCCACCCTCCCCCTCCCCCCTGACCTTTAACCTTTCCCCTCCAGGACCTGGCTGGACCCCTCCCCCCACTCCTCCCCCTCCCCCTCCCCCTGACCTCTGACCTTTCCCCTTCCAGGACCTGGCTGGACCCCTCCCCCACCCGCCCCTCCCCCCTCTGACCCTCCCCAATGACCCCGATGACCTTGATGACCACTCCAATGACCCCGATGACCTCGATGACCCCGATGACCTCAATGACCTTTTCCCCTCCAGGACCTGGCTGGACCCCTCCCCCACCCTCCCCTCCCCCTGACCTCTGACCTTTCCCCTCCAGGATCTGGCTGGACCCCTCCCCCCCTCTGCCCCTCCCCCTGACCTCTGACCTTTCCCCTCCAGGACCTGGCTGGACCCCTCCCCCACCCTCCCCTCCCCCTGACCTCTGACCTTTCCCCTTCCAGGACCTGGCTGGACCCCTCCCCCTCTGACCCCTCCCCCTCCCCCTGACCTCTGACCTCTCCCCTCCAGGACCTGGCTGGACCCCTCCTCCGCCCGCCCCTCCCCCCTCTGACCCTCCCCGATGACCCCGATGACCTTGATGACCACTCCAATGACCCCGATGACCTCGATGACCCCGATGACCTCAATGACCTTTCCCCTTCCAGGACCTGGCTGGACCCCTCCTCCGCCCGCCCCTCCCCCCCCCTGACCTTTAACCTTTTCCCTTCCAGGACCTGGCTGGACCCCTCCCCCCCTCTGACCCCTCCCCTTGACCTCTGACCTTTCCCCTCCAGGACCTGGCTGGACCCCTCCTCCCTGACCTTTAACCTTTCCCCTCCAGGACCTGGCTGGACCCCTCCCCCCCATGACCCCTCCCCTTGACCTCTGACCTTTCCCTTCCAGGACCTGGCTGGACCCCTCCTCCGCCCGCCCCTCCCCCACCCTCCCCTCCCCCTCCCCCTGACCTCTGACCTCTCCCCTTGACCTCTGACCCCTCCCCTTGACCTCTGACCTTTCCCCCTCCAGGACCTGGCTGGACCCCTCCTCCACCCGCCCCTCCCCCCTCTGACCCTCCCCGATGACCCCGATGACCTTGATGACCACTCCAATGACCCCGATGACCTCAATGACCTTTCCCCTTCCAGGACCTGGCTGGACCCCTCCTCCGCCCGCCCCTCCCCCTCCTTCCTCCGCGCCGTCCGCGCCCTCCCGCCGTCCTTCACCGCGTCCAGCGCCGCGTCCTACGCCGGACTCCTGGCGACCTTCGGCACCCACGCCGTGCGCGCGGCGCGATCCGGCGGCCGCCTGCGCGCCGCCACCGCCGTGCGCCTGTGCCGCGCCGCCATGGCCGGCATCGGCGCCCAGGAGGCCTCGGATTGTCTCCGTCTGGAGGCCACCTTCTCTCCGGCCACCGCGGCGGCGCTGACCGCGTGCCGGACGTCCGGCGCGGCCACGGAGGGGAACGTCAGTTTTGGGGAGTTTTTTGATCAAAGGTTGTTGGAGGTGGAGGGTGGCGCCCAACGTGGGGGCGATTTGGCGTTCGGCCGGCCGGCGGCGTTCTCGCGGTGGCTGCGCGGCGTCCCCGAGGCGCCGGCGATGGTCGAGGCCGACCTTTGGCCGCTCCACGCCCTCGTGCCGCGCGGGGACCCGCGGCGACGGGCGCTGCGCGCGGCCACCAGGAGCTACGTGGAGGCCAGAGCCTTGAGGGTCAACTGCAGCTGTGAGGGTCACGGCGGTGGTGGTGGGGGTGGTGGTCAGTGGGGTGGACAGAGGAGTGGTCAGTGGGGTGGTCAGCACAGTGGTCAGTCACGTGGAAAGTGGAGTGGTCAGCGCGGTGGTCAGCGGGAAGGTCATCCTGCTGGTCAGCGGAATGGACAATGGGGTGGTCAGCGTGGTGGTCAGCAGGATGGACAGTGGGGTGGAAAGAGGGGTGGTCAGCGGGATGGTCAGCGGGGTGGTCAGCAAGGTGGTCATCCTGCCGGTCAGCAGACTGGACAGTGGGGTGGTCAGCACGGTGGTCAGTGGGATGGACAGCAGAATGGTCAGCAGGATGGACACCAGGATGGACAGAAGGATGGTCAGCGTGGTGGTCAGCAGGATGGACAGAGGGGTGGTCAGCAGGATGGACAATGGGATGGTCATCCTGCCGGTCAGCGGAGTGGACAGAGGAGTGGTCAGCAGGATGGACAGAGGGGTGGTCAGTGGGATGGTCATCCTGCTGGTCAACGTAGTGGTCATCCTGCCGGTCAGCGGGATGGACAGCGGAATGGACAATGGGGTGGTCAGTGGGGTGGACAGAGGGGTGGTCAGCAGGATGACCACTCCAATGACCTCAATGACCACTCCAATGACCTTAATGACCGCTCCAATGACCCCAATTACCACTCCAATGACCCTGATGACCTCAATGACCGCTCCAATGACCCTGATGACCTCAATGACCACTCCAATGACCCTGACGACCCCGACGACCTCAATGACCGCTCCAATGACCCCGATGACCCTGATGACCCCAATGACCCCGATGACCATTCAAATGACCCCGACGACCTCGATGACCTCGATGACCTCCCCGCCGCCCACCCGCCCGTTCCACCTCCCCCACCCCACCCCTGCCACTGCGCCTGCTCGGCCACGCCGCTGCCGCTGACCGGCTCCCCGTGCTGCCCCTCCGGCCGCGGCCTGGCCCACCTTTGGGTGCTGGTGCGCTCCGGCCGCGGCTGGAGCGGCGACGCGCTGACCGCCACCGACGCCTACGTCTGGGTCACCTTCTCCGGCCGCCGCGCCCGCACCGCCACCGCCTGGAACACCGAGCGGCCGCGCTGGGGTCAGCGCCTGGACTTCGGACAGGTCCGGCTGCGGCCGGACGCGGCGTTGGAGATGGAGGTGTGGGATGAAGACCACGGTTGGGACGACGACGCGTTGGGGTCGTGCCGAGAGGCGCTGACCGCCACCGACGGCGGCGTGGTGGAACGTTCGTGTTTCGCCGGAAACGGACGGTTGGACTTTGCGGTCAGCGCAACCTGCGGACCGGCCTTGGCCGGACCGTGGTGTCACCGCTACCAACCGGCGCCGCCGCCCGGAGGGGCCGGACTGACCAACGGGGTCCCGTGGCCACCACAAGGACGGGACTGGACATGGTTGGTGGACAACAACGACGATGAGGAGGATGAGGATGAGGAAGGCTTGGAGGGGACGCAGCTCCTCCATCGTTTCTGGGACGTTCCGGAAGGTTCCGGGCGGGGAAATGAGGAGGATGAGGAGGGTTTGGGGTCTCCTGAGGGGTCCCAGTTTGGACCAGTTGGGTTTGAGGAAGAGGAGGATGAAGGTCATGGAAAACGCAGAAAAAACCTCAAAAATGCCACCAAAAATGCCACATTTGGGGCCGCCCGTGAGGGTTCCCAAAAGGGGTTTTCGAAAATGCCCAAAAATCGCAAACTTGACCCAATTTTGGGGTCTCCTGGAGAGTCCCGGTTTGGACCAGTTGGGTTTGAGGAAGATGAGGATGAAGGTCACGGAAAACCCAGAAAAAAACCCAAAAATGTCACATTTGGGGTCGCCCACAAGGGTTCCGAAAAGGGTTTTTGGAAAACACCCAAAAATCGCAAATCTGACCCCAAAAATGCCACGTTTGGGGTTGACCACAAAGGTTCCAAAAAGGGTTTTTGGAAAACGCCCAAAAATCGCAAATCCGACCCAATTTTGGGGTCTCCTGGAGGGTCCCAGTTTGGGCCGGTTGGGTTTGAGGAAGATGAGGATGAAGGTCACGGAAAACGCGGAAAAAACCCCAAAAATGCCAAGTTTGGGGCTGACCACAAAGGTTCCAAAAAGGGGTTTTGGAAAATGCCCAAAAATCACAAATCTGACCCCAAAAATGCCACATTTGGGGTCACTCATGAGGGTTCCAAAAAGGGGTTTTGGAAAACGCCCAAAAATCGCAAATCTGACCCAATTTTGGGGTCTCCTGGAGGGTCCCGGTTTGGGTCAGTTGGGTTTGAGGAAGATGAGGATGAAGGTCCCAGAAAACCCAGAAAAAACCCAAAAAATGCCACCAAAAATGTCACATTTGGGGTCGCCCACAAAGGTTCCCAAAAGGGTTTTTACAAAATGCCCAAAAATCGCAAATCCGACCCCATTTTGGGGTCTCCTGGAGGGTCCTGGGTTGGGCCAGTTGGGTTTGAGGAAGATGAGGATGAAGGTCACGGAAAAAACCCCAAAAATGTCACGTTTGGGGTTGACCACAAAGGTTCCGAAAAGGGTTTTTGGAAAACACCCAAAAATCCCAAATCCGACCCAATTTTGGGGTCTCCTGAGGGATCCCGGGTTGGGCCGGTTGGGTTTGAGGAAGATGAGGATGAAGGTCACGGAAAACGCGGAAAAAACCCCAAAAATGCCACCAAAAATGCCACATTTGGGGTTGACCACAAGGGTTCCGAAAAGGGTTTTTGGAAAATGCCCAAAAATCGCAAACCCGACCCCATTTTGGGGTCTCCTGGAGGGTCCCAGTTTGGCCCAGTTTGGTCCCAGTTTGGCCCAGTTGGGCCCCAGTTTGAGGAGGATGATGAAGGTCCCAAAAAATCCAAAAACCCCAAATTTGGGCCTTTCTGGGAAGGTTCCAAAAACGGTTTTGGGAAAAACCCCAAAAACCCCAAATCCGACCCATTTTTGGGCTCTCCCAAAACCCGGAGGAGGTCCCAGTTTGGACCAGTTTGGTCCCAGTTTGGCCCAGTTCGGCCCCAGTTTGAGGAGGATGATGAAGGTCCCAAAAAAGCCAAAACCCCCAAATTTGGGCCTTTCTGGGACGGTTCCAAAACGGGTTTTTGGAAAAACCCCAAAAACCCCAAATCCGCCCCATTTTTGGGCTCTCCCAAACCCCAGAGGAGGTCCCAGTTTGGCCCAGTTTGGTCCCAGTTTGACCCAGTTTGGTCCCAGTTTGGTGACGATGATGAAGGTCCCAAAAAAGCCAAAACCACCAAATTTGGGCCTTTCTGGGATGGTTCCAAAAACAGTTTTGGGAAAAAACCCAAAAACCCCAAATCCGCCCCATTTTTGGGCTCTCCCAAAACCCAGAGGAATTCCCAGTTTGGCCCAGTTTGGTCCCAGTTTGGCCCAGTTTGGTCCCAGTTTGGTGATGATGATGATGAGGATGAAGAACTCAGCGACGCCGAATTTCGCCGACTTTGGGACCTTTCCGAGGACGACCCCGAAAACCCCAAATTTGACCCAATTTGGGGCCCCCCCTGAGCGGTCCCAGTTTGGCCCAGTTCGGTCCCAGTTTGGCCCAGTTCGGTCCCAGTTTGGGGAGGAGGAGGAGGAGGATGAAGGCTCCGAGTTGGGGTGGGGGAGGGGTCCCCGAAATTTTGGGATTTTGGGGTTTGGAGGGGGGAGGGGTCCCCGAAATTTTGGGATTTTGGGGTGGGGGAGGGGAATAAAGGATTGAGCAGCAGCGCCGGAGTCGGACTGGGATGGACTGGGAGGGACTGGGAGGGACTGGGAGGGGGAATTTGGGGGAAATTTGGGGGGTTTTGGGGTGGATTTGGGGCATTTTGGGGGTTTTGGGGTGGACTTTGGGGGTTTTGGGCTGGATTTGGGAGATTTTGGGGGTTTTGGGGAATTCTGGGGTTGGATTTGTGGTTTTGGGTTGGATTTGGGTTTTTTTTGGGTTTTTGGGTTGAATTTGGGGCATTTTGGGTTGGATAACGGGGATTTTGGGGTTTTTGGGTTGGATTTGGGGGGTTTTGGGTGGAATTTGGGGAATTTTAGGGGTTTTGGGTTGAATTTGGGGCATTTTTGGGATTTTTGGGCCGAATTTTGGGGGTTTTAGGTTGAATTTGAGGCATTTTGGGTTGGATAAGGGGGATTTTGGGGTTTTTGGGTTGAATTTGGTGTATTTCGGGGTTGGATTTGTAGTTTTGGGTTGGATTTGGGGAATTTTGGGGTTTTTTTGGGTGGAATTTGGGGGATTTTGGGGTTTTTGGGTTGGATTTGGGGGATTTTGGGGTTTTGGGTTGAATTTGGGGCATTTTGGGTTGGATTAGGGGGGTTTGGGGGTTTAAGGGGTTAAATTGGGATTTTTGGGGGGATTTTGGGGGGTTGAACTGGGGTTCAAGGGGTTAAATTGGGATTTAAGGGGTTACATTTGGATTTTTGGGGGGATTTTTGGATTTTTGGGGGATTTTGGGATTTTTGGGGGGATTTTGGGGGTTAAATTGGGATTTAAGGGGTTAAATTTGGATTTTTGGGGGGATTTTTTGATTTTTGGGGGATTTTGAGATTTTTGGGGGCATTTTTGGGGGGGTCGAACTGGGGTTTAAGGGGTTAAAGTGGGATTTGCGTTTTGGGGCGATTTCGGGGGATTTTGGGGTCGGAAATGGGGAATTTGGGGGTCCCGGTTGGGAATTTTTGGGGGGTGGGGGAGGGGCGGGGTTGGATTGGGGCCGCCCCTGACCTTTGACCCCTGACCCCTGACCTCTGACCCCCCCCCCCCCCCCCCCCAGGTCGCTCCGGGAGCCGCTCGAGCCTCGCCGACCCCTCCCCCACCGCCCCTCCCCCACCCCCGGACTGACCCGCCCCTCCCCCACCCCCTTTTGGGGCTCTTTTGGACAAAAAAATCCAAAAAAAGACCAAAAAAAAAAAAAAAAAAAAGGAAAAAAAATCTCAAATTTTGGTGTTGTCGTGGTGGGGGAGGGGCGGGGGGGGAGGGGCGGGGGTGGGGGAGGGGGTTTGGGGGTTTTATTCCCATTTTGGGGGATTTTTCCCCAATTTTGGGGTTTTTTTCCCCAATTTTGGGGGTTTTATCCCCATTTTGGTGGATTTTTCCCAATTTTGGGGGTTTTATTCCAATTTTTGGAGGTATTTTTCCCCATTTTGGTTTTGTTTTCCCATTTTTTAATTTTTCCCCCATTTTTGGGGTTGTTTTTTCCCCTTCACTTTCATTTTTCCCAATTTTTGGGATTTTTTCCCCATTTTTCAGAGTTTTTTCACCGTTTCTGTGTCTCTTTTCCCATTTTCGGCCTTTTTCTCCCCAATTTCTCTCTCTCCAACCCCACAACTTTTTTTCCTCCTTTTCATTTTTTATTCCCCAAAATCCCCCCCAAAATCAAAAAATTCCCCCAAAATCCCCAAACCCCCAAAATTTCCCCAAAATCGCCCCAAAAAAATCCCAAAATCCCTCCCCCAAAAAATATCCCAATTTAACCCCTTAAATCCCACTCCGACCCCCAAAATCGCCCCAAAAAAATCCCAAAATCCCCCCAAAAATCCCAATTTAACCCTTTAAATCCCAATTTAACTCCCCAAATTCCCCCCCAAAAAAACAAATTTCTCTCAAAAATCCCCAAAATTTCCCCAAATCCTCATCGGGGGCTCCCGGGGGGGTCCCCTCCCCCCTCCCGCCCCTCCCCCACCCCCAACGCCCCCCGGAAGGTTCTCAGCCCCTCCCCCACCTGCCCGGTGGCCACCGTGGCCACCAACGGCCGCCCCTCCCCCACCCTGAGCCCCTCCCCCACCCTGAGCCCCTCCCCCACCCTGAGCCCCTCCCCCACCCTGAGCCCCTCCCCCACCCCCACCGGCCCCTCCCCCACCCCCATTGGCCCCTCCCCCACCCCCATCAGCCCCTCCCCCACCGGCCCCTCCCCCACCCCCACCGGCCCCTCCCCCACCCCCCCCGGCCCCTCCCCCACCCCCCAAACCGGCGCCGGCCCCGCCCACTCCCCCCCCCGCCCCTCCCCCCGCCCGCCCCTCCCCCACCGCAGCCCCGCGGCCACCGCGGCCACCAAAACCCCCCCGGCGGCCACCGCGGCCACCAGGACCCGGCGGTCAGTGCTGGGCACTCGGTGGTCTTGGGTGGTCACTCGGTGGTCATCGGTGGTCATTTGGTGGTCATCAGTGGTCATTTGGTGGCCATCAGTGGTCACTCGGTGGTCATCAGTGGTCATTTGGTGGTCATTGGTGGTCATTTGGTGGTCTTGGGTGGTCACTTGGCCATCAGTGGTCACTTGGTGGCCCTCAGTGGTCACTTGGTGGCCATTGGTGGTCACTCCATCCTCAGTGGTCACTCGGTGGTCATCAGTGGTCATTTGGTGGTCATCGGTGGTCACTTGGTGGCCCTCGGTGGTCATTTGGTGGTCTTGGGTGGTCACTCGGCCTTTGGTGGTCATTTGGTGGCCCTCAGTGGTCACTCGGTGGCCATTGGTGGTCACTCCATCCTCAGTGGTCATTTGGTGGCCTTCAGTGGTCATTTGGTGGTCATCGGTGGTCCCCAGGGGTTGGTGACCATTGGTGGTCACTTGGTAGTCCACGGTGGTCACTTGGTGGTCATCAGTGGTCACTTGGTGGTCATCGGTGGTCATTTGGTAGCCCAGGGTGGTCTCCAGGGGTTGGTGGCCCTCAGTGGTCACTTGGTGGTCATCGGTGGTCATTTCATGGTCATCAGTGGTCATTTGGTGGCCCTCAGTGGTCCCCAGGGGTTGGTGACCTTCAGTGGTCATTTGGTGGCCCTCAGTGGTCATTTGGTGACCGTTGGTGGTCATTCGGCCTTTGGTGGTCATTTGGTGGCCCTCAGTGGTCACTTGGTGGTCAGTGGTGGTCACTCCATCCTCGGTGGTCACTCGGTGGTCCTCAGTGGTCACTTGACCCTCAGTGACCCCCGTGGGGGGTCCGGTGGCCACCAGGAGGACCCAAATGGCCACGGCCGAGTGGGGGAGGGGCCCCATGGCCGGAGGGGACCTGAGGGGGGTCAGAGGCGCTGAGAGACCCCAAAAATGTCAAAATTCGCCCCAAAAATCCCCCAAATTAACAAAAATACCCCAAATTATCAAAAATCCACAAAACTCCGCAAAAATAGCCACAAAAATCGACTGAAAATCCCCCAAATTAACAAAAATCCCCAAATTATCAAAAATCCCCAAAACTCCCCAAAAATCGCCACAAAAATCCCCCAAATTAACAAAAATCCCCCAAATTATCAAAAAATCCCCAAATTATCAAAAATCCCCAAAACTTGACCCAAAGCCCCCAAAAATCACCCCAAAAATCCCCCAAATTATCAAAAATCCCCAAAATTATCAAAAATCCCCCAAATTATCAAAAATCCCCAAAGTTCCCCAAAAATAGCCACAAAAATCGACTGAAAATACCCAAAATTACCAAAACTGCCCAAAATTAGCAAAAGTCCCCCAAATTTCACCTCAAAGTAAAAAAAACCAACAAAATACCCCAAAAAATCCCCCCAAAACTCTCAAATTCCTCAAAAATCCCCAAATTCTGCCCAAAATCCAAAGAAAATCCCCCAAAAAGTCCCAAGAATCCCCCAAATTTTCCCAAATTTCTCCAAAATCCCCCAAATTCCCCTCAAAATCCCCACATTTTCCCCAAAATCTCCCAAATTTGCCCAAAACCCCCCAAATTCCCCTCAAAATCCCCCAAATTTCCCCAAAATCTCCCAAATTTGCCCAAAATCCCCCAAATTCCCCTCAAAATCCCCCAAATTTCCCCAAACCCCCCGAATTTCCCCCAAAATGCCCCAAAATCGCCCCTGAATTTACCCAAATCCCTCAAAAATCACCCAAAAGCGCCCCCGAAAATCCCCCAAATACCCTGAAAATGTCCCAAATTTCCCCAAAATCCCCTTCAAACTTCCCCCCCAACCCCCCAAATTTACCAAAACCCCCCAAATTTCCCCCAAAACGCCCCAAAATCGCCCCTGAATTTACCCGAATCCCTCAAAAATCACCCAAAAGTGGCCCCGAATTTCCCCAAAATCCCCCAAATCCCCCCAAAATCCCCCAAATTTCCCCCAAAATCTCCCAAATTTCCCCAAAATACCCAAAAATGTCCCCAAAATCCTCCGGGTTTCTGCCAAAACACCCCAAAAGCGCCCCTGAATTTCCCCAAAATCCCCTGAATTTCCCCAAAATCCCCCAAAAATCCCCCAAATCCCCCCAAAATCCCCTTCAAACTTCCCCCCAACCCCCCGAATTTCCCAAAACCCCCCAAATTTCCCAAAACCCCCCGAATTTCCCCCAAACCGTCCCCGCCGTGCCTCAGCCGTGGGCGGAAGCTCCGGAAGCGCCGTGGGGGAGGGGCCCCCCAAAATCCCACAAACCCCAAAAACTCCGCCCGGCGCGGGGGGGGCCCCCGGAACCCCAAAATGGCCCAAATTCGACCCAAAACCACAAATCCAACTTAAAATCCAACCCAGAAAACCCAAAATGCTCCGAATTCAACCCGAAACCACAAATCCAACTTAAAAATCCAACCCAGAAACCCCAAAATGGCCCAAATTTCACCCAAAACCACAAATCCAACACAAAAATTCAGCCCCGGAACCCCAAAATGCCCCAAATTCCACCCAAAACCACAAATCCAACCCTGAAATCCCCCAAATTCAACCCAAAAACCCCAAAATCCCCTTAATCCGACCCTAAATGCCCCAAATTCAACCCAAAACCCCCAAAATTCCCCAAATTCAACCCAAAAACCCCAAAATCCCCCTAATCCAACACAAAATGCCCCAAATTCAACCCAAAATCCCCCAAATTCAACCCAAAAACCCCAAAATCCCCTTAATCCGACCCAAAATGCCCCAAATTCGACCCAAAATTCCCCAAATTCAACCCCAAAAACTCCAAAATGCCCCAAATCCAACCCAAAACCCCCAAAATTCTCCTAATTCAACCCAAAACCCCCAAATTCGACCCAAAACCACAAATCCAACCCCAAAATTCCCCAAATTTGACCCAAAACCCCAAAATGCCCCAAATCCAACCCAAAATTGGGAAAAATCCCCCAAAATCGGAATGAAACCCCCAAAATTGGGAAAAATCCCCCAAAATTGGGGAAAATCCCCCAAAATAGGAATAAAAACCTCAAAATTTGGAATAAAACCTCCAAAATTGGGAAAAAACTCCCAAAATAGGAATAAAAACCCCAAAATTTGGAATAAAACCTCCAAAATTGGGAAAAAACTCCCAAAATAGGAATAAAAACCCCAAAATTTGGAATAAAACCCCCAAAATTGGGAAAAATCCCCCAAAATGTGAATAAAACCCCCAAAATTGGGATAAATCCCCCAAAATTGGGTAAAATCCCCCAAAATGGGAATAAAACCCCCAAAATTTGGAAAAATCCCCCAAAATGGGAATAAAACCCCCAAACCCCCTCCCCCACCCGCCCCTCCCCCCCGCCCCCCCCCCGCCCCTCCCCCACCATGACAACACCAAAATTTTGGATTTTTTTTCCTTTTTTTTTTTCCTTTTTTTTGTCTTTTTTTGTCTTTTTTGTCCAAAAGAGCCCCAAAAGGGGGTGGGGGGAGGGGCGGGGTCAGTCCGGGGGTGGGGGAGGGGCGGTGGGGGAGGGGTCGGCGAGGCTCGAGCGGCTTCCGGAGCGACCTGGGGGGGGTCAGAGGTCAAAGGTCACGGGTGGCCCCAATCCAACCCCGCCCCTCCCCCACCCCAAAATTTCCTCCCGGGACCCCCCAAATTCCCCATTTCTGACCCCGAAATCCCCCGAAATCGCCCCAAAACGCAAATCCCAATTTAACCCCTTAAACCCCAGTTAAAGCCCCAAAATCCCCCCAAAATCCCAATTTAACCCCAAAAATCCCAATTTAACCCCTTAAACCCAATTTAACTCCCCAAATACCAATTTAACTCCCCAAAATCCCAATTTAACCCTTTAAACAGTTTAACCCCCCAAAATCCCCCCAAAAATCCCAAAATCCCCCCAAAATTCCAATTTAACCCTTTAAACCCCAGTTCAACCCCCCAAAATCCCCCAAAAAATCCCAATTTAACCCCCTAAATCCCACTTTACCCCCCAAAATTCCCACAAAAATCTCCAAATCCCCCCAAAATCCCAATTTAACCCCAATTTAACCCCAATTTAACCCCTTAAATCCCAGTTTAACCCCTTGAACCCCAGTTCAACCTCCCAAAAATCCCCCAAAAATCCCCAAATCCCCCAAAAATCCCCCCAAAAATCCCAATTTAACCCCCCAAAATCCCCTTAAATCCAAATTTAACCCCAATTTAACCCCAATATAACCCCAATTTAACCCAAATTTAACCCCTTAAATCCCAATTTAACCCCTTAAATCCCAATTTAACCCCATTTTAACCCCAAAAATCCCAATTTAACCCAAATTTAACCCCATTTTAACCCCTTAAACCCCATTTTAACCCCCAAATCCCAATTTAACCCCTTAAACCCCACTTTAACCCCCCAAAATCCCACTTTAACCCCCCCAAACCCCCAATTTAACCCCCCAAAATCCCAATTTAACCCCAATTTAACCCCAATTTAACCCCTTAAACCCCACTTTAACCCCCCCAAATCCCATTTTAACCCCATTTTAACCCCTTAAATCCCAGTGTAACCCCCCAAAATCCCAATTTAACCCCAATTTAACCCCAATTTCACCCATTTTAACCCCTTTCTGACCGCCGAGGCGGCCGGGGGCCACCACGTAGCTGAGCAGGGTGACGTCCCCGGGGCCCCCCGACTCCAGGGGGATGGGGTGCACCCGGAAGTGCTCCAGCATGTCGAAGATGCTCTGGAAGCAGAGGTGCTGCACGCGGCACTGCGCCGCCTCGTTCAGCGACAGACGCAGGTGCTGCGGGGGGAAAACGGGCCAAAATCAGACCAAAATGTCCCAAAAATATTGCCAAAATAGTCTCTAAATAGCCCTAAAAATGTCCTCCAAATAGCCCCAAAATAGCCCCCAAATAGCTCTAAAAATATCCCCAAATAGCCCCAAAATATTCTCAAATATCCCCCAAAATAGCCCTAAAAATACCCTAAAAGTGTCCCCAAAATAGCTCCCAAATAGCACTAAAAATACCCTAAAAGTGTCCTCAAAATCATCCCAAAATATCCTAAAAATATCCCAAAAATATCCCCAAAACCGCCCTAAAAATATCCCCCAAATAGCCCTAAAAATATCCTAAAAGTGTCCCCAAAATCAGCCCAAAATTATCCCAAAATAGCCCCCAAATAGCCCTAAAAATATTCTTAAAGTGCCCCCAAATCAGCCCAAAACAGCCCCAAAATATCCTCAAAATTGCCCTAAAAATATCCCCAAAATATCCCCCAAATAGCCTTAAAAATGTCCCCAAAATCAGCCTAAAAACAGACCCAAATTAGCCCAAAATGTTCCCAAAATATCCTAAAAATATCCCACAAATAGCCCTAAAAATATCCTCCAAACAGCCCCAAAATACCCTAAAAATATCCCCAAATAGCCCTAAAAATAGCCCCCAAATAGCCCTAAAAATATCCCCAAAATACCCTAAAAATAGCCTAAAAATATCCTAAAAGTATCCCCAAAATCAGCCAAAAACCAGCCTGAAATTATCCCAAAATATCCCCAAAATAGCCTCAAAACCGCCCTAAAAATATCCCCAAAATAGCCTCAAAATACCCTAAAAATATCCCCAAAATAGCCATAACAATATCCTAAAAATGTCCCAAAACAGCCCCAAAATATCCTCAAAACTGCCCTAAAAATATCCCCCAAATAGCCCCAAAACTGCTCTAAAAATATCCCCAAATATCCCTAAAAATATCCTAAAAAGTCCCAAAATCAGCCCAAAAATATCCCCAAAATATCCTCAAAACAGCCCCAAAATATCCCCAAAACAGCCCCAAAAATATCCTCAAAATATCCCCAAAAACATCCCCCAAATAGCCCTAAAAAAATATCCTAAAAGTGTCCCCAAAATCAGCCCAAAATATTCTCAAAATATCCTCAAAACCGCCCTAAAAATATCCTCCAAATATCCCCAAAATATCCTGAAAATAGCCCCAAAACCGCCCTAAAAATATCCTCCAAATCGCCCCAAATAGCCCTAAAAATATTCTTAAAGTGCCCCCAAAATCAGCCCAAAAACAGACCCAAATTAGCCCAAAATGTTCCCAAAATATCCTAAAATATCCCCAAAACCGCCCTAAAAGTATCCCCCAAATATCCCCCAAAATATCCTCAAAAATATCCCCAAAAGTGCCCTAAAAATATCCCCAAAAGATCCTCAAAACTGCCCTAAAAATATCCCCAAAATAGCCCTAAAAATATCCTAAAAATGTCCCAAAATCAGCCCAAAAACAGCCCAAAATGTCCCCAAAATATCCTCAAAAGATCCTCAAAACCGCCCTAAAAATAGCCCCCAAATAGCCCTAAAAATATCCTTAAAATGTCCCAAAATCAGCCCAAAAATATCCCCCAAACATCCCAAAAATACCCTCAAAAATGCCACAAAAATATCCCAAAAATGTCCCAAAATCAGCCCAAATATGGCCCTAAAATGGCAAAAAAAAATCCCCAAATATTCCCCAAAATATCCTCAAAAATGCCCTAAAATTATCCCCAAATAGCCCTAAAAATACCCTAAAAATGTCCCAAAATCAGCCCAAAAATATCCCAAAAATACCCTCAAAAATGCCCTAAAAATGTCCTAAAAAAATCCCAAAAAAATCCCCGAAATATCCCAAAACTGCCTCAAAAAATATCCCAAAAATGCTCCAAAACCCCCCAAATTTTTACCTATAAAATCCCCATTTTTGGCCATAAAATCCCCATTTTTGGGTATAAAATCCCCATTTTTTGGGTATAAAATCCCCATTTTTGGGTATAAAATCCCCATTTTTTGGCCATAAAATCCCCATTTTTGGCTCTAAAATCCCCATTTTTTTGGCCATAAAATCCCCATTTTTTGCTATAAAATCCCCATTTTTGGGTGTAAAATCCCCATTTTTTGGGCTAGAACCATCGGGTTTTTTGCGTTAAACACCGTTTTTTCCCGATTTTCCCGTTTTTCACCCCAAAATTCCATATAAAATCCCCATTTTTGGGTGCAGAACCCCCATTTTTGGCTCTAAAATCTCCATTTTTGGCCATAAAATCCCCATTTTTTGCCATAAAATCCCCATTTTTTGGGCTAGAACCATCGGGTTTTTTGCGTTAAACACCGTTTTTTCCCGATTTTCCCCTTTTTCACCCCAAATCTGACCTTGGCCCGGCCCAGCACGTTGAAGGTCAGCACGAACCCCCAAAATCCCATAAAAAATCCCCATTTTTGGGTGTAAAATCCCCATTTTTGGCTATAAAATCCCCATTTTTTGGGTATAAAATCCCCATTTTTTTGGCTACAATATCCCCATTTTTTGGGTACAAAATCCCCATTTTTGGGTATAAAATCCCCATTTTTGGCCATAAAATCCCCATTTTTTTGGCCATAAAATCCCCATTTTTGGGTATAAAATCCCCATTTTTGGCTCTAAAATCCCCATTTTTAGCCATAAAATCCCCATTTTTGGGTATAAAATCGCCATTTTTTGGGCTAGAACCATCGGGTTTTTTGCGTTAAACACCGTTTTTTCCCGATTTTCCCTTTTTTCACCCCAAACCTGACCTTGGCCCTGCCCAGCACGTTGAAGGTCAGCACGAAGTCCCAAAATCCCATAAAAAATCCCCATTTTTGGGTGTAAAATCCCCATTTTTGGCCATAAAATCCCCATTTTTTGGGCTAGAACCATCGGGTTTTTTGCAGAAAACACCGTTTTTTCCCGATTTTCCCCTTTTTCACCCCAAAATTCCATATAAAATCCCCATTTTTGGGTGCAGAACCCCCATTTTTGGCTCTAAAATCCCCATTTTTGGCTCTAAAATCCCCATTTTTTGCCATAAAATCCCCATTTTTTGGGCTAGAACCATCGGGTTTTTTGCGTTAAACACCGTTTTTTCCCGATTTTCCCGTTTTTCACCCCAAACCTGACCTTGGCCCTGCCCAGCACGTTGAAGGTCACCACAAACCCCCAAAATCCCATAAAAAATCCCCATTTTTGGCTCTAAAATCCCCATTTTTGGGTGTAAAATCCCCATTTTTTGGGCTAGAACCATCGGGTTTTTTGCGTTAAACTCCGTTTTTTCCCGATTTTCCCCTTTTTCACCCCAAAATTCCATATAAAATCCCCATTTTTGGGTGCAGAACCCCCATTTTTGGCTCTAAAATCCCCATTTTTGGCTATAAAATCCCCATTTTTGGGTATAAAATCCCCATTTTTTGGGCTAGAACCATGGGGTTTTTTGCAGAAAATTCAGTTTTTTCCCAATTTTTCACTTTTTCACCCCAAATCTGACCTTGGCCCGGCCCAGCACGTTGAAGGTCACCACGAACCCCCAAAATCCCATAAAAAATTCGCATTTTTTGCCATAAAATCCCCATTTTTTGGGCTAGAACCATCGGGTTTTTTGCGTTAAACACCGTTTTTTCCCGATTTTCGGGTTTTTCACCCCAAACCTGACCTTGGCCCTGCCCAGCACGTTGAAGGTCAGCACGAACCCCCAAAATCCCATAAAAAATCCCCATTTTTTGCTATAAAATCGCCATTTTTTGGGCTAGAACCTTCGGGTTTTTTGCAGAAAATTCAGTTTTTTCCCAATTTTTCACTTTTTCACCCCAAACCTGACCTTGGCCCTGCCCAGCACGTTGAAGGTCAGCACGAACCCCCAAAATCCCACAAAAAATCCCCATTTTTTGCCATAAAATCCCCATTTTTTGGGCTAGAACCATCGGGTTTTTTGCAGAAAACACCGTTTTTTCCCGATTTTCCCCTTTTTCACCCCAAATCTGACCTTGGCCCTGCCCAGCACGTTGAAGGTCAGCACGAACCCCCAAAATCCCATAAAAAAATCGCATTTTTTGCCATAAAATCGCCATTTTTTGGGCTAGAACCACCGGGTTTTTTGCAGAAAACACCGTTTTTTCCCGATTTTCCCCTTTTTCACCCCAAATCTGACCTTGGCCCGGCCCAGCACGTTGAAGGTCAGCACGAACCCCCAAAATCCCATAAAAAATCCCCATTTTTGGCCATAAAATCCCCATTTTTTGGGCTAGAACCATCGGGTTTTTTGCAGAAAACTCCGTTTTTTCCCGATTTTCCCGTTTTTCACCCCAAAATTCCATATAAAATCCCCATTTTTGGGTGCAGAACCCCCATTTTTGGCTCTAAAATCTCCATTTTTGGCTCTAAAATCCCCATTTTTGGCCATAAAATCCCCATTTTTTGGGTTAGAACCATCGGGTTTTTTGCGTTAAACACCGTTTTTTCCCGATTTTCCCGTTTTTCACCCCAAAATTCCATATAAAATCCCCATTTTTGGGTGCAGAACCCCCATTTTTTGGGTATAAAATCCCCATTTTTGGCTATAAAATCCCCATTTTTGGGTGTAAAATCCCCATTTTTTGGGCTAGAACCATCGGGTTTTTTGCAGAAAACACCGTTTTTTCCCGATTTTCCCGTTTTTCACCCCAAAATTCCATATAAAATCCCCATTTTTGGGTGCAGAACCCCCATTTTTGGCTCTAAAATCCCCATTTTTGGGTATAAAATCCCCATTTTTTGGCCATAAAATCCCCATTTTTTGGGCTAGAACCATCGGGTTTTTTGCATTAAACACCGTTTTTTCCCAATTTTCCCCTTTTTCACCCCAAATCTGACCTTGGCCCTGCCCAGCACGTTGAAGGTCAGCACGAACCCCCAAAATTCCGTATAAAATCCCCATTTTTGGGTATAAAATCGCCATTTTTTGGGCTAGAACCATGGGGTTTTTTGCAGAAAATTCAGTTTTTTCCCAATTTTTCACTTTTTCACCCCAAATCTGACCTTGGCCCGGCCCAGCACGTTGAAGGTCAGCACGAACCCCCAAAAACCCATAAAAAATCCGCATTTTTGGGTGTAAAATCCCCATTTTTGGGTGTAAAATCCCCATTTTTTGGGCTAGAACCATCGGGTTTTTTGCGTTAAACACCGTTTTTTCCCAAATTTCCCCTTTTTCACCCCAAATCTGACCTTGGCCCGGCCCAGCACGTTGAAGGTCAGCACGAAGTCGCCCCTCCGGGTCTCGCTCTGCCGCACCAGGAAGGCGCCGTGGCCGCCCCTCCCCCCCTGCAGCACCAGCTGCGCCGCGCGCATGCGCGACAGCGGCCCGTGGAACCAGGGCCACGCCCCCAGCGCCGCGGCCACGCCCCCCGCGGCCCAGGCCACGCCCCCCGCGGCCCAGGCCACGCCCCCCGCGGCCCAGGCCACGCCCCCCGGGTCCGGAGGGGGCGGGGCCGGCGGGGGAGGGGCGGGGGGGGGAGGGGCGGGGGGGGAGGGGAAGGGCGGGGGGGGGCCTGGGGAGAAAAAGGCGGATTTTGGGAAAATTGGGGGGAAAAATGGGGAATTTGGGGGGAAATTGGGGGATTTTGGGAAAATTTGGGGGGGAATCGGAAAATTTGGGGGAGATAAAGGGGAATTTGGGGAATTTGGGGAGAAAAAGGCGGATTTTGGGAAAATTGGGGGGAAAAATGGGGAATTTGGGGGGAAATTGGGGGATTTTGGGAAAATTTGGGGGGGAATCGGAAAATTTGGGGGAGATAAAGGGGAATTTGGGGAATTTGGGGAGAAAAAGGCGGATTTTGGGAAAATTGGGGGGGAAGGGGGAATTTTGGGGGAAAAATGAAGATTTTCGGAAAATCGGGGGGAAAAAGAGAAAAAATGAGGATTTGGGGGAAATTTGGGGGGAAAAGGGGTAAAAAATGGGGGTTTTGGGGAATTTGGGGAGAAAAAGGCGGATTTTGGGGAAATTTGGGGGAAATTTGGGGGGTTTGGGGAGAAAAAGGTGGATTTTGGGAAAATTGGGGGGGAAATTGGGGAAATTTGGGGAATTTGGGGGAAATTGGGGGGAAATCGGGGAAATTTGGGGAGAAAAAGGCGGATTTGGGGAAAATTGGGGGGGAAATGGGGGAATTTGCGAAAATTGGGGTAAAATTGGGGAAATTTGAGGAGAAAAATGGGGAATTTGGGAAAATTGGGGGGGGAAATGGGGGAAATTGGGGGTTTTGGGGGGTTTGGGGAGAAAAAGGCGGATTTTGGGGAAATTGGGGGAAATTAGGGAAATTGGGGAGAAAAAGGCGGATTTTGGGAAAATTGGGGGGGAAAAAGGGTAAAAAATGGGGGGTTTGGGGAGAAAAACGGGGATTTGGGGGAAATTTGGGGGATTTTGGGAATTTGGGGAGAAAAATGGGGAATTTGGGGGAAATTTGGGGGATTTTGGGAAAATTGGGGGATTTTGGGAAAATCGGGGGGAAAAAGGGAAAAAATGGGGATTTGGGGGAAATTTGGGGGAAATTGGGGTATTTTGGGAAAATTGGGGGGGAAATGGGGAAAATTGGGGGGAAATTTGGGGTTTTGGGGAGAAAAATGGGGATTTGGGGGAAATTTGGGGAAAATTGGGGGATTTGGGGGAAATTGGGGGGAAAAAGGGGGAATTTGGGAAAGTTGGGGGGGGAAATGGGGGAAATTGGGGATTTTGGGTGGTTTGGGGAGAAAAAGGCGGATTTTGGGGAAATTGGTGGGGAAAAGGAGAAAAAATGGGGGTTTGGGGAAATTTGGGGAGAAAAAGGGGGATTTGGGGAAAATTGGGGAGGAAATGGGGAAATTGGGGGGGAAATGGGGAAATTTGGGGGGAAATGGGGAAATTTGGGGAGAAAAATGGGGATTTGGGGGAAATTTGGAAGGATTGGTCGAATTTGGGGGATTTTGGGGAAATTGGGGGGGAAAGGAGGAAAAATGGGGGTTTTGGGGAGAAAAACGGGGATTTGGGGAAAATTGGGGGGAAATGGGGAAATTGGGGGGGAAATTTGGGGGTTTTGGGGAGAAAAATAGGGATTTGGGGGAAATTTGGGAAAAATTGGTAAATTTGGGGAAATTGGGGGGAATCGGGGAAATTTGGAAAGAAAAAGGGGAATTTGGGAAAATCGGGGAAAGAAACGGGGGAAAAATGGGGGTTTTGGGGAATTTGGGGAGAAAAAGGGGGGATTTGGGAAAATTGGGGGATTTGGGGGGCACAGAAACAACAAAACCCAAATCGGGGTCCCAAACCCCAAACCCCCCCCCAAAACCCAAAATAAATCCCCAAAATCCCCCACAAACCACCCAAAATTCCCCAAATTACCCAAAATTCCCCAAATTACCCAAAATTCCCCCCAAATCACCCAAAATTCCCCAAATTCTCCCCCAAATCACCCAAAACTCCCCAAATTCCCCCAAATTCCCCGCAAATCACCCAAAATTCCACAAAATCCCCCCAAAATTCCCCCAAAATCACAAAAAACCCCTAAAAGCCCCAAAATCTCCCAAATTCCCTCCAAATTCCCCCAAAATCACCCAAAATTCCCCTGAAACCATCCAAAATTCCCTCAAATCACCCAAAAACCCCAAAATCTCCCGAATTTCCCCCAAATTCCCCACAAAATCTCCCCCAAATCACCCAAAATTCCCCAAAATCTCCCCAAATTCCCCCGAAATAATGCAAAATTCCCTCAAATCCCCGAAACCCCCCAAATCACCCAAAATTCCCCAAAATTCCCCCAAAATCCCCCCAAATTTCCCCCAAATCACCCAAAATTCCCCAAATTTCCCCCAAATTCCCCAAAATCTCCCCCAAATTCCCTAAATTCCCCCCAAATTCCCTGAAAACCCCCAAAACCCCCAAAATCTCCCAAATTCCCCCCAAAATCCCCCCAAAATTCCCCCCAAATTCCCCCAAATTCCCCGAAAACCCCCCAAAAAGCCCCAAAATCTCCCAAATTCCCCCAAATCTCCCCCAAACCACCCAAAATTGCCCAAATTCCCCAAAATTTCCCCCAAATCACCCAAAATCTCCTGAATTCCCCCCAAATTCCCCCCAAATTCCCCCCAAATCTCCCAAAAACCCCCAAATTCCCCCAAAATCACCCAAATTCCCCCAAAATCACCCAAAATACCCCCGAAATCTCCCAAAATCCCAAAATCTCCCCAAATTCCCCAAAATCTCCCCCAAACAGCCCAAAAGTCCCTCAAATCCCTGAAAACCCCCAAAGAGCCCCAAAATCTCCCAAATTTCCCCAAAATTCCCCCCAAAATCCCCGAAAACCCCCAAAATCTCCCAAATTCCCCCCCAAATTCCCCCAAATTCCACCCAAAATCACCCAAAATTCCCCAAACCACCCAAAATTCCCCAAAATTCCTCAAAATTTCCCCAAAATTCCCCAATATCCGCCCCAAATTTCCCCCAAATCCCCAAATTTCCCCAAATCTCCCCAAAATCCCCAAAATTGCCCAAAACCCCCCGAATTTCCCCCAAAATCCTCACCCCCGGCTCGGCTCTCGGGGCGCTGCGGCCGCTCCGGGGGTGGGGGAGGGGCCGAGAGACCCCCCAGAGCTCCTGGGGGGGGGAGGGGCGGTCAGGGGGGTTTTGGGGGGATTTGGGGCATTTTGGGGAATTCGGGGAAAATTGGGGGATTTGGGGCAATTTGGGGGAAATTTGGGGGTTTTTGGGATTTTTTGGGGGATTTTTTGGGATTTTTTGGGGTTTTTGGGGGCGATTTTGGGGGATTTTTGGGATTTTTTTTTTGGGATTTTTTGGGGGGAATTTGGGGAAAATTTGGGGAATTTGGGGAATTTTGGGGGTAATTTTAGATTTTTTTGGGGGATTTGGGGAAATTTGGGGTATTTGGGGTTTTCTTGGGTATTTTTTGGGGGGATTTTTTGGGGGGATTTGGGGGTAATTTTAGATTTTTTGGGGGGAATTTGGGGAAAATTTGGGGCTTTTTGGGATTTTTTTGGGGGGATTTTGGGGGGGATTTTGGAGTAATTTTAGATTTTTTTGGGAGGGAATTTGGGGGAAATTTGGAGGATTTGGGGAAGTTTGGGGGAATTTTGGGGCTTTTTGGGAAGTTTGGGGCTTTTTGGGATTTTTTGGGGATTTTTTGGGGGGATTTTGGGGGATTTTTGGGATTCTTTTTGGGGCTTTTTGGGATTTTTTTGGGGATTTTTTGGGGGGATTTTGGGGGGATTTGGGGGTAATTTTAGATTTTTTGGGGGGAAATGGGGGAAAATTTGGGGGATTTGGGGAAGTTTGGGAAAATTTGGGGCTTTTTGGGATTTTTTGGGGGATTTTTTGGGGGATTTTTTGGGAGATTTTTTGGGGGGATTTGGGGGTAATTTTAGATTTTTTGGGGGGAATTTGGGGAAAATTTGGGGGATTTTGGGATGTTTGGGGGAAATTTGGGGCTTTTTGGGATTTTTTGGGTAGTTTTTGGGGGGATTTTTGGGGGATTTTTTTGGGGGGATTTTTGGGATTTTTTTGGGGGGGATTTGGGGGTAATTTTAGATTTTTTGGGGGGAATTTGGGGAAATTTGGGTCTGTTGGTGAAAATGTGGCGGTTTTGGGGGAAGTTTTGGGGAATTTGGGTTTTTTTCAGTGTTTTCGGGCTGATTTCAGGTGGTTTTGCAGCAATTTTGGGGTTTCAGGAATTTTGATGCAATTTTAGGGGTTTTGGGGTAATTTCAGGGGGTTTTGGGGCAATTTCTGGAATTTTAGGGCTATTTCAGGGGTTTTGGGGCAATTTTGGGGTTTTTTGGGGTGATTTTTAGGGCGATTTTGAGGCAATTTTGTGGGTTTTTGGGGTGATTTTTAGGGCAGTTTTGGGGCGATTTTGGGGTGATTTTTGGGGCGATTTTGGGGGTTTTTGGGTCACCTGGTGGCAGCAGATCGGCGCTCTCCGAGTCCGAGGGGGCGTCGAAATCGTCCCTGGGGGGAAAAAATGGGGAAAAAAATGGGAAAAATGGGAAAAAACAGGAGAAAAGGGGGAAAATAGGGGAAAAAATGGGGAAAATGGAAAAAAAATGAGAAAAGGGGGAAAAACAGGGGAAAAATGGGAAAAATGGGGGGAAATGGGGGAAAAGGGGAGAAAATGGGGAAAAAAAATGGAAAAATGGGGGAAAAGGGGAAAAAATGGGGAAAATGGGGGAAAAGGGGAGAAAATGGGGAAAATTGAGGGAAAACATGGGGAAAATGGGAAAAATAGGAGAAAATGGTGAAAATATGGGAAAACGGGAAAAAATCCAGGAAAAATGGGAAAATATGGGGGAAAGGGGGGAAAAATGGGGAAAATTGAGGGAAAACATGGGGAAAATGGGAAAAAATAGGAGAAAATGGTGAAAAGAGGGGAAAATGGAAAAAAATCCAGGAAAAATGGGAAAATATGGGGAAAAGGGGGGAAAATAGGGAAAATTGGGGGAAAATCTGGGAAAAAATGGGAAAAAATGGGTAAAAAATGGGGGAAAAGGGGAGAAAATGGGGAAAATTGAGGGAAAAATCCGGGAAAAAATGGCAAAGAAGGGTAAAAAATGGGAGAAATGGGGGAAAAAATAAAAAACTGAAAAAAGGGGAAGAAATGGAAAAACAAGGAAGAAAAAAAGGGTAAAAATAAAGAGAAAAAAGAGAAAAAAGGTTAAAAAATTGGGAAAAAAAAGGGAAAAAAAATAAAATCAGGGGAAAAATGGGGGAAAAAAAGGAAAAAGTGGGAAAAGGGAAATAAAGGAGAATAAAAGGGAAAAAAAAGAGGAAAAAAGGGGGAAAAAGGGGGTGGGGGAGGGGCTCACGGGGGGCTCGGGCGCGGCTCCGGCAGCGGCTCCTGGGGAGGGGGAAAGGGGTCAGGGAGCCCCAAAAATCCCAAAAAAACACCCAAAAATAACCCCAAAATGCAGCCAGACAACCCCCAAAGAAAACCCCAAAAAAACCCCCAAAAAACAACCCAAATAACCCCAAAAAAACCCCAAAAAAACAGCCCCAAAACCCCCCAAAAAACAGCCCAAATAACCCCAAAAAAAGCCCAGAAAACCCCAAAACCAACCCAAAAATACAGCCCCAAAAAAGCCCCAAATCACCCCAAAAAAACGGCCCAAAACCCCCAAAAAACCAAATTTTCCCAAAATCCCATTTTCTCCCACAAACCCCAAATTCCCATTTTTTTCTCCCAAAAACCCCAATTTCCCAAAAACCCCAATTTCCCCAAAATCCCAATTTCCCCAAATCCAATTTCCCCCCTCCCAAAATTCCTCAAAATCCCATTTTTTCCTAATTTTCCCAAAATCCCATTTTTTCCCCCCAATTTTCCCCCAATTTCCCCAAAATCCCATTTTCTCCCCAATTTCCCCAAATCCCATTTCCCCCCAATTTCCCCAAAATCCGCTTTTTTCCCAATTTTCCCAAAATCCCCCTTTTTCCCCCCAAACCCACCTGGGGGGTCCCACGCGGCCGCGGGGGGGGAGGGGCGCGTCCCGGGGGCTCCTTTTGGGGCGAATTCCGGCGATTTTGGGGCTTCTCGGGGTTCTCATTTTGGGGCGAATTCCGGCGATTTTGGGGCTTTTCGGGATTCTCGTTTTGGGGCGAATTCCGGAGATTTTGGGTCAAATCCCAAAGGTGATTTGGGTCCGAATCGCGGCGGTTTTGGGGTGAATTTTGGGGAGAATCGCGGCGGTTTTGAGGTGAATTTTGGGGTGAATTTTGGGGATTTTGGGGTGAATTTTGGGGATTTTGGGGTTGCTGTCGGTTTTGGGGTGAATTCCGGCGTTTTTGGGGCTCTCCCGAGCGCCACTGGAGCATTCCCCGGACGCTGCGCCCGACGGAGCGGAGAGAGAAACGGCGCCGCGGCCGCGATTTTGGGGCCGAATCCGACGATTTTGGGGCCGATGATTTTGGGGCGGAATCCACCGATTTTGGGGCCGAATCTGCCAATTTTGGGGCAGAATCCGCCGATTTTGGGGCCGATTTCGGGGTGGAATCCGACGATTTTGGGGCCGATGATTTTGGGGCGGAATCCGACGATTTTGGGGCCAAATCCGACGATTTTGGGGCCGACGATTTTGGGGCGGAATCCACCAATTTTGGGGCAGAATCCGCCGATTTTGGGGCCGATGGTTTTGGGGCAGAATCCGCCGATTTTGGGGCAGAATCCGACGATTTTGGGGCCAATTTCGGGGCGGATTTTGGGGCGTTCCGGGACGGAGATTTTGGGGCGATTTCAGGCGATTTTGGGTTGATTTCCGCCAAATTCGAGGCGTTTCCCGCCGATTTCAGGCGAAATTCGAGCGATTTTGGGCCGATTTCGAGCGATTTTGGGGCAATTTCTGCCACTTTTGGGCCATTTGAAGCCCATTTTGGGGCGATTTCCGCCAGTTTTGGGTCGATTTCTGCGCATTTTGAGGCGTTTTCTGCCCATTTTGCATCAGTCTCACACAATTTTGGGCCAATTTCTGCCAAATTTCGGCAAATCTCAGCTGATTTTGGCCCAATCTCAGCCCATTGTGGGTCAAAATCTGCTGATTTTGGGTTAATTTCGGCCCATTTTGGATCAATTTCTGACAATCTTGGGCCGACTTCAGCCAAATTTCTGCCAATTTCTGCCGATTTTGGGCAAATCGCCGATTTTGGCCCAATCTCATCCCATTTTGGGTTAATTTCAGCTGATTTTGTGCCATTTTCAATCAATTTTGGGCTGATTTCTGCCGATTTCGGGCCGATTTCTGCCGATTTTGGGCAAATCACCGATTTTGCGCCAGTTTCTGGCGATTTCCACCCAATCTCAGCCCATTTTGGGCCGATTTCTGCTGATTTTGGGCCAATTTCAGTGAATATCGGGCAAATGGTCGATTTTGTGTTGGTTTCCGGCGATTTCCACCCAGTCTCAGCCCATTTTGGGCCAATTTCTGCCGATTTTGGGCCGATTTCTGCCGATTTTGGGTTGAATTCTGCTGATTTCGCGCCTATTTCCACCGATTTTGTGCCGAATTCCGACGATTTTGTGCCGGATTCTGCCGATTTCCGCCCAATCTCAGCCCATTTCGGGCTGATTTCTGCCGATTTTGGGCCGATTTCAGCGAATTTCGGGCAAATCACTGATTTTGCGCCGATTTCTGCCGATTTTGGGCCGAATTCCGGCGATTTCCACCCAGTCTCAGCCCATTTTGGGCCGATTTCAGCTGATTTTGGGCCGATTTCTGCTGATTTTGGGCCGAATTCTGCCGATTTCTGTCCAGTCTCAGCCCATTTTGGGCCGATTTCCACCGATTTTGGGCCGATTTCTGCCGATTTTGGGCTGAATTCTGCCGATTTTGAGCCGATTTCTGCTGATCTTGGGCTGGTTACTGCTGATCTTGGGCTGATTTCGGCCGATTTTGTGCCGGATTCTGCCGATTTCCGCCCAATCTCAGCCCATTTCGGGCTGATTTCTGCTGATTTTGGGCCGATTTCAGCGAATATCGGGCAAATGGTTGATTTTGGGCTGATTTCTGCTGATTTCGGGCCGAATTCCGCTGATTTCTGTCCAGTCTCAGCCCATTTTGGATCAATTTCTGCCGATTTTGTGCTGATTTCCACCAGTTTCGTGCCGATTTCCGCCGCTTTTTCGCCGATTTCCACCTCTTTTTTGCCGATTTCCGCTGATTTCTCCCCGAATTCCGCCGCTCCCCGCCCCGCCCGCGCCACCTCGGCCTGGAAATGTTCCAGAAAGTTCCTGGCGAAGCGGCGCGAGAAGGCGGCGGCGGCGCCGGGGCCGCGGAGCTGCGGCTGCGCCGACACGAAGAGCCGGAACCGCAGCGCGAAGTCGCGGGCGGCGGCACGGGCCTGGCGCTGGCAGAACTCCCGCCAGCCAGGGGGGGGCAGGGGGGGGTTTGGGGGGGTTTGGGAAAAATTTGGGGGGGTTTCGGGGAAATTTGGGGGAGGTTTGGCAAAATCCAGGGGGGTTTGGGGGAAATTTGGGGTGTTTTGGGTGAAAATTGGGGGGTTTGGGGGCGTTTGGGGGAGATTTGGGGGGGTTTCGGTAAAATTCGGGCGGTTCTGGGGCAGGTTTGGGGGGGTCTGGGGGAGATTTGGGGGGTTTTGGGGGAGGGTTGGGGGGCTTTCGGTAAAATTTGGGGGGGTTTGGGGGAAATTTGGGCGGTTCTGGGGGGGATTTAGGGGGATTTCGGGGAAATTTGGGGGGATTTCAGCAAAATTCGGGGGGATTTCGGCAAAATTCAGGGGGTTTTGGGGGATGTCCGGGAGGGTTTTGGCAAAATTCGGGCGGTTCTGGGGGAGGTTTGGGGAGTTTTGGGGGAAATTTGGGGGGATTCCAGTAAAATTCGGGGGGTTTTGGGGGAGATTCAGGGGAGTTACAGAAAAATTCGGGGGATTCTGAGGGAGATTTCGGGGGTTCTGGGGGAAATTTGGGGAGTTCTGGGGGAGATTTGGGGGGTTCTTGGGGAGGTTTGGGGAGTTCTGGGGGAGGTTTGGGGGGTTGTGCAGGAGATTTTTGGGGTTCTGGGGGAGATTTGGGGGGGTTTGGGGGAAATTTGGGGGGATTTCAGCAAAATTCAGGGGGTTTTCGGTGAAATTTGGGGGGTTGTGGGGGAGATTTGGGGAGATTTCAGCAAAATTCGGGGGGTTTTGGGGGAAATTTGGGGAGTTCTGGGGGAAATTTGGGGGGATTTCGGTGAAATTTCGGGGCTGCTGGGGAAAATTTGGGGGATTTTGGTGGAAATTTGGGGGAGTTTCAGCAAAATTTGGGGAGTTCTGGGGGAGATTTGGAGGAATTTTGGCAAAATTCAAGGGGTTTTGGGGGAGATTTGGGGGGGTTTGGGGGAAATTTGGGGGGATTTTGGCAAAATTTGGGGGGTTTTCGGTGAAATTCGGGGGGTTTTGGGGGAAGTCCAAGCGGGTTTTGGCAAAATTCAGGGGGTTTTGGGGGAGACTCAGGGGGTTCTGGGGGAGATTTGGGGGGTTTTGGGGGAGATTTGGGGGGTTTTGGGGGAAATTTGGTCGGATGTCGGCAAAATTCACGGGGATTTCAGCAGAATCCGGGGGGTTTTGGGGAAAATTTGGGGGGGTTTCAGTAAAATTTGGGGGGTTCTGGGGGAGACTTGGGAGGTTTTGGGGGAGATTTGGGGGGGTTTCGGTGAAATTCGGGGGGTTTTGGGGAAGATTCAGGGGGATTTTGCCAAAATTTGGGAAGTTCTGGGGGAGATTTGGGGGGATTTTGGCAAAATTCAGGGGGTCCCAGGGGAGATTTGGGGGATTCTGGGGGAGATTTGGGTGGATTTCAGTGAAATTTGGGGGGTTCCAGGGGAGATTTGGGGGGTTTGGGGGCAGGTTTGGGGGCGTTTCGGGGAAGTTTGGGGGATTCTGGGGGAGATTTGGGGGATTCTGGGTCAAATCTGGGGGGATTTCAGCAAAATTTGGGGGAATTTCGGCGAAATTTGGGGGGTTTTGGGGGAGATTTGGGGGGTTTTGGGGGAAGTCTGGGGGGGTTCTGGCAAAATTTGGAGGGTTTTGGGGGAAATTTGGGGGGATTTCAGCAAAATTCGGGGGAGTTTCAGTAAAGTTCGGGGGGTTCTGGGACAGATTTGGGGAGTTTTGTGGGAAATTTAGGGGGTTTTGGGGCAAATTCGGTGGGATTTCGGTGAAATTTGGGGGGTTCTGTGGGAAATTTGAGGGGTTCTGGGGGAGATTTGGGGGAATTTCGGTAAAATTCGGGGGGTTTTGGGGGAAATTTGGGCGGTTCTGGGAGAAATTTGGGGGGTTTGGGGGGTTTTGGGGGAAATTTGGGGGGATTTCAGTAAAATTCGAGGTACTTTGGTGAAAAAATTGGGGGTTTTTGGGTAAAACTTCAGCAAAATTTGGGGGGTTTTGGGGGAAATTTGGGGGGTTTTGGTGGAAATTTGGGGGGTTTGGGGAGTTTTGGGGAAAACTCGGGAAGTTTTGGGCAAAATTTGGGGGGATTTTGGGAAAATTTGGGGGGTTCTGGGGGAATTTCAGGGGATTTTGGGGGGAATTTGAGAGATTTGGGGGAATTTCGGCCGAATTTGGGGAGTTTTGGGCGACGTTTGGGGAATTTTGGGGTGAATTTGGGGGGTTTTGGGATCTGGGGGGGTTTTGGGGTGAATTTTGGGGATTTTGGGGGTTCTGGGGGGTCTCAGGTCTGGACCCCCCCCCCGAGGGGCCGCTCATGCTGGGGGGGGGCGCTGGAAAATGGGGAAAAAAAGGGGGAAAATGGGAAAAAATGGGAATAAAAACAGAAAAGGAGAAAATGGGGGAAAATGAGACAATTTGAGGAAAAAAAATAAAATAAAATGGGGAAAAAAGGGGGAAAATGGGAAAAAATGGAAATAAAACAGAAAAGGAGAAAAAAGGGGAAAATGAGACAATTTGAGGAAAAGAAATAAAATAAAATGGGGGAAAAAAAGGGGGAAATGGGAAAAAATGGAAATAAAAACAGAATAGGAAAAAAATGGGGGAAAATGAGACAATTTGAGGAAAAAAAGAAAATAAAATGGGGAAAAAAGTGAAAAATAAAAAGAGAAAAAACGGGAAAATGGGTCAAAGTGAGGGAAAAGTTCCAGAATTGGGAAAAATCCCCCAAATTCACCCAAATCCCCCCAAAATCCCCCAAAATCACCCCAAACCCCTCAAATTCTCCCCAAAAATCAACCCCAAAAGCCCCAAATCCCCTCAAAAATCACAAATCCCGCCAAAATCCCCCCAAAATCCCCAATTCCCCCAAATATCCCCAAAAAGCCGCGAAATTCCTAAAAACCCTCAAAATTTTCCCTCAAAAATCCCCCAAATTCCCTAAAAATTCCCAAAATTTCCCAAAATTGCCCCAAAACCCCCCCAGGACCCCTCAGTCTCCCCTCCCCCTCCACTGTCCCCCCCAAAATCCCCCAAAAATCCCCCAAAATTCCCTCAAAAAATCCCAAATTTTCCCCAAACTCCCCCGGAAATTGCCCAAAATCGCCCAAATTCGCCCCAAATCCGCGCGGCCCCAATCGCCGCTCACCATAACGGCGGCCGCTGCTCCCGCCGGGGCCTTCCTCCCTCTCGTTCTCCTCCTCCTCCTCCTTTTTTTCCTTTTTTTTCTCCTTTTTTTCCTTTTTTTCCTCTTTTTTTCCTCTTTTTTCTTCCTCTTCTTCTTCTCCTCCTCCTCCTCCTCTTCCTCCCCTCACGCCGCCACTTCCGGTGAGCGCCGCCTCCACTTCCGGTCCCGCGTTATGGCGCCGCCTAGCGGCGCGGAGGTCCGCGCATGCGCCGCTCTGTCTGCCCTCAGGGACTATTTTTTTCAGCGGAGGGGCGGATTTTGGGTTAAAAACGCGCGATTTTGGCGCTGAGCTCGGAGTTATGAGGGGAAATCATATGTGAGGAAGAGGTTAGAGGAGGTTTTTTGTGGGTGAGGCGCGGTTGGAAAGGGGTTAACCCACACGGCGGAAGGATCTGTGGTTCAGCGCGCTCGGCGCGGATCCCTCCGCCCCTCAGGGCCCCGCGCGGCCCCAAAACCGCCGGAATTGGCCCCAAAATCGGCGGAATTCGCCCCAAAAGCCCCGGCGGGACCCCCCCCCGGCCATGCTGAAGCCGCTGCCGCCGCCCCCCCCCCAACCGGGCCCGGCCTCGCCCCCTCCCCACGGCGGGGGAGGGGAGGGGGAGGGGAAAGCGGCGGCGGGGGGGGGAGGGCCGGGGGGGGGCGGCAGGTGAGGGGGGAGGGGGGATTGGGGGGAAATTTGGGGCGTTTTGGGGGGTTTGGGGGGATTTGGGGGAAATTTGGGGAGTTTTGAGGGGTTTGGGGGGATTTTAAAGGGGTTGGGGGGATTTGGGTGGATTTGAGGGGTTTGAGGGGGTTTTGGGGGAATTTGGGGGAAAATTGGGGAGTTTTGGGGGGTTTGGGGAGATTTGAGGGGGTTTTGGGGGGATTTGAGGGGGTTTTGGGGGGATTTGAGGAGATTTGGGGGGGTTTGGGGGGATTTGAGGGGGTTTTGGGCGTATTTGGGGGGATTTGAGGAGATTTTGGGGGATTTGAGGGGTTTTGGGGGGATTTGAGAAGATTTGAGAAGTTTGGGCGGATTTGAGGGGGTTTTGGGGGCATTTGAGAAGTTTGGGGTGATTTGAGGGGGTTTTGGGGAGATTTGAGGAGATTTGAGGGGTTTGGGTGGATTTGAGGGTGTTTTGGGGGGATTTGAGGAGATTTGAGGAGTTTGGGGGGATTTGGGGGGATTTTGGGGTTCATTAGAGGGATTTGTGGGGGTCTTTGGGCTAATTAATGGCACTTCTGGGTTTAATGGGATTTTGGGAGGTTTTGGGGTTAATTAAAGGGGTTTTGGGGCTCCTGGCCCACCCCAAATTTGGGATTTTCCCCTTTTAACTCCCCTCACCCAATTCTCTGCAGGTCCCTCCCAGCGGGAAAATCCCTGGTAAGAAACCCCCAAAACCACCCAAAAACTCCCCAAAAAAACCCCCCAAAACCCTCCAAAAGCCCCCAAAAAAACCCCAAAAACTTCCCCAAAATCCCACAAAAAATCTCACCCAAAAACCTTCAGAATTCCCACTAAAAAAGTCCAAAATTCTTCTGGAAACAAAACTACAAAAACTCCCAAAAATTTACCAAAAAAATCTCAAAAGAAATGTCTAAAAAAACCCTTAAAAAGCTGTCCTAAAATCTCCCCAAAAAGCTAAACAAAAAACCCCAAAAAACCCCTCAAAATTCTCCAGAGAAAAAGCCCAAAATCCCACCCTAAAAATTCAAAAATTCCCCAAAAAAAAGCCCCAAAAACCTCCAAAATCTCCCAAAAATAAATTACAAAAAAAAAAAAAATCTCCAAATCTCCTCAAAAAAACCGTAAAAAATCCAAAAACTCATGAAAATTTTCCCTAAAAACCTGAAAATCGCCTCTAAAAAAATCCCAAAAAAACCCCAAAAACCCCAAATGCCCAAAAATGCCCAAAAATGCCCAAAATGCCCCAAAGTGCCCCAAAAACCCCACAGGTGTTCGAGGGCGTCTACGGCAACTCCCGGATGCTGCACGTGCTGACGGCCGGCGTGGTGAGGGGGAAATTTGGGATTTTTGGGGCATTTTGGGGCATTTTGGGGAATTTTGGGGATTTTTAGGGGGATTTTTGTGATTTTGGAGGGATTTTAGGGGAATTTTAGGGGGATTTTGGAGGGATTTTGGGGGGTCTGGGGGAGGTAAATGGGGATTTTTGGGGGATTTTGGGATTTTTGTGATTTTGGGGAATTTTGGGGGGTCTGGGGGAGGTAAATGGGGATTTTTGGGGGATTTTTGGGGGTATTTTTGTGATTTTGGGGGAATTTTGGGGGTCTGGGGGAGGTAAATGGATATTTTGGGGGGATTTTGGGGGATTTTGGAGGGATTTTAGGGGAATTTTAGGGGGATTTTGGAGGGATTTTGGGGGGTCTGGGGGAGGTAAATGGGGATTTTTGGGGGATTTTTGCGATTTTGGGGCAATTTTTGCGATTTTGGGGCATTTGGGGGGATTTTGGAGGGATTTTAGGGGGATTTGGGGGATTTTTAGGGGGATTTTTGTGATTTTTGGGTAATTTGGGGGGATTTTGGAGGGATTTTGGGGGATTTTGGGGTTTTGGGGAAATTTGAGGGAATTTCAGGGGATTTTGGGGACTTTTTTGGGGGAAATTTGGGGGATATTGGGGGCCCTGAGGTCACTCAGGGGTCACTCAGGAGTGGTCAGTGGCCATTGGTCACTCACTGGTCACTCACTGGTCACTCAGTGGTCACTCAGGGGTCACTCAGGGGTCACTCAGGGGTCACTCTCTGGTCACTCAGTGGTCACTGGTCACTCAGGGTCACTCAGGGGTCACTCAGGGGTCACTCAGTGGTCACTCAGTGGTCACTCAGTGGTCACTGGTCACTCAGTGGTCACTCAGGGTCACTCAGTGGTCACTCAGTGGTCACTCAGTGGTCACTCAGTGGTCACTCAGTGGTCACTCAGTGGTCACTCAGTGGTCACTCAGGGGTCACTCACTGGTCACTCAGGGTCACTCAGTGGTCACTCAGGGGTCACTCAGGAGTGGTCACTGGTCACTCAGGGGTCACTCTCTGGTCACTCAGGGGTCACTCAGGGGTCACTCAGTGGCCATTGGTCACTCACTGGTCACTCAGTGGTCACTCTGTGGTCACTCAGTGGTCACTCAGGGTCACTCAGGGGTCACTCAGGGTCACTCAGGGGTCACTCAGGGGTCACTCAGGGTCACTCAGTGGTCACTCAGGGGTCACTCAGTGGTCACTCACTGGTCACTCTCTGGTCACTCAGGGTCACTCAGGAGTCACTCAGGAGTGGTCAGTGGTCACTCAGGGGTCACTCAGGGTCACTCAGGGGTCACTCAGGGTCACTCTCTGGTCACTCAGTGGTCACTCAGTGGTCACTCAGGGGTCACTCAGGGTCACTCAGTGGTCACTCAGGGGTCACTCACTGGTCACTCAGGGTCACTCAGGAGTGGTCAGTGGCCATTGGTCACTCATTGGTCACTCTCTGGTCACTCAGTGGTCACTCAGTGGTCAGGGGTCACTCAGTGGTCACTCAGGGTCACTCAGTGGTCACTCATTGGTCACTCAGGGTCACTCTCTGGTCACTCAGTGGTCACTCAGTGGTCACTCAGGGGTCACTCAGGAGTGGTCAGTGGCCATTGGTCACTCAGGGGTCACTCAGGGGTCACTCAGGGGTCACTCAGGGGTCAGTGGTCAGTGGTCACTCACTGGTCACTCTCTGGTCACTCAGGGCTCCACGGCCGAGGTTCGAGTCCGCAGCGGTCGAACCTTTGAGGGAATTTTCCGGACACTCAGCGCCAAGGTGGGTCCCAATTAATGCCAATTAACGCTAATTAATATGCTAATTGTTATGCTAATTCATGCTAATTAGCGCTCGGTAACACTCGAACTCAGATTTTCTAATTTCCCGCCCATTTTTACCATTTTAAACCTATTTTTTACCATTTTTCAATCATTTTTTTCCATTTCTCTCAGTTCTGACCCAATTTTGCCCTTTCCCAACTCTTTTCCCATTTTTTCCTCACTTTCCCCTTTTTTTCCTTTTTTTTCCCTTTTTTTCCCTTTTTTTCCCTTTTTCCCCTTTTTTTTCCCCTTTTTTTCCCTTTTTTTCTCATTTTTATCCCATTTTTTGCCATTTTCTCACCATTTTTTCCCATTTTTCCTCATCTCTATCCCATTTTTCACCCTTTTCTCACTTTTCCCCCCATTTTTCACATTTTTCTCACTTTTATCCCGTTCTTTACCATTTTCTCACAATTTTTTACCATTGTCTCTGTTTTTCCCCATTTTCATCACTTCTATCCCATTTTTAACATTGTCTCACCTTTTCCCCCATTTCCCCCCCTTTTTTACCCTTTTCTCACTAATTTTGTCTTGGTTTTCCCCATTTTTTACCCTTTTCTCACCATTTTTTCTCATTTTTCCCCCATTTTTCTCCTTTTCTCACCTTTTTTCCCATTTCCCCCATTTTTTCCCAGCGCTGTCCTATTTTTTACCATTTCTTTCCCCATTTCTCACTCTTTTCTCTATTTTTACCCATTTTTTTCCCCTTTTCTCACCTTTTTTCCCATTTCCCCCATTTTTTTCCCATCTCTATCCTATATTTTACCATTTTTTCCCCATTTCTTACCTTTTTCTCACCCTTTTCTCGTTTTTTCCTTTTTCTCACCATTTTTTATCGTTTTTCCCTCATTTTTTCCTATTTTCTCACCTTTTTTCCAACTTCTCTCATTTTTACCCAGTGCTATTCTATTTTTACCATTTCTTTTCCCTTTTCTCACAATTTTTCTTGTTTTTTTCATTTTTTCCCCATTTTTTGCCCTTTTCTCACCATTTTTGTCGTTTTTCCCGTATTTTTTCCCGTCCTCTCACAATTTTTTCTAGTTTTTCCCCATTTTCCCCCTTTTCTCCCCTTTTTCCCCATTCCCCCATTTTTCCCCATCTCTACCCTATATTTTACCATTTGTTTTCCTTTTTATCACCATTTTTCTCATTTTTTCCCCATTTTTACCCCATTTCTCACCCTTTCCTCACAATTTATTTCATTTTTCTCCCATTTTCCCCCCTTTTCTCACCTTTTCCCCATTCCCCCATTTTCCCCATCTCTCCCCTCTATTTCCCCATTCCCCCCCCATTTTTTCCCCTTTTCTCACCATTTTTTTTCATTTTCCCCCATTTTTCCCCTTTTCTCCCCTTTTTCCCATTTCCTCCGTTTTTTCCCAGCACTATCCTATATTTTACCTTTTTTTCCCCATTTTTTCCCCATTTCTCACCCTTTCCTCACAAATTTTCTTGTTTTTCCCCCATTTTTCCCCCTTTTCTCACCTTTTTTCCCATTTCCCCTGTTTTTTCCCAGTACTATCCTATTTTTTATCATTTCTTTCCTCATTATTTACCCTTTTCTCACCATTTTTTCTCTTTTTTCCCCTTTTCTCACCTTTTTTCCCATTTCCCCCATTTTTTCCCCTTTCCTCACCATTTTTTCTCATTTTCCTACCATTTTTTCCCCATTTCTCACCATTTTCCCCCATTTTTTTCCCTTTTTTCCCCTTTTTCCCCATTTTTCCCCTTTTCTCCCCTTTTTCCCATTTCCCCCATTTTTTCCCATCACTACCCTATATTTCACCATTTTTTCCCCTTTTCTCACCATTTTTCCCGTTTTTCCCCTTTTTCCCCCCAGTTCGAGTTGGCCCTGGACGCCGTCCACCGACGCCCCGCCCCCTCCATTGGCCACGCCCACTCCACTGACCACGCCCCCTCCTCAGGCCACGCCCCCTCCTCAAGCCACGCCCCCTCAGGCAATACATCATCCTCTGGCCACGCCCCCTCTTCAAGCCACGCCCCCTCTTTAAGCCCCGCCCCCTCCTCAGGCCCCGCCCCCTTTCCCGCCCCCGCCCCTCCCCCCCCGCCGCCCCTCCCCCCGCGGCGCGAGGACATCGTGGACACGATGGTGTTCCGGCCACTGGACATCGTGGTGCTGACCCTGCGTGACCTCGACATGGCCTCCGCCTCCCGCGGTCAGTTTGGGGCAAATTCCCGCGATTTTGGGTCATTTTGGGCGAAATTCCCCCTTTTGGGTGAAATTCCTCCGATTTCGGGTCATTTTGGGGCGGTGTTCCGGCCACTGGACATCGTGGTGCTGACCCTGCGCGACCTGGACATGGCCTCCGCCTCACGGGGTCAGTTTGGGTGAAATTCCCGCGATTTTGGGTCACTTTGGGCGAAATTCCCAATTTTGGGTGAAATTCCCCCAATTTCGGGTCATTTTGGGCCATTTTGGGGCGGTGTTCCGGCCACTGGACATCGTGGTGCTGACCCTCCGCGACCTGGACATGGCCTCCGCCTCCCGCGGTCAGTTTGGGTGAAATTCCCGCGATTTTGGGTCATTTTGGGCGAAATTCCCTGATTTGGGTGAAATTCCCCCGATTTTGGGTCATTTTGGGGCGGTGTTCCGGCCACTGGACATCGTGGTGCTGACCCTGCGTGACCTCGACATGGCCTCCGCCTCCCGCGGTCAGTTTGGGTGAAATTTCCGCGATTTTGGGTCATTTTGGGCGAAATTCCCCCGATTTGGGTGAAATTCCCCCGATTTCGGGTCATTTTGGGGCGTTGTTCCGGCCACTGGACATCGTGGTGCTGACCCTGCGTGACCTCGACATGGCCTCCGCCTCCCGCGGTCAGTTTGGGTGAAATTCCCGCGATTTTGGGTCATTTTGGGCGAAATTCCCCGTTTTGGGTGAAATTCCCCCGATTTTGGGTCACTTTGGGTGAAATTCCCCGATTTGGGTGAAATTCCCCCGATTTCGGGTCGTTTTGGGTGAAATTCCCCCGATTTGGGTGAAATTCTGCCGATTTTGGGTGAAATTCCCCCGATTTTGGGTCACTTTGGGCGAAATTCCCCAATTTGGGTGAAATTCCCCCGATTTTGGGTCACTTTGGGAGACATTCCCCCGATTTGGGCGAAATTCCCCATTTTGGGTGAAATTCCCCCGATTTCGAGTGGTTTTGGGCGAAATTCCCCAATTTGGGTGAAATTCCCACGATTTTGGGTCGTTTTGGGCGAAATTCCCCGATTTGGGTGAAATTCCCCCGATTTTGGGTCACTTTGGGAGACATTCCCCCGATTTGGGTGAAATTCCGCCAATTTTGCGTGAAATTCCCCCGATTTTGGGTCACTTTGGGCAAAATTCCCTGATTTGGGTGAAATTCCCCCGATTTCGGGTCACTTTGGGCGAAATTCCCCGATTTGGGTGAAATTCCCCCGATTTCGGGTCATTTTGGGCGAAATTCCCCATTTTGGGTGAAATTCCCCTGATTTTGGGTCACTTTGGGCGAAATTCCCACGATTTGGGTGAAATTCCCACGATTTTTGGTCACTTTGGGCGAAATTCCCCATTTTGGGTGAAATTCCCCCGATTTTGGGTGAAATTCCCCCAATTTTGGGTCACTTTGGGTGAAATTCCCCGATTTGGGTTAAATTCCCCCACTTTTGGGTCACTTTGGGTGAAATTCCCCAATTTGGGTGAAATTCCCCCGATTTTGGGTCGTTTTGGGCGAAATTCCACATTTTGGGTGAAATTCCCCCGATTTTGGGTCACTTTGGGCGAAATTTCCCGTTTTGGGTCAAATTCCCGCGATTTTGGGTCACTTTGGGCGAAATTCCCCGATTTGGGTGAAATTCCCCCAATTTTGGGTCACTTTGGGTGAAATATCCCCGATTTGGGTGAAATTCCCCCAATTTTGGGTCACTTTGGGCGAAATTCCCCGATTTGGGTGAAATTCCCCCAATTTTGGGTCACTTTGGGTGAAATTCCCCCGATTTTGGTGAAATTCCCCCGATTTCGGGTCACTTTAGGCGAAATTCCCCATTTTGGGTGAAATTCCCCCGATTTTGGGTCACTTTGGGTGAAATATCCCCGATTTGGGTGAAATTCCGCCGATTTTGGGTCACTTTGGGCGAAATTCCCCGATTTGGGTGAAATTCCCCCGATTTCGGGTCATTTTGGGTTGAATTCCAGGGATTTTGGGGCGTTTTTCTCTGAATTTTCAGGATTTCGGGGCTGTTGCTGCTGAAATTTGGGGATTTTTCCCACTGAATTTTTGGGGCATTTTCCTCTGAATTTTGGGGCATTTTTCTCTAAATTCCCGTGATTTTGGGGCACTTCCTGCTGAATTTTGGGTATTTTTTGCTGAATTTCGGGGCGTTTTTTGCTGAATTTTGGGGCATTTTTTTTCTGATTTTTTTTGGCATTTTTTGCTGAATTTTAGGGCTTTTTTCTCTTAATTTTTGGGCGGTTTTTCTCTGAATTTTGGGGCGTTTTTTGCTGAATTTTTGAGCTTTATTCTCTTAATTTTTGGGGTTTTTTCTCTGAATTTTGGTGCGTTTTTTGCTGAATTTTTGGGGGTTTTTCTCTGAATTTTGGGGCATTTTTGGCTGAATTTTGTGCCTTTTTTCTCTTAATTTTTGGGGTTTTTTTCTCTGAATTTTTGGGCGTTTTTCTCTTAATTTTTGGGGCTTTTTTCTCTGAATTTTGGGGCTTTTTTCTCTGAATTTTTGGGCGTTTTTTGCTGAATTTTTGGGCGGTTTTTCTCTAAATTTTGGGGCGTTTTTCGCTGAATTTTTTTGCGTTTTTCTCTGAATTTTGGGGCGTTTTTTGCTGAATTTTGGGTCATTTTTTTTGCTGAATTTTTGGGCATTTTTTCTCTGAATTTTGGGGCGTTTTTTGCTGAATTTTTGAGCTTTTTTCTCTTAATTTTTGGGGTTTTTTCTCTTAATTTTTGGGGCATTTTTCTCTGAATTTTGGGGCATTTTCCTCTGAATTTTGGGGCATTTTTTTCTGAATTTTAGGGCTTTTTTCTCTTAATTTTTGGGGCTTTTTTCTCTGAATTTTGGGGCTTTTCTCACTGACTTTTTGGGCGGTTTTTCTCTGAATTTTGGGTCATTTTTTTTTGCTGAATTTTTGGGCTTTTTTCTCTTAATTTTTGGGGGTTTTTCTCTGAATTTTTGTGGCTTTTTTCTCTTAATTTTTGGGCGTTTTTCTCTGAATTTTTGGGCGGTTTTTCTCTGAATTTTGGGGCTTTTTTTTTTGCTGAATTTTGTGGCTTTTTTCTCTGAATTTTTGGGGGTTTTTCTCTGAATTTTGGGACATTTTTTTTGCTGAATTTTGTGGTTTTTTTTCACTGAATTTTTCGGCGTTTTTCTCTGAATTTTGGGGCTTTTTTCTCTGAATTTTTGGGCGGTTTTTCTCTTAATTTTTGGGGCTTTTTTCTCTGAATTTTGGGTCGTTTTTTGCTGATTTTTTTGCGTTTTTCTCTGAATTTTTGGGGGTTTTTCTCTGATTTTTTTTTGCGTTTTTTGCTGAATTTTGAGGCATTTTTTGCTGAATTTTTGGGCGGTTTTTCTCTGAATTTTGGGGTGTTTTTTGCTGAAATTTGGGGCGTTTTTTGCTGAATTTTAGGGCTTTTTTCTCTTAATTTTTGGGCAGTTTTTCTCTGAATTTTGGGGCGTTTTTCTCTGAATTTTGGGTCATTTTTTTTGCTGAATTTTTGGGCTTTTTTCTCTGAATTTTTGGGCGTTTTTTGCTGAATTTTGTGGAATTTTTATCGGATTTTTTTTTGTGTTTTTCTCTGAATTTTGGGGCGGTTTTTTCTCTTAATTTTTGGGCATTTTCCTCTGAATTTTAGGGCATTTTTTTCTCTGAATTTTGGGGCGTTTTTTTGCTGAATTTTGGGTCGTTTTTTGCTGATTTTTTTTGCGTTTTTCTCTGAATTTTGGGGCTTTTTTTTGCTGAATTTTTGTGGCTTTTTTTCTCTTAAGTTTTGGGTGTTTTCCTCTGAATTTTGGTGCGTTTTTTGCTGAATTTTGGTGCGTTTTTTGCTGAATTTTTTGGCTTTTTTCTCCGAATTTCCCAAAATCCCGTGATTTTGCCCCAATTCCAGACAAGTTCACGGACGCGGCGATCGCCGGGAGCCGCCGGCTGAACGGGGCCCGGCGGGAGAAGGTTCTGGAACGGTGGGACGGCGGCGACGGCAGCGACGACTACGAGCTGGACGCCGACCTGGTACCGAAATCCCCCGAATTCACCCCAAAATCACCACAAATAACCCAAAATTACCCAAAATTCACCCAAAATCACCCCAAATACACGAAAATACCCCAAAATCGCCCGAAATCACCCCAAAATCACCCAAAATAACACAAAAATACCCCAAAATCGCCCGAAATCACCCCAAAATCAACCCAAAATTGCCCGAATTCACCCCAAAATCACCCAAAATACACGAAAATACCCCAAAATAGCCCGAAATGACCCCAAAATCACCCCAAATAACCCAAAATATCCCAAAATCCACCTGAAATCACCCCAAAATCACCCAAAATAACCCAAAATAACCCAAAATCGCCCGAAATCACCCCAAAATCACCCAAAATAACCCCAAAATCACCCAAAATCACCCGAATTCACCCCAAAATCACCCCAAATACCCAAAAATACCCCAAAATCGCCCGAAATCACCCCAAAATCACCCCAAATACCCCAAAATAACCCAAAATCGCCCAAAATCACCCCAAAATCACCCCAAATAACCCAAAATCGCCCGAAATCACCCCAAAATCACCCAAAATATACCTGAAATCACCCCGAAATCACCCCAAATAACCCAAAAATACCCCAAAATCACCTGAAATCACCCCAAAATCACCTGAAATCACCCCAAAATCACCCCAAATACCCCAAAATACCCCAAAATCGCCCCAAATCACCCCAAAATCACCCCAAAATCACCCCAAAATCACCCAAATACCCCAAAATACCCCAAAATCGCCTGAAATCACCCCAAAATCACCCCAAAATCACCCCAAATACCCCAAAATCCACCTGAAATGACCCTAAATACCCTAAAATCACCCCAAATACATCTAAATCACCCAAATTACACCGAGAATTACCCAAAATATACCTGAAATTACCCAAAATCAACCAAAATAGACCCCAAATCACCCAAATTTGCCTGAAATTACACAAAATCACCCCAAATACTCCTAAATCACCCAGAATTACCCAAAATACCTCAAAACCCACCTGAAATCACACCAAATACCCCTAAATTACCCAAAATACACCTGAAATGACCCCAAAATCACCCAAAATACCCTAAAATCCACCTGAAATATACCAAATTAGCCCCAAATCACCCAAAATACACCCAGAATTACCCAAAATAACACAAAATTACCCCAAAATCACCCAAATTAGCCTGAAATTACCCAAAATCACCCCAAATACCCCTAAATCACCCAGAATTACCCAAAATACACCCAAAATTACCCCAAAATCACCTCAAATACCCCAAAATAGACCCAAAATCATCCGAAATATGCCTGAAATTTCCCAAAATCCCCCCAAATTCCCCAAAATCCCCCCAAATTGCCCAAAATCTTCCAAATTTCCCCGAATTTCCCCAAATCCCCCCAGAATTCCCCCCAAGAATCCCCCATAGAATTCCCCCCAAAATTGCCCCAAATTCCCCCAAAATCCCCCCAAATTTCCCCAAATCCCCCCAAATTTCCCCAAAATCCCTCAAATTCCCGCAAATTCCCCAAATTTCCCCAAATTTCCTCAAAATCCCCCTAAAATCCCCCCAAATTTCCCCAAATCCCCCCAAATTTCCCCAAAATCCCTCAAATTCCCGCAAATTCCCCAAATTTCCCCAAATCCCCCAAATTTACCCAAATTCCCCCAAAATCCCCCAAAATTACCCCAAATTCCCCAAAATCCCCCCAAATTTCCCCAAATTTACCCAAATTCCCCGAATTTCCCCCAATCCGCAGTCCAACGGGTGGGACCCGGCGGAGATGTTCCGTTTCAACGAGGAGAATTACGGAGTGAGGAGCACCTACGACTCCAGCCTGGCCGCCTACACGTGCGTTTTGGGGCAAAATCACGCGATTTTGGGGCTTTTTGGGCATTTTTTGGGTTTTTTTTGGTTTTTTGGTGTTTTTTGGGTTTTTTTTGGGGTTTTTTTGGGTTTTTTTGGGGTTTTTTTTTAGGTTTTTCAGGCTGTTTTTTAAAAGATTTTTGTCACCAGCCTGGCCACCTACACGTGCGTTTTGGGGTGAAATCCTGCGATTTTGGGACTTTTTGGGCATTTTGGGCCATTTTTGGGCATTTTTGGGGTTTTTGGGGTTTTTTGGGGTTTTTTTTGGATTTTTTTTTGTTTTTTGGCCATTTTTCTGAGGATTTATTTTTGGGTTTTCTACATACATCTACATGTGGGTCTGATTTTGGGGTGAATTCAGGGGAATTTGGGCATTTTGGGTTTTTAGCAATTTTTTTAGAGTTTATTTTGGGGTTTTTTGGGGGTTTTTTGGAGGTTTTTTTGGGAGGTTTTGAAGGGTATTTTTGGGTTTCTTTTGGGGAGATGTTTTTGGGTTTTTTGGGGGTTTTTTTGGGAGTTTTTTTGGGGTTTTTTAGGGGGGTTTTGGGGGTTTTTATGGGTTTCTTTTGGGGAGGTTTTTTTGGGGTTTTTTTTAGGGTTTTTTTAGGTTTTTTTGGGGTTTTTTTGGGTTTTTTTGGGAGGATTTGTACGGTATTTTTGGGTTTCTTTTGGGGAAGATTTTTTGGGGTTTTTAGAGGTTTTTTTTGGGTTTTTTTTGGAGTTTTTTGGGTTTTTGGGGACGTTTTGTAGGGTATTTTTGGGTTTGTTTTGGGAAGGTTTTTTGGGGTTTTTTTGAGGTTTTTTGGGGGTTTTTTTGGGGGGTTTTTTGGGGCATTTTTTGGCGGATTTTTTCGGGGTTTTTTGGAGGATTTCGGGGCTGATTTTTGGGTTAATTTCCGGTGTTTTTGGTCGTTCCAGGGTGCCGTTAGCTCGCCAGGACAGCGCCTCCCGGGGCTCATTTTGGGGCGTTTCTTGACGGATTTTTGGGGTTTTTTGGGGCATTTCTTGGCGGATTTTTTTGGGGTTTTTTGGGGATTTTTTGGGGCATTTCTCAGCGGATTTTTTCGGGGTTTTTTGGAGGATTTCGGGGCTGATTTTTGGGTTAATTTCCGGTGTTTTTGGTCATTCCAGGGTGCCCCTGGCCCGGCAGGACAGCGCCTCGTGGCGGCAGCGGCTGGCGCGGGCGGGGCTCATTTTGGGGCATTTTTGGGCCGTTTCTCAGCGGATTTTTTGGGGGTTTTTTGGAGGATTTCGGGGCCGATTTTTTGGGTTAATTTCCGGTGTTTTTGGTCATTCCAGGGTGCCCCTGGCCCGGCAGGACAGCGCCTCCCGGGGCTCATTTTGGGGCGTTTCTTGGTGGATTTTTTAGGGGATTTTTGGGGATTTTTTGGCCGATTTTTTCGGGGTTTTTTTGAGGATTTCGGGGCCGATTTTTGGGTTCATTTCAGGCGTTTTTGGTCCATTCCAGGGTACCATTAGCCCGGCAGGACAGCGCCTCGTGGCGGCAGCGGCTGGCGCGGGCGGGGCTCGTTTTGGGGCGTTTTTTGGGGCGATTTTTGGCGGATTTTTTCGGGGTTTTTTGGAGGATTTCGGGGCTGATTTTTGGGTTAATTTCCGGTGTTTTTGGTCGTTCCAGGGTGCCCCTGTCCCGCCAGGACAGCGCCTCCCGGGGCTCGTTTTGGGGCGTTTCTCGGCGGATTTTTTGGGGTTTTTTTGGGGATTTTTTGGCCGATTTTTTCGGGGTTTTTTGGAGGATTTCGAGGCTGATTTTTGGGTTAATTTAAGCTGTTTTTGGTCGTTCCAGGGTGCCGTTAGCTCGCCAGGACAGCGCCTCGTGGCGGCAGCGGCTGGCGCGGGCGGGGCTCATTTTGGGGCATTTTTGGGCCGTTTCTCGGCGATTTTTTGGGCATTTTTTGGCCGATTTTTTGGGGATTTTTTGGAGGATTTCGGGGCTGATTTTTGGGTTAATTTAAGCTGTTTTTGGTCATTCCAGGGTGCCCCTGGCCCGGCAGGACAGCGCCTCGTGGCGGCAGCGGCTGGCGCGGGCGGGGCTCGTTTTGGGGCGTTTTTTGGCCAATTTTTTTGGGTTTTTTTTGGGGATTTTTTGGGGATTTTTTGGCCGATTTTTTGGGGGTTTTTTGGAGGATTTCGGGGTTGATTTTTGGGTTAATTTCCGGTGTTTTTGGTCATTCCAGGGTGCCCCTGGCCCGGCAGGACAGCGCCTCCCGGGGCTCGTTTTGGGGCATTTCTGGGCGGATTTTTTGGGGTTTTTTGGGGATTTTTTTGGGGCATTTTTCAGCGGATTTTTTCAGGGTTTTTTGGAGGATTTCAGGGCCGATTTTTGGGTTAATTTCCGGTGTTTTTGGTCCATTCCAGGGTGCCCCTGGCCCGGCAGGACAGCGCCTCCCGGGGCTCGTTTTGGGGCGTTTTTTGGGGTGTTTCTCGGCAGATTTTTGGGGATTTTTTGGCCGATTTTTTGGGGGTTTTTTGGAGGATTTCGGGGCTGATTTTTGGGTTAATTTCCGCTGTTTTTGGTCGTTCCAGGGTGCCCCTGGCCCGGCAGGACAGCGCCTCCCGGGGCTCGTTTTGGGGCATTTTTTGGCCAATTTTTTGGGGTTTTTTGGGGTTTTTTTGGGGTTTTTCTCAGCGGATTTTTTCGGGGTTTTTTGGAGGTTTTCGGGGCTGATTTTTGGGTTAATTTCAGGGGTTTTTGGTCCATTTCAGGGTGCCCCTGGCCCGCCAGGACAGCGCCTCGTGGCGGCAGCGGCTGGCGCGGGCGGGGCTCGTTTTGGGGCATTTTCTGGGGCATTTTTTGGGGCATTTTTTTGTCGATTTTTTCGGGGTTTTTTGGAGGATTTCGGGGCTGATTTTTGGGTTAATTTCCGGTGTTTTTGGTCATTCCAGGGTGCCCCTGGCCCGCCAGGACAGCGCCTCGTGGCGGCAGCGGCTGGCGCGCGCGGGGCTCGTTTTGGGGCATTTTTTGGGGATTTTTTGGCCGATTTTTTCGGGGTTTTTTGGAGGATTTCGGGGCTGATTTTTGGGTTAATTTCCGGTGTTTTTGGTCATTCCAGGGTACCATTAGCCCGCCAGGACAGCGCCTCGTGGTGGCAGCGGCTGGCACGGGCGGGGCTCGTTTTGGGGCATTTTTTGGCCGATTTTTTTTGGGTTTTTTTTGGGATTTTTTGGAGGATTTCGGGGCTGATTTTTGGGTTAATTTCCGGTGTTTTTGGTCGTTCCAGGGTGCCCCTGGCCCGCCAGGACAGCGCCTCGTGGCGGCAGCGGCTGGCGCGGGCGGGGCTCGTTTTGGGGCATTTTTTGGCCAATTTTTTCGGGGGTTTTTTTGGGATTTTTCGGAGGATTTCGGAGCCGATTTTTGGGTTAATTTCCGGTGTTTTTGGTCCATTCCAGGGTGCCCCTGGCCCGGCAGGACAGCGCCTCCCGGGGCTCGTTTTGGGGCGTGTCTCAGCGGATTTTTTGGGGTTTTTTGGGGATTTTTTGGCGGATTTTTTGGCCGATTTTTTCGGGGTTTTTTGGAGGATTTCGGGGCTGATTTTTGGGTTAATTTCCGGTGTTTTTGGTCATTCCAGGGTACCCTTAGCCCGCCAGGACAGCGCCTCGTGGCGGCAGCGGCTGGCGCGGGCGGGGCTCGTTTTGGGGCATTTTTTAGGGATTTTTTGGCGGATTTTTTCGGGGTTTTTTGGAGGATTTCGGGGCTGATTTTTGGGTTAATTTCCGGTGTTTTTGGTCATTCCAGGGTGCCGTTAGCCCGGCAGGACAGCGCCTCGTGGCGGCAGCGGCTGGCGCGGGCGGGGCTCGTTTTGGGGCATTTTTTGGGGCGTTTCTCAGCGGATTTTTTCGGGGTTTTTTGGAGGATTTCGGGGCCGATTTTTGGGTTAATTTCAGGTGTTTTTGGTCGTTCCAGGGTGCCCCTGGCCCGGCAGGACAGCGCCTCGTGGCGGCAGCGGCTGGCGCGCGCGGCGGCGCTGGCGCGGGAGATCGAGGCCTGTCCCGCCCATCGCCTGCGGGCGGCGCTGGAGGACGAGGAGGGGGAGGGGGGGCGGGGCCTGACACAGGCCACGCCCCCCGCGCCGGACACGCCCCCTCCGCCCCAGGCCACGCCCACCTCAGGCCACGCCCCCTCGGATGGACCAGCAGGGGGCGCCACACACAGGTGGGGGCGGGCGCGGATTGGCTGAAATCGGCCGAAATTCACCCAAAATCTACCCAAAATTGGCCCAAAATTCGGCCCAAAATTCACCCAGAATCCACCCGAAGTTGGCCCAAAATTCGGCCCAAAATTCACCCAAAATTCATCTGAAATTGGCCCAAAATTAGGCCCGAAATGTGCCCGAAATTTACCCAGAATCCACCCAAAATTCATCTGAAATTGGCCCAAAATTACGCCCGAAATGTGCCCAAAATTCACCCAAAATTCACCTGAAATTTACCCAAATTTCACCCATAATTGACCCAAAATTTGCAAGAAGTTTACCCAAAATTGACCCAAAATTCAAGTTGACCCAAAATTGACCCAAAATTCACCCCCAGATTCACCTGAAATTTGCACTAAATGCACCCAAAATTCACCCCAAATTGACCCAAAATTCACCCAAAATCCACCCAAAATTCACACCCAAAATTCACCCAAAATTCACCCAAAACTAACTAAAATTCACCCAAAATTCACCTGAAATTTACCCAAAGTTCACCGAAACATTCACCCAAAAATCAACCAAAATTCACCTGAAATTTACCCAAATTTCACCCATAATTGACCCATAATTGACCCGAAATTCAAACTGACCCAAAATTCACCCAAAATTCACCCCCAGACTCACCTAAAATATGCCCTAAATCCACACAAGGTTCACCCCCAAATTGACGCAAAATTCACCAAAAATTCACCCAAAATTAATCTCCAAATTGACCCAAATTCACCCCCAAATTGACCCGAAATTCACCAAAATATTCACCCAAAATTCACCCAAAATTCACCTGAAATTGACCTGAAAATCGCCCAAAATTCCCCCAATTCCCCCAAAATTCCCCAAAATTCCCCAAAATTCCCCAAATCCCCCAAATCCCCCCCTGACCCGTGCCGACCCTCCCCCACAGGGAGAAGCCGCCGCCCCTCCCCCCCCCCGCGGGGGCGGGGCCCGGGGGGGTCTCAGCGCTGCCCGCGGGGTGGGGGAGGGGCGGGGGGGCGGCCGGGGGGGGGTGGGGGAGGGGCGGCTCAAACCCCTCCCCCCCCGTCCCGCGGCTTCGCGCCCCTCCCCCACCCCGAGCCGGGCCCGAATGGAGGTGAGGGGGAGGGGCGGGGGGTGGGGGAGGGGATTTGGGGGGTGGGGGAGGGGATTTGGGGGGTGGGGGAGGGGATTTGGGGGTGGGGGAGGGGATTTGGGGGTGGGGGAGGGGGTTTGGGGGTGGGGGAGGGGATTTGGGGGAGGGGATTTGGGATGTGGGGGAGGGGATTTGGGGGGTGGGGGAGGGGATTTGGGGGTGGGGGAGGGGATTTGGGGGGGGGGGAGGGGATTTGGGGGTGGGGGAGGGGATTTGGGGGTGGGGGAGGGGATTTCGGGGGTGGGGGAGGGGATTTATGGGGTGGGGGAGGGGATTTGGGGGTGGGGGAGGGGAATTGGGGGTGGGGGAGGGGATTTGGGGGTGGGGGAGGGGATTTAGGGTAGGGGAGGGGATTTGGGGGGTGGGGAGGGGTTTGGGGGTGGGGGAGGGGATTTGGGGGTGGGGGGAGGGGATTTGGGGGGTGGGGAGGGGTTTTGGGGGTGGGGGAGGGGATTTGGGGGGTGGGGAGGGGATTTGGGGGGTGGGGGAGGGGATTTATGGGGTGGGGGAGGGGATTTGGGGGTCTTGGAGGGGATTTATGGGGTGGGGGAGGGGATTTATGGGGTGGGGGAGGGGATTTGGGGTGGGGAGGGGTTTGGGGGTGGGGGAGGGGATTAAAAGTGGGGGAGGGGATTTGGGGGCGGGGGAGGGGATTTATGGGGTGGGGGAGGGGTTTTGGGGGTGGGGGAGGGGATTTGGGGGGGGGGGAGGGGATTAAAAGTGGGGGAGGGGATTTGGGGGTGGGGGAGGGGATTTGGGGTGGGGGAGGGGATTTGGGGGTGGGGGAGGGGTTTGGGGGTGGGGGAGGGGATTTATGGGGGTGGGGGAGGGGATGGGGGGGTGGAGGAGGGGATTTGGGGGTGGGGAAGGGGTCTCCTGACCCCGCCCCTCCCCCCAGGCCCCCCCCGGATGTCGCCCAAGGCCCCCCCGCGGCCCCTTCGGGGTGGGGGGAGGGGCCCCTTCCCCCCCCGCCCCTCCCCCAGGACGGAGCCCACGGGGGTGGGGGAGGGGCCGAGCCCCCCCTCCCCCCCCAGGACCCCCAAAGAGGCTCCGCCCCTCTGCCCCTCCCCCACCCCGGAGCCGCCCGAGACCCCCCGGAAAGGTAAAGGGGGGGGGAGGGGCGGGGAGGCCCCTCCCCCCCCAAAAATCCCCTCCCCCACCCCCCAAATCCCCTCCCCCACCCCCCAAATCCCCTCCCCCACCCCCACACTGACCCCACCCCTCCCCCCACAGGAGGCGGAGCCCGACCCAGGGAGGAGCAGCGGGGGATGGGCGGGGCCGGAAAGGTGGGGGAGGGGCCAAAATGGGGGAGGGGTTTAAAAATGGGGGAGGGGCAAAAAATGGGGGAGGGGCTTAAAAAGGGGGAGGGGCTGAAATGGGGGAGGGGTTAAAATGGGGGAGGGGCTGAAATGGGGGAGGGGCTAAAGTGGGGGAGGGGCTAAAATGGGGGAGGGGTTAAAATGGGGGAGGGGCTAAAATGGGGGAGGGGCTTAAAATGGGGGAGGGGCCAAAGTGGGGGGGGGGCTAAAATGGGGGGGGGGCTAAAAATGGGGGAGGGGCAGCGGTGGCGGGTTTTGGTTTTTCCTTATTTGGTCATTTTAGGTTGTTTTTGGGCACTTTGGGTCCGTTTTGGGGTTTTTTGGGTCGTTTTGGGTTGTTTGAGGTGGTTCGGGGGGATTTTGGGTCATTTTGGTTTATTTTGGCCATTTAGTTATTTAGGGTTATTTTGGGCCATTTCTGGGTAGTTTTGGGCCGTTCTTTGGGTTTGGGTAATTTTGGGCCATTATTGGGTCATTTTGTCCTGGTTTTGGGTTATTTTGGGTAATTTTGGGCCATTTTTAGGTCATTTTGTGGCGGTTTTGGGTTATTTGGGGTTATTTTGGGCCGTTTTTGGATTATCTTGGGTAAATTTGGGCTGGTTTTGGGTCATTTCGTGTCCATTTTGGGTCGTATTGGGTCCTTTTGGGTGGTTTGAGGTGGTTCGGGGGAATTTTGGGTCGTTTTGGGTTATTTTGGTTATTTTGGGTTTTTTTGGGCCATTTTTGGGTAGTTTTGGGCCGTTTTTTGGTTTTGGGTAATTTTGGGCTGTTTTTGGGTCATTTTGTGCTGGTTTTGGGTTATTTTGGGTAATGTTGGGACATTTTTGGGTCATTTTGTGCCAGTTTTGGGTAATTTTGGGTAATTTTGGGCCATTTTTGGTTATTTTGTACTGGTTTTAGGTTATTTTGGGTAATTTTGGGCCATTTGTGGGTCATTTTGTGCCATTTTTGGGTTATTTTGGGTAATTTTGGGCCATTTATGGGTCATCTTGGGTCATTTTTGGCCATTTTTGGGTAATTTTGTGCCAGTTTTGGATAATTTTGGGTAATTTTAGGCTGGTCTTGGGTCATTTTGGGTAATTTTGTGCCGGTTTTGGGGTAATTTTGGGTAATTTTGGGTAATTTTGGGCCGTTTTTGGGTCATTTTGGGTCATTTTGGGTAATTTTGTGCCGGTTTTGGGTAATTTTGGGTAATTTTGGGACAGTTTTGGGTCATTTTGTGCCAGTTTTGGGTAATCTTGGGCCATTTTAGGGTCATTTTGGGCCGTTTTTGGGTCATTTTGTGCCAGTTTTGGATAATTTTGGGTAATTTTGGGCTGGTTTTGGGTCATTTTGGGTCATTTTGTGCCGGTTTTGGGTAATTTTGGGCCAGTTTTGGGTAATTTTGGGTAATTTTGTGCTGGTTTTGGGTAATTTTGGGTAATTTTGGGCCGTTTTTGGGTCACTATGTGCCAATTTTGACTTTTCCCCTCTCTCTGCCCCCCCCTCCCCCTTCAGCTCCCCCCCGCCGCCCCCCCGGACCCGCCGCCGCCCCTCCCCCCGCGCTGCCCCCCCTCCCCCCCCCCAGCGGTGGGGGAGGGGCCGGGAGGGGGCGGGGCCAGCGCCGGGACCCCCCCGGGGAGCCCCCCCGGGGTGGGGGAGGGGCAGGAGGAGCCGCCGCTGCCCGAGTGAGTGGGGGAGGGGCGGGGGTGGGGGAGGGGCGGGGTGGGGGAGGGGCGGCGATAAAATTATCATTTATTAATTAATAAGGGGGCGTGGCCAAACCGCAGTGGGCGTGGCCGGGCTGGGGGGGGTCGCGGCCCCTCCCCCACACCTGACCACGCCCCCCGCCCCTCCCCCACCCCCCCAGGCAGGTGAAGAGATCGACGCTGAACCCCCACGCGAAGGAATTCAGCCCCGGACGGCCCCTGGTAAAGAGGGGGGAGGGGCTTCCAAAAAAGGGGGCGTGGCCTCCCCAAAAAGGGGGCGGGGCCTCCCAAAAATGGGCGTGGTCAGAATATTTAAATAAGTCCTGACTCCGCCCCCTTTTTATTATTCAATTTCAGGTCAAGGCCCCGCCCAGCGCCGCCCCCTCCCCCACCCCGCGCCCCTCCCCCGCCCTGGGTGGGGGAGGGGCAGGGGGAGGGGGTGGGGGAGGGGCGGGGGCGGGGCTGTTCCCGGCCCCTCCCCCCCACTACATCTCCTACATCCCCCAACTCCACGTCGGCCCCGCCCCCGTCCAGGTGAGCCACGCCCACTTTTTTTGGGGGGTGGGGGAGGGGGAGGGGCTTATTTGAGGTGGGGGAGGGGCCGATCTGACCCCTCCCCCCCCCCCCTCAGCCCCCACAGATTTTCCCGTTTCCCGTTTCCGGTTCCGCTTCCGGAAAGTTCCGCGGGGCCAAAGGTCAGTCCCGCCCCTCCCCCACCCCTCCCCCACCCCCCCCAGGGGCTGTTTGGCCCCTCCCCCACCCAATAAACGCTGACTCGGCCGTTTTTTTTTGGTCGCAGGGTCGCCCCTCCCCCCCCCCCGCGGCGACCCCCACCCCCCCCCCAGCTCGGCCCCTCCCCCGCTGGTGGCCGCCCCTCCCCCACCGCCCCCTCCCCCCCCCTTCTCCTCCTTCCTGTCCTATCAGAGCTTCGGGGCGGGGGGAGGGGCGCAGGCCCCGCCCCCCATGGTGCCGCCCCTCCCCCACTACCAACAGGTACCACCCGAAGGGGGGGAGGGGAGGGAATAAAGGGGGTGGGGGAGGGGAATTGAGGGGGGAGGGGTCAAGAAGTGGGGGAGGGGCATTGAGGTGGGGGAGGGGAAGGAAAAGGGGGTGGGGGATGGGTCAAATTGTGGGGGAGGGGCAGGAAAAGGGGGGGGAGGGGGTTTGAGGGGGGAGGGGCTGGAAAAGGGGGTGGGGGAGGGGAAAGGGGATGGGGGAGGGGGATTGAGGGGGGAGGGGCTAAAAAAGGGGGTGGGGGAGGGGTAAAGGGGTGGGGGAGGGGGTTTGAGGGGGGAGGGGGAGGAAAATAGGGTGGGGGAGGGGTCAAGAAGTGGGGGAGGGGCATTAAGGTGGGGAAGGGGGATTGAGGGGGGAGGGGCAGAGAAAGGGGATGGGGGAGGGGTCAAGAGGTGGGGGAGGGGCATAAAAAGGGGGTGGGGGAGGGGGTTTGAGGGGGGTGGGGAAGGAAATTTGGGTGGGGGAGGGGCATTGAGGTGGGGGAGGGGCCTTGAGGTGGGGGAGGGGCTTTAAGATGGAGGGTCTGGGAATAGTGGGGGAGGGGCTTAGAACATGGGTGGGGGAGGGGCTGAGGACCCCTCGAGGTGGGGGAGGGGCAGAGGACCCCTCGGGGTGGGGGAGGGTCTCTGACCGCCCCTTTCCCCCTCTCCGCCCCTCCCCCCAGCCCGTCTTCGCCCCGATGCTCCCGGGCAGCCCCCGGCTCCACCCCTCCCCCACCCTGGTGGGCGGGGCCGCCCCTCCCCCCTTCGCCCCTCCCCCGCCGGACCCGCCCCCGCAGCCGCTCTACGGTGAGAGACGCCCCTCCCCCACCCCAATTTTGGGTGGGGGGAGGGGAGTGAATCCCCCTCCCCCTCCCCTCCCCCGCTCTGTCTGACCGCGCCCCTCCCCCACAGCCGCGGTGCACCCGCCCTTCCCCCCCCCGGGGCCGCTGCACCCCTCCCCCACCCCCGGGGGGGGCTCCACCCCCGCCCCCGCCGCACCTGCGCAGGTAAGGCCCCAAATTTGGGGGGTGGGGGGAGGGGCGGGATGGGGGGAGGGGCTGCCCCTCCCCCACCCATCACTCACCCCTCCCCCCCCCTCTGTTCCAGCACCAAGGAGCCGCCGCCGCCCCTCCCCCACCCGCCCCGGGGCTGTTCATTGGCGCCGCCCCTCCCCCACCCCCCTCCTCCGCCCCTCCCCCACCCCCCTCCGCCCCTCCCCCGCCCCCTTCCGGCGCCCCCTCCCCCCAAAGCGGCTTCGGCCCTACCGCCGCCCCTCCCCCACCCCCCCCTCAGCCCCCTCCCCCCCCTCCTCCTGCCCCTCCCCCCACCGCCGCCGCCCCCCCCGCCCCTCCCCCACCGGCGGCGGCCGCCGCCCCTCCCCCACCGCCCCCCCCGGCCGTGTTCGCGCTGCACCCGCACGGCTTCGGCGTGGCCCAGGTGGGGGAGGGGCGAGAAATTGGGGGGTGGGGGATGGGCAGTGGGGGAGGGGCACTGTGTCCAATTTTGGGGTGGGGGAGGGGTCTCTAAATGGGGTGGGGGAGGGGCAGTGGGGGAGGGGTATTGTCTGATTTGGGGGTGGGGGAGGGGCACTGTTTGATTTTTGGGGTGGGGGAAGGACAGTGGGGGAGGGGCACTGATTTTTGGGGTGGGGGAGGGGCGTTGTGTCCAATTTTGGGGTGGGGGATGGGCAGTGGGGGGAGGGGCACTCAGATTTTTGGGGTGGGGGAGGGGCATTTGGGGGATGGGCACTGTCCAAATTTGGGGTGGGGGAGGGGCGTTGTGTCAGATTTTAGGGTGGGGGAGGGGCCTGCTCTGATCTCAGGGTGGGGGAGGGGCGTTGTGTCTGATTTTGGGGAGGGGGAGGGGCACTATTTGATTTTTGGGGTGGGGGAGGGGTCCCCTTTCATCTCAGGGTGGGGGAGGGGCAGTATGTCCGATTTCGGGGTGGGGGAGGGGTCTCTAGTCAGGGTGGGGGAGGGGCACTGTGTCTAATTTTAAGGTGGGGGAGGGGTGGTCGTGTCACGCCCCCCCCGTGGGTGCCGTGACCCCGCTGACCCCTCCCCCCCTCCCCTCCCCCCCCAGCCCCCCGCCCATCCCCCCCCGCAGGTGATGCTGCTGCACCCCCCGGGCCCCTCCCCTGCCGGGGGGGTCCCGCAGGGGGGGGTGGGGGTGGGGCCCCTCCCCGGCTCCGGCCCCGCCCCCTTCGGCTTCCTCGGACACGCCCCAGGTGAGGGGGAGGGGCAAGGGGGGCAGGGGTCACCCCGGGGTCATTCCAGGGTCACACGGGGTCAGGGGTCATTCATGGGTCAAGGTTAACCCCATGGTCACTCAGGGGTCAGAGGTCACTAAGAGTTAACTCGGGTCACTCAGGGGTCAGGGGTCACTTGGGTCATTTGGGGTCACTGAGGTCATTCGGGGTCACTCCGGGGTCGGGGTCACTCATCATTTTGGGTCAAGGGTCACACTGGGGTCAGAGGTCTGAGGTCACTTGGGTCACTCAGGTCATTTGGGGTCACTGGGGGTCAGGGGTCATTCGGTGTCACGGGGGTCACTCGGGGGTCAGGGGTTATTACAGGGTCACTCAGGTCATTTGGGGTCACTCAGGTTAGTCGGGGTCACTGAGGTCACTCAGGGATCACACTGGGGTCAGGGGTCACACTGGGGTCACTCAGGGGTCACTCGGGGTTACAGGTCACTCAGGGTCACAGGTCACTGGAGGGGTTGGGTTCACTCAGGTCATTTGGGGTCACCGGGGGTCAGGGGTCACACTGGGGTCAGGGTTAATTCTGGGGCCACAGGTCACTTGGGGGTCAGGGGTCACTCGGTCCTTACAGGGTCAGTGGAGCCACTGGGGGTCAGAGGTCACCCAGGGGTTACACTGGGGTCAGGGGTCACCCAGGGGTCAGGGGTCACCGGGGCTGACCCCTCCCCCCCCTCTCTCCCGCAGTGCAGTCGCAGCAGCTCCACCAGTTCCACCCGGGGGGAAACTGAGGCACGGCCGGACCGGGGGGGGGAGGGGCCCGACCCCCCCCTCCCCCTTCCTCCCTTCCCCTCCCCCACCCCCCTTTTGTATTAATTTATAGCGGGGGGGGAGGGGCGGGGGGAGATTTGGGGCTGAATGAGCCCGAAAAGGGAAAAAGGCTGAAAAAACAGAAATAAAATTTAAAAAAAACCCCAAACACGATAAAAATGGAAATAAAACCCAAACCAGAACCAAAAATCCTTTATTGGGGTGGGGGAAGGGCCACATGGGGGGGGGGTGGGGGAGGGGCGGGTGCTCCCCCCCCTTTTTTTGATACTCAGAACCGTTCCCACCCCTCCCCCCCCCCGTGGCACTGAGGGGGGAGGGGGGAGGGTCAGAGGTGGGGGGGCTTATCCGCCATGGGTGGGGGAGGGTCACTTGGGGGTGGTGGGGGAGTGTCAGCCCCAGGTAGGGGAGGGTCACCTTTGGGTGGGGGAGGGTCACCCCCGTGTGTGGGTGGGGGAGGGGCACCCCCAGATGGGTGGGGGAGGGGTCTCCCCCAGGTAGGGGGAGGGTCTCCCATGGGTGGGGGAGAGTCACCCCCAGGTGACCTCCCTGTCGGTGGGGGAGGGTCAGAGGTGGGGGTCACCCATGGGTGGGGGTCACCCCCAGGTGTGTGTGGGGGAGGGTCACCCCCAGGTGACCGCTCTGTTGGTGGGGGAGGGTCAGAGGTGGGGGAGGGTCACCCCGAGGTGTGGGTGGGTGGGGGTCACCCCCATGTGTGGGGGAGGGTCAGAGGTGGGGAAGGGTCACCCATGTGTGGGGAGGGTCACCCGTGGGTGGGGGAGGGTCAGAGGTGGGGGTCACCCATGGGTGTGTGTGGGGGAGGGTCACCCTTAGGTGATGGGTCGGGGTCACCCATGGGTGGGGGAGGGTCACCCCCAGGTGGTTGGGGGAGGGTCAGAGGTGGGTAAAGGTCACCCATGGGTGGGTGATGCGTGTGGGTCACCCCCAGGTGACCTCCCTGTCAGTGGGAGAGGGTCAGAGGTGGTGGAGGGTCACCCACGGGTGTGTGGATGTGTGTGGGTCACCCCCACGTGACCTCCCTGTCCGTGGGGGAGGGTCAGAGGTTAGGGTCACCCCTGGGTGGGGGGGAGGGTCACCCCCAGGTGACGTCCCTGTTGGTGGGTAGGGGTCACCCATGGGTGGGGGTCACCCCCAGATGATGTGGGGTCGGGGTCACCCCCATGTGACGTCCCTGTCGGTGGGGGAGGGTCAGAGGTGGGTGGGGGAGGGTCAGAGGTGGGTGGGGGAGGGTCACCCCCATGTGACGTCCCTGTTGGTGGGGGAGGGTCAGAGGTGGGGGAGGGTCTCCCATGGGTGGGTGATGTGTGTGGGTCACCCCCATGTGACGTCCCTGTTTTGGGTGTGGGTCACCCCCAGGTGATGTGTGGGGTGTGGGTCACCCCCAGGTGACGTCCCTGTCCGCCTGCTCCAGGGGCAGCACCGCGGTCACCACCCCGGTCCCGATGGTTCTGGAGCCGTCGCGCAGCGAGAAGCGCTGACCCCGCTCCAGCACCATCGGCTGCCGCAGCAGCAGCACCAGCGCCGCATCCTCCCCGGGCATCACCAGCTCCTGTGGGGCAGAGATGTGCGGCTGAGGTGTGGGGCTGACCCATAGATCCCCTGGGATCAGCCCCATAGATCCTACACAGCCCCACAGATCCCTCAGCACCATCGGCTGCCGCAGCAGCAGCGAGAGAGCCGCGTCCTCCCCGGGCATCACCAGGTCCTGTGGGGCACAGATGTGGGGCAGAGATGTGGGGCTGACCCATAGATCCTATACATCCTACACAGCCCCATAGATCCACTGCCCCACAGATCCCCCAGCACCATCGGCTGCCGCAGCAGCAGCACCAGCGCCGCGTCCTCCCCCGGCATCACCAGCTCCTGTGGGGCAGAGATGTGGGGCAGAGATGTGGGGCTGACCCATAGATCCTATACATCCCCTGACATCAGCCCCATAGATCCCCCAGCACCATCGGCTGCCGCAGCAGCAGCGAGAGAGCGGCGTCCTCCCCCGGCATCACCAGGTCCTGTGGGGCACAGATGTGGGGCAGAGATGTGGGGCAGACCCATAGATCCTATAGATCCTATAGATCCTACACTGCCCCATAGATCCCCTGAGATCAGCCCCATAGATCCCCCAGCACCATCGGCTGCCGCAGCAGCAGCGACAGCGCCGCATCCTCCCCGGGCATCACCAGCTCCTGTGGGGCAGAGGTGTGGGGCTGACCCATAGATCCTATACATCCTGTACATCCCATAGATCCACTGCCCCATAGAGCCCATACACCCCATAGATCCCTCAGCACCATCGGCTGCCGCAGGAGCAGAGAGAGAGCCGCGTCCTCCCCCGGCATCACCAGCTCCTGTGGGGCAGAGATGTGGGGCAGAGGTGTGGGGCTGACCCATAGATCCCATAGATCCTATACATCCTACACAGCCCCATAGATCCCCCAGCACCATCGGCTGCCACAGCAGCAGCGACAGAGCCGCGTCCTCCCCAGGCATCACCAGCTCCTGTGGGGCAGAGATGTGGGGCACAGATGTGGGGCTGACACATAGATCCCATAGATCCTACACAGCCCCATAGATCCCCTGAGATCAGCCCCACAGATCCCTCAGCACCATCGGCTGCCGCAGCAGCAGCGACAGAGCTGCATCCTCCCCGGGCATCACTAAATCCTGTGGGGCAGACCCATAGATCCTATAGATCCTATACATCCTACACAGCCCCATAGATCCCCTGAGATCAGCCCCATAGATCCCCCAGCACCATCAGCTGCCGCAGCAGCAGCACCAGAGCCGCGTCCTCCCCGGGCATCACCAGCTCCTGTGGGGCAGACCCATAGATCCTACACAGCCCCATAGATCCCCTGGGATCAGCCCCACAGATCCTATAGACCCCATAGATCCCTCAGCACCATCGGCTGCCGCAGCAGCAGCGAGAGAGCGGCGTCCTCCCCCGGCATCACCAGGTCCTGTGGGGCAGACCCATAGATCCTACACAGCCCCATAGATCCCCCCACAGCCCCATAGATCCTATAGATCCCCTGGGATCAGCCCCATAGATCCTATACACCCCACAGATCCTATACACCCCATAGATCCACTGGGATCAGCCCCACAGACCCACACATCTCCTGCCCCACATCCCCCATGGGTCAGACCCACACATCTCCTGCCCCACAGCCCCCACAGCCCCCACAGCCCCCGTGGGTCAGACCCACACGTCTCCTGCCCCACATCTGCCCCACAGACCCCACAGCCCCCGTGGGTCAGCCCCACACGTGTTCCCCCGCCCCACAGACCCCACAGACCCCACAGCGCCCCACATCCCGCCCCACACCTTGCCGGGGGGCAGCAGCACCCTGCAGGCGATGTCCCACGTGTGGGAGAACATGACGGGCGCGAAGTGGGACACGAACGGTTTGTGGCGACCCCCCTCCTGTGGGGTGAGCACGTACACCTATGGGGGGGAAAGGGTTAACGGGGTCTGCCCCACAGATCCCAAATCCTGCCCCACATCCTTCCCCACATCCTGCCCCATAGACCCCAAATCCTGCCCCATAGAACCCTAATCCTGCCCCACAGAACCCCCACAGCCGCCCTCCTGTGGGGTGAGCACGTACACCTGCGGTGGGGGGGAAAGATTAATGGGGTCTGCCCCACATCCTGACCCATAGAGCCAAAATCCTGCCCCATAGAACCCCAAATCCTGCCCCATAGAACCCCACAAAACCCCAAATCCTGCCCCATATCTGCCCTCCTGTGGGGTGAGCACGTACACCTGGGGGGCAGGGAAAGGGTTAATGGGGCCTGCCCCACATCCTGCCCCATAGAAACCCATATCACCCCAAATCCTGCCCCATAGAGCCCCACAGACCCCAAATCCTGCCCCACAGAACCCCCACACCGCCCTCCTGTGGGGTGAGCACGTACACCTGGGGGGCAAAGGGTTAATGGGGTCTGCCCCACATCCTGCCCCACATCCTGCCCCATAGAGCCCAAATCTGCCCCACATCCTGCCCCATAGAGCCCCACAGAACCCCCACACCGCCCTCCTGTGGGGTGAGCACGTACACCTATGGGGGGGAAAGGGTTAACGGGCTCTGCCCCACATCCTGCCCCACATCCTGCCCCATAGAGCCAAAATCCTGCCCCATAGAGCCCCACAGACCCCAAATCCTGCCCCAAATCCTGCCCCACACCGCCCTCCTGTGGGGTGAGCACATACACCTGGGGGGGAGGGAAAGGGTTAATGGGGCCTGCCCCACATCCTGACCCACATCCTGACCCATAGAAACCCATATCACCCCAAATCCTGCCCCACAGAACCCCCACAGAACCCCCACACCGCCCTCCTGTGGGGTGAGCACGTACACCTGGGGGGGAAGGGGTTAATGGGGCCTGCCCCACATCCCCCACATCCTGCCCCACATCCTGCCCCATAGAAACCCATATCACCCCAAATCCTGCCCCATAGAACCCCCACAGAACCCCAAATCCTGCCCCATATCCGCCCTCCTGTGGGGTGAGCACGTACACCTGGGGGGGAAGGGGTTAACGGGGTCTGCCCCACATCCTGACCCACATCCTGCCCCATAGAGCCCAAATCCTGCCCCATAGAGCCCAAATCTGCCCCGCAAAATCCCAAATCCTACCCTGGATCCCACCCCACATAACCCCAAAATCTGCCCCAAATGCTGCCCCACATCACCCCAAATCCTGCCCCATATCACCCCAAACCTGCCCCACATCACCCCAAACCTGCCCCATATCACCCCAAACCCCAAACCCTGCCCCACATCACCCCACATCTATGGGTCCCACCTGTGCCTGGACCTTCTGCTGTGCCCTGATGGCCCCGGGGGGGGTCAGGACCATCCCCCGCCGCAGCTCCAAACCTGCCCCACATCACCCCAAACCTGCCCCATAGCACCCCAAACCTGCCCCACACCCTGCCCCATAGCTCCAGCCCCACAGCTCCTGCCCCACACCTGTGCCTGGACCTTCTGCTGTGGCCGGAGGGCCCCGGGGGGGGTCAGCACCATCCCCCGCCGCAGCCCCAAACCTGCCCCATACCACCCCAAACCCCACACCCCACAGACCCCAAACCCTGCCCCACATCTCTGCCAGCCCCACAGCTGCCCCACACCTGTGCCTGGACCTTCTGCTGGGGTCTGAGGGCCCCGGGGGGGGTCAGGACCATCCCCCGCCGCAGCTCCTCCCGGCGCAGCCCCCGCAGCAGCGCCCCCACATTGTCCCCGGCCTCGGCCACCTCCAGCTGCTTGTGGAACGTCTCTATGCCTGGGGTCAGAGGTCAGGGGTCACTCAGGGGTCACACAGGGTCAGGGGTCACACAGGGGTCACACAGGGGTCACACAGCAGCAGCGCCCCCACATTGTCCCCGGCCTCCGCCACCTCCAGCTGCTTGTGGAACGTTTCTATGCCTGGGGTCAGAGGTCAGGGGTCACTCAGGGGTCACACAGGGTCAGGGGTCACTCAGGGGTCACACAGGGGTCACACAGGGGTCACACAGCAGCAGCGCCCCCACGTTGTCCCCGGCCTCGGCCACCTCCAGCTGCTTGTGGAACGTCTCTATGCCTGGGGTCAGAGGTCAGGGGTCACTCAGGGGTCACTCAGGGGTCACACAGGGTCAGGGGTCACTCAGGGGTCAGACAGTCAGGGGTCACTCAGGGTCAGGGGTCAGTCAGGACACACTCAGTGGTCACTCAGGGGTCACGGGTCACTGACAGGTCAGGGGTCACTCGGTGACTCAGGGTGACTCGGGTCAGGGGTCACTCAGGGTCACTGGGGTCACTCAGGGGTCAGTGGTTACTCAGAGGTCAGTGGTCAGTCAGGGGTCATTCACTGCTCAGTCAGGGGTCAAAGACAGGTCAGTGATCAGTCAGGGGTCAGGGGTCACTCAGGGGTCAGTCAGTGGTCAGGGGTCACTCAGGGGTCACTGGTCATTCAGGAGTCACTCAGGGGTCACTCAGGGGTCAGTGGTCACTTGGGTCACTCAGGGCTCAATGACAGGTCAGAGAGTACTCAGGGGTCACTCAGGGTCACTCAGGGCTCACACAGGGTCAGGGGTCACTCAGGGGTCAGTCAGTGGTCAGGGGTCACTCAGGGTCAGTCGGGTCAATGACAGGTCAGTCGTCACTCAGGGGTCAGGGGTCACTCAGGGGTCAGTGGTCCCTCAGGGGTCACTCAGGGGTCAGTCAGAGGTCAGTGACAGGTCAGGGGTCACTCATTGGTCACTCACGGTCACTCGGGTGTCAGGGGTCACTTGGGGTCACTCAGAGTCACTAACGGGTCACTCAGGGTCACTCATTGGTCACTGACAGGTCAGGGGTCACTCAGGGGTCACTAAGGGGTCAGGGGTCACTCATTGGTCACTCAGGGGTCACTGACAGGTCAGTGGTCACTCAGGGGTCACTCAGGGGTCAGGGGTCACTCACCGGTCACCACCGAGCACAGCTCTCGGCCGTAGCCCAGCAGAGCTCAGGGGTCACTGACAGGTCAGTGGTCACTCAGGGGTCACTGACAGGTCAGTGGTCACTCAGGGTCAGAGGTCAGGGGTCAGGGGTCACTCACCGGTCACCACTGAGCGCAGCTCTCGGCCGTAGCCCAGCAGCTCCACCTCATCGCCCTTCCGGAGAGTTCCGCGCTCCAGAGTGCCGGTCACCACCGTGCCCCGCCCTGACAGGTGAGACAGGTGAGATGGACAGGTGAGTTACCGACAGGTGAGACATGGCTCCAGAGTGCCGGTGACAACCGTGCCCCGCCCTGACAGGTGAGTTACAGGTGAGATACACAGGTGAGACACGGCTCCAGAGTGCCCGTGACAACCGTGCCCCGCCCTGACACAGGTGAGACACGGACAGGTGAAACACAGACAGGTGAGATGGACAGGTGTGTTACAGGTGAGTTACAGGTGAGACAGTGACCACCGTGCCCCGCCCTGACAGGTGAGACACAGGTGTGTCACAGGTGTGTCACAGGTGTGACACAGGTGTGATTTACATGCCATACATGTGCAGTATGGGTACCACAGACCCCATACAGGTGTGTTACAGGTGAGCTCACCTGGGATGGAGTGCACGGCCTCCACAGGTAACAGGCACGGCCGCTCCAGGTGTGACACAGGTGTGATTTAGGTGCAGTACAGGTGTGACAGAAGCTGTACAGGTGTGTTGCACACCTGGCACAGGTGAGCTCACCTGGTATGGAGTGCACGGCCTCCACAGGTAACAGGCACGGCCGCTCCAGGTGTGATTTAGATGTGATTTACATGCCATAGACACACAGTACAGGTGTGACAGAGGCAGTACAGGTGTGTGACACACCTGGCACAGGTGAGCTCACCTGGGATGGAGTGCACGGCCTCCACAGGTAACAGGCACGGTCTCTCCAGGTGTGACACAGGTGTGATTTAGGTGCCATACAGACCCCGTACAGGTGTGTTACAGGTGTGTTACAGACCTGGTACAGGTGAGCTCACCTGGGATGGAGTGCACGGCCTCCACAGGTAGCAGGCACGGCCGCTCCAGGTGTGACACAGGTGTGACACAGGTGTGATTTAGGTGCCATACAGACCCCGTACAGGTGTGCCACACCTGGCACAGGTGTGTTACAGGTGAGTTACCTGGTATGGAGTGCACGGCCTCCACAGGTAACAGGCACGGCCGCTCCAGGTGTGACACAGGTGTGACAGAGGTGTGATTTACATGCCATACATGCACAGTACAGGTGTGACAGACCCCGTACAGGTGTATCACAGGTGAGCTCACCTGGTATGGAGTGCACGGCCTCCACAGGTAGCAGGCACGGCCGCTCCAGGTGTGACACAGGTGTGACACAGGTGTGATTTAGATGTGATTTAGGTGCCATACAGACCCCATACAGGTGTGTTACAGGTGTGACACACCTGACACAGGTGAGCTCACCTGGGATGGAGTGCACGGCCTCCACAGGTAGCAGGCACGGCCGCTCCAGGTCCCGCGGGGGCTGCGGGATGTGCTCGTCCACCGCCTCCAGCAGGCGCAGCACCGACTGCAGCCCCAGGGCGGGGTCACGGTCCTGCAGGTGAGACAGGTGAGACAGGTGAGATACAGGTGTGTTACAGGTGTGTTACAGGTGTGTTACAGGTGAGACAGGCGAGACACAGCACCGACTGCAGCCCCAGGGCGGGGTCACGGTCCTGCAGGTGAGACAGGTGAGACAGGTGAGATACAGGTGTGTTACAGGTGTGTTACAGGTGTGTTACAGGTGTGTTACAGGTGAGACACAGCACCGACTGCAGCCCCAGGGCGGGGTCACGGTCCTGCAGGTGAGACAGGTGAGATACAGGTGAGATACAGGTGAGATACAGGTGAGACAGGTGTGTTACAGGTGTGTTACAGGTGTGTTACAGGTGAGACAGGTGTGTTACAGGTGTGTTACAGGTGTGTTACAGGTGAGACAGGTGAGACACAGGTGTGTTACAGGTGTGTTACAGGTGAGACAGGTGTGTTACAGGTGTGTTACAGGTGTGTTACAGGTGAGACAGGTGTGTTACAGGTGTGCTACAGGTGTGTTACAGGTGAGACAGGTGTGTTACAGGTGTGTTACAGGTGTGTTACAGGTGAGATACAGGTGTGCTACAGGTGTGCTACAGGTGTGTTACAGGTGAGACAGGTGTGTTACAGGTGTGCTACAGGTGTGTTACAGGTGTGTTACAGGTGTGCTACAGGTGTGTTACAGGTGTGTTACAGGTGTGTTACAGGTGAGATACAGGTGTGTTACAGGTGTGTTACAGGTGTGTTACAGGTGTGTTACAGGTGAGATACAGGTGTGTTACAGGTGTGTTACAGGTGTGCTACAGGTGTGTTACAGGTGTGTTACAGGTGTGTTACAGGTGAGATACAGGTGTGTTACAGGTGTGTTACAGGTGTGTTACAGGTGTGTTACAGGTGTGTTACAGATGTGTTACAGGTGAGACACAGCACCGACTGCAGCCCCAGGGCGGGGTCACGGTCCTGCAGGTGAGACAGGTGAGACATGGACAGGTGAGATACAGGTGAGACATGGACAGGTGAGACAGGTGGGACGTGGTCAGGTGAGAGCCACAGGTGTGCCCACGTGTGCCCAGGTGTGCCCCAGGTGTGCCCAGGTGTATCTCAGGTGTGCCCAGGTGTGCCCAGGTGTGCCACAGGTGTGCCCAGGTGTACCCAGGTGTGCCCAGGTGTGTCCCAGGTGTATCTCAGGTGTGTCCCAGGTGTGCCCAGGTGTGCCCAGGTGCCCCCAGGTGTGCCCCAGGTGTGCCCCAGGTACACCCAGGTGTATCCCAGGTGTGCCCAGGTGTGCTCAGGTATATCTCAGGTGTGTCCCAGGTGTGCCCAGGTGTGCCCAGGTGTGCCCCAGGTGTATCCCAGGTGTGCCTGCAGGGCACACAGCGCCGACCCCACCACCACAGGTGTTTGGTTCTTGATCAATAGGGATCAGTTATTGATCAGTATTGATCAGTATTGATCAGTTATCAATCCCAGGTGTGCCCAGGCGTACCTGCAGCGCGCACAGCGCCGACCCCGCCACCACAGGTGTGTGGTTATTGATCAGTATCGATCAGTTATTGATCAGTATTGGTCAGTATCGATCAGTATCGATCAGTTATTGATCCCAGGTGTATCCCAGGTGTATCCCAGGTGTACCTGCAGCGCACACAGCGCCGACCCCGCCACCACAGGTGTTTGGTTATTGATCAGTATTGATCACTATCGATCTGTTATCGATCAGTATCGATCAGTATTGATCAGTATCGATCAATACCGATCAGTTATCGATCCCAGGTGTACCTGCAGGGCACACAGCGCCGACCCCGCCACCACAGGTGTGTTCTCGCCGTCGAAGCCGAACTCGCTGAGCAGCTCCCGAACCTCCAACTCCACCAGCGGCAGCAGCTCCGGGTCAGGTACCGCGTCGGCCTTGTTCAGGTACACCACCACGTGCTGCACGCCCACCTGCGCAGGTGAGACACACCTGAGCACACCTGAGCACTCACCTGAGCCCAAACACACACCTGAACACACACCTGAACCCCAAACCCAGCCCCGACCCCGCCTTGTTCAGGTACACCACCACGTGCTGCACGCCCACCTGCACAGGTGAGACACACCTGAGCACACCTGAGCACACACCTGAACCCAAACACACACCTGAACCCAGCCCTGACCCCGCCTTGTTCAGGTACACCACCACGTGCTGCACGCCCACCTGCGCAGGTGAGACAGGTGAGACAGGTGAGACACACCTGAGCACTCACCTGAGCCCAAACACACACCTGAACACACACCTGACCCCAAACCTGACCCCAAACCCAGCCCCGACCCCGCCTTGTTCAGGTACACCACCACGTGCTGCACGCCCACCTGGGCACAGGTGAGACAGGTGAGACACACCTGAGCACACCTGAGCACACCTGAGCACTCACCTGACCCCAAACCTGACCCCAAACCTGACCCTGACCCCAAACCTGACCCCAAACCCAGCCCCGACCCCGCCTTGTTCAGGTACACCACCACGTGCTGCACCCCCACCTGGGCACAGGTGAGACAGGTGAGACACACCTGAGCACACCTGAGCACTCACCTGAGCCCAAACCTGACCCCAATCCCAGCCCCGACCCCGCCTTGTTCAGGTACACCACCACGTGCTGCACGCCCACCTGGGCACAGGTGAGACAGATGAGACACACCTGAGCCCAAACACACACCTGAGCCCACACCTGTCTCACCTGTTCACACCAGTTTTACCTGTTCACACCTGTTCACACCTGTATGACCTGACACACCTGTCACACCTGTCCGTACCTGTCTGGTGAGCAGCAGGTGCTGTAACACACCTGACACACCTGTCCATGTCACACCTGTCTCACCTGTTCACACCTGTCCCACCTGTTCACACCTGTCTGACACACGTGTTCACACCTGTCCGTGTCTCACCTGTCTGGCGAGCAGCAGGTGCTGTGACACACCTGTCTCACCTGTTCACACCTGTTTTACCCGTTCACACCTGTGTGTCACACCTGTCTGACACACCTGTCACACCTGTCTGACACACCTGTCTGACACACCTGTCCTTACCTGCCGTGCGAGCAGCAGGTGTTCCCGTGTCTGCAGCATCTGTCCGTGTCTCACCTGTCTGACACACCTGTCTCACCTGTCCGTGTCTCACCTGTGCACACCTGTCCGTACCTGTCTGACACACCTGTACTCACCTGTCACACCTGTCCTTACCTGTCTGGCCAGCAGCAGGTGTTCCCGTGTCTGCAGCATCTGTCTGTGTCTCACCTGACACACCTGTGCACACCTGTGTGACTCACCTGCCTGGCAAGCAGCAGGTGTTCCCGTGTCTGCGGCATCTGCCCGTCCGTGGCCGCCACCACGAGGATGACGCCGTCCAGGGGCGCCGTGCCCGTGATCATGTTCTGGGGCGAAAAACCACAAATTCGGGTCAGCACCGTGGGAAACGGGATTTGGGGGGAGGTCGGGGGCTGTTGGGGGAATTTGGGGGGATTTGGGGGAATTTGGGGAATTTTGGGGGGATTCGGAGGGATTTGGAGTGAATTTGGGGCATTTCAGGGCGAGTTTGGGGGAATTTTGGGCATTTCAGGGGGAATTTGGGGAGTTCTGGGGGAATTTGGGGCATTTGGGGAGAATTTGGGGACTTTTGGGGAGTTTTGGGGGATTCGGAGGGATTTGGAGTGAATTTGGGGGAATTTGGGGCATTTCAGGGGAAATTTAGGGAGTTTTGGGGGAATTGGGGCATTTTGGGGGGAATTTGGGGAGTTCTGGGGGGATTTTGAGGGATTTGTGGTGAATTTCGGGAAATTTGGGGCATTTCAGGGGGAATTTGGGGAGTTTTGGGGGAATTTGGGGAATTTTGGGGCATTTCAGGGGGAATTTGGGAGAGTTTGGGGAAATTGGGGCATTTCAGGGGGAATTTGGGGAGTTTTGGGGGCTTTGGGGGAAATCTGGGAGATTTTGGAGGGATTCAGGGAATTCTGGGGAAAATTTTGGGTTTTTTCCCCCAAACTCACCATTTTCCCCCAAAACACAGCATTTCCCCCCCAAAACTCACCATTTTCCCCCCAAATTCCCATTTTTTCCCCCCAAAGTTGTGATTTTTTCCCAAAATCGCCGTTTTTCGCCCCAAACCTTGACGTAGTCGGCGTGCCCGGGGCAGTCGGTGTGCGCGTAGTTGTGTTTTTCCCCCAAAAACCCCATTTTTACCCCCAAATTTTGAGTTTTTTCCCCGGGATTTTTCCGTTTTCTCCCCAAATTTCAGGTTTTTTCCCAAAATCGCGGTTTTTCGCCCCAAACCTTGACGTAGTCGGCGTGCCCGGGGCAGTCGGTGTGCGCGTAGTTGTGTTTTTCCCCCAAAAACCCCATTTTCACCCCCAAATTTCGTGTTTTTTTTCCCAAATTTCAGGATTTTTTCCCAAATTTTCGTTTTTTTCCCAAAATCCCCGTTTTTCGCCCCAAACCTTGACGTAGTCGGCGTGCCCGGGGCAGTCGGTGTGCGCGCAGTTGTGTTTTTCCCCCCAAAAACCCCATTTTCACCCCCAAATTTTGGTGTTTTTTCCCCGGGATTTTTGCGTTTTCCCCCAAATTTCGGGTTTTTAACCAAAATCGCGTTTTTTCGCCCCAAACCTTGACGTAGTCGGCGTGCCCGGGGCAGTCGGTGTGCGCGTAGTTGTGTTTTTCCCCCCAAAAACCCCATTTTCACCCCCAAATTTCGAGTTTTTTCCCCGGGATTTTTGCGTTTTTCCCCCAAAGTTGTGATTTTTAACCAAAATCCCCATTTTTCGCCCCAAACCTTGACGTAGTCGGCGTGCCCGGGGCAGTCGGTGTGCGCGTAGTTGTGTTTTTCCCCCCAAAAATCCCATTTTCACCCCCAAATTTCGTGGTTTTTTTCCCAAATTTCGGGATTTTTTCCCAAATTCCCATTTTTTCCCAAAATCCCCATTTTTCGCCCCAAACCTTGACGTAGTCGGCGTGCCCGGGGCAGTCGGTGTGCGCGTAGTTGTGTTTTTCCCCCCAAAAACCCCATTTTCACCCCCAAATTTCGGGGTTTTTTTCCCAAATTTCGCGATTTTCCCCCAAATTTCGGGTTTTTAACCAAAATCTCCGTTTTTCGCCCCAAACCTTGACGTAGTCGGCGTGCCCGGGGCAGTCGGTGTGCGCGTAGTTGGGTTTTTCCCCCCAAAAACCCCATTTTTTCCCCAAAATTTCGTGTTTTTTCCCCGGGATTTTTGCGTTTTTTCCCCAAAATTCCCATTTTTTCCCAAAATCGCGGTTTTTCGCCCCAAACCTTGACGTAGTCGGCGTGCCCGGGGCAGTCGGTGTGCGCGTAGTTGTGTTTTTCCCCCCAAAAACCCCATTTTTTCCCCCAAATTTTGAGTTTTTTCCCCGGGATTTTTGCGTTTTTTCCCCAAAATTCCCATTTTTAACCAAAATCCCCGTTTTTTCGCCCCAAACCTTGACGTAGTCGGCGTGCCCGGGGCAGTCGGTGTGCGCGTAGTGCCGCCGGGCCGTGCTGTACTCCACGTGCGCCGCGTTGATCGTGATCCCGCGCGCCTTTTCCTCGGGGGCGCTGTCGATCTCCTCGTAGGGCCGGAACCGCGCCCCGCCCCCCGCCGACAGCACTGCCGACCCAAAATCGACAGAATTTACCCCAAAAATCTCATACGGGAAATAGAGACTCCCCCCTGCACCCAAAACCACCGAAATTCAGCTCAAAAATCCCAAAAATCAGCCCAAAAATCAGCCCAAAAACCAGCTCAGACCCAGCCCCGCCCCCTGCCGACAGCACTGACGGACCCAAAATCTGCGTTTTTCACCCCAAAAATTGTAACAGCACATAGGGACCCAAAACCCCCCCAATTCAGCACAAAACCCCCCGAAATTCAGCTTAAAAATCCCGAAATTCAGCCCAAAAAGCAGCTCAGACCCAGCCCTGACCTCCAGTGACAGCACTGCTGGAGGGACCCAAAATCGGCATTTTTCACCCCAAAAATTGTAACAGCACATAGGGACCCCCCCTGCACCCAAAACTACCGAAATTCGGCTCAAAAATCCCGAAATTCGGCCCAAAAATCAGCCCAAAAACCAGCTCAGACCCAGCCCCGCCCCCCGCCGACAGCACTGACGGACCCAAAATCCGCGTTTTTCACCCCAAAAATCACATACAGGAGATAGAGACCCCACTGAACCCAAAACCACCGAAATTTGGCTCAAAAATCCCAAAAATCGGCCCAAAAATGAGCCCAAAAAGCAGCTCAGACCCAGCCCCGCCCCCCGCCGACAGCACTGACGGACCCAAAATCGGCAGAATGTACCCCAAAAATCACATACGGGAGATAGGGACCCAAAACCCCCCCAATTCAGCCCAAAAACCCCCGAAATTCTGCTCAAAAAGGCCCAAAAATCAGCCCAAAAATCAGCTCAGACCCAGCCCCGCCCCCCGCCGACAGCACTGCCAACCCAAAATCCGCAGAATTTACCCCAAAAATCATAATGGGATAAAGGGACCCCCCCACTGAACCCAAAAACATCAAAATTCGGCTCAAAAACGCCGAAATTCGGCCCAAAAATCAGCCCAAAACCAGCTCGGACACAGCCCCGCCCCCCGCCGACAGCACTGCGCACCCAAAATCGGCATTTTTCACCCCAAAAATTGTAACAGCACATAGGGACCCCCCCTGAACCCAAAACCACTGAAATTCAGCTCAAAAATCCCCAAAATCGGCCCAAAATCAGCCCAAAAACCAGCTCAGACCCAGCCCCGCCCCCCGCCGACAGCACTGACGGACCCAAAATCGGCAGAATTTACCCCAAAAATCATAACAGCACATAGGGACCCCCCCTGCACCCAAAACCATCGAAATTCAGCTCAAAAATCCCAAAATTCTGCTCAAAAAGGCCCAAAAATCAGCCCAAAAAGCAGCTCAGACCCAGCCCCACCCCCCGCCGACAGCACTGCCGACCCAAAACCCGCATTTTTCACCCCAAAAATCACATCCGGGAGATAGGGACCCAAAACCCCCCAATTCAGCCCAAAAACCCCCCGAAATTCGGCTCAAAAAACCCTGAAATTTACCCCAAACCTCACCCCAAAAATGCCCCTGACCCCCCCAACGTCGCCTCTGAGAGCTCTGGAACCAAAATCCCACAAATTCAGCCCAAAATTCCCACTTTTTCCAGTTTAACACAGCCTGACCCGTTTCACCTCAGTCTAACCCGTTTTCCCCATTTTTAACACCACTTTTTGCCATTTTTCTCTGTTCTAACCCCTTTTTTCCCCATTTTCTCTATTCTAACCCCATTTTTGCCAGTTTTCTCTATTCTAACCCCATTTTTACCATTTTTCTCTATTCTAACCCCATTTTCTCCCATTTTTTCCATTTTTCTTTATTCTAAATCCCCTTTCCCCATTTTAACCCCATTTTCCCCATTTTTAACCCCATTTTTGCCATTTTCTCTATCCTAACCCCTTTTTTCCCCATTTTCTCTATTCTAACCCCATTTTTGCCATTTTCTCTATCCTAATCCCTTTTTTCCCCATTTTTCTCTGTTCTAATCCCATTTTTCCCATTTTTCTTTATGCTAAATCCCCTTTTCCCCATTTTAACCCCATTTCCCCCATTTTAACCCCATTTTCCCCATTTTCCCCATTTTAACCCCATTTTTAGCTATTTTAACGCCATTTTTTCCCATTTTAACGCCGTTTTTTCGCGTTTTTTCCTGTTTTCGCCCGTTTTTACCCCATTTTGGCCCACCTTTGGTGATGGCGGCCGTCAGGGTGGTCTTGCCGTGGTCCACGTGCCCGATGGTGCCGACGTTCACGTGGGGTTTGTCCCTCACGAAGGCGGCCTTGGCCTTGGGGGGGGCCTGGGGGGACCCGGGCGGGAAGGGGTTAAATACCCCCCCAAAAAACCCCAAAAAACCCAAAACGCACCCAAAAAAAACCCCAAAACCCGAAACCCATCCAAGAAACCCCCAAAAACCCAAAACCCGCCCAAAAAAATCCCAAAAACCCAAAACCCACCCAAAAAACCCTAAAAAAACCGAAATCCACCAAAAAAACCCAAAATAAACCCCCAAAAACCCAAACCACCCAAAAAAAAAAAAAAAAAAAAAAAAAAAAAAAAAAAAAAAACCCAAAACCCAAAAAAACCCCAAAAACCTGAAACCCACGCAGGAAACCCCAAAAAACCCAAAATAAACCCCCAAGAACCAAAACCACCCAAAAAACCCCAAAGCCCACCCAAAAAACCCTAAAAAACCTGAAACCCTCCCAAAAACCCCCAAACTCACCCCAAAAACCCCAAAAAACCCCAAACCAACCCAAAAAACCCCAAAAAACCCGAAACCCACCCAAAAAACCCTCAAAAGCCTGAAACCCTCCCAAAAAACCCAAAACCCACCCAAGAAACCCCAAAAACCCAAAATAAACCCCCAAAAACCAAAACCCACCCAAAAAAACCCCAAAAAACCCGAAACCCACCCAAAAAAACGTAAAAAACCCAAAACCCACCCAAAACATCCTAAAAACCCCGAAACCCTCCCAAAAAAATCAAAACCCATCCAAGAAACCCCAAAAAACCCAAAATAAACCCCGAAAAACCAAAACCCACCCAAAAACCCCTGAAAAACCCAAAATAAACCCCCAAAACCAAAACCCACTCAAAAAAACCCCAAAAAGCCCAAACCCACCCAAAAGACACAAAATAAACCCCCAAAAACCAAAACCCACCCAAAAAACCCCAAATAAACCCCCAAAACCCACCCAAAAAAGCCAAAACCCACCCAGGAAACACCAAAAACCCAAAATAAACCCCAAAAAACCCAAACCCACCAAAAAAACCCCAAAAAACCCAAAACCCACCCAAGAAACCCCAAAAAACCCAAAATAAATCCCCAAAAATCAAAACCCACCCAAAAAAATCCCAAAAACCCAAAACCCACCCAAAAAACCCTAAAAAACCCAAAATAAACCCACAAAAACCAAAACCCACCCAAGAAACCCCAAAAAACCCAAAATAAACCCCCAAAAACCAAAACTCACCCAAAGAAACCCAAAAAACCCAAAACCCATCCAAGAAACCCCAAAAAACCCAAAATAAACCCTCAAAAACAAAACCACCCAAAAAACCCCAAAACCCACCCAAAAAACCCTAAAAAACCTGAAACCCTCCCAAAAACCCCCAAACTCACCCCAAAAACCCCAAAAAACCCCAAACCAACCCAAAAAACCCCAAAAAACCCGAAACCCACCCAAAAAACCCTCAAAAGCCTGAAACCCTCCCAAAAAACCCAAAACCCACCCAAGAAACCCCAAAAACCCAAAATAAACCCCCAAAAATCAAAACCACCCAAAAAAACCCCAAAAAACCCGAAACCCACCCAGAAAACCCAAAAAAATCCAAAATAAACCCCCAAAAACCAAAACCCTCCCAAAAAACCCAAAACCCACCCAAGAAACCCCAAAAACCCAAAATAAACCCCCAAAAATCAAAACCACCCAAAAAAACCTGAAACCCACCCAAAAAAACCTAAAAAACCTAAAACCCTTCCAAAAAACCCAAAACCCATCCAAGAAACCCCAAAAAACCCGAAACCCACCTAAAAAACCCTCAAAAGCCTGAAACCCTCCCAAAAAACCCAAAACCCACCCAAAAAAATCCCAAAAAACCCAAAACCCACCCAGAAAACCCCAAAAAATCCAAAATAAACCCCCAAAAACCAAAACCCTCCCAAAAAACCCAAAACCCACCCAAGAAACCCCAAAAAACCCAAAATAAACCCCAAAAAACCAAAACCCACCCAAAAAACCCGAAAGCCACCCAAGAAACCCTAAAAAACCTGAAACCCTCCCAAAATACCCAAAACCCACCCAGGAAACCCCAAAAAACCCAAAATAAACCCTCAAAAACAAAAACCACCCAAAAAAACCCCCAAAAAACCCAAAACCCACCCAAAAACCCCAAAACTCACCCAGGAAACCCCAAAAAAACCAAAATAAACCCCCAAAAACCAAAACCTCCCAAAAAAACCCCAAAACCCACCCAAAAAACCCCAAAAAACCAAAACCCTCCCTAAAAAACCCAAAAACCATCCAAGAAACCCCAAAAACCCAAAAAAAAACCCCCAAAAACCCCCAAATTAAACCCCAAAATCCCCCAAAATAAACCCCCCAAAAACCTCAAAATAACCTCCAGAAAAACCCCAAAATCCCCCAAATAATCCCCAAAAACAAACCCCAAAAAACCAAAAACCCTCCCAAAAAACCCACAAAAAAATCACCAAAACCACAAAAAAAAAATCCCCAAAAACCACCCCAAAAAATCACCAAAAATCCCCAAAAAATCCCCAAAAATCCCGAAAAATCAGCAAAAATCCCTTAAAAAACCCCGACCCCAAACCAGTTAAAAATAAACCCAAAACCGTTAAAAATTGCCCAAAATGTCCCCAAATCTCCCCAAATCTGTGGGGAACTCACCGAACTCAGCAGCCTCAGCCCACGGAAACCTGGGGAAAAAAAGGAAAATTTGGGGATTTTTGGGAAATTTTGGGGAATTTCGAGGAATTCTGAGGGATTTTGGGGAAAGTTTGGGGAATTTTGGGGAAATTTTGGGGAATTTTGAGGAATTCTGAGGGATTTTGGGGTAATTTTGGGGAATTTTGGGGAAATTTTGGGGAATTTTGAGGAATTCTGAGGGATTTTGGGGAGATTTTGGGGAATTTTGAGGAATTCTGAGGGATTTTGGGGAGATTTTGGGGAATTTTGAGGAATTCTGAAAGATTTTTGGGGAAATTTTGGGGAATTTTGAGGAATTCTGAGGAATTTTGGGGAAATTTTGAGGAATTTGGGGAAATTTTGGGGAATTTTGAGGAGATTTTGGGTAATGTTGAGGAATTCTGAGGAATTTTGGGGAAATTTGGGGGAATTTTGAGGAATTCTGAGGGATTTTGGGGCGATTTTGTGGAATATAGAGGAACTTTGGGGCTATTTTTCGAATTCTGAGGAATTTTGTGGGATTCTGAGGGGCCATTTTGGGGAGATTTTTGAGTAATTTTGGGGCCTTTTTGAGGAATTCTGAGGGATTTTAGGAAACTGAGGAATTTTGTGTAATTTTCAGGAGTTTTGAGGAATTCTGAGGGATTTTTTTGGGGCGATTTTGTGGAATACAGAGGAAATTTGGGGCTATTTTTCGAATTCTGAGGAATTTTGTGGGATTCTGGGGCCATTTTAGGGAATTCTGAGGGATTCTGAGGCGATTCTGAGGCGATTCTGAGGGACTTTGAGGAATTTTGGGGAATTTGGGGCCATTTTAGGGAATTCTGAGGCGATTCTGAGGGACTTTGAGGAATTTGGGGCGATTCTGGCGCCATTTTCGGCGAATTCTGAGGGATTTTGGGGTATTCTGAGGGAATTTTTCGTTCCCTCGGGGCGGTCCTGCGGAATTATGAGGGATTTTGTGGAATTCTGAGGGATTTTGTGGAATTTTGGGCCATTTTCGCCCCTTTTCGGCCATTTCGGGGCTCCCGGGGTGACCCCGCCGGCCCCGCCCCCCCCCGACCTTCAGCCCCTCCCCCTCCCCCGCCCCCCCCGCCCTCCCTCCCACCCTCCCCTTCCCCCCCCCGCCCTCCAAAACCCCCGAAAAGCCCCAAAATCCGCGGAATTCGCCCCAAAATCGCCGCACCCGCAAAGGCCCCGCGCCGCAGCAGCGCCGTCGGCAGCGCCATCTTTGCTCCGCCGCGCCGGAAGTGCCTCTGAGGCGGTTTCCGGTCCCGCCTTTTCCCGCGCTTTTTTCGCGCGCCGCTCTGGCCGCCCTGGAGGACCCAACTCGGTGGTCTTGGAGGACTCGGCCAAAAAACGCCCCAAAATCGCCTCGAATCGCCCCAAAATCGCCTCGAATCGCCCCAAAATCGCCTCGAATCGCCCCAAAATCATCCCGCCCACCCTCAGGGACCCCCGAACCCCCCAATGCTGCCCCTCCCCCCCTTCTCTCACTTCCTCCCGCCCCAGGAAACCGCCCCCCCCCCCCCCGCGCCCCCCAAAAAAAACCCCAAAAAAACCCAAAATCCTCCAAAATACCCAAAATACACCAAAAAACACCTGAAACCTCCCCAAAAAAACCCCAAATCCTCCAAAATCCCCCAAATCCTCCAAAATACCCAAAATACACCAAAATACCTGAAACCCCCCGAACCCCCCCAAAAAAACCCCCAAATCCTCCAAAATACCCAAAATACACCAAAATACCTGAAACCTCCCCAAAAAAACCCCAAAATCCTCCAAAATACCCAAAATACACCAAAAAACACCCGAAACACCCCCCAAAAAAACCACCAATAAAAATTTTGGATTTTGGCGGTTTTTACTACAAAATTCGGGTTTGTATAAAACCGGGAGGGATGGGGGAGGGGCTCAGGTGAGCTCAGGTGTGCCCCAGGTGTGCCCAGGTGTGCCCAAGGTACCCCCAGGTGTGCCCCAGGTGTATCCCAGGTGTGCCCAGGTGAGCTCAGGTGGGTTCAGATGAGTGCCCAGGTACCCCCAGGTGTGCCCAGGTGCCCCCAGGTATGCCCCAGGTGTGCCCAGGTGAGGCTCAGATGGGTTCAGGTGAGGCTCAGGTGAGGCTCAGGTGGGTTCAGGTCACACCAAGGTACCCCCAGGTGTGCCCAGGTGTATCCCAGGTACCCCCAGGTGTCCCCAGGTGAGCTCAGTTGGGTCCAGGTGTGCTCCAGGTGTGCCCAGGTGTATCCCAGGTGCCCCCAGGTGTGCCCAGGTGTGTCTCAGGTGAAGCTGAGGGAGAACGCTCGGTAGCCCAGGTTGGTGAAAACGTCGATTTTGGGGCTGTTTCCGGCCACCGTCAGCACCTGCGGGAGGGGCGGGGTCAGACACGCCCACCTGGCCACGCCCAGCCCTGGCCACGCCCACCTGGCCACGCCCAGCCCAGCCCACGCCCACCAGGACACACCCAGGTGAGAGTGGGCAGAGCTTGGGAGGGCCCAGGTGAGTTCAGCTGAGCTCGGGGTGGGTTCAGGTGTGCCCAGGTGTGTTCAGGTGTGTCAGGGATGGGTTTGGGATGTGCCCAGGTGTGCCCAGGTGAGTTCAGGTGACCGCAGGGTGGGTTCAGGTGTGCCTAGGTGAGTTTGGGGTGTGCCCAGGTGTGCCCAGGTGTGTCTCAGGTGTATCTCAGGTGTTACCTGGTGCTCAGGTGAGCGCAGGTGCAGGCAGAGGCTGGGCTGGGTTAGTGGGATGGGCTCAGGTGTATCTCAGGTGTGCCCAGGTGTGGTTTGGGTGTGCCCAGGTGTGCCCAGGTGAGCTCACCTGGTGCTCAGGTGAGCGCGGGTGCAGGCAGAGGCTGGGCTGGGTTATTGGGGTGTGTCCCAGGTGTGCCCAGGTGTGTCAGGGATGGGTTCAGGTGTGCCCAGGTGTATCTCAGGTGTGCCCAGGTGAGCTCACCTGGTGCTCAGGTGAGCGCGGGTGCAGGCAGAGGCTGGGCTGGGTTATTGGGATGGGTTTGGGATGGGTTCAGGTGTATCTCAGGTGTATCTCAGGTGTGCCCAGGTGCCCCCAGGTGTAGCTCACCTGGTGCTCAGGTGAGCGCGGGTGCAGGCAGAGGCTGCGCTGGGTTATTGGGGTGTGTCCCAGGTGTGCCCAGGTGTGTCAGGGATGGGTTTGGGATGTGCCCAGGTGTGCCCAGGTGTGCCCAGGTGTGCTCAGGTGTATCTCAGGTGTATCTCAGGTGTTACCTGGTGCTCAGGTGAGCGGGGGTGGAGGCAGAGGCTGCGCAGCGCCGCAGGTGTCACCGGGACCTTCCCCCGCACGTCCCCACTGAGCTGCAGCAGGTGAAGGGCGGGACCCACCCCCCCCGAGAGCACCTGCGGGACAGACTGGGATGGACTGGGATATACTGGGAGGGACTGGGATGGACTGGGAGGGACTGGGAGAAAACTGGGATGGACTGGGACCAAACTGGGAGGGACTGGGGGAGACTGGGAGGGACTGGGAGGGACTGGGATTGAACTGGGATGGACTGGGAGGGACTGGGAATGGGACTGGGATCAAACTGGGGGGACTGGGAGGGAACTGGGCGGGACTGGGACCAAACTGGAATGGACTGGGAGGGAACTGGGATGGACTGGGACCAAAGCAGTTTGGACTGGGATCAAACTGGGAGGGACTGGGAGTAACTGGGAGGGACTGGGACCAAACCAGTTTGGACTGGGACCAAACTGGGATGAACTGGGATCAAACTGGGATGGACTGGGACCAAACTGGGAGTGACTGGGATCAAACTGGGAGGGACTCGGAGTGACTGGGGGGAACTGGGACCAAACTGGGATGGACTTGGATCAAACTGGGAGGGACTGGGAGGGACTGGGATGGACTGGGAGGGACTGGGATGGACTGGGAGGGAGTGGGAGGGACTGGGATGGACTGGGAATGGGACTGGGGGGAACTGGGACCAAACTGGGAGGGACTGGGATGGACTGGGAGGGAGTGGGAGGGACTGGGAGGGAACTGGGAGGGACTTGGATCAAACTGGGAGGGAACTGGGAGGAACTGGGAGGGACTGGGATGGACTGGGAGGGAGTGGGAGGGACTGGGAGGGACTGGGATGGACTGGGAGGGAACTGGGATGGACTGGGAGGGAACTGGGAGGGACTGGGAGGGACTGGGAGGGACTGGGATTAACTGGGACAAACTGGGAGGGGACTGGGAGGGACTGGGACCAAACCGGTTTGGACTGGGATCAAACTGGGATGGACTTGGATCAAACTGGGGGGACTGGGAGGGAACTGGGACCAAACTGGGAGGGACTGGGACCGAACTGGGAGGGACTGGGACCAAACTGGGAAGGACTGGGATGGACTGGGAGTAACTGGGATCAAACTGGGATGGACTGGGAGGGAACTGGGATGAACTGGGATCAAACTGGTGGGACTGGGAGGGCCTGGTCTGGGCCCAGACCCATTTATACTGGTCTATACTGGTTTGTACGGGTTTATACGGGTCTGTACTGGTTTATACTGGTTCGGATTGGTTTATACTGGTCTATACTGGTCCATACTGGTCCCGCTCACCAGGTCCTGGTGGAAGAGCGCGTGGTGCTGCGGCTGCGCCAGCCCGAACACGGTGGTCGGTGTCCCCGAGCGCAGGTGCCACAGCGTCAGGGCGGGGCCGCCGCCGCACACCTGGGGGGGCGGGGACAGGTGGGACACGCCCCTTTTCCGGCCACGCCCATTCCTGGTCACGCCCCTTTACCAAAATCCCGCCCATTTTACCAAAATCCCGCCCCTTCCTGGCCACGCCCATTCCCGGCCACGCCCCTTTTACCAAAACCCCGCCCCTTCCTCAGCCCCGCCCCTTTTTATTCTGCCCCGCCCCTTTTCCCAAAACCCCGCCCATTTTACAGAAACCCCGCCCCTTCACGGCCACACCCTTTCCCAGCCACGCCCCTTTTCCCTGAAACCACGCCCATTCCACTCAGCCCCGCCCCTTTTACCAAAGCCCCACCCCTTTTATTCAGCCCCGCCCCCTTCCATTCCGCCCCACCCTTTTTACCAAAACCTCGCCCCTTTTACCCAAATCCCGCTCCTTTTACCAAACCCCTCCCCCTTTCCATTTAGCACCGCCCCCTTTACCGAAACCCCGCCCCTTTTACCCAAACCCCGCCCCTTTTACTCAGCCCCGCCTCTTTTCATTCTGCCCCGCCTTTTCTACCGAAACCCCTCCCCCTTTCCATTTAGCCCCGCCCCCTTTACTGAAACCCCGCCCCTTTTATTGAACCCCCACCCTTTTCATCTAAACCCCGCCCCTTTTACAGAAACCCCGCCCCTTTTACCAAAACCCCGCTTTTTTTACCGAAACGCCGCCACTTTTACCGAAATCCCGCCCCTTTAGTTGAAACCACTCCCCTTTTCCTTTAGCCCCGCCTTTTTACCGAAACCCCGCCCATTTTACTGAAACCCCGCCCCTTTTACCGGAACTCCGCCCCTTTTCCAAACCCCGCCCCTTTTACCCCAACCCCGCCCCCTTTGACGAGGCCCCGCCCCGTCTTTCCAAGCCCCGCCCACTCAAGCCCCGCCCATTGGCCCCACCCTCCCAGGCTCCACCCACTTTGATGAGGCTCCTCCCCCTTCCTTTAAGCCCCACCCACCCAAGCCCCGCCCCTAAGCCACACCCACCCAAGCTCCACCCCTCCCTCAAGCCCCACCCCCTTTTACCCCACCCTCCCAGGCCCCGCCCCCTCTCCCAAGCCCCACCCACCCAAACCCCGCCCCCCCTGTGCCACGCCCTCCCAGGCCCCGCCCCCTTTGGCCCCGCCCCCTCCCCAGGCCCCGCCCCCTTTGGCCCCGCCCCCTTTGGCCACACCCTCCCAGGCCCCGCCCCCCTGCCCCTCCCCCGCACCATCCAGTCGCTCTCGGTGGCCAAACAGCGAATCCACTTCCCCAGCTGCGGGCGGCTGCACTCCTGGAACCAGTATAAACCAGTTAAAACCAGTTACGGACCGGTAAAAACCAGTATGGACCAGTACAGACCAGTATAAACCAGTATAAACCAGTACAGACCAGTACGGACCAGTTACAGACCAGTTACAGACCAGTATAAACCAGTACGGACCAGTACGGACCAGTTACAGACCCGTATGGACCACTTACAGACCATTATAAACCAGCATAAACCAGTATAATCCAGTACAGACCGGTATGGACCAGTTACAGACTGGTACGGACCAGTATGGACCAGTTACAGACCAGTATAAACCAGTTACAGACCAGTTACAGACCAGTATAAACCAGTTACAGACCAGTTACAGACCAGTATAAACCAGTTACAGACCAGTTACAGACCAGTATAAACCAGTTACAGACCAGTTACAGACCAGTATAAACCAGTTACAGACCAGTTACAGACCAGTATAGACCAGTTACAGACCGGTACGGATGTGTACGGACCAGTATAAACCAGTAAAAACCAGTATGGACCAGTTAGAGACCAGTTACAGACCAGTACGGACCAGTATAAACCAGTATAAACCAGTACGGACCAGTAAAAAGCCAGTACGGACCAGTACAAACCAGTAAAAACCAGTAAGGATTGGTAAAATCCCCTCCCAGTCCCTCCCAGTCCCTCCCAGTATAAACCAGTTCCCTCCCAGTCCCTCCCAGTTCAATCCCAGTTCAATCCCAGTTCAATCCCAGTCCCTCCCAGTTTGATTCCAGTTTGATCCCAGCCCCTCCCAGTCCCCCCCAGTCCCTCCCAGTCCCTCCCAGTTTGTCCCAGTTCCCTCCCAGTCCCTCCCAGTTCCCTCCCAGTCCCTCCCAGTATAAACCAGTCCCTCCCAGTCCATCCCAGTCCCTCCCAGTATATCCCAGTATGTCCCAGTTCCCACCTGGTACTTGTGCACCTCGATCAGCTGCACCTGAGCGCCCGTCCGGAGATCTGAGGGGAATTTCGGCAATTTTGGGGCATTTTGGGGCATTTTGGGGCAGTTTGGGACATTTTGAGGCATTTTCAGGGAATTCTGAGCGATTTGGGGGAATTTTGGGAATTTTGGGGCATTTTGGGGGAATTTGGGGGAATTTTGGGGTTTTTGGGGCATTTTGAGGGGATTTGGGGGTTGGGGGGGTTCAGGAAGTGGATTTTGAGGTTATTTTAGGGAAATTTTGGGATTTTTAGTGAATTTTGGGGTGATTTTGGCGGATTTGGGGCCGATTTGGGGATTTTTGGGGTTCCTCCTCACCCCAGAACTGCAGAGGGTGAATTTTGGGGTGATTTTGGGGTGATTTTGGGATATTTTGGGTCCTGCTCACCCCAGAGCCGCAGGGTGGGTTTGGGGGGTGGTTTGGGGCTGATTTTGGGGTGAATTTGGGGGATTTTGGGGTGATTTTGGGATATTTTGGGTCCTGCTCACCCCAGAGCCCCACGGTGGGTTTGGGGGGTGGTTTAGGGCAAATTTTGGGGTGATTTTGGGGTGAATTTGGGGGATTTTGGGTCCTGCTCACCCCAGAGCTGCAGGGTGGGTTTGGGGGGTGGTTTAGGGCGGATTTTGGGGTGGTTTTGGGGGATTTTGGGTCCTGCTCACCCCAGAGCCGCAGGGTGGGTTTGGGGGGTGGTTTAGGGCTGATTTTGGGGGGAATTTTAGGGTGAATTTGGGGGATTTTGGGGGGATTTTGGGGTGAATTTGGGATATTTTGGGGCTCTTCTCATCCCAGAGCCGCAGGGTGGATTTTGGGAATGGTTTAGGGGTAATTTTGGGGTGAATTTGGGGGATTTTGGGTCCTGCTCATCCCAGAGCCGCAGGGTGAGTTTGGGGGGTGGTTTAGGGCTGATTTTGGGGTGAATTTGGGGGATTTTGGGTCCTGCTCACCCCAGAGCCACAGGGTGGATTTTGGGAATGATTTAGGGGTAATTTTGGGGTGAATTTGGGGGATTTTGGGTCCTGCTCACCCCAGAACCCCACAGTGGGTTTCGGGGGTGGTTTAGGGCTGATTTTGGGGTGAATTTGGCAGATTTTGGGTCCTGCTCACCCCAGAGTCACACGGTGGGTTTGGGGGGTGGTTTAGGGCTGATTTTGGGGTGAATTTAGGGGTTTTTGGGTCCTGCTCACCCCAGAGCCGCAGGGTGGGTTTGGGGGGTGGTTTAGGGCTGATTTTGGGGTGATTTTGGGGGATTTTGGGTCCTGCTCACCCCAGAACCCCACAGTGGGTTTGGGGGGTGGTTTAGGGCTGATTTTGGGGGGAATTTTGGGGTGAATTTGGGGGATTTTGGGGGGATTTTGGGGTGATTTTGGGGGATTTTGGGTCCTGCTCACCCCAGAGCCGCAGGGTGGATTTTGGGAATGGTTTAGGGCTGATTTTGGGGTGAATTTGGGGGATTTTGGGTCCTGCTCACCCCAGAGCCGCAGGGTGGGTTTTGGGAGTGTTTTAGGGCTGATTTTGAGGTGAATTTGGGGGATTTTGGGTCCTGCTCACCCCAGAGCCGCACGGTTCCGTCCTCACCCCCTGACAGGACCTGCGGGAGCTGCTCCCGAAGCGCCACAACGTGAACCAGGTCCTGGTGGCCCCGGAGCTCGTGCTGCCAGGGGAACCCCAAAAATGAGTGAAATTGCCCCAAAAATGAATGAAACCGCCCCAAAAATGAATGAAACCGCCCCAAAAACGAATGAAACAGCCCCAAAAACGAATGAAACCGCCCCAAAAATGGATGAAACCGCCCCAAAAATGAATGAAACCGCCCCAAAAATGAATGAAACCGCCCCAAAAATGAATGAAACCGCCCCAAAAACCGGCCCAGAAACTACCCAAAACCACCCTAAAACTGCCCCAAAAAAATGCCCCAAAACCACTCCCAAAATCTCCCCAAATCCAGCCCAAAATCACCCCAAAATTACTCCAAAATCCCTACCAGACCACCCCAAAATGCCCCAAAATCCGCAGAATTTCCCCCAAACTCCCCATTTCCCCCAAATCGTCCCGAATTTCCCCAATTCCCCCCAACGCCCCGTTTTGCCCCAAACCCCCCAATTCCCCCCAGCGCCCCGTTTTGCCCAAAATCCGCCGTTTTTCCCCCAAATCCGCTCACGGTGAAGGCGCCGCTCTCCAAATCCAACACGCGCACGGCGCCGTCCCCGCCCGCCAGCGCCACCCAGTGGTCCTGCCGGGAATTGCAACTGAGGGTGGGGGCCGAAAAACACCCCAAAAATCCCCCAAAAATTCCCCCAAAATCACCCCAAAAATTCCCTCCAAAACCCCCCAAAATCCCCCCAAAAAATTCCCTCCAAAACCCCCCAAAATCCCCCCAAATATTCTCCCAAATTCCTCCCAAATATTCCCTCCAAACCCACCCAAATATTCCCCCCAAAATCCTCCCAAATATTCCCTCCAAAACCCCCCAAAATCCCCCCAAAAATCCCCCCCAACCCCCCCCAAAATCCCCCCAAAATCCTCCCAAAAATTCCCTCCAAACCCACCCAAATATTCCCCCAAAATCCTCCCAAATATTCCCTCCAAAACCCCCCAAATCCCCCCAAAATCCTCCCAAATATTCCCTCCAAAACCCCCCAAAATCCCCCCAAAAATTCCCTCCAAAACCCCCCAAAAATTCTCTCCAAAACCCCCCAAATATTCCCTCCAAAACCCCCCAAAAATTCTCTCCAAAACCCCCCAAAATCCCCCCAAAAATTCCCTCCAAAACCCCCCAAAAATTCCCTCCAAAACCCTCCAAAAATTCTCTCCAAAACCCCCCAAAATCCTCCCAAATATTCCCTCCAAACTCCCCAAAAATCCTCCCCAAAATGCCCCCAAATATCCTCCCAAAATCCTCCCAAATATTCCCTCCAAATCCCCCCAAAATTTCCCCAGAAACCACCCCAAAAATCCCCCCAAAATCCCCCAAAATCCCCCCCAAAATCCCCTCCAGAAACCCCCCAAAAATCCCCCCCAGAGAGGGTTTTTGGGGTTTTTCGGGGAGGTTTTGGGGTTTTTTCCTGGGCAGGTTTTTGGGTTTTTTTCGGGGATTTTGGGGTTTTTTCCTGGGCAGGTTTTTGGGGTTTTTCGGGAGGTTTTGGGCTTTTTTTCCTGGGAGGGTTTTTAGGGTTTTTTGGGAGGTTTTGGGGGAGGTTTTGGGGTGCATTTTGGGGGTTTTTGGGGTCCTGGGGACCCCCCTCACCCTCTGGTTCACCTCCAGCCCGTTGATCTCCGGCACCTCCAGACTGCTCCTGGGGGAGGGGCGGGATTGGGGGTCCCCACCCCCCCAGACCCCCCAAATTACCCAAAAATACCCCAAAATCCCCCCCAAATACCCAAAAATACCCAAAAATACCCCCAGACCCCCCAAAATTACCCCAAAATACCCAAAAATACCCCCAGAACCCCCAAGATTACCCCAAAATACCCAAAAATACCCCCAGACCTCCCAAAATTACCCCAAAATAACCAAAAATCTCCCCAAATTCCCCCCAGACCCCCCCAATACCCCAAAATATCTCAAAATCCCCCCAAACCCCTCAAAATCCCCCAAACGCCCCCAAATCCCCCCCAGACCCCCCAAAATTACCCCAAAATACCCAAAAATACCCCAGACCTCCCAAAATCCCCCAAAATTCCCCAAAATCCCCCCAAAACTCCCTAAAATCCCTCAAAATCCCCCCAAAATTCCCCAAATCCCCCCAAATCCCCTCAAATCTCCCCAAAACCCCTAAAATTCCCCCAAACTCCCCCCAAAAATCCTCCAAATTCCCCCAAAACCCCAAAATTCCCCAAAACCCCAAAATTCCCCCAAAATCTCCCCAAAACTCCCTAAAATCCCTCAAAATCCCCCCAAATTGCCCAAAATTGCCCAAAATCCCCATTTTGGTACCTGCAGGGCGGGCGCCGCGTCCAGAGCTCCCGACAGCCCTGAGGGGGCACCAAAATTTGGGGGATTTGGGGAAATTTGGGGATTTTTGGGGAGTTTTGGGGGTTTGAAAGAGTTTTGGGGGAAATTTGGAGGATTTTGGGGGAATTTGGGTGTTTTTGGGTCATCTTAGGGTGAATTTGGCCTTTTTGGGGGTGAATTTTGGCCACTTTGGGGTGAATTTGGGTGAATTTTGGTGAATTTTGCCATTTTTGGGGTGAGTTTTGGCCACTTTTGGGTGAATTTGGGTGAATTTTGCCTTTTTTGGGGTGAGTTTTGGCCACTTTGGGATTAATTTGGGTGAATTTGGGTGAATTTTGCCATTTTGGGGGTGAATTTGGCTGGTTTTGGGGTGAAATTTTGTGCTTTTGGGGTGAATTTTGCTGATTTTGGGTGAATTTGGGACATTTTGGGTATTTTTGGGGTGAATTTGAGATTTTTTGGGATATCTAGAGGTGAATTTGGATTATTTTGGACGTTTTTAGGGTAAATTTGGGACATTTTGGGGTGAATTTGGGGGATTTTGGGTCCCACCTCCCACAGCTCAGCCCCGGGCCCGGATTTCCCATTTTGGGGTGAATTTTGGAATATTTTAGGGTGAATTTTAGGATGAATTTTTTTGTGAATTTGGGGTTATTTTAGGGTGAATTTTGGGGTGAATTTGGGTTATTTCGGGGCGGTTTTTGGGGTGAATTCGGGGGGTTTTGGGTCCCACCTTGTGGCCCAGCCCCAGGCCCGGATTTCCCATTTTGGGGTGAATTTTGGGGTAAATTTTGGAATATTTTAGGGTGAATTTTAGGGTGATTTTTTTTTTTTGGTGAATTTGGGGTTATTTTAGGGTGAATTTTGGGGTTATTTTAGGGTGAATTTTGGGGTGAATTTGGGATATTTCGGGGCGGTATTTGGGGTGAACTTTGGGTTATTTCAGGGTGAATTTTGGGGTGAATTTGGGGTTATTTTAGGGTGAATTTTGGGGGAAATTTGGGATATTTCAGGGTGAATTAGGGATATTTCGGGGCGGTTTTTGGGGTGAACTTTGGGGTTATTTCGGGGTGATTTTTTTAGTGTATTTGGGGTTATTTTAGGGTGAATTTTGGGGTGAATTTGGGTTATTTCGGGGTGGTTTTTGGGGTGAATTGGGCTGTTTCGGGTCCCACCTTGCGGCCCAGCTCGGCCCAGCTCCAGGCGCGGATTTCCCATTTTAGGGTGAATTTTGGAATATTTTAGGGTGGTTTTTGGGGTGAATTCGGGGGGTTTCGGGTCCCACCTTGCGGCCCAGCTCGGCCCAGCTCCAGGCGCGGATTTCTCCGTCGCTGCCGCTCAGGAGGAGCCGCTCGGTCGAGGCCAACGAGTAAACGGGGCCATTATGGGCTAAAAACGGCAAAAAACGGTAAAAACCAGTACAAACCAGTAAAAACCAGTAAAAACCAGTACAAACCAGTACAAACCAGTACAAACCCGCCCGTGCCTCAGTTTCCCTCACCCCTCACCACCGCCACCGCTCTCCGGTTCTCCTCTTTGGCCTCCGCGCTCAGCGCCGCCGACAGCCTGTGGGGGGGGAGGGGAGGGGGCGTGGCTATCGCGATATCCCCTCCCCCCCATCCCCCCCCACTATCGCGACAGGCGCACCCGAAGATGGCGATCTCCCCGAAGTCGTTGGCGGCCGCCAGGAACCGCCCGCACGGGGACGCGCTCTGCGCCAGCACCGAGACGTGCAGCAGCTGCCGCGCCCGCCGCACTCCGCCCGACGGCGACGACAGCGCCATGTCGCGATAGTCGCCGCCGCTACCGGGCGATGGCGGCGCTTCCGCTTCCGGTTCCGCTTCCGGTTCCGCGCGCGGGGCGAGCCGGGAGTTGTAGTTCTGACAGCGACTCTCACCGGAAGTGGCCGGAAGGAAGCGGCGCGGGGTGCGCCGGGAGTTGTAGTTTTTCCGGTCCCGCTCACCGGAAGCGGCGCGGGGTGCGCCGGGAGTTGTAGTTCTTCCGGTCCCGCTCACCGGAAGCGGCGCAGGGTGCGCCGGGAGTTGTAGTTGTTCCGGCACCGCTTACCGGAAGCGGCCGGAAGGAAGCGGCGCGGGGCACGCTGGGAGTTGTAGTTCTTCCGGCCCCGCTCACCGGAAGTGGCCGGATGGAGGCGGCGCGGGGCGGCGGTGGGGGGTGAGGGGGATTTTGGGGTGAATTTCGGGGATTTTGGGGTTTTTTGGGGGAATTTGGGGGATTTTGGGGATTTCGGGGCTGTCTGAACCTCCTCTGGTCACCCCTCAGGGCTCCCCCGCGGCCTCCGGCGCCCGGCGAGAAACGGAGACCGGCCCAGTGCGAGGGGTGAGGGGAACTGGGACGGACTGGGACAAACTGGGACGGACTGGGATGGACTGGGACGGACTGGGACAAACTGGGAGGGACTGGGAGGGAACTGGGACAAACTGGGAGGGACTGGGACAAACTGGGACAAACTGGGACAAACTGGGAGGGAACTGGGGGGGACTGGGAGGAACTGGGATGGACTGGGAGGGAACTGGGACAAACTGGGAGGGACTGGGAGGGACTGGGACAAACTGGGACAAACTGGGAGGGACTGGGAGGGAACTGGGATTGAACTGGGAGGGACTGGGATCAGTCCATACTGGTTTATACTGGTCTGTACTGGTTTATTACCAGTTTATACTGGTTTAAACCCGTCCATACTGGTTTATTGCTGGTTTGTTACTGGTTTA